TATCAGCTCCAGCCTCCTGTTGTCAAAAAGGATGTCTGCAACCTTCCGCCTTACCCTGCGTATCTTGTTGTTCCGAAGGTCGATCTCTAAAACTTTCAAATACAGAAGACAGTAAAAATTCCAATATTTAATTCACTCTGAAGGGTTGGATTTTTTATCTTTGTTTCCATCACTACTCTTTTGGGAAACGCCAAACAACAAAGATCCTCCTGCAAAATCAGCTATCTTCTCCCCCAAATTACCTTCTCCTTCGTGGTTTTTAACGTACTCTTCAAAGTGACTAAGGAAATCTTGTGTAAGATATCTCTGTACGTTTAACGTTGCAGCCTGCTGAATGATAGCAGATTCCAATTCAATAATGCTCAAAACTTTAGTCTTTATAGAATCAAAGTTTTCCTCCCCCCCCTCTAGGAGAACGGACAGATCACTCCACATCTTTGAGAGAGTTTCTACCTTTTTGTACAAAAGGCTTATTTTATTTTTCTCACTAGGAGTGAGGGTGCTTGCTGAGATACTGGATTGGATTCTCTTAAGGTCTTCTTCAATTAATCCTTTAACCTTTTCAGCCTCGGAAGCCAGCTTAGGATATTTGGTAACCCCAAGAACTTCCGACTCACTACTTGCTGAAGGATTGATGGCACTACCCTTAACATTAGTTAAGACCAAGTGTATTGATCCTAGGATACTTGACATTAGCAGCTTAGCATTCATTCAGGGGCTTGATTCAATATGTTTTTATAGTTTTAAATTAGGGTGAATGATTGAAATATGATATTGGTATTAGGATTTTAATGGGCTGTGCATTTTAAAAGTCAATGAGCTTCATGGATGAAAAATATACTCTCAGGACTACGGCTTTTAATTAATACAAAAAAACTTTGACCAATGGCAGCATCTCAGTTTTTATGATTCTTTTATAAACTTCTTTTTATAATAAACTCTAGAAGTTAAAGAATCAGACAGCATTTCTGCTTCTTTTCTTGAATTTCACTTAATAAACAAACCCTGGAATGAATGAAAGGGAACATGTTGCGGAGCTAGTTGAGCTGTTGGGCCGGCTCAATACTAGTAGAGAAGAGGCAATAGAGCAGTATGAGAGGCGGGCATTTACATTTATGAAAAACATTCGTCCAGAAACTTTTGATTCTCTTAACTTTGACAGCGAGCTTGAGAGGATTGCAACATATCCTATAATTCTCGGAGGTCTTTTTATGAAGAAAGAGTTCAAAAAGATCGACAAGATAGTTAACGAAGATTTGTTGCCCTATCTCATTGGGAAGAAAAGGATCTACGATTATTTTATCGGGCTCATTGTGAAATTTTTTTATCTTGCAAGGAAAAATGAATCTCAAGACAACTCGACTCTCTTCAGCCTTCTTGTTACAAACAAGGAGCTCGGCAATGAATATACTGTTTCTGTGATAACTAATTGCCTTTTGGACATGCTTACTAGTAACAAAATATTTCAAAGAATCGAAAATACTATTACAACAACCTCTGAGCAAGCAAGATACAACTATTACAATGGAATAATATCTATGGTTGAAGGGGATTACAATTCTGCTCTGAAGTGCTTTCACACAAGCATCATCCTTTCAACCAATCGTGATCTAGTTCTGGGTGCGGAGAAGCGTGTTATTTTATGTATGTTACTTAGTAGTGACTACAACATCCCATACACTTATAAGCCGAGCCTTAGAACATACTTTGAGCTTGCTTCTGCTGTAAAAAATGCTGGGATAAAGAAGTTTGAAGAGGCTCTTGAGAAGAGTAAAGATGAGCTTATGTCTCAAGGTCTATACTTTGTAGCAAGAAGGTTATCGCAAAATGTTATCCAGGAGGGAATAAGAAGGATAAGTATTGTGTACTCCAGAATATCTTATGTAGATATTGCATATCTTCTGGATATCAATCCCGAAGAAGCTGAGTACTTGGTCAAAAGGACAATTAGAAAGGGATTGATAAAGGGAAAAGTTATTGACGGTGTTTTTCATTCTTTGAAGGAGGACAAATCCACGACCGATATAGGCATAGGTATCAGGGATTGTATACAGCTAACAAAGTATATCCAGGAACATATGAGATATCCTGTTATTGAGCCCTTATGCTATGAGAAGGTAAGCAAGGTTCATGAAAAATAAAATCTTTACTAGTCTTGATTTTTAAGCATCTAAGTCTTCTCTACAAGGCAGAATTTCTTCATCTGAGTTTTGGCCTTCACTGTCACCATTTTTCTCCTTCTCTACTTCTACATATGGAAGCTTTCTCTTAAGTTTTTTGTACTCCCTGTCTAAGAGAGTTCTTGCTTTTCGTTCTACACCCTCGAATATCTCTGTGCCACTCGGAATTACATTTTCCAATCCAATGATATCCTCTTTAGTCATATCATAATTGGTAATGTCGTCTAGCGCCTTATCGATACAATGTGTTTTTAAATGATATGCATGCTTCTTCAGTATCAGCTCCAAAGCGTACTTCCTAATCTCCTCTGCATTGGCTCTGATTTTGCATGACGAGTGCACCGAGGCCGTGTATAAAATTCTTTCCGCTTTTAAATGTTTAGAGTTTTGCCCAAGCCATGATGGAAACATCATTTTCTTTGTCAGAGGCCTTCCCTCAGTAGGTATTGCAACACTATACACAGCATGAAGTGGCGCAAGGCTCCAATCCTGATTAGTCCCCCTCATCAGCTTTTCAACAATATCTCCTAAGCTGATTGAGTCAAAGCACTCAGAAAGATCTCTTGCACTTTTAAATGGAGTTTTTAAAATGTTTTCGTTTACAAAAAGCGGAATTAGCGAATAATCTTCAAAGTAAAGGTCGATCTTTTCGGTGATAGACCTTCTTTGGAAAACCTCTCCTGCTATATCAAACACATTTTTCATCACGTTCTTTCTAACAAAGCTTTCCGCTACACTTGGGGTAAGAGCCCTTTTGAGTGCAATGCTCTGAACCATGCCGATGGAATACCTCATGTCCCCGCTACTTTTTGATATTATTTCATTGAGCAATCCGTCGGATATTTTTTTCCCTTCTCTATCAAGTATGTATTTGATTCTTGAAATCATTTGCCTAGGATCCGGCTTCCTGAATCTTAAGTCTAAGCAATGGTTTGATAGTGTTCTTATCTTTAGGTTATTACGATCATTACATATGCATATGATTGGTATCACAGTCTCCTTAATTACATTAACAAGCTCAGGAATTCCTCCTCTATCACTAGACATCCCATCGACTTCATCCATTATAAGAACCTTCTTTCTGGATACACCTAGGCAAACAGACTGGCTGTTTACAAAGCTCCTTATTTTACTAGCTATTTCAGACTTACTTCTAACATCACTAGCGTTGAATTCAACTATATCAAACCCAAGATACTTGCAAACCACATGCGCCATTGTTGTTTTTCCAATCCCTGGCTGTCCACTTAGCAATGCTGCTTTGTATTTCGTACGTCCCTGGAGATAGTCTTCTAGTTGCTTGGAAATCCCTATATTTCCCACGATTTCATCTTTCTTGCTAGGCCTGTATTTCTCACTCCATATGTTACTCAAGGCAGTCTCGTTATCATTCTTAGTATTCCCTGGGCCAACATCCACCTTTATTGCGTCACCAAGTCCCTTCTCGTTTTCCCTGATTAACTGCATGAACTCCTCTTCGTTTAGAATTCTTATGCCTAGTTCTTTTGCCTTCTGCATCTTTGAAATACCCGGGCTTTCTCCTACAACAAGAAATGTAGTTTTGGATGATGGTACCGTTGTACATCTTCCACCTAGGACAACCACCTTTGTCCTTGCATTGTCTCTGCTGACGCTCATATCGCCAGTAAACACAAACACTTTTCCCTTCAATGGCTCTTTCTCCAGAGGCATTCTGCAAGGTGAAAAAAATTTGCTTCTCATCAACTATACAGCCTTACCTTTACAATTTCTATGAAAAACCTTATTAGGTAATCCCCTATGGATTTCTTTAGGATCGTAGGGCTTGGCAACGGGATTTTTGAGGGTGCTAATCTCTGGTCGCCATTCCCAGGATACCCTGCATTTGGAGGCCAGTTGGCCGCACAGTCCCTTGCATCTGCATTTTCCACGGTTGAGGAGAGCTCTATTCCGGTTACAATGAGCATTCTGTTTACCAATCGATGTAAATCAGATCAAAAGGTCAGATACAATGTCAGGAACCTGAAAGATGGAAGCATTGTGGACATGAGACAGGTGGACTGTTATCAGAATGATGTTTTGATATCCAGTGCTCACATTAGCTTTAGTAGGCCGGATAACAATACTCACGACTATGAGGGTACTCCGTATGAAATATATGATGATACTTTCATTCCATTTTCGGAATACATATCTAAGTCCATGGCTGCCAGCTCTGAAAGCCAGGCAGAGGTTAGTGCAAAGTTTCAGATTTTGTACGATAATATGTCGATGATGCTCAATGTGCTGGATGTTGATGTGGGTATTGGAAATAAGGACATGAGACAGGTCCGTATTAGAATAAAAGAAAAACAGGAAGGCATAATACAGAAGGCTTCCCTTCTTACGTTGATTTCAGACATGTTCTTGGTAGAGACTGCACTTATGGCATCCAACCTGACATTATTTTCTAAGGATCTGTCTTTGCTAACCTCTTTGAATCATGTAGTGAACTTTGTGAACCTAGAGAAGGATATTTGTGATGGATACTTGTATTACGTTGTAAAATGTAAAGGAATAAGAAACTCAAAGGCCATTTGTGAAGGACAACTAATTCATGAGGACGGAACTTTGATATGTTTGACAGGACAGCAAGGAGTATTCAGAGTCAAGTCTTCTTACTCTAAGCAATGAAATGGACTTATTAACTAGTTGCCTGGTATTATCAATATTAAATGTTTTATCTGGATTTTAAACTTCCGGGTTTTTAACAAGGGATCCCCGGAACCATTATGGTTGTTATAACTATAGCAAAGTCAAACTCCGATGTTAACGAGAGGAAGGATGAAAAGTATTGGAACTACGAGCGTTATAGCATACCCACTGGGTGCATAGAAAAGTATCAAATATACCAACGGATGGGCCGTGGAAAGTACTCTGAGGTTTTTGAAGGACGTAAGGATAAGGAGAAGATTGTGATAAAAACACTTAAGCCTGTAAGGAAGGCAAAGATTTGCAGAGAAGTACTTATACTGAAAAGCCTTGAGCATAAGAATATCATAAAGCTCATGGATGTTGTTGTCGACTCAGAGTCCCAAATATATTCCCTGATCTTTGAATACATAGAGCACGAAGAGTATTCAAAAATATTTGAGGAGTTGAGCTATGAAGATATTATTGAGTACTCCAGACAGATTCTTTCTGCACTTGAATATTGCCATAGTATGGGGATAATTCATAGGGACATCAAGCCACAGAACATGGTGATCAACCAGGCTAGAAGAGAGATTAAGATAATTGACTGGGGACTTGCCGAGTTTTATCATCCAAAAAAGGAATATAGCGTGAGAGTTGCAAGCAGGTACTACAAGGGTCCTGAGTTGCTCGTAAACTATCCATACTACGACTATTCTCTTGATATCTGGTCGTTTGGATGTGTCTTGGCAGAGTTGATATTCAAAAAGAGGCCCTTCTTCCACGGAGAAAGTAACAGCGACCAGCTTGTCAAGATAGCCAGAGTTCTAGGATATACTGACCTAAGAAAGTACATCGAAAAGTACAGAATTCCCCCTCTTGGCCCAAAGCATGAGGGAGCTGGGGAAAGGGTGCTACTTTCCTCCTTTATACAACCTGGAAAGGCTGCTCTCTATGCTAATGTCATAGACCTATTGGAAAAAATACTAGTATATGACCATCAGAACAGACCTACTGCTAGTGAATGCTTAAAACATCAATTATTTAAACCGAGGCAGTAAGCTTCATGCACTACAAAGGCGTTGAAAAATTAAAATTCTAGGAAAGGCCATCTTCTTTTATTCCTTGATTCATTGACGAATATTATCATACCACAGTTAATTTATTTATCCATCTCTGTTGTAAAATCTACTCAAGGCTCCTCTTCTGACAGGCTCGGCCTCAAAGTATCTCGGAAACTCCTCTTTAGGCTTGTCTACTTTAGGTTCTTTATAGATACTCCCAACCTTAGACTCTATGGATATCAACTCGTAAGGTATCTTTTCCATTAGCATTTTAACCTCTTTCTCACGCCTCGCCTTCTTAGAAATAAATGGAGAGTCCTCATAGGAGTCATATACGGGGTCTCCGCATCCTGGAACGATGATGTTTGATATTCCATTTGCATGTCCGATGCACAGTATGTCCTCGTGGTTACAGAAGTCGACGCTCGATACAGGCGATCCTGTCTTATGCTTAATATATAACACCTCCCCAGAAGAGTTGATAAAGTCCTTCCATATGTGAACATTGTCACCATACGACAATGCCAACATGCTTTTCTGACTCAGAGAAGTTGCTGTTAATCCAGGCTTTGCCTTTAGAGTATTAAGCTGCGTATATGTGTTCCTTAGGTCCCATATATTGATTCTATTGTCCATGCCCACTGTAATCATGGATCTCCCATCCCTCTCAATCTCAATGCTTGAAATAGCACTTTTATGGCATAGTATCTTCATCAAATATTCTTCAGAGCTTGGCGACCATAGGCTGACAACACCCTTGTTGCTGCCAGTGTGTATAATGGCATTCATAGGATTTTGCTTTATGGAAGCAATCTCTTGGCTCTTCATTAAAATTTGGCTAACGATCTTTCCGGTCGATACATCCTGATACCTTAGGAAACCCTTGCGCGAAACACTTGCTAAAAGATAATGATATGGTAAGTACTCCATCTTGAACACATCTTTGTTATCTCTGACGCAGTGTATTTCTACTCCACACCCGTCATATATAAAAATATTGTTCTTCTGGGCCACTGCAATAAACCGCTCGTTATGGAGATATGTTGCATCATAAATCTTGTCATTAACGTCAATTTCAAAATGTAAATCCATAGACTTAGCATTGAATGACGCCAAGTACCCCCTATCATTCCGAAGAAGCATATGCATCCCATTCCTCGAATACTTGGCATATATCGGCCCATTATCTAGCTTTAGATCATATGCCTGCTCGCATGCTTTGATGCTAACATGCCTTCGTATCTTACTTTGCGTTAAGTCGTATGTCTTTTCATCAGGATCGGTTTCTATGTAACCACAAGACTCTGTTCTCAATATATCATAGCTTGCTACATCCTTGTGGGCTCTCTCCACTATCTTTCTCCTGCTCTTTATTTTTTCTTCTATTATCCTTTTTGACATTCTGGGCCTACAACGTCTTTGCTTTTACTGTATAGTGCCAGAAACACCTCTTTCCATAAACAGAAAGAAAGCAGCCACATGAAAGCGTCTATCTATACTCTATCTCTACACACTCTCCGTCCTTAAGTTCATATGCATCAATCTCAATGCTGTCCACTAGCTCTCTTTTCCCCCTCTTGAGGACAATCTGTTCCACGTCCTTTCCTATTGACTTACATACTTCCTCTTTCAACTCTCCAATGGTTCTACTCAGTCCTATGGTAATTACCACAGATACAGACATCCTGTCAATGCATTTCAGTTTTATAAGGCGCATAAAAGTCTTGTCCTAAGGGCAGGAAATTCTAATAGGTCGATAATACATGAAAATCAATTAGATAGCTTTATTCTCCTTTAGAGGGTATCAGATCCGCCTCTCCCTGGTCAATGATAGAGATACATCCCAGCCTATGCCCTCTCTCAGTAATGTTTCCTAGTTCCTCATTATTGGCGTTGTGGAAAATAATAGGGAGCCCTCCAGCTAAGACACTGTAGTACTCAAGTTGCTTCCTTTTTGTGGAAGGAAAATTCGATGAAATAACAAGGCACTTTGCCTTTTTCATGATAACCGACTTTATGGCTCGCTTAAACCCAATAATGCATTCCCCTGTCCTCATCGCCAGCAAAAGTGCAGATGTAACATTATCCCCTTTGTTACTTTTTCCACTCATCTCTATTCAGGGCAAATTTTTTTTCGGATTAAACTCCAACTATTCTTTCCAAGTAATTATGCCTAAGATATTATACCAAAACATCTAGTTAAATTTATTAAAGCTGGGCTTCTTAGTGTCTATGTTTCCATCATGCCTAACTTCCGACATTTCAGAGAGTTTCCTGGCCTTGTTTTTGTACTTAAGTCTTGGTATTCTGTCTTCTGCCTTTCTTTTCTTAACAAACTTGTTTTTCTTCATCTTGTCTGTTATAGTTCTTTTCTCATCTTCTGAAGAGCCCCCTTTCTCCTTGTAGCCTTCGTATCCATCACTCAGCGACAGTTTGGCTGCATCTGAAGCCTTGCGCTCCATGTAGCATATTTTCTCAAGAAGAATGCTTGTCTTGGCCAGCATCTCCTCAACAGGGCTCCCGGCTCTATCCTCCTCATCCATTTCCTTATATAAGACAAGATTCATAAGATACACAGATAGCAGATCGCTTTTTATATCAAGAATCTCATTCTGGGCGGAAGATCTAGCTCTGTTCAAATCATCGCTGACTGATTTAATATCATCCCCATAAAACTTCTGCTCCATGGGGATCAGAGAAAAAACTCTTTTGCTCGTCGCTGGCAATGAGGAAATATCTATGCTGTCGGGAACATCTCTAGTGCATGTCTTGTCTCCAGAAAAAGGCTACATAGTAAAGAGGGCATTTCCATCCAACACATTCATAGTAAAGAGAGGCACTAAATATATAAAGATCGACCATATACTAGAACTTGTTGAAAACCCAGTGGACCTCGAAAAAATTTACAGTTTTGTTCCTCCCAGCTCGATATGGAACCTGCTTCCTCCAGTAGATCTCAAAAACCATTTTTTCTTAGGCGATACCCAGGTAAGATTTGTGGAAAAAGAGTTAAAACTACTAAAACTAGATGGTGGGCATACAAGAATCAGCTACAAAGACATAGCAGATGTGGTTTGCTACATGAGCAGCATTAAGGAGTGTGACGACTTCCACCTCAGAATGGACATCTATCCACAGATAATTAAGGAGTGGGCCCTGGAAAACTTCTCAGGAGACTCAATAGAAATAGGGCTTTATTGCCTATTGGCATGCGACGAAGAGGGTGACATGGCCAGCTTCTTAAAACGATGGAGGGACTCATCCCTAGAGGAAACGAACGTTGAAGATCTCATCCATCGAATAAACACCACATTCATCATCCAGGAGAAAAAGATAAGGATACAACAGTATCTTAATAAACTGATTGGATAGATATTTACTTCATCATTTTTTGAAATGACTTTGTCTTAACTCATCAATCATCGGTTAAGAAAATAGATTTAAGCTTTAAAAACCCAAAATGCCTTCCACTCCCAATGATAAGAATAATCTCCGAAGTTAATTATTTGGAGCGTAGATTTCTGGCTTCCCTTTTCCTAACGCTATTCGTGAGCTACACCATGAGAAATAGAGCAAGAGCTCACAATTTGTTATCTGCGATGCTAATTTTATATGTAGCCTTTGATCACAAGCATACTGCATATATACTTGCGTCGATCGCCCTGAACATTCTCTTGCTTAAATTCACATCGATGACTGAATACGCATTCACCCTGGTAAATATCATTGTTCTCTACGTCTACAAGATTTTTGGAGGTTTCTTTGAAAAAAGAATTTCTGGGTCATTTGACATCTCTGGGGTCTTGATGCTAATGACCATAAAGATGTGCTATCTCGGGAAGGAATACGATAGGAGAACTAACACTATAAAGGATGCCTTGTCCTACATATTGTTCATACCTGGCCTTATGCTAGGCCCTGTTCCAACATTCAAGAAATTTATGGAAAATAAATATAGAAAGCCGAAGAAGCCTCCGTACGGAACTTTCCTGAAATCCTTCGGCTTTCTGATCCTCTTCCAGGCTTTGAGGATAAGCGTTCCAAGAAGCCATCTTTTAGAGGAAAATGTTTCGTTGCCTATGAGGTTGGTTTATATATATCTCTTTACAGTGGGAAACAGGATAAAATTCTATTTTGCATGGCACTTTTCCCATGGATGCTTCACCTTCCAAAACTTTCCAAACCTTTTAAACGCCGATTTTCTGAAGGTAGAGTTAGCAACGTGCGTCAAGGATTTAAGTACTTATTGGAATGTGTGCACTGGCATCTGGCTAAAGAACTGCTTCTTTGTCCCAATGAAGAGGAAGTCAATATTCTGGGCAAGCGTGGCAACATCTGCAGTTTCTGCACTATGGCATGGCATAAACCCATGCTACCTGATAATGTTCCTCTCTTTCTCAATCTCCATTCCAGTTGTAAAAGAGAACAACAGGTTGATCCAGTACTTCTGCCCATCTTTGTTCTGGATTCTATCCAGGGTCCAAATGCTTATTCTTACGACATACTTCACTACATCCTTTTTTCTTCTCAACATTTCAGACCTTATATACGTATGGAAAAGCGTGTATTTTGCTGGTCACATAGTTATTGCCCTTAGCTTACTTATCCAAGGTGCTACAAAGTATTTTTCTTTCCCAGCAGAGAAGAAAAGAATCGATTAGACCATTCCCGATTCCCATTTCATCAAAAATTATCAGATGGAACCGGCCCTCAGATGAGTGCAGATGCTTTTTCACTTAACAAGGGCAGATACAAGGTCATCGAGGTGCTGTGCATATCCAAGTCACTGCTTTCATTGAAGACAGAAATAGAAATTCCCAAGAGCATGCACAAAGCATTGGTTCAGAGCGAATCTGGATATAAAATTGTTTATTTCATCGATCCAATAGACTTTGGTGCAGGAAGCAGAATACTTCTTAAGGAAAAAGTGAATTCCCTGCTGCTCAGGAACATTGACTACGTAATAACATATAGAAAGAATTATAGAACAAACACTGCACTGGTCGAAAAATTGCTCCTCAAAAATACTGAAAATACGCGTTGGGTTAAGCCATGACTCCAAAAATGCTTAGTAAAGTGTCCTAAGGATTTTTAATCATTTTCTGCTTTTGGTTCCTCAATTCCCTCATAAATATCGGTGCCTGTCTCTTGTGGCTCCACCGAGTTGCTCTCATTTGGCTGCTGCTCATTTCTCATGTAGCTCTCTCTCTCCCTACTCTTGTACTCGTCCTTAGAAAGATAAGATCTTGTCTTGAGAACATGCCCATTAAATTCCACACCGTCAAGCTTCTTCATAACGTTGTCCTTATCCTCAATGTTCTTGAATTCAAGAACAGCATGGTTCCCGCTATATCCGAGTCTTGCATAAGAAGGCTCAAACCCATTATCATGTACAAAGTTTTTGAAGTCCTCGATTGTTGTGTTTGGTGCCACATTCTCAAAAACAACTTTCAGATGGTTGTTTGGGTGATCCCTTGATGCATGGACTCTCTTTCTCGGGTCGATCACTTCTCTTACACCATGGATAGGACACGAGTTACAGTACTCGCAGAAGTCTCTGCTCCTCTGAGGATCTCCTCGAAACCCATCGCCACGATAACTGGGTGACCTTCCTCCGTATCGGTCAGGAAACCTCGGGTCATATCTCCCTGGAGATCTGTCCTCATACCTCATCGGAGGATAGGGAGCATTTCGAAACCCTCTGTAATCCCGTGGAGAGTATCCACCTCTCCCCATATCCATGTATCTATCATGATACTCGCTATCAAGAGGTCTTTTTCGTCCGTTGGCTCTCTCTACAGATATCGGCGCACCATCAATCGCATGAGATCTCTGGTTCAGGACCCTTGTAATGCTACTCTCAGAGTCAAAATTAAGAAACCCATATGTTCCTTTCAAGCTCACATCTGTAACCTCTCCAAACTGCCCAAAGTATTCTTTGATTTGCTCTTCGCTCACGTGATTCGGGATCTTTCCTATGAATATTTGCATGGGGTCCACAAACTTAAAATATTTTATTCAAGCAGACAAAAATCTTCGTGCCCCATCCTCTGCTCATACACATTCAAACACAGGCTCTATACGTTCGCCCTTCTACCTAACGCTCTTCGGCCTCACTCGGTGTTGCAGGCCCTCTGGACACACTTTTTGCTTCAAATCTCAATAGAACACAGACAATTTACAAAGACCACCCCTGATAATGGCACATCTAAGTTACATCAAGATCTACAATACAGCTGGATTTATTGTTTGTATTGTGGCTCTTCTCACCAGCTTAATGTTCTACAAGACAATGAATACAAGGTATCTAAGAGTGGTTGGACTCTGCCAAACATTCTTTCTGATGGAATCTGCAAATATATCCGCAAAAAAAAGCAATGCAAGATATCTTCCCACCGTGATGCAGCTGGTATCTCGTATGTTTATTATATGGGTTGTTTTCTGGTATTATGGTGTTATAAATTGGACTTTCCCCGTTATAACCACGTGCTGGTACCTTTCAGACCTGGCAAGATACGTTTTCTACATGTTCAGAGTCGACACAGTTAGAATTGTTAGATACAACCTATTCCTACTGACCTCTCCAATAGGATTTGTCCTCGAAATGTACTGCCTGAAAATTTTACACGGCTCGCTGGGAAAAATACTTTCCTACTTTGTTGCATTGGCTGCACTACTATATATTCCAGGATTCACGTTCCTGTTTTCTCACATGCTAAAGCAGCGAAAGTGGTCTAGAAAAATCAAGGCGTGCAAGAAGAAGAGTATGTGAACCTTGCACATCCCAGAGTCTTCATAGTAATGAGGCAAGCAATAACAATCTACTCTATAAAATCCCTATATCAATGCAAGCGTTTTTTCTGGATATACTTCTCCTTCAAGAACATCCATGCAATCAATTTCTGGATAAACCATATTTCTCTTGATTACAGGAATGTACTTCTTGACTCTTACAGGTGTTCCTCTGTACAGCTCCAGATTTATAAACAAAACAACCTTGATGCTGAAATCGCTTCCAGAGACAGTGGATGGCGTTGTCGAAGGTATTCTTAGGGTTGCTCGAAGCACTCTACCATCAGAACGATGTTCTCCCTGCCCCCCTCCAATGTACTTTGTCCTCAGGATGTTTTTACTCTCTGTAGAGACACTAAGTATTTCATATATAAAGCACTCCATGCTCTTGATCCTGGGGCTTCTAGATGATATAGCTGCCTCTATATTTAGATAGTCTCCAGAATAATAAAACTGCTTGTTGACCTCAAAGTTAATGTTGTATCTTTTGCTCAAGAAACAAATCGGAGACACCACTTCAATAATTGTATGAAAATTTCTGGATTCGGTGATGGGATCCGCCACCTGTATTTCTTTTCTAGTGGTATATGCCGGGTTGTGAATCCCAAGTACATAGACTTCTGCGTGTAGGCAGTATGTGCTTTTTATGTGGCACAAAACATCAAAGTAAACTCCCCTTACCTCGGAAGATCCCTCGTCATTTTTTCTGAGCAAAAACCTGAACGGAAATCGATGGTGGCCACTAGATATTTCCCCCAAAGGGTCCTCGTTTGAATAAACCTCGAACTCATATTTATAACCATCGCATGTCTTTCCAAATTCTTCTCCATGTTCTTCTTTCCGGGCAATCTCCTGTACTTTCAGACTCACTTCCTTGGACAGAATCAGATTGATCTTGGTTATACAGAGAGGAAACCTCATCTTTATATCAATAGCACCTCTTACCTCAGATCCCCCCTCATATATCTCCTTATCAAGGTCTATCTCAACCTTTGTGTCCATTTGCATCATTTTTTGTTTCTCTTATATCCAGGCAATTATCCAATGCCGTTGCTCCCCTGGTAGACGGTGGCCAATTCCATGAGCGGATGCAACCAGGATAACGCGCTAACCAATGACACAAATTTTTGCATAGAGCCCTAGGTCTCTCTATGAGCTTCACGAAAAGAAAAAACTTAATAAGCTTTGGAATGATCGACGGCAAGGTAAGCCCACTGGATAAGGATACAATGAAGCATATTCTAGAAAGATATCCGTCCATACTGGCCAGTGTCTACAGAAGGACTAACCAAAAGAGCAAAGCCATCCAAGCTCTTCAGTGTAAAATACTTGGGCATGAAAAGGCCATTTACAGCCATGAGATACTATACAACTACATCTACTTTGAGGACTATGATGGGGCGCTTGAAAGAGCCAAGTACTTAGGTTTCAGGGATGAAGCAATAGAACGGGTTTTACTGCAAATATTCATCCATAAGAAAACACAGGTGGAAAATGTTTGCTGTGGAACAGACACTTATGACGAGATAAATGATCGTATATTCGAATACCTGTCCACATACTTCTCCATCGATGTCCTAGGCTACTTTATCAAGGCTCTCAAGGACTTTTGCAACAACAATAAAGAATGTAAGGACAAGTCGTGTGGGGACCAGAAAATTTCTCTGTTCAGGGCGCGGTGCACCAAAAGCTATCTAGGAAAACTTGGGACAGAATCCTTAAAGTATATATACCACGAATTGGGTGTAGCTGAGGCATTAAGGCTTATAGTTCATAGAAATCCAAAGATTAATGAATGCTACTTCAGAGAATTTGTAGAAAAATGCTTTCCAAACAATAAGGAAATCAAATCAATTCTAAAAAGAATCTACATCCCATGCTTGTTTGAACTGTTAGAGAAAAGGAACTCCTTAACCAAAGACATCAAGAAGGTCAAAGAGTATTATAATAAGGGCAGTGCAAGTGAAGAGGTGAAGCTTGAGTCTCGGTACTGCAAGAAGGCAAACATGGAAGAAGAGAGCACATACCTGAAGGTATGTGACACATCCAATAAAAAGAGATAGATTCCTGAAATTTATTTCATAGATACGTTGAGATGTCTTCTGGGGTTAAAAACCTGATTCCTTCCTTTGAAACGATTGCAACCTCCACGTTGTCCTTATTGATCCTATCCTTCATTACCTTTGACAAGGTATGAAGAGCCTTTCTTAACGATTGATCAAGCTCCCCATACTCTTCATATTCATTCTCAAGAATACCTTCGACGACCTCATGCCCAGAGCCTATGGCCCTAGCCTTGTAACTAACATATGATCCGGACGGGTCCAAGGAATAAAGCCTGGGCTCGGTGTCAAACCCTGCTATAATCAAGGAAACACCGAAAGGCCTTCGGAATATCATCTTGGCTTCATCCTCCTCCCCAAACCTCAAGCTTAGGCTGGATAGGTATTTTAAAAGTCTCTCTACACTGGCATTCTCCCCATACATATGCGTGTGCGAAATGCAGAAGTCTCTTGATCTCTTCACAATCGTTTTTGTGTCCCCGCTTATTCCCGAGAATCCAAGCACAATATGGTCGTATATCTTGTAATGCTTTACCACACTTTTAGGATTCTGCAAGGTGGACAATATCTTCTTTTCAGAGCAAAGTATCACAAACTCTTTGGTTTTTACTCCTATTGTTGTTGTTCCCAAGTTCATTGCCTTCATGGCATATTCAATCTGATGGATCCTTCCTTCAGAGCTATATGTGTTTACACTTTGTTTAAAATCCTCCATCTCTGGGGATTGCACATTTGCAGATTCATCTGTTTTATCGAGTACCTGGATTATTACAGCCTTGTTTGAAACGTTGGAGCACTTGCCAATAGCTTAGTCGATTTATTAGTTGCTCAGATACTCAATTCTAGACATTATGCTAGGATGGAGAGAGTTCAGGCTGTTGTATAGCCAGGATGGGGCCAAGAAATCAAGGGAGTCCACAGATATCTTGTACAGAGTGCCCGCAAGCGTTTTGTTATAGTTGTACCTCTTTGTTAAAAGATCTGCATACATTTCTGCACTTTGAGACGTGAGATTGTATAGCATAAATAGCCACGGCCTAACCGACGCGAAGTATAGGCAGATGAGCACTATAAACGATCCTTCCTTAGAGACATTACCCCACACAAACTCCTTGGCTATGTTATCGTACAGAACCACTAAAAACAATATTTCAAGACATAGAAGGAGGAAGAAAACCGATATCTTCTTGACCAGGCTTCTGTCGTAAGAATGGCCCACCTCGTGGATCAGTATCGACTCCAATTGGCCATCGTCCATATTCTCTATTTTTCCATATATCTCTATTCTTTCTGAATTTCCAATGCCTATGAGGGCTGCATTAACATTCTTTCCAGGCCTTTTTTCCCTGTATATTGAGTCAGAGAGCCCCCTATCACTCATAAGCCTCTGGATATTCTCAGAAAACACGTTTGGTGTCACCTTTTCCATCTTGGTGAGGTCCACATTTGATATGGATAAGATGTCAGATACCTCCATGATAAAGTAAGAGAGGTAACACGAAACTACGAAATTAGCTCCGAAAATCCTTAGGAGCTTTATGAAGATGAAGATGCATATGGGAATAACGAATAGGGCACCAAAGAAACACCACACAAGAATTATCTCCAGTGAGGGATTCTTATATATTGAGCAAACAACATATTCTGTAAACGCATTCAGAGATAGCATTGAGACTACAATAGTAAGGAAGACGATTTCTAAGTCAAAAAACCCCCCAAAGATTCTGTTAAGAATCTTCATACTAAAAAGCCTTCCAGCCTCTGTAAAAAACAAAATACTGGCCGAAAAATGCATTGTGTGCACCAGAATGTCGCCAAGTAGCTCTGCTCCCCTCTTTCCCAGTGCCTTTTTGATGTTGGCAGAATAGCTCTGGTCTCTCTTTGCCATTTCATTTGTTGCCAAGCCCTCTTCAAATCCCGTTTCTCCTGAATCCACACGGATCTTGGTGATAAGTACATTCAGGACCTCAATCGTCTGGGCCAGGTAGGTCAACACGAAAAATGTGTAAAACATTCCTTTGGAAAAGCACTTCATTTCTTTGTTTGTTGAGATTCTTTTAATATGTATCAAGAACATAAACAGCAGGTTTTATTTTCAGATTATTTCAGACAACTCGTCCTTAAGCCTACCTTTCTCAGATATCTTCCGAACGATGTCTAGGCCTCCTATAAACTTGTTTCCGATATACACCTGCGGGAATGTGGGCCAGTTGTTTATTTTCTTGAGCTCTCTTCTAACATCTTCATCTGATAAAACATCAAAGTACGCAATCTTATCTCTTTTCACACCCTCCTTGAGCAAGATATCCATAAGAGTCCTTGTAAACCCACATTTCGGATATTCCGGTGATCCTTTTATGAAGAGAACAACCTTACTGGGGTCAATCACATCTTGTATTTTCCTCAGAGCTTTTTTTCTTCTTTCCTCAATGTATTCCTGTATTTTCTTCTCAGGGTTTTCAAGAACAGGCGTGCCTTTGATCAGAAGGACAGGGAGCTTTGCTACTTCAAAATGTTTCATAAACTCTATCTTGAGCCTTTGGGACACCTCTAAATTCACTTCGGAATAGTCGATTTCCGTGTCCTTAAGGATAGCGTCCATTTTGTTGTTCTCATCTTCATATGCAACAACCACATCGTGCTTCTTAAGCTCCTCAAACAAGTCACTGCGTTCTACATCATTCATACTGGAAATGAAGGGATGGTTCGATAACTATTTCTATGGGCTATCCACATCTATCAATTCTTTCTCTAGTGGTTGGATGCAGCGAGGTTATTGCATTGAACAAAAACGTGGCGTCTACAGGCGAATTGTACTCGAGACACATGTCAAGCAATGCCTGCGAAAGCTCTTTTCCGTACCCATTTGCTCTAGCAACCTCATCTGCAAACAACTCCGAACGCTGTGCATATACGTTCGAAATTATGAGAACCAAAGGCCTCCCAAGTATCAAATACATAGCAAACATGGCCAGAACAAATGCCTCCGAGGACATATCTGAAAACCCAAAGGCTTTGCTTCCTTTCGTATAAATAGATATAAACACTAGTACCTCACAGGCCACTATTAAATGCGAAAGAATCTTTCTTTTTAGTATGATGTTGTCGATAGAATGCCCTATCTCATGGAACAAAACAGGGTATAGTTTCTTCGTGTCTTTGCTGAAATCCCCTTGTATCTCGATTCTTTTGAAACTACCAAATCCGACCTGGGAGGCATTTGTCTTCTTGGAGTCCTTGACTCTGTAGATTGATTCCTCCATTCCTTCAGATTTAATCATCTCTTGTAGCTTAGGAGGAAATATCTTAAGAGGAACTCTTTCCAGCCTAGCTTTATCCACTCTAGCACACCAAAAGGTATCCAGTAGATTGTCTGCCACAAGGACAATATAAAACATCACAATAAGCTTTCTTCCCAGAAGTTCAAAAAGCTTCATTGCAAGACACATCAAAAGAGGGAGCTCCACAAGAAAAAAGGCCAGGAGATTAAACGGTGAGTCTATGTATCTTATACTATATGCAGTCTTGGCTAGTGTAAACTTTATTCCAATGAGTTTTTCTAGCAAAGTAATCGTAGAGACTAGAAGTATTAATAGCGTTATCTCATGGTTAGGTATCTTCAAAAACTCCGATAGCTTGGTTACCTTCCTTCGAGCCTTACTACTAAAAATCAGTAGTACTGCAGATATATACACCGCAAGTCCCTTCACTTCCTTATACATGTTTTTAAGCCTACTGTCAGAAGCCCTCAGCTGCAGCTCAAAGAACGAATCTGTCTTAGCAACTATCTTTCCTGTGCAGGTGTCAGGTTCAAACCATAATTCTCCCTTCTTGAGATGCTCAGCGCACAGATACTGAAACCTTGTTTCCCAAGCCACTCCGGCAAACCTGATCATCGAGAACAAAAGAAAAGCTCCTCTTGTCTTCCTGCACATCACAGAAACAAACGTCCTCCGTAACTTAGGCACAGTGACACCAATTGAATCCATTTTGCATCCCCTATTCCTATATGTTTGAAGTAATTATCCTGATAGGTCCCGGAACAGAGTTGTTTCCAATAGTCAATGAGAAGTTTTCAAAGGCATGTCTTCCGATCATGAATAGGCCAATGATTCTTCACACAATGGGGTGTCTGAAGAGTATCTCAAGGAAATTCTTTGTGGTTGGGCTGAACGAGGAAAAAGAAGATCTTATGAATGCTATAAAGGAAGACATCAGAGTACCTATAGAGTATATAGGAATTGACACATATGATGGAACAGTGGCATCTCTTCTGAGTGTGTATCCGAGAATAGAATCTGAAGATGTAATTGTATGCAAGGGAGATATTGTGACCAACATGGACATCCAGGCAATGGCGTCGAATTACTTCAGTGCCAAGAAAATGTTTATGGTGATTCTGGGGAACACCAGATCGGAAACATCCATTCTAGGATACAAAGGTGATGATTTAATGTTTTACTCAAACAATTCCAGCGAAGAAATTCCTTTTTACTTATTGAAAAAAGGACTGACTCTTACAAAGGACTTTGATGTACTCCAATTCTATATGTTTAAGACCTCATTGTTCAAGGCATTTAAGCCAGACTGCTTTAGCTTTAAGTATGGGTTGCTTCCAGACATTGTGAGGAGCTTAGTTCTGACGAATCCAGTTGGAATTCACAGGCCCGCGAAGAGTTACATCTACCAGATAAGATCTATTAGTAACTACTTGTGTGTGAATGCTCTGCTGAAAAGGCACGGAGCTAGTACTGACAAGAAGTTGAAGACAAGCGAGTCGAATGCGAAGTTCATAAAGGATTATGTGAAAAAATACAATCTTAAGGACTTGAGCAATGTAGTTGGGGGTAGTACAAGAGCAGACAATGTACTTCTCCTCGACTCGATAGTCGGAAGCATGTGTGACATTGGTGAAGGGTCGAAAATAATATCATCAATTGTGATGGATAATGTTTCTATCGGAGACGGGTCGCACATCGAAGGGTCTGTGATTGGGATGGGTGCAAGTATTTTTGCTGGCAGTACGCTGGTCAACTGCAAGGTGTCTCCAGGATATGTATTCACCGAAGTGGTTGATGCTGACACTCGGTCTTTCAGCAAATAAAAAGATGATTTCTACCACTCTCAGCTTCTTGTCCCAAGTGCTGTGGTTGGGTATCTGTTAGTAGCAGCAGAGAAGAGTAGAGGCATGCAAAAAGTTACGGCACTCGGGATTCCCGAGTGGTCTCCCTCCTCAGTACTATCCGAGCTCGCACAGGCTTAACTTCGGAGATCTGACGAGTTCCGGTGCTTTTCCGTGGATATGGCCGTAACTGCCTACAAACTCAATCGCCATTATATTCGTTTCACATGTCGCCTTAGAAAGGCATTTTATTCATTCTTCTAAGCCCACTCTCCAGAATATAACTCGTCTCCAATTCTGTGGTACACTTCAATTCCAACTCCGTTGCCCCTACTCATCATCTCCTGCAAGCTCATAACAGCCTCTCCGATGGCTGCAATCGATTTCCCAATAATTCGAACAATAATGGTATCTCCTGCTCCAAACTCCTCTTTTATGAGATCTTTGTACTTAAGTATCCCTGGAATCATAATGTCGGCACCCCTACACAAAGGTCCAAGTGCTCCTTCATCGAGAAATACTTCATGGTATCTCGACCCATTCTCCTCAAGATATCTTATAGTAGGGAAGTATCTTTTGTTAAAGCAGAACAAAATTGCCATGCCTCTCAAAGATATCAGGGACGTCTTGTTCTTGCACTTATGAATCATATATGCCTCGCTTTTCTCCAATAGCTCGTAACCTAGGCTTTTATTTATATCCTTTTTGTCTTTCTTTCCTAGACAGCACGAGGAGCTTATCTCTACTTTGCTAAACAGGTTTTTCATGGGAACAGGGTAAGCTAAACTACCATCGGTTTTATCAGAAGCTTCAAAGCTTTATGCCATACAAATATCTTGTTAAGGAGGTTCTTACCAAAGAATGTTGTAAGAATCCATTGCACTATCTCAAGAAATCATTCCTTAAAATAAGACCCTGAACATGGAGGACAACAAACTCAAGTCCAACACATTTACAGACGAAGGCAGGCTCCCTCAGATCGAGTTCGCCATCAAGAATGTATCTAAGGCAGGAACCATAATAGGATACGTATGTGTGGACGGCATTGTCCTCATAGGAATAAATAAGGAGCCTACAAACGGGCCAATGGAAAAGATCTACCAACTGAGCGATAATATTTATTGCGCATTGTGTGGGCTATTTGGCGATGCAATGAGGATCAAGAGATACGCGCGGGTGAAGGCCCAGGAAGTTTTGGAGAAGTTTGGGGTGGAGTGCCCTCTCATAACACTGTGTAAAGCCATTGGGCAGAAAAAACAGGCTTTTACTCAATATGCAGGGACACGGCCTTTTGGGGTTTCCTTTCTATATGCTGGTGTTGTAAATGGGGAGTATGCCCTATTTTCCACAGATCCAAGCGGAACATTAAACAGGTGGAGGGGAATGTGCTATGGAGAAAACGAAGAGGCCATAAATGGAGGACTTAGAAACGACTTCCCCGATGAGGAGATGGAAATGAAGGCGGCAACCATCGAAATACTGAAGCTCCTTGGGAAGATTCGGGAGCTGGGGCCAAAGGAGGCAGACAGGATGGAAGTTTTGCACTTTTCCAAGGAGAACAAGAGGTTTCTTCCGCACGATGAGATTTTAAGGTTTCTTGAAGAAGTTCATGCCAAATAATAAAAAGGAAATGTTTCTTTTGACTGACCTTTCTAGGAGTGTCTTTATGCCTAAGGCTTTGTGAAATCCCGCCAAGAGGTTCCCGCCAAAAAGATAAAAATAATAAAGAAAGGTATGGTGAGTGGCGAAGAATGAAGAGCTACAAAGTATTCAAGAAGCCTTACATCCTCATTGAAGACACTAAGAACAAGTACCAGCCATTTTACAAGGAATACGCCAACTCAGATGCCCCGAAGCTTCACTTAGACAGCCCGACGCTATGCTGTCCATTCCAGGCAGCTAAGAAGTACAAACAATCAGGTAAGCGTAGGCACACTAGAGAAGGTTTTTGTGAGGTTTGCTATGTCAGGTTCAGTAACTACGAAGAGCATATCAAGGAGTTCGAACACAGGGAGTTTGCCAGGGACAACTCCAACTACAAGAAGCTTGACGTATTCATATCAACCTCTGCATTTGAAAACACAGGCCCGTCAGAGGAGTATGTTCCGCAGTCGCCAACCTTCAAGCTAACCCCGGCTTCCAGTGAAAGGAAATACAATGGCACCTGCCTGAACGATAACGAAAAGTGCAGCCAAACGCTCCATTTTTCCCTTGTCAGTACAGAAGGTTGTTTGGGACAGGATGCCATGCTGTTTGATCATTTTATTGCCGAGATATTTGATAAATAATTTCTGCCTAATGATCTATTCTTTCCAACCCAAATGATTTTACTTCAAAAGGTCGACAGCCCATGAGAGAGCTGAAGTTCCATGAAAAGAAGCTTCTGAAACAAGTTAACTTTCTTGAGTGGAAAAACACAAATACGGCACGAGAGCACTTGGCCATAGTAAAGTACGGCCTAAGAGATAGAGAGGAGTATGTCAAGTACAACCGGATAGTAGGAAAGATACGCAAGCTTGCAGAGGCATTAGCCAGACTCAAGGAGAACGATCCGATTAGAAACAGCATGACCAAGAAGCTTGTCAACAAGTTATACAATATCGGGATAATTGCAAACAGAAAGCTTGTGGATTGTACCAAAGTAACTGTCTCCTCATTCTGCGAAAGGCGGCTTCCAATGGTTATGAAGAGAATTAGAATGGTCCCCAACTTCAAAGATGCCATAAGGTTTGTTGAGCATGGCCATGTTCGGCTTGGGTCAAAAGTCATCTATGATCCTTCGACAATCATAAGCAAAGCTATGGAGGACTTTGTCTCGTGGGTTGATGAATCCAAGATCAAGAAGAAGATCGACGAGTTCAATGGAGAGAATGACGATTTCAATTATGCCTGAGCACATGGCGTAGAGATCAGTGTGCTGCACAACAATAAACGACTCAACAACTATAGAAAGAACAATGGCTTTAATTCCCTTTCTCTTGAGAAACCCTACAATGCCAGACGAAGATTTTGGTAATGCTAGGGATTACGAAAAGTACTTGGAACAAGAGGTTGTCGTTATGCTACGGGATGGAAGGTATCTGTACGGCATAATGAAATCCTTCGATCAATTCAATAGCATAACACTGGACGGTGTCATAGAAAGGATATTCCATGATGGAAAGTATGCAGAAAGAAAGCACGAGCTATTTATAATAAGAGGAGAAAACATCACAATGATAGGCTTGGGATCCTCAAAAATAGGAAAAGAGCTGTCGGAGGTGGACTTCCTGGCCCTCAGGGACGAGATTCTAAGCTCTCAGCCACAGCTCAGCTGATGCGCTTTCACCAATACATGAATCATGCAATAAAACATTGTGACATTCCGCAATCCCTTATGTTCTCCTCAGGCTTATCCCAAGAAACACCTTTATGTCTCTCTTCTTCTCTCCCTTGTTTTTATAGTAGATGTTGTACTCTCTGTTCTCCGTTCTCATCGTCCCGTTCTTTGATATCATTATTTTTGTGTCGCTATTCTCTATGTATCCCTTAATGTCATCATCATCTTCCTTCTCCCAGAATATCACAGAATCAGTCTTTCCGACCACCGGGCAATAGAACTTCATGTTTCTTGATAGCCCTATGCTGCAGTCAACCAGGACCTCGCTAGAAAACTGCTCGGGAAGAGAAAGGATTTTGTAATGGATGTTTCGGTTTCTATTGAATTTTGGCACGAGAATAATGGCAAATGTCTCCTTCTCCTTTGCAACAGGAAAAACTATTCTTGTCTTCCTCGATGTGATTATCTTGTATACATCATACACAGGATCTCCAGAAAGCCCGTACACGGTAAACGAATAATCGTCAGGAATATCGGTATAGAACTCAATGTATATCGCACCCCTTCTTGCCTCCACCTCTTTTCTAAACTCCTTTTTCACTAGGGATGTAGAATATGGATGCTTGGATGCAATCATTAAATATTCGTCCTGCCTTATTCTTAGCTGAAAGGCCTCCACAAAGTAGTTTGGAAACCTAAGATTCATCGACTTGCTGTAGTAAAGAACCACTTTTGATTTATATCCATATGTGTTTTCCTCCATATCCATTACTTTATATACCACAACCTCCTTCTCCTTTCCAAACCTTATGTCAATAATCGTGTCCGTCTCAAAATAAGAATGAATGATGAAATCTTCTTCTATCTCTGTAGCAGTGTCTAAGCACATACCTCCTTGCGGAACAGACGTGCTGGTGCCCTGCTGCCTGCTTTCAATGACAATGCTACGAATGTTATCTGCCTCACTAATAACTGTGTATATCCCACAGTTCTCAGAAAACAACTTAGTTCGGACTTCGTCCTGCGACAAAACCCTAAATATAGACCCCAAAGTTGCCTTCGAACACATCTTCTTCGAGTTATACTTCTCATCAGAGAAGAATCTCTTTACTTCCTCAAATATCTCAACCAACTCCGTCTTCATGTCCCCATTCTTTTCAACAGAAATAGAGTCTGTGGATTCCTCTCTAACTTGATACAATGGCTTTTTAAGGTAGCTGAACATCATTTTTTTCGAAAATCGGATTAACCTGTATAGAGATGTAGATCCAAGAGCCGTAAATGGCTTGGAATCAAACTTCCGCATCAGCTTCCATATCCTTCTTCTGCTCATTGCAAAATCCTTCGTCTCTACATATTGGTAGATGTACAGAATCTCTCCAATTATTTTAAACACAATAAATTCCGGGCTCTTCGGGTCATTCCTCTGGAAAATCAGCCCATTCTTCACAACCACTCTTACAAATTCATACTTTGTATTCTCGAACTCAAGCTCAACCAAAGACGAGTTCGGCGTAAGAATGGTCTTCACCCTTAGCTCTTGAAATCTCGAAATCACATCCGAAAAGGCCGTCCAGTTGTACAGCTGGCTCATAACCTTGCTTTCTTGCAGAGTTAATCCCTTGAAAAGCCTATTTTTTCCTACAAAATGTGCAGTCTTAAGCGATGTCTTGGGAATAGGAAAGTGCGTGCAGAGTATCCTCTCTCTTCCATTGATAAAATTCCCGGCCTTTCTGTGAACTATCTCTCCATCCACATCCACAATCTTGTAGTCCATCGAAGAGTAAAGAAGAATGCTCTCTATTATTTGTGGGAGTTGTATTCTATGATTTTCTAATGTTACTCTCTCGATCTTGTGTGCCACATCCTTGATTGAGGGAACAACAAATGGAAGATACTGCCCGCTCCATGCTGGATAGACCATAGTTCTTGATACTAGGTGCCTTATGTATCTCTCTATGAAGTTCGAGATCGACTTCCTAAAGTAAAGCTTTCCTATCTCGCCAGATATCCCTGACTCTACAGATATAGCAAGGTCAGGTTTCGATAGAAAACAGTACTCATACCTTGTATCGTAGTCTTTCGACGGGATTCTAACAAGAACATCTCCCTTCATTCCATTAATGAATACGGTAGTCCTGAGAACCATTCCCTTGGGAAGTTCCAGGCTCAGGGAAATCTGCGCTCCTCCACCATAATTGACTCCTAAAAGGACTTGTAGCCTCTCAAAAATCTTCTGTGAAAACATTATTCTACTTACTTCTCTGTCCTGCAAGGTAAAAGGGAACTCGGTCGAATTCACAGACATTTCCGGAACACATCTCTCGCCTTCATTTGTGTTTCTTACCTCAGTCTTAATGCTTTCGGCTTCTTCATGTCTGCCGTCTTCGTCTGAATCGCTTTGGCCACACACCTCTCTAAGTATTCCGTGTTCAAGCCCCAGTCTTTTTCTGATTTCATCTTCAAGGTCCAATAGTTTTTCTTCTTCACCTTCAGCACATTTTTGGTCTTTTTCAGATATGGCCCTGCATATGTCGTCGTCAGACACAACCTGGATGCTTTCTACATATGGCGCTTCCTTGCCCAAGACCACATCAACAACATCAATACTTTTGAAGTATTTACTTATTCCAGACACTTCAAACCTCTTCAGTATCATCGATTTGATCCTGGCCTCAATTGCATATGATCGGGAAATCTCAAAGTAAAGCCTCTGAAGAACGGCATTGACCCAATGAGTATCTCTACATCGGTGCATGCTCCTAATCACAGTCCTCATCTGTTCATCACTAATTTCAATTCCTTTGCTCTTATTACTTATTCTTAGCATCTTTTTCCTATTAACTTCAACAACAGCTCGAGGAGACAGACAGTAAATCATTGGAAAAGATAAGAGTCCTATTACAAACCCAACTACAAATCCAATCATTCAGGGGCGTTCTTTCTCTTTTCTATACTTTTCGTAAGGCTCAAGCCTTAAAGATATGAGCTACCCATAAACAATTAGTCTATGGGAGTAAGAATCATAACCTATAGCTCTTCAATAAGTTTACCTCCAACAATCTTTATTAGAAACACTCTGTTTCGGAACACACAAATGAAGCTTTCATATACCCATGTTCACTTTATAGACGCCCCAGAAGCCATTGCCGTCTGTGACATACTAGTAGTGGATGGAAACAGTGTTTCCGTAGACACCCTGGATGAATTGAAAAAAGTGCATCCAAAAACAATTCTGTGGTGCAAGGACATTGTAAACGATGCAACGTGGTTTCTAGAGAAGTTTGGCGAGGCTGTAGACAGAAGCTATGTTGTAGTAATCAATGACGGTGTGAATGTTGAGGAAAGGGATGCCGAAGACTATCCACTGCAAAAACTGCCCTTAGATCCAAGGCTAGAGTCTGAAGAAGATCTTGTAGGAGTCTATTTAGATCGTAAGTTTAGTAATTTGGAAAAAAGAAAACCTGTAGAAAGCATATTTAGTAGGCTTCATCTATCAAGAAATCAATGAATTCAATTAAAGTCCGTATTATAGGTATTTTGAGAATGTAAAAGAAACATCAGTGCTTGAGTCTTCCTTGCTATTTTTTATCTTACCGCTCAGGCGTTCCTTTTCTAATAGATCTTCTACGGTAAAGCCCTTCTTGGCCCTTGGCTCGTTTTCTTCGTTGTTATCTTCAGAGTAGCTTCTCTTCTTCAGTTCTTCATCTGTATGGTTAATGTTTGCCTTCTTTTTGCCAGTGGCATCCTGGTATGCCCTACTTTCCACTTGCTCCTCACCATAACAACGATCTTCTTCACAGCTGATTCTCTTCATAGCCTTGATTACATCCTCATCTACAATCGAAGAATAGTCTATCGAATTTATAATCTTTTCAATATTTTTTCTAATCATGCCAATAAAGGCATTGCTGTCTCCTCGAACATACTCTTCAAGGCTTTCAGAAAAGCAAAGCCGGCTCAAAACTCCAAACTCAACGTTTCCAAGTATCCTTCTTAGTATACGTGTTATTTCAATCTTTTCTTCAGTCGGCCGGACTTCAATTCCTTCCCTCCTTCCAATTCTCCTAGATATAGACAGCATGTCATTTGGATTGGCTACTAGTCCTTTGAACTCCATGCCAAGTTTATGTCTATCAAAGGTGCCGTTTCCATGAAGCTCAATCTTCAGTCTGATAATTGGAATGTAATTCTTTTCTTCGTATAGGTAATCATTAGACACAGAAGTCACTTGATTCGTATCATCAGCGATATCCCATTTACATTTAAATCTTTTTGTATCGACATCCACAAATGTGGCTTTTTCACAAGAGAAGGCCTCTTTCTTTTTTCCTGCGTCTATCATCTTCTTGACTTTGTCTCTAGCCAATTCTTCGGCATTACATTTACCCTCAATTCTCAGCACATCCAGCACGAATGGCCTTACGCTTCTTAGTCTGACATGCTCTAAGATGCATTCTTCTCCAATCCTTAAAATATATATGTACTTGTTATATCTTTCGCCTTCGCACAGAGATGTCCTAACCGTGGAGCCCGGCTGAAGTATCAACCGTCCCTCATTTATCACCTTACTTTCATGTTCATGCCCGTATATCACAAGATCAAAGAAGTCGTCTATAAAGTCCAACGAAACATGCTCCTTCTCCCTAGGAACTCTGTTCTGATGGAGAACAAGGATGTTATACCACGAATCATAATCCTTTGGCTTATGAAACACAACTCTTCCCTCACAGAACATTCTGTAGAGTCTTCTGTCCTTAATATGCCCCATCCCATAGATTGCAACCCTGTATTCTTTTTGCAGTAGCAGAGGAAAGACATCTATTCTATCCATCAGGCTGTGCTTCCCTATGTAGTTCACAAGCCCGCTACTGTGAAGAATGTCAAGCGGAGAAACCATATTTACCCCGCTTGGATCATCATGGTTTCCATGAATGGCCACCACAGGAACAGAAATGGTGATATTTTGGTCATGGAGATTCAGGTTCCAGTTCGACTTAAGACAGGACCTGCCATTTCCCACACAATATCTTCTAAGCAGTCCTATGGTCTTATTCAGGCAGTTTCTAGATGGTCTATTCTCATGGAATAAGTCTCCTCCCTGCAGTATTAGGTCGACCCTTTCCCTTTGCGCCACATTCAATATCTCCTCGAAAGTGTTGTAGCTATCATCAAACAGGACAGGGTCAGACTCTTTGTATCCCAAGTGATTGTCGGATGTTATTAGAATTTTCATTTTTGGGTGAATAAAGAGGCCGAAAATTTTATTACTTGTAGCCTGGTGCAGGACTTTCAATAGAAACATGCACTATATCTCCTCGCCGTCTTTAGCCTGTTCCTCATTCTCTTTATCTTTACTGGTATCGTCCATGAGCTTCTTAACAATGCTTCTCATTATGTTCTTGTCATATTCAAAATACATTCCTTGGAGGGGGGCTGACCTTCAAGCTCTGCCATTATTCGTCGCATATCAGTCTAATATGATGTCTTCTTTCACATTCATAAATTCAGGCACAGTCTTTCCCTTCCTTTCAATCAACCTTTTGAGCTTAGGAAGTAGTCCCCTATCCTCTTGGCATACCATCGATAGGGAGATCCCCTTCTTTTGTCTTCCTGCCCTACCACACCGATGAACGTAGGCTTCAACAGTCTTGGGGAGATCATAATTTATCACCAAGTCAACGTTCTTTATGTCTATCCCCCTTCCGCCAAGATCAGTAGTTATCAAAACAGCCCTTTCTCCCTCCAATGATTCAACAGCCGCTTTTCTCTCTTCCGTTGTCTTTTTCGAATGAAGCACAAGAGACCCACCAAACCTTTTGTGGAGGCTTTCACACATCTTGATTGTATTGCAGAACACCACAACCTTCTTTATTTCTACGTGTTCTTCTCCAACACCCATATTCCTCATGAACCAATCTTTGCAAGAACTCAAAACTTCGTCGAGAACCCTCTGCTTCTCATTCCTCTCTGTATACAAGAAAAACTCTTCTACATCTCCGCTGACAGAGACGTCTCCAACCGAAATCTTTGTTACGCCATCCCATTCGAAAGATGTTGCAGAGAAAAGGCTAACAACTTCTGCTCTGGCTTCTTCCAGTATGAATGCTAAATCGCCCCCGAAGTCGTCCTGCATCAATCTATCGGCCTCATCAATAACAACATATTCGAATCCTCCAATACTCTTTAATTTCATAAGCTCCTTTAGCCTTCCAGGTGTGGAAACAACTATGTTGAATGGCTCTGAAATCTGAAGACGTTGCAAGTCTATACTCACCTCTCCAGTTATTTCTACAACCCTGAGCCCATCTTCAGAGAACTTTCTGAACACTTGGCTCACCTGCGAAACTAGCTCCCTTGTAGGGACGACAACCAACAGTCTTTTATCTTCGCTTTCTAGAATATGGACATATGGAAGAACATAGGAGAGTGTCTTTCCGCTTCCAGTCTTTGAAACGACGCTGATGCTCTCCTTTGCCAATATGTATGGAATTACGGCTTTTTGAACATCTGTAGGACATGAAGGCAACAAACCTCTATTTTGCAGGAAAGGCCATTCCCACAGGCATTCTTTTCTATCGCTCGAAGTGGGCTCGGGAGGATGTAGCACATTTTGGACGATGCTTCGACAAGGCCCTGGCTTCTCTCTACTTGCTTTCTCAAGAATCCTATTCCTTAAGCCTCTTAATGTTGCAGGGTCCCTCATTGGGGTTGGCGCAGAAGATCAATTAGATAGACTTTAATCATCTTGACACATGAAGCTTCTTAAACAGCTCCGATACTTTCTTGTCTTCAGCAGGATATGATATGTAGTCCTTTGCTACATCAAACAACACAGGTATGAATGGAATCTTTATGGTGGGCTCCTTGGGCCTAAGAGACTTCTCCAAATACTTAACCACTGCATTTCTGGAGCACTTTCTCGGAATGTAAGACAGATCTTCCCTTGTTCTCAATATCTGTGAATCAACCATTTTGAATGTCGAGGGAACCCTAAATGCATCTATGGAGTCATCCCACTTCAAATAATTCATGAACTCCATAACGTTGGAGTAATATACTCTAAGCTGCTCTGTGTCGTTTATTATTTGCTCAGTATAGCTAGATTCAATCAAGTTTTCATTCAGAATGGTCTTTAATCCATAGAGAGCCTTTAGAAGTTCTTCCACTTTCTTGTTAATGCATACGATCTTGGCGGGCTTGGCTTCAATGAGAGATACCAATCTTTTCTTTTTATTCTCCACCTTCAATATGGCCTTTGAAATGTCTGAATCGTACCCGTCATCTTGAGGCGCCTTTCCCTCCAGAAATTGGTCCTTTTCAAAACTACTGCTGAATCCGATTGGAATGTCGTTCCACATATGCCTAACCTTCAGAGATGAAACATCAAAGTTGTATGGAGGTGACTCGAGCAGTGCATCAATTTGATTTACAAACGTCTTGTATGGCAGAAGCTTTTTCCTAAGCTCAAGAAGTGTACCAACCTCAACGCCCTTTCCCATAATGCCCTTCATGAGGTTGCTATACATAGTGCTAAACTCAGACCCGTCCTTTTTAAGTATCCTCAGGTTGCTCTTCAAAAACCTTGCAGAATTGATTATCATGAACTTAGATAGGTTTGACTCAAGCTTATACACCTCCCTTCCTTTGCATTCGGCACCCAGATTTCTCATTTGAATCTTAAGATAGTTCTTATAGCCTGCATAGTCCCCAGAGGAAAACCTGTTTTTACATCTCATGGCTTCAATCGCCTCAAAGGTTTCCATGGGAGAGTTTTTTTTTCTATTTTTATCCAAAGATAGAAAGGCGGTGCCATATAGAGCAAAGTAGAAAGCTGGCAAAGCCTAAGGATCATTTATTTCTTATACTCGATATTCTTCGGTTCAGCATCTCAATGAGAATTGTTATTTCATCTGGGCTGAAATTCCTGCATATGAAGCTAAAGACAGACCCAACAGATTTGTCTTCTGTGTAGATGAATGAATTTATGTACGTAGACGTGAAAATTGCAATTATTACCTGGCAGTCCATCCTATCCGCTATCCCCCCATGGCCAGAAATAGACTCTCCAAAGTCCTTTTTCTTGTAGGCCCTCTTCAATGCACTTGCAAGAAAGCCACTGAAAGGAGCCACAAAAGACGCTACAAGAATAAATGGAATGATGTGGAAATATATGGCCGGCACCTTAAAAACAGTGTTAAAAGCCTTTAACTTCATTGGCTTACGGAATTGGAGAGGCTCACCATCTCTAAGGAATCCTTGGTTCACATGTAAGTATCCCAATATAAATCCTACAATTGCTGTGAAGATAAATGCTCCTATAAATCCCTCGAGCGTCTTCTTTGGGCTTAGGTGGTACAAAGGTCTCTTTCCTATGCTTTTTCCCACAACATATGCCGAGATGTCGTTCGATATCACAAGCAGAGCAGGAAACACAAACCAGAATCTTCCCTTGTTGAGATTGAAAATAGCACATTTAGCCACCATTGCCATAGAGTATGTAGATAAGTTAACTAGGGCGAATAGTCCCAGCTGTGACCTGAGCTTCCCCTTTCTAAGAGAGCCAACGAAAGACATAAATGCAACCACATAGGTGTAGAAACACATGAAGGATAGTCTTCGGAAGAAACACCTTAAAATCTCAGAAAAATACATCATCATTATCGAGGGAAAAACCAGATACAGGTATATCGGCACGGAAAACCCAAGAATGATTGAAATTCTTAGGTGAAAGGACCTTCCATCAGACTTTCTTGTGATTCCTATCATCTCTTTTATGATTGATATAGTCAGGAAGATCACCAGGACAAAAGAATATATCTTATTGTTTACACAAATCCAGAAGAAACCTGAAATCATAACTATCGACAGAACCAATCTTTTGAAGAAATTCGTTTTGGTTATGCCCTCCATCTTGCCTTGCACTGTTTCCTGATGGATTGGCCCGTTCTGTATGCGCTCCTCCTTTCTTCTAAGAGTTTTTGAACATTCACATGTATTTAGATTCTCCTTAGAGCCTTTCTTTTCTCCAACCATATTGGATTGAGGACATAAAGGGTTTAATTTGTTTATTTTGCCTTTGATAGTTTTGAGGAAATGCCATTCTTGGGGCATAGCAGAGTTGTACCCACAATGGATTTGTGTGCCCATTTCGAAGCACTAAGAAACGTTGAAAAGATACATAAAATGATTATCTCGAAGTTGGACTACCTCAGGAAAAGGGGTGTAAGACCTAGATGTCAAGAATGTAAGGCTGCGGCCAACCTGCGGCTGTGCATGCAGTGCTACTGCTTCCTGTGCGACATGGACGAAAAGCTACATCAGCATAGCATGTTTCTTGACCTGTTCTATACCTCTATATCTTGTATTTTATGTGCCAAGAGATATCTTCCAAGTACTATTACAGCTAGAGCAGGCGGTACAGTTTTGGTCAAAATCCCAGGGTCGCTGTACGAGATTCTTCCACATGTACCTATCAAAGGATTTTCCAACCTTGGGAATACATGCTACATCAATGCGGTCCTTAGCATAATGATCAACTCAATTCTAATAAGAAGCGAATTCTTGCTAGATACTCACAAAAGGTGCAGTGAAAATAGGTGCATCGTGTGTGCCATGAGGTTTTTGATCGATTCTTCCTATAGATCCGGATGCATTCTTACACACCGATTTATACATACGTTCTGGTCACTAGCACCTCATCTTTCAGGGCCTGGGCAGCAAGACGCGCACGAATTCTTTATGTGCCTGCTTCAAAAGATCCATGAAGTATATAGTACAAATGTTGCAGATGACCTTGAATGCAAATGCTTGTCACATCGAATGTTCTTCGGAGTATTTACCTCGAAGACAATTTGCAAGATGTGCAACCTCGAAAGAGAAAAAGAAGAGTTGTTTGCAACGATTTCGCTGGAGTGCCTTTCCTCCATTCAATCATCGCTGAATACCTTTTTTGAGCCTGAAGACTTGAGGTGCGGAATGGCCTGTGAAGCATGCAGGGAAAAAGTGTCGTGCACCAGGAGATTGGAAGTCAAAAGATGCCCAAATATTCTATCTCTCCATTTGAAAAGATTTTCTTATGATAAGGCGTCCAGAAAAGTGGACTCTTATGTAGCCTTATCAAACACGTTAATAGTAGGCAAAGGCGTCTATGATATCCTAGGATTTGTAAGCCATTATGGTTCTATTGACCATGGACATTATTTTTCGCATGTCATCCTTGGAGATAAGTGGTATAAGATTGATGACGAGAAAATAGACTTTGTTCCGTATCCAGAACTCTCTACAGATGGCCTATATATAGCTTACTATCTCAAGAGAGGAAAATAGGCCTTTTAAGATTATATTTAATATCCAAAAGCCTCACCTCCCTTCCTTGGGTCTGATACAGCATGAATGATTCTATTTCCTCCAACCTTCTTGAGAAGGATACCCTGTACAGAGGTGAAGATAGTGTTTTGAAGCGATTTTTCTATTTTGTGTCCAGCACCGGTGAGATACCTTTCAAGGTCCTTCAATATGTTATATTCCACAAATGTTGTGTTTGGAGATAGGTGGTTATGTATTCTTGTTTCCATTATTGCATCTCTGAGGCTTTCGCCTGTCTCTAGGTGGAATATCGTAGAGATGACAGACGTAGGAATTCTTATCCCCCCTGCAGCACCTAGAGCAAGGATTTCATCCTCCTTAAGTAGGAGAATGGGAGATATTGAAGAGAACGATCTTTTTCCGCCCTCTACCCCATTTGGATGCTTTTCATGGGTATATTTTGTGTATGGAATGTAGAAGTCATCTATCGTGTCATTGAATACTATTCCTGTTTCAGGATCCATGAACTTCGCTCCAAACTCAAGGTTAACTGAGCTTGTGATCAGCACCGCCATATTGTCTTTGTCTATAACATTGATATGTGTTGTCCCATGATCTTCAATTCCTGCCGTCTTCATTCCATACTCTTTTATGTCCAGAACCTTTCCCAGATTTATCTTTCTATAGGCCTCTTCTGCACTTTTCTTGGAGACTATTTCTCTGACTATCTCTTCCCATCTCGGAAGAAATGCTGGGTCCCCTAGTTCCCCTCTTCTTGCCATAGCAAACTTGAGGACCTCAATAAGTAGATGTATGTGGTTGAAGCTCCGATTTCTTAAGCTATCTGCCTTTAACTTCTTTAGGTCATACCTCTCAAGTATATTCAAAGCTCTCAGTACCAATGGCCCACTTGTTGGAAGGTTTGTGGTATACACTTTGTAGTCCCGGTACTTTCCCTCCACTACATTTCTGTGCATTACTTTGTATTCCTCGAGATCTCTCTTGTCTATTAGCCCTCCATTTTTCCTTACAGCCTTGACAATCAAGTCTGCAAGGCTACCAGTGTAGAAGCTCTCGGGCCGCTTCATTATGATTTCTAATGTCTTGGCATAGTTTTCTCTTACAACGGTGTCTCCCTCCCTGAGAAGTACTCCATTTCTTGTGTAGATCTCTCTCAGCCCTGGATCGCTTAGTATGTAATCCCTGAGTTTATTGATTTTCTTTACAAGCTGGCTACTGGCAGAAAATCCCCTAGCAATCACTATGTTCTCTTGAAATAACTCTCGCCATGGAAGCTTTCCATACTTCTTATGTGCTTCATATAGCCCGAGAATTTCTCCAGGAATACCCACCTTCAACCCTTTCGGGCTTTCCCCTGCCATCACATTGAGATCACTAGCCGAGAGACTCCTCGGTGCTGTTTCCCTGAAATCTATCATGTCAAGCACTCCTTTTGCGCCTGGGCCCTTGATAAGCATAAATCCTCCGCCTCCAATTCCGGACGAGAACGAATTTATTATTCCGATACATATAGTCGATGCAATTGCAGCATCCATCGCATTTCCTCCCTCCATAAGCTTCTTAACTCCGAGTCTTGAGCATAACGGAACCTCAGTAGTACAGGCACCATTGGAATATACTTTGAAAGCTTCGAGGTTGGGGTTGTGAGCAAAGCTTCCCTCGGCAACTAGGACTAACAGGAGCCCAAATAGCGAGATCAGTAACTTCAGCCGGCCCTCCATTGTTTATCGGAGAGTCATGCATCGATTTATCAAAATAATCTGAAACAGGGAGAAGTTCATCTGAGACGGCGAATGCACTTAAATCCCAGAAACATATTTTTATTACACGAGAACCTCTTAGGGCTGAATGCCAAGAGTTCCATCCAATCCACCAAAAGAGTTTGAGAAAGTAAAGTCCTTTCTAGAAAGGATTGAGACGGAAATGCGAAAGGCTGAGAATGCACCTCTTTCCCCCAATCCTCCAGAGAACTACTGGCCCATATTCCAACTCCACCACCAGAGGTCTAGATACATATATAATCTTAGGAAGAAAGGTGAAATCAGTAATGAGTTATATAGATATCTTTCCCTCAATCGGTTTGTAGACCATGAATTGGTCTGTTACTGGGAGAAGGAAGGATATGAGAGTTTATGCTGCCTCAGGTGCGTGCAGCCAGTTGACAGTAAACATGGAAATGTATGCATATGCCGGGTGCCTCAGAGAAACATCGATGTTAAAAAAGCCATAAAATGCGATAACTGTGGATGTAGAGGGTGCTCTGGATACTGACCAGGCAAGACTTGGAAGTAGAGGTGATAAAATAAAACACTGTTTCACAAGCCAGATAACACCTTTCCTCTTTCCTTTACAAGACAAATAAAGAAACCGGATGCTTGTGAACAGGACTCTGGAGTACAAGAAGCTTACAAAGAGGAAAGACATTAAGTTTAGCCCGCTCTCCACATCGGGCCTTAGAGAATCCCTAGATGAGGTGAGGCAAAGTATTTCGAAGTTGAGTATTATCCAAGAAAAGCATTGCATGCCGTCATTTTCTCCAAGAAAGAAGAAAAAGGATGAGATTGACGAGGTGAAGAGGCACATAGCAGACCGGATTCATTGCGCAGAAAGGAGCATTGAGGAAATCACGAAGATCTCCAGCTCAAAGGTTCTTATGGGCTGCATGCATGACTATTTTGTTGGACAGCTGAAAGCAATAATCCATGATTACAGAAGCCTACAGCAGAAGTTCCTGAAGGATATAGATTTGTGTGAGGAGATAGACCATGAAGATGAGAACAATGATGGGGGAAGTATGCTGCTTCTTGAAAATGTGAAGGACTTAAGAAAGTCTATTTACGATCTCACCTCTGTCCTTTTGGACATGAAGATGGCTGTTGGGCAACAATCACTTCAAATAGACAGACTAGACTTTTATCTTGATTCGATAAACTTTTATCTTGAGGGGGCCAACAACGAATTGGGAAAGATACCTTCCTCCCACCGGAGGATAAAGAACAAGGCAATATACTTCATGCTTCTTCTCTCCATTGTGCTTATTCTTATGTCCATGCTAAAGATGATGAGAGGGAGACAAAAAGTCTTATGATAGGAAATATTTTGTCTGAATCTTAGGGCTGGGAAGAAATGAAGAGAGTAAAAGCTGTAAAGGAAAACGGATGGCCAGGAATCACATTCTACACCACGCTTTCTAAGAGCTCCGTGGATTATGAAACATTTAGAAGATATGCAGAAAGAAGGATGGAGATTCTGAGGGGGGAAGTGGGAGAAGCTGTTCTTTCCAAGTATTTCAGCATGGATGCGGAGGACGATATCCTCTCCCACTTTTTTTGCAGGGTAGTATGTTCTCAGGACCCCTGGACTGCCACTTGGTTTGTGAACGCCGAGGTAAATCTGCTGCGGCATAAGATTTCCAAGAATCCGAGTGGCGCAAGATCGTTTTTTCTCACTGAGATACTGCCTCACATGGAGGGAGCAAAGGTTGAGGACGGTATTCTGATGCTTGGGATGAAAAGCAGATATAATCCGGATGTGGCTGGGGGAATGGTTTCTTCTAATATTCTTGTGCATTTCACAAAGGTTATTGATCTGGTTGGTAAGAGGGCAGTGATACCTGAAAGGGGATACATCAGACTGAACGACGAGGGAGTTAGGTCAATGCTTGTTAACGAGTATAGAAGATATCTTGATGGTAGGATGGACGAGCTTGTAGAGACTTCTTTGCGTGATCCCGACGAAAGAATGAAGGCCCTTTCCACCGAACTATTAGCAAGTTCAACAAAATGCGAAAGAAACATCAGCTTTTCGCTGGATGAATCGGAGAAGTACCTTCCTCCGTGTATTCAGGCTATAATGGAAAAGCTGAGAAGGAATAAACATCTCAAGTACAACGATAGGCAGATACTGTGCCTTTTTCTCAAGGATTGTGGAATGAGCATTGACGATGCAATAGATTTTTTTCGAAACTCATTCAAAGTTGGACGGGAGGTTTTTGACAAGGAATACTTGTATTCTATCAGGCACAACTATGGTCTTGAGGGTAAGAGAGCAAACTATTCTTGCTTTACCTGTTCAAAGATAGCGAATACAACAAACGAAGAGAGGAAGAGCAGCTGCCCTTTTGTTGAAGATGAAGAGTATATAAGGAAGCTGAGTGAAGAAGCGGAAGTGGACATCGAAGATGTAATAGGCGTTGGTTCTTTCAATGGGAAGTGTACAAGGTTTTTGGAGAAGCTGACTCATAGAAAACAAGAGAGGTTGGTTGTAACGCCTATCAGATATTATTTTGAATGCAAAAGTCTTGGCGAAGGTGCCGAAAAAACCTGATTATAAGGTCTGTGATCCAGAGGAACCCTAAATAAATGACCGAAGAATCACGATTGAGAGTTGTACTTAAATGCATTTCTTATACCCAGGAGCCAAAGCTCCTCATACTTTTGCATTTATTGGGAATGGCATGGGAAGTTGCTGGATTAGCATATTTGAACGATCTTTCTTTTCTCGTTGTCAATAAGGATTTGATGAATTCAATAAAAGGCGAGGATACACCGGAGTTTTCTCAGCAAATCATAAATCTTTTGGACAGCACACGTTATAAGCTCACTGAACTTGAGGAGCAAGTAGGCACGTGGTATATTGATGGATGCAAGCTAGCAGAGATAGAGCTAGGCACAGATGCTATGGCAGAATTCTGCCAGTATGTCAGTAGGGAGTTTAAAGAGATATTTGAAGAGTTATACTGTGCTGAGGTTCCATCCAGAGGGTGTGTTGAGGGGACCTTATGGGAAAAGCTTTTTAGGATTGTTGATGCCTGCAAGGACGAGGAAATGAACCGGAACCAGAATATAAGTGAGTGGATAGAAGGATTCAAAGAGGAGTTTTTTAATTCCGAGCACATTAAGTTTGTGACCACCAAGAATATTGTTTATTCGACTCATAGGTTCGAGAAACAAAGAAGGGCAGTTAGAAGAATTCTTCTAGAGGGTAGGGATAAGGACCAGTTGTTTGACTTCCGGGAAATTCCTGGATGCTGCAGCTTAATACATCGCCTTGTAGTCTAGATATAACCCTCTCGAAATATTTAGCCTCCATCCCGGTTTTTCTTGAAAGTATTGAATTCTTTTGCATAACCCACATTGGCATTGATGGACGCTGGCATCTCCTCTCTGAAATTGAAGTATCTAAGAAAGCTTGAAGAGTTTCCGTTCAGATCGAAAGAGGAGGCTGTTGGAATGGGCATGCAAACCTATGTGGTGGATTATGGAAGAAGCCTCATTCCATTGGAAACGCCATTTTCGATGAGGTCGGTGTCAAGCAGAAAGGAGACTTCCACAGCTGATGAGGAAGTAGAAGAAGACTGCCTATTGTCTTCGTCATCCTCAGGTGAAGATACTGATTCGGAAGAGTTTGGAGGAGACCTTCATCTAGTTATTGATCTTTTTGTGAAAGGAAAAGAGATTGTTAGAGAAGGGTCGCTCAGCATCATTAGGGGTAAAAAGTACGGGCTTGTGGGGAGAAACGGGATAGGCAAGACCACACTCCTGAAGGCAATTAGAAAAAGAAGGTTTGGGATTCCGAGAGGAATGAAAATCTACATGATAAGGCAAGATCTTGTTGGGGATGGAACTGTAGAGGATTTTGTCGGGGCTGGGGGCGAAAGGATATTGAATGGATTAGGATTCACTAAGGACATGGTTGGGAAAAATATAAGTGATTTAAGTGGGGGATGGAAGATGCGTGCACATTTGGCTAGAGCAATAAATACGGATCCTGATCTGCTACTGCTTGACGAGCCTACAAACTACCTGGACATCAGCGCCCTGAGCTGGCTAGAAAGGAAGATAAAGGAATTGAAGACTGTTATTATTGTGTCCCACGACAGGAACTTCCTTAACAATACCACTGAAATGACACTCCATTTGAATGACCTGAAGATTGATGTATACAAAGGAAATTACGAGAGCTTTGTGAAGCAAAGAAGAGAAAGGATGGTAACAGCCAAGAGGGAATATGAAAGTCAACTTGCAGTTAGGGAGCATGTTCAGTCTTTTATCGACAGGTTCAGATACAATGCAAAAAGAGCCTCTCTTGTTCAGAGCAAGATAAAGGCGCTTGCAAAGATGCCAACCCTTCTTCCCCCAAAGCAGGATGCGATCATCAAGTTCTCTTTTGCATCGACATCTTCCCAAGGCACATTGGTTGAGTTTTCTGATGTTGAGTTTTCTTATGGCCCCAGAAACATCCTTAAAGAGGTGAACATAAAAATCGATTCGAACTCAAGAGTAGTGGTGGTAGGGGCTAATGGGCAGGGTAAGAGTACGTTTCTCAAGCTTTTGGCAGGAAAGATTGAGGCCGTGGAGGGGAGTGTTATAAGAAACCCGGGGCTTAAGGTTGGATACTTTGCCCAGCACCATATTGATCATCTGAAGGTTAATGAGAATGTGCTTGACTTTATGATGAAGACATATTCGCAGGAGGAAAGCAGGCGTGCTCTTGCAGCATTTGGATTGAGTGTTGATAATCAACGCATTGGAACGCTTTCTGGAGGGCAAAAAAGCAGGCTGGGATTTGCAATCATCAATGGCCTGAAGCCAAATCTCCTGGTTCTGGACGAGCCTACAAATCATCTTGACATGGAGTCCATAGATGCATTAGCAGATGCACTTAGAAGATTTGACGGGGCTGTTGTTTGTGTAAGCCACGATCTAAACTTCATTGGGTCTACTTTCAAAGAAATATATGTTTGTGAAAACAACAGCATTAGGAGGTTCTATGGGGACATATTTGAGTATAAGAAAGGACTGAACGCTTAGATTAAAGACACTTACAATTTGTTTACTTATGGCTTCATTGAATCTTGCTTTCTTTTCTGAGCTCAGTTTCATGAGCTGTGCTTTCAGGTACTAACCATCCTTTCTTGCGAGGAAACTCATTTCTCAGGTGCCTCGGTGTAAGAAAGGATTCAAGCTGCTGCTTTATTTCTTCGAATTTCTTTCTGTTGTTCATCTATCAAATACATCCTTCAATTGTGTCTTATTCTTTGTTCTGAGGCACGGCCCTATTGAATTTCTTAGTGGAAGGTCATGTCTGACATTTGAATTGGTTTTAACCAATCAAGGGACTCGGCGGCACTTTCCATTGGGCCTGGAAGGATGCCATGAAGCTCAGCGTACTCCTTTCGATCTTTCTTTGTTTTTAAAATGAAAAGAATAGAGCCCCGAAATGATTAAACTATTGATTAATGGTTTTGTAGCAATGCTAGTTCTCTACAATGTTCTTCAGGCATTCAGGGCATGCAGGGAAGACAAGAGGGTCTATAGGAGATACAACAAGTATTTCATGGTTATTGCAGTGTTTCTTGTTCTAGACAATTTGTTTTCATTTGTACTTGACTTTGTGCCGTTCTACCAGCTGTTTAAGCTTATATTGGTTGCATGGATATCTATACCTGCATGCACAGGTGCTGTATTTGTTTACAAGTTTTACATTCGTGGGTTCATGGACAAGTATCAGAATGTTCTTGAGGAGATGGTTGAGAAAGCAAGGTCTGCTGTGTTCAGATACTTTAATGAGTGCTATGCGAAGGCTCAGAAGACCTATCGAGACCGCAAGGTTAGCGAGGTAGAAGAGGAGGCACTTGGAATAAAGAACGAAGGCGATGCCTCCAGGGCATCTCCAGATGACTCTAACATCGAGGATGTCTCTGATTCAGGGTTTTCAACTATCGATTCAACGATTGTAAACGAAGAAAAGCAAAACTCTAGCATTGATGTTAGGATGCCGGGAAAGCCTGTTGATGATGCTCAGTAGTAAAAATAAAGGCCTTTCTGTGAACAGCTTCTTTTGCAAGTTGTGAAGAAAAATTTTAATAGAGTAAGGAAGACTTTACTTACCCCGATGAGGACGATAAGAAGTGTAACAAAGGCAGCCTTCAAGGTTCTTGCCCATGGGATTAAGAAAGTTAAGCACAAGGCCAAAAGGTTGGTTTCCAGCACTGGAGTCGAAAAGGAACGCACTTCCAACTCTGTCGGGAAGCTTGAAGATGCTTTATTTTCTACAGAAACAGAGATAAGAAACTCCGAAGACTATCTCCCGGCCCACAAAGGCCTCCAAAGTGAAAGGCCCTTCAAGGGTCCTGTCTTTGTTGAGATGGGGCAGGACCCGGATCTACTGAATATTGGGCTCAGGAAGATAGGAAAAGATATCCTATTTCTGTATGACATAGATGACACTCTATACCATCGATCAAACAACCTCCAGGAGATGGAGATGGAGTTCCTTAAAAAGAAATATCTTTCCCTCAAGAATGATGGGGAAGACTCTTTTGAAGAGCAACTATCGCAGTCGTGTCTTTACTCGTCTCTTTTCTACAATCACGTTGGCATTTCTCTTGAAGAGTATTGGGAGATGATGTCTGAGTTTGACTATCTACAGTATCTTTCCCCAGATGTGAAACTGAGGAGCTTCCTTCTTTCCATGAAAAATGTCAGGAGGTGCTGCTTTACCAACGGGCCTAGCGATAGGGCAGAAAACATCCTCACAAAGCTGGGGATTCTGGATTGCTTTGAAGTTGTCATTTCCATAGGCAAGTACGACAAGACATTTTGCTGTAAACCTCTTGAAGAGTCATATAAATTTGTCGCAAAGGTTTTGGGAATAGAATGTCCTGGAAATGTTTATTTCTTTGATGATTCTGAAAAAAATATTTCCGGAGCAGAAAAAGCTGGATGGAATGGAGTGCTGATCACAGAGGATTGCAACATCATCGATGTCTCGTCCCAAGTGCTGCAGAGAATCAGGAAAGATGTTCACGGTTTTCACTTTCAGGAGGTTTCTGGGGCATCCCCTAGCAAGATGCCTTCAAACTGACCTTTATATTGCCTGTTTGTACCGCTTACAAAACAGGGTTTATTCGAAATAAACAGGTCGGTAATATTACATCCTTCTATTATGGAATCTATAAATTTTCCATAAAAACTTTTATCCCATGGAATTGCTGGAAGGAATGGATTTGCAAGAGCTTAGCGAAATTGGGAACCAAATAGTATCGCACAAGCATTCAACACTTTTGGCTGCATACTATCTCTTGATGGCTCTCAAGTCCCTTCTAGGGTCGCTGTCATATGGAAGCGAGGTTCAATTTTCTTTTGTAGAAAATATAAAGGAAACTTTCACAGATAAAGCTTTGTTTGACAAAGAGATTGCGCAGACAATAAAGAAAACGGAATCTAGCATTGATGAGCTTCTGAATAGAGTTGAAAAATGGGAAGATTCTATAGGCTTCATAGCGAACGAAAACTTAAGCCTCCCCGAGCTTCAAAACTTCGAGGAGCTTGGGTCTAGCATCTATCCCTACTTCATCTTTGCAGCTCGCAATCCAAAGAGTTGTGAGTCTGGAATAATTTGGGAAAAACTTCGGGCAATTGCTGCAGAATCGAGGAAGACTCTAGACATCTACAGCTCCACGGATGTTCTGAAGAAACTGCTGGATATAGGAAGCGAAATGTTGAGGTCTGAAGAGGTCAGATACCTTACCGAAAAGCCCTTTCTCTCAGTACCCGAATCAACTCCTCTCAGGCTGATGGAGGGTGTATCAGAAATATTGCAAGGGGACTACAACGAGTGGATATTCCCATACTTCGAGCTTTGCGGGATTTTGAGCCTACTCAGAATACTCACCTCGCCTTTCTAATATGCATTTTTCCTAAGTGTGCTGTATCGATCCATAAAGAAAAAAGCCTTGATCATTCCACCTTGAGTTCTAGGAGAGCTCTAAAAGCAGCGATTAATTAAACTAATTACAATATACCTCTGATTTTATTTGTCTAGAATTAACAAGATGACGTCTATGCGATGGATTGCGACCCCATGAAAGAGCTTGTTGAGGAAATAGAGGCTTTCCGAACAGATATAAAAAGAGACCTCAGGCTCGACGATGCTTTTCTGACAGACCAGGCAATAATTGATGCTATCGGCAACTGGGAGATCTTTTCGAAGATAATAAGTAGGGACTCGGAGAAGGAAAACAATCTGAAGATATTCGGCGATTCCATGGAAAGGATAAGTATCAATGACCCTGAGTCAGAAGCGTATGCTTTGGTAGAGAAGCTCAAAAGAATGCATCATCAGAATTGAATAAATCAATGACTCTTTTTTATTATTGAATCTCTTGATTCTTCGAATAGTTCATATGGATAGAGATAAGGATATGTCTGGGATTCCCAAAACTTTCTCATTAGTGTCTTTGTGATCTATCGACAGTCGGTTGCAGGTTTGAAGCAAAAGTTTTAATCTTCTCGGGTGATCTTTTCTGACTTGACTCTTTCCCAATCCGTGCTTAGAACAGTTCCTTCAGACTCGTAGAAAGACTTTTCCATTGCTCTTCTAACATCTTCTCCAGACCGCTGGTAAATCTTCCTGAGAAGATCCATCACGGAAGTATTTTCTTCATCTTCTGAATCATCCACAGTAATTTCCTTATTACCATCTTGGGACCGGCCTTCCGATCTCCCATTGATTCCGCCCCATCTTGATGCTTCGACCTTTCTGAGGTGAATTTCTATCCTTGACTTGGACTCACTAAGCTTAATATCTGGATGGACGTCCCTGTAAAGATCGACAGCAATGCCCTCAGATAGCCTAAGCTTCCTGGAATTCTCAAGCACAGGAGCTATCTGGAAGTCGTTTGGAGAGGGCTTATACACAAATATGATTGCACTATCTTTTGTTTCTGCAAAGTCATATGTAATTCTCATCTGTCCTTTGTTTATCCAACAAAATTTTTAGTGAAATAGTTGTAACTTATTCCGGTGGAACCCAGAAATTGTATCGATGCACTACGCAATAAGGACTATCAAGGATCCTAGCTCTGTAGTCTCTGGGTCAAAGATAGAATATGAGAAGAAACCGTGTATTGCCATATCAAAGGGGACAACTATAGAGGTGTATGGCCTGGACATGAGGCTTGTGGATATCATATACCCGAATGGATATGTAACTCTCATCGCTCCTGTGACATTTAGAAACTCTAAGATGTTCCTGATCGTTTGCAAAGGGGGAGAGTACGCCATAATGGATGGGAAACGATCCATTGTGGGTGGCAGAATGGCGACCGCATCAGTCTATACTAGATGTATCAGAACCTTAAAAAATCTTGTGTTCATTACAAGAAGCGGTATTGTTAGTGTGGCCACCATAGGAAACGATGGACTAATCTTCGGAGATGATGTAAATGATTTTGGATACTACAAGATCCTCGACTGCTTCTCTGGTAAAAACGACATTAGTTTTTTACTCGAGGACATCTCTGGAGATGTGTTCTACTCCAGATATCTGATGGCGTCTAGTAAGCCCAGGATGATTCTGAAAGAAAAGACTCTCCTCAAGAAAGGACTTGTGTTTGCAAGGCCTATAAGTGATGGATTGCTTCTTGTAGGTCGAGGGAAAGCTTATTACTATGCAAGAGGGAAGTTTGTGCTTGAAAGTGAATTTGCAAATCCTGGAGTCAAGAACAGCGTAGCGGCGGAAGGAGGCATTTTGCTTTCGATGGAGGATGGGGAAGTCATACGGGTTTCTTTGGAAAAGAGGATTCCTTTTGGTGGTGGAGCTTACAGTAACGAAGACATACACGAAGAGAATTTATATCTCAAGGCTGAGGTTCTAGGCAATCTTAGAGCTTGGTTCAGTGTGTTACTTCATCTTGAGGGGGAAATGTACTATGGGGGGTCGTGCTCTGGAAATTCCTACTATCTGAGAATAGCAAGGGAGATTAAGATTCTGAAAACATTTGAAAGCAATCCCTATCCATCATGCTTGTCATACTCTGGTGCTTCTTTCAGATATACCACGAAAAAATCTGTCAAGAAAATCACATATGCAGTTGACCTCATAGCAGAGCCAAAATACAATCTCGAAGGGGTTGTTCAAAGGTTTGGGATGGCAGATGGTGCCCTAATTGTGTCATATCCCAATGAAGGGAAAGCTCTTGGAGGATCCATGGACGGGAGAAGCTTCGATGAGATCCTAAATATACATGCCGACAATTACTGCTGCTTCAACACCAGGAGCCATGTGTTTTGCTTGAGAGAGAAAAATGTCACAGGATTGGAAATAAGGGACATAGTCCTGTCTTCATTCTATCAAGGCTTATGCGCTGTGTTCACAAGAGACAGATTCCTCAAAATGATATGTCTTGAAACAATGGAATGCATCAGGTCTGTTGAATGCCCGTATGAGGTTAGTCTCCTCCACCTCAGCAGCTGCCTGTTTATATCTACATACTATGATGAGCTCGTTATCATGGACAAGCTTCTCCGAGTTTTACATAAAAGAAGGCAAAGGGTTCTAAAATCGGCATCTGTTGTGGGCAATAGACTTTTCTTCAGTGATATGTATGGAGTAGGGTATGAAGCCATATGTAAAAAAGAATTTAAGGCAGGCCTCGATGGTGTTTCATCGGCACTAAAGAAACTTGAAGAAGAAGACAAGTGGGAACTTTTAGATATCAAGCCTTCGTTTTTTTCGGACTGCATGGTTGAGATTATGGTTCCTGTCGGAAGACACATAATGGGAATAGGTAGGTCTACCGTATTTGTGGATACCCAGGACTTCTCATGCTATAGATGTTCTCTCGAGGGAATATCCTATGGTTTTATGGCAGACCAGCTATATGTTTCTATAGGAAAGTCCATCTATAAATGCCATCTAGAACCCATTCCAAAGATAAAGATCTCCACAGAGGACAGACTGCAAGGGGCAGAACCTGGAAGAACATATGTTCTAAAGTTTTCTGTCACAAGCCAGGGAAAAGAGATCATTGGGATGGTGAACCCGGTTCTCAGCATTGATAACGAAGCAGTCATTAATTCACACCTTACACTGAAAACAGGAGGTCATGCATACAACTTGCTCCTTCAGGACGAGATATTAATGGACGGGAGGTTTCTAACAAAGCACTACTTTGCCACTGTAAGCAACCTCTCAGGTGAAGGCAACCTTTCAAAGCTCTCTATGTTCTCCATAAAAGACAGTGCCATCAAGCTAATCTACGAAAGCACGGATGAAGGTGTTGTGTATGCACTGGATGCCAGCGAAGACTATTTAGTGACACATAGAGGCCATACTGTATATGTATATAAGAGGCAAGCCCAAATTCTTGTGGAACTATGTGTAATGAGGATAGATTTTACTCCGTACAAGATAACCATGCATAGAGATAGGATTGCTTGCTCGTGTCTCTACAGATCCTTTGGAGTCTTTAAATTTAACCAGGAAACCAACCATCTGTCCTTGGACTTTCTTTCCAGCAGTAAGGATCAAGTGGAGTCCATGGTGTTTGGCCTAGGAGGTCTTATAGTGGCAACTACAAATGGAAAGATTCTGTTTCTGAACAAGGACTACAACATAGAGACTTTTTCCATCGAGGATAGAGTAACAAGCATGTGCTCGGGAACCCTATCATTGCAACGATCTAATACCATTTATTTCACAACAAAAAATGGCAGTGTAGGGATACTAATACCCCTTAACCTTAACAAAAAAGACCTTGAAGCTTTGCTAGATTTAGAAAGATATGCCAATGAGCTGGCGCCTTTCCACCAGGACAAGACATCCAATGTCATAGACATTACCATGGTAAACAATATGAGCAACGCCGATTTAGAGAGTTTTATTTCTACTAGAAAGTATGATAGAGACAGATTAGTTGCCATACTGAGTGAGATCAACTCTTTGTACTAGAAATAAATCCATTTTGTTTTAGAAAATGCTTTTGCTTGCATAGTATCTGTCTCTAGCCACATCAGGCGTAGGTGCTTGCAAAGTAGACACTCACCTGAAGTCCTTGGTAACTCTTGCAGCACCCAATGCTTCTATGATGTTTTCCTTGGTTATGACAAGGGTCTCTGCATCGAAATTGTGTTTCAGACACAATATTGCTGCATCTCTGATCAACCCCGCTATCTCCGCTCCACTAAAGCCTTCCAGATCTAACTCTTCGAGATCGAAAGGCTCTATCGGGATTCCTTTTGTACACTTCTTGAATATATCGACACACCCTTCTTTGGATGGTAGTGGGACCTTAAGAATCTTATCAAACCTTCCAGGCCTTAATATGGCCTTGTCGATGCTTTCAATCCGGTTGGTGGCTCCAATCACATACACATCTCCTCTATCGTCAAGCCCATCCAAGAGTGTCAGTATCTGGTTGACTATACGGCTAGTAAACTCGTTCCCGTTTCTCTCCCCGCAGAGAGAGTCTATCTCGTCAAAAAACAGGACACAGGGCTGCAATTGCTTGGCTTTGTCAAACAGCTTTCTTATTTCCTTTTCAGAATCCCCAACATACTTGCTTATGAGCTCCGGCCCCTTAATGCTTAGGAAATTACAGTGGCTCATGTTCGACACAGCTCTGACAAGCAATGTTTTCCCGCATCCAGGAGGGCCATAAAGAAGGATTCCTGAGGGCCTTGTAATCCCAAGCTTGTGAAACTTCTCTGGAAACCTTGATGGAAAGATTATGCTCATGTTAAGCTCATCCTTGACGTCCTCAAGCGACCCTATACTGTCAAATGTGATCTCAGTGCCCTTCCACTTCATTTCTTTAAGTGCCATTTCCAGGTCTATCATCCTGAGAGTCAGAGATCCATCAGACACAGCTTTCGTCGAAGCAATCTTCAGAGTCCTCTTCAAGTCTCGAGCGACAAACCCAGGCATCAGCTTTGCAAGCTCCATCCAGTCAACTTCTTGGCACTTCATCCTGTCGGCAAGACTAACTAGAATATCCCTTCTCTCGGATACAGTTGGTATCTTGACAAGTAGCGAGTTATCAAATTTGTTAAGGCTTTCGTTTATGAATGCAGGGTTTCGGGCGGTGGCAATGACAATAGATTTCCCTCTATGGTTTTCAAGGTACTCAGAAAGTTGGGATATCACCTTCTTGTCATCTTCTCCAAGCATGTCTATGTCCTCAATGAGTATGATGGACTTCTCAAGCAGAGAAGATTTCCTGAACGACTCCCGAAGCTCTTTATCTGAGTCAAGACACGCCTTGATGATGGGGACTTTGTACTCCTGGCTGATACAGTTCACAAGAAACGTCTTGCCAACCCCAGAAACCCCGTGCAGTAAGAGAGTGCTAGGCGGGTGAATCCCAATCTCATCGTAGGAGGCCTTAGAAAATAACGGGTTGTACACAAGCTCAGTTATCTTTGGCAATAAGTACTTTATTCCTCCCACTTTGTGAAGCGGGGGATATTCATGGTCAATCTTCAAGCTTTCATTCAAGTGAGAGGTAATGTATTTGTCTCTAAGAACAGAGCTTGCATCTCTTCCTGGATTCTTTCTGTTCATCCGAGGGATACTTGGATTCATGAATTTTCATAGGACATACTGGAAAGATGTAATTTTATTTAAGACAGGCTAATACTCAATATGCTTGAGATCGCCTTGGATCAGAAAGGTGTACTTGGGAAGTCTTGGCTGAGTGCACAGTATCTTGAATGAATTTGCATCAATCACAACTACATATCCGAGAACCGGAGACCCTGCAACATCTTCTATCTCTCTGGCCTCGGAAATCCCTAGCACAGAATTCTCAGCAATCTCCACCTCAGAAGCTTCCACACACCCAACCTTTCTTGTGCTCCCCAATGGCAAAGCGCTAATCGGCGCAACATACATCTCTCCTATCCTCACGATCCTCCATTTGTACTTCACATTAAATGTAAAAGGTGTATACTCGTTATTAACTCCTTTGAAGTATCTGGATATGCTTCTTCCAACCTCTTTTTCCTCGACAAACCCACTTCTGTTTATCATAAGCTTTTCCGCTATCACGTCTAAAGAGTGATATAGCCTTTCGTTTCCTACAACAACAACCCTGTCGACCTCAAATCTCTTTATTAATGTGTTATAAAATGCAGACGTGCCCTCTGGACAAAGTATCAGGTGAAGATCTTCAATGTTCTTGGCCTTTATAGCCTCCTGTAGCTTAGTTGTTTGAAGGTCGTACAGCTCCATGTTCGTTATTTCCGTAGACCCATAGTAGAATGACAATGGATTCTTCAGCCGGAGTCCTTCAATGCAATCTATCAGTGTATCCACATGTATTGTGCTCAGTGCTCCGGGAAACACATTTCCCCGAGACGGATCTATTTCTGTAAATAGCACCTTCTTACCCATCCTTATAAAGAAGTTAATCAGCGTGAAGCAGAATGTAGACCTTCCATTCCCTATAACCATAAACGTCCTAAGCTTGCTGTAGTCAAATCCATTTTTAGAAAAGAAGCTTAGGATGTTGAATATCAGGGGGACGTTCGTTGTATCAGATACATACTGAAGGTCGCATACACCTTCAACCTTAAGCCTGCACCCAGAAAACGTGAATATGAATGTCTTTGTATCCTTGAATGCATACCACTTCTCGCTGAGTAGCTCCTGCCCCTTGACCTCTGCCAATCCAGACACAACCATCACCTTCAACTTCTGTGTTTCGTTGACCTCAATCCTGAACTCCTGGTTTGGCCAAAGGCGAATCTCCATCACAGGGTATGCAGGATTTGTTTTTAATAAACAAGTAGGAAACATTCAGCAATACTTTAATCGTAGGCCTGCTTGACCATCGTTAAATCTTTCTCCATCTCCTCCCGTATGGGCCTTATAATGCTGTCAATAAGCCGCGCTGCATTACTCTTGAGGTCTCCAGGATGTATGGACTTACTTGAAAACTCGTCCTCGAAATCCTGGTACTTTTCAAAGATCTTTTCCTTTCCATCTTTATCAGTGATCCTAATCTTTTCTCCCTTAACCTCAAAGATAGGAAATATGATATGCGAAAAAATCTTCATCAGCCCGTTCTCTTTGTTCCCCTCCTCACAGAAGCACTTCTTTATCTTCTTCCATATGGCTTCCTTAGAATCCATAAGATCAATTTTTGAAAGATCGTCAGAGCTGCTCATTTTTTCAGAGTTCAGCCCAGGAAGCATCGGACTCATTAGGTGTATTCTCTTCTCGTAGTTGAGAAGCGGCAAGTACTTTCTAGCATACGTGAATATCTTCCTTTGATCAACTCCTCCAAACTGTGCATCCACAGACATATGGACTTCATCAAGAGCCTGCATTGCTGGATACACTAGAGAGCTTACCATGGGATTCTCCACCTGCTTAACAACCTGTGCCCCTGCTTTCTTAGCATCGTGCTCAGATGTTATTGACAGAATCTTATACAAGTCCATGACATATTCGTTTGACTTCTGGAATTCGCTGCCCTTGATAAACTGAATTCTGTTAAGGTCAACACCCAGCATTTTCAACGAGGATTTGATCAGCTTTTCATAGTATACACATCTGTACTCAACCTTTTCAATAGGCGCCTTGAGATTATCCAAAAACCCATGAATGTCTGCAAACAGGATCTTCACATTACATCCAGCATCTACAAAGTCCCTCACCTTCATCAGGGGAACTAGATAGGCTATGTGTGGCTTTCCCGTTATAGCCGTTCCCCAGTATATATTCAGATCTCTTTCAGAGAGAATTTTCTTTAGCTCCTCGAGACCAAGAACCTCCTGAAGGTTTCTTGTAATCAGATGAAGTTTCTGCTCGACACTCATTCCAATGGGTTTTGAAATATAGAATTTCATCCGATCTGGGGGAGGTGAAAATGGATTCCGAGAAGAAACTGTATTTAGAACATCTGCAGAAGGGACTGAAAGAGGCTATGGAGGCACAGGAGAAGCAGAATCCAGTAACTAGGATAAGATGCAAACTTGTTTCGGTGGAGAAAAAGTCAAACGTCCATCTATATTCTCTGAGGATTGTAACAATGTCGAAGAGAGGCAAGATATCCAGAGTACTGAGAGAAGAGGAAAAGCTGTTTATAGAGACTCCAGATGGGCCACTGAAATGTACCATTGTGGAGGTTGATAGAGATGTGGTTAGGGTTGCCGGGTATGGAAAGCTCAAAGGTAGCAATTTTGAGGCAGTCCTAGATCCTAAATACAACTCCAAGACCTTGCTAGATAGTCTTGGAAAATTCATAGAGTCTGGAAAGTCCTTTAGCGACTTCATAATAAAATCCTGGAGAGCAAATAGCGGATTAGAGAAGAACTCCTTGGAATTCAGTAAAGCACCTGAGGCTGGAAAATTGAGTTTATATGATACCTCGCTGAATGAAAGTCAAAAAAGGGCAGTAGAGACAATAGGACTCAATGTCCCGTACAAAATACTTGGTCCTCCGGGGACTGGGAAGACAAGGACAGTGGTGGAGATAATATCGCAACTTTTGACGGCAAAAAATAGGGTTCTTGTGTGTGGGCCAAGCAATGTGTCAGTTGACAACATCATAGAAAGATTTTTGAAGAGTAAGTACTTCCTGCACAATGCACCTTCCTTTTATCGTCTAGGGAGTTCTCTGAAGGGATTAAGCCACTTGAACCTTGACTCGCTAGCAAAGTCGCATACAAAGTTCATGAAGGAAGAAAAAAATGACAGGAACTTCTATAGGGACAGAAAAGAGAAACAGAAGGAGTTTATGAAGGAGAAGCAGACCAGCTCCTCCGTTGTGTTTGCCACTCTTTTCTCCTCTCTTAAAGAAAGGACAAGGTTCGACTGGGTTTTGATTGATGAGGCATGCCAGGCGTCGGAGGTGGAATCCTTCCTTGCAGTCGTCAAGGGTAAAATGTTCATTCTCATAGGAGATCCTATGCAGCTATGCCCTGAAACATCCTCTTTGTATGAGACTCTTGCCCTTCCAGTAGTGCTTCTGAATGAGCAGTACAGAATGCCTTCGGGTCTCATGAGGTTTAGCAACGATATGTTCTATAGAGGTGAAATCAAAAGTGCCACAAGAGAGCATAAGGCTACATTTGGTGAAAGCCCGATCCTGTTTGTTGACACACAGTACTTTGAGCTTTATGAGAGCAACGATGTTTCGAAATCAAATGTAGGGGAAGCAATGATAGTTAAAAGCATTGTTGAGATCCTCAAAGGAGAGGAGGTCGGGATCATAGCGCCCTACACCTCTCAAGTTCTGCTTTTGCAGGAAATAGTAGATGTGGAGGTCTCCACGGTAGACGGGTTCCAGGGACAAGAGAGAGACTACATAATACTGACGCTAGTAAGATGTAATGACAGAGAAGAGTTTGGGTTCCTCGACAATGAAAAAAGGCTTAACGTTGCCCTGACTCGATGTAAAAAAGGACTAGTGATTGTTGGTGATTCCAGGACATTTAGAAGATCGGATATCTTCCAGAAATTGTTTAAGTTCCTAAAGGCCAACTCTTTATGCCTAGACCCTGAGACATTAAAGGAGTTCATCAGAGCGAGGCAATAGGTGTTCATAGCAGGTGTCCGCAAAGACAAAGAAGTCTTTAATGAAGGAAAACTAAAAGTTATAGGTGTGAGCCACTGTTCACGACACATCCTCTATGGGCCTCCTACATATCGGGCAGCTGTTTCTTGTTCCTGTTGCAACCCATTTTGCAATACATCTGGCATGGAACTTATTCTTGCATGTCTTGCATTGATTACATGGGAATGAGGAATCGTGGATATCTATGACAAGATAGCATATAGGGCATTCCTTGTGGCCGGAGATCTTCTCGTCGATATTAACTTTCCATAGCCCTATGATTTCCATAAACTTCGAACATTTCTTGATCATTTCGTTAATCTTAAGGTTTAGAAGACTTTTTTTCCCGATTTCGGAGGCAAACACAGGTTTTCTGTAGGGATAGTCTGAAGGGATGGAGATCAAGGCTTTAAACAACGTGCCACCTGCCTCGTAAGAAATCCTAATATCAAATCCATTCGTAAGCTTCTGGGCCCTAACTGTAACGTCTGCTATGGTTCTAGAGGCCTCTTTTAATATAAGAGGGTCCAAATCCACCTCCATCCTTGGAACGGCAGAGAAGAGGCTTGGAAACAAAAAGGCAAACAGGGATCTTTGTTCAAGATCTGCATTCTGAAGAAACTCTTTCCATTCCTCCTTTTCTTTGATCATCTTCTCAAAAAAGGCATTAACTCTAATGTTTCTGACAACTAGTAATGAATTCAGGAGGAAGTCCCAAAACAAATTTACAGACCCAAGGAAGCATTCCCGAAGAAGGTCATAGACTTCTCCATCAATCGAGTTTACATCCAGCCTCGATATGCTGTACATGTTGAGTATGGAGTCTGCTATAAGATTGTAGATTTTTCTCAGTAGCGGGGAATAAATAGCATATCTTTCTTTGTGGTACTCTTTTCTTGATAGGAGCCGATCCCTCTCAATCATCTGCACTACATCTTCCATGCTAAGAGTTTTAAGGTTCCTGAAGCTTGATTTTGCAAGAGACATCAGAAGATCATCGTCTATAGTCTCTTCTTTTACAGAAGGGCGGGTAGTTTGGTCTGGTAAAGATGCCTCAGTAAAGTCTATTGGAAAACCCTTCTTAGATGCATCCTCAAGAATACTCACAGCGCAAGCCAAAGCTTCGTTGCTGAGGTAGGAAAAGTCAATAAATGCAGTGAACTGTGCAGGTGCACCGTGTTTTCTAAGGACATAGTCAATCGCACGCGGCCCTCCGCCATGAAGAAGTTCTTTAAGTTTCCTATTGCCACATCTTTTTGATGCAAGGCCCAGATCGAAGAATACCTTTTCTACAAAATGCTGGTTTCCCCCTAACTCTGTGCTCCTCCATTCCTCAATCGCAAGCTTATCCTGAAGAATAGCCTCATGTAGGCCTTTCTTTCCAGGAAGCCCCTTATTTCTCAGGCTCTTGTCTAAAGATTCGTCCTCATCATCGCACATAGCATCCAAAAGAAGAAGCAGAAATGCCTCACCGGCTCCTGCATACATATCTGCATATACGTCTCTGAGACCTAGTACACCATTGCTTTTTTCTCTGATCCCGACGTCTCTATAAAAGCACTCATCTAGATCGTAGAACGAGCTTGTGTAACTGGTGCTAATTGGAATCTTTGCAGAGGACAGATAGGAAATGACTGCATTGTACAGCATGCCTCTATCAATTACCCCGTTCTCGATCATTTCTCCTATAAACTTAGAGTCCAGATAGCTCTTCAGAATTCTATTATAGTCAACATCTCTAGGCTTAGATATCCTATTTCCAAGCCTATAATAGAAGTCAAGGTCCAATGCAGGGGGGATATCCGAAGATAAATAGACCTCCATCATGGACTTGTTGTCATAAGAAGACATCAGAGATCTTAAAAAATCCAGGTCTTTGCACACAGGGATGAAGAGGTGAAGATTGTCTTTGCATATAGTCTTTCTTATTTTTTCTTCGCCTACCTCTTCGGGATATTTCAATACCAGGGGAAGAAGATCGCAGTCGAACGATGAGCCCAACACGTAGTCTTTCGGCAAAACATTCACAGAGTGCTGGAAGACCTCTTCTATTTCCTTCTTAGTAAACTCACATGGATCAAGCTCCACCCCAAGAATGTCTCCTCTTATTATTTTTCTTTTCCCGCTAAGCCCGCAGAGGGAGGATAGAAGTGCTTTGAGGATGCTTTCTCTTCCATCAGAGCCAACATGCTCGTGGATCCCTGGCTTATCAGATGGGTCTCTTGGTAAGCTTTCCATACTCAACCTAGAAACAGTCTCTTCCAAGTTCTGATTCCTTTCGAAATGGATACTTATCGCATTTTCAATCAGTCTGTTGACTGTTTCAAAGCTCACATTCTCGTTCAGGAACTGGAAATCGTCAAGGAACTCAAGAATGCATAGCCCTTCGATAGAACCACACTCTAGATATCTCTTCACATATCCCTTCTTGTCATTGATCTTGGGAAAGACTATTCTGAGAGAATCAACATTTCTCACAAGCACATTATCACAGACATCCAACTTCTCTACTGCCTTAGAAAGCATCTCACTATCAAGATACTTCCCATCACTCTCAATACACTCTGGTAAGGAATTAAATATGTCTATGAGGAGCCTCCATTTGAGGTTCATGAGACTTGGCCCTTTTATCATGACAATCTTTTCATAAAGCCCCTCAATTCTCCCTAGCTCTTTGCACAACTTGTAGACCTCTCTTAGCTCCCTATTCGAATTTAGATTCAGGTACTTGATGTTTTCCGCAACCATTTTCGAGTAGTTCCTTCTTCCCTTCTTCACTAGTAGCTGTGAGCATATCAACCCAAGAACAGGGTTTTCCTCGAAGTTCACCATCTGTGCAAACTCGTCCTCTATCTCTTCGATATCAATAAACTCGCTGAAGATCTTCTTCGAAATATCATACTCCGGATTCTCTATGAATCCGTAAAGCCAGATGGAAAGCACTCTCTTGAACTTGGACTTATCATCCATGGAGGAAAGAAGCTTGTAGAGCACATCGACTGATAGATTTCTGATTTGCGGATCCTGTGATTTTATGGTGTCCTCTATCGTTTCCAACAGTGTGTCTATGTTTCCTTCTACATCGACACTGCTCAGTATATCCCTCAGCTCATGAAGCCCCCGGATCTTTGTCTTGTCATTCTTCTTTCCGACCATAGAAACTACTTCGTAGAGCCTGGGATCGAACTGCACGTTCTCTGAAAATGGATTCATCTAGGGTGCAAAACCCATATCCTTTTTCGTAAACATCAAAGTTGTGAAGTGCTGGGGGATCCCTGGATGTATAGTTTATTCACATGGCTTCTTTTGGCTTCGAAGATTCTTTGCTTTTCATGCGAGATAGTTTCCACAGACCACTCAAAAAGTATTGTAAGATATACAAGTACACATCCAGCCCCGCACTTTCTTGCAGTCGAGTATCCCCTGAATGTGGTGCCGCACCTGATATCTTTACCTGTGTATAGGGTTATTGAGGAGAAGTCATCGACTATTGTTATTTTCCGCCTGGAAGGTAAAAGTGTACTGGACGTTCTCTGTGAGAAGAATCTGTGTAGGGTCTGGGAATGCTCTCCTTACATAGAAGAAGGTGTTGAGATAAAGGCTGTGGGGGTTATTGGAAACAGAGTTGTTTGGAAGAATAGTGTTGTGGATTGGATAGTGGTTCCGGACTTTACCATGCAGTTTGTGGCATTCAATAGCTTTGGAATACTCCTTACCCTGATAATGAAAGTATACTGCAATCCAGAGAATGTTTTCAGGAAGTCAAGAAAAAATACTAAGAATTAAATGTTTCTACAGAGCTATTGTTTTTTGAATGGATTTTTGCGCGGCGGGGCAGCCCTTGGCAATGGAGGATCTTTTGGAAAAGGAGAGGAAGGCCAGGGTCAAGAATGACTATGAAGCACTTCTGAAGATATTTGAGGACCTCATGGGCCTTTGCAGGTCTGATGAGGAGCTTGCAGGGCTTACCCGGGTTCTCACAATAAAGAGAGGCCAAAACAGAATGGCTATCAAATGGATGGTCAGGCAACTGTTTGAAAGAAAGAAAGGGGAGCAAGGGTTTGTTGAGTTCTTCTGCCTGGTCCTACGAGACGTGATTGAGGGAAGGATTTTTCTTGAGGAGGAAAGGATATACATAACAAAAGAGCTTAAGGAGAGATACGAATCGTCTGGAGATGTCAAGAGTGCACTGGATGTGATCATAAATGTTCCTGTGGAGACATTTACAATGGTCAAGGAGAGTGCTGTGGTCAACTACCAACTGGAGCAGTTAAGGCTTTGCGTCAGGAATCACGATTGGATAAGGGCCGATATAACCATGAAGAAGATCAGAGGAAAGTACTTTGAGGAGAGCGGTACTGTGGAAGAGAAGATTAAGTTCTACGAGCTTATTGTGCTGCTTCATCTTGGGCAGAGGAACTATTTCAACGCATCAAATGTGTACTATACTCTCAGCAAGCTTGGGGAGAACTCCACCAGCTATGTTGTTCTAAGCTCATTCTTCTGCATTCTGGCAACGTGCGAAACAGAGATGGAAGACGTAGTATGCAAGAGGGCTGATATGCTGAGAAAGCTGAGCGAGGACAAGAACAACGACGAGGTTGTTAGGTCTATTGTAAATAGATTCCTGTCTAAGATTGTTATGGACAAGTCTATGATCAACGAAATTCAGCAAGCTTTTTCCTCTGCCTTGGATGTATCTATCTACTTGAATGATCTTGTTTCTGCAATCGATGAGCACAACTTCAGGATTGTTGAGAGGTTCTACTCGTCCATCTCTATCCAGGAGATCTCCTTGGTGATGCAAAGCTCCGCAGAGGACATTGTTAAGAAGATTTCTTTTATGGTCAACAATGGATTTGCAAAATGTAAGATCAATCAGAAGACAGAGATTATTGAGTTTGGAAAGAGAAAGTGGAATGACAGCGTCGACGATGTAATGAGTAAGTTGATCAAGTGCAACCATCTTATACATAAGGAGCGTCTAAATCTCTCTATTAAAAAAAGCTAATCTTGATCCACTTTATTTTCTAAGATACAGATCTTCACCAAGCACCCTTGCTCTCGGCTTTATCATTCTCTGTAGCGATCTGATCGTCCGAAAAATCTCTTCGTTGCTACATCCTTTGCAGAGGCCTACAATTGTCTCATCAAGGAAGTATCTGTATCCGGGATCCGCTTTATACTTCGAATTTGCCTTCACGATCTTCTTTGCTTCCTCTATATGCTCTTTCTTCGGTCTTGTTTCGGAGCTTATGAAGATCTTGTCCAGATCTGCAGCAATCATATGGGCTCAAGCTAGAATAAAGGATTTAATGTTTAGCTATGCCATCATCTTCTCTTCTTCTTCATTCCTATGTACTTCTTGAATATTTTCTTTTTCTCCTTCTTACTGATCCTCGATGCCCTTCTGATTCTATTCATTTCTTTCACAGTCTTCTTCCTTTTCTTCTTCTCTTCCTTTGCATCCTCAGTATTTTCTATCTCCATGGCCTCAAGTCTTGTGTCGGAATTCTCAATCTCATCTTCACTGGCATCGGAATACTCCAAAGACATTTCTGTCTTTCCGTAGTCCTTTTTTTCCACACTAAAGGCTGCAAGATCCTCCAGGTTTCCAACCTCAGAGACTCGGGACGGAATGAAAACATCCTTGACTATGTCCATGTCTTTCAAATACGGTGGAATAACGTTTCCAGTAATCTCCTCAAATAGATCGTTCCCTCTAATCACCTCCACACCCTTTTTGCTAAAGAAGTTGTTAATGTTGTTTATATCCATTATTAAAAAGCTCTGGGCATTGTCGTGGTCAATCTCCACGCTCTGCCCTACATCAATCACATAAACCACCCCTTCAAAGTACAGAAGATTGAATTCTGATAGATCTGCATGCACAAGCCCCGCTCTTTTATACATGCTTCTTATCACCTCTACACACTGCAGATAGCACCCCATAATGTCTTCTATTATTGCATCCCGTAGCTTGGGTGCAACCACCTCATGATTCCCAACCCGTGACATTATGAGAATGTTATTCTTGAGATATATCGGCTCCGGAGAGGGAATCCCTGCATTGTTCAAACGCTTAAGATTCCTCACTTCTTTCTCAGCCCACACCTTGATTAGCTTACGTGAATTCGATGTGCAGAACCTCTGGAATCTTTTCTCGCTTCTTATGTATCTTTCTCTGTCTCTAAAAGACATGATGGATGTCTTGAAGATCTTCACAACTACAGGAATCATCTGCTCCAAGTTATCTGCCTCCTCAGCCTCAACGTATTTATTTTTGATGAATTTGCTACACAGCGCCGTACTTGCTTCGGCAAGATAGACATTGGATTCTTTTCCAGTGCAGAGGCTTCCCTCGAGGTTGGATAGCTTTCCTCTGTCCTCCAACTTCTCCAATACCTTCAATGTTTTCTTGTCAAGGACCTTATCCACCGTCGCTCTATCAGACTTGTCCTTCCTTCTTTTTTCTCCTCTGGTTTCCTTCATTTTTCATGGGTATAGGCTCCAGGCTTTGCAACGATTCCATCCCAATAAATTAACATTTCCACTCATACACCCGATGAAGACAAATAGTAAGCCCACGCTGTTGTCAAAGCTGGAGGCACTCGATGTAATCAACAGGTCCTTAGAAACTCACAGCAGCCACTCAGAGTTTTTGGAAAAAGTGCAACTGTACTGTACTTCCTCTATGGCCAAGACCAGGGCTCAAAAAGTCAAGCAGGCACTTACAGAAATGGGATTGACAGAGTTCGAGGCCATACAGCTACTCGACTTCAATCCTAAGTCTATTGTTTGCCTTCAGCTTGTGATCGAGGACATGGAAGAAAGATTCACTGAGGACGCCCTCATCGGAATATTAGATCTGTTCAACGACAACGAATAAATGCCTTTGGATACATAAACAAACTTCCTTGGACTGAGCTCAGCTTCAATTTTGGAAAAAGTCAGAGTCAATAAGATGATGAACTACTTCCAAATTACATTTGATACTTAGTACAATGCAATCAAGCATTCTGTTCCCGAGCTGTTTGCGACTCTTCTCATCAAGTATATGCTCGGCAAGTCTGTTTCTACATACAACCATTATCTCCTCCTCTCCATCCCACAGCAGCAACCTCAAAACCTTAACTCTTTCTATCTCAGGGGAGCTGCATGTACACTTCCCGTTTATCCCCCCGTCTTCCAGTCCGCAGGCTCTACAGAAGAATATCACCATTCCTTCCTGTGGCCCATATCTTTTTATCCAAGCCCTGACTCTGTATATTCCAGGCCCACAGATACTCTTAATATTAACCAGGCTGTACCTCGCTATCCTTTCCGGCGTTTTAATCTCCATCTGATTACACGCAGAGCCCCATAGATATCCCTTTTTTTTCGACTCAAGATGCTTCCAAAGAGTCGTGCCCTCTCCTATTTCTGCAATGCTTCCTTTGCTCGACTCAGACAAACTTGCATATATACAGTGGCCTACCTCGTCTGCTTTCAAGTTCCTAATCCTGTATCGCCCTCCAATCTCGCACTTCTCTGCCTCATCCGCAAAACGCCCCCACGTCTTCACAATCAAGACCATGTCCTTCGGATACTCCTCTGCACCTCCCAAGCCCTGAAGTTTATTCTTACCAAAGTCCACAAACTTCAAAAGAACCAGGTTGGTTCTCTCCCTCTGCTTGTCTACCAGCTCGCCACTGAAATTGAAGTATTTTCCCTCCTCTATCTCTGACACCTCTCTCTCCTTTACAAAACCCTTTCTGTTCTGATGGAAAAACTCTACAAGTTGCCGGACTCTTTCGCTGATAGTATCGTCTAGGCATCCATACGGCGTAAAAACCACCTCGACGTTGTTTTTGCGATCAGTCACTGCCCTAAATTCATCGTAGAGCTTTAGATTGCCTATCCTCACAACATCTCCAACACAGAAGCCTTTGGAAAACGTTTTCTTCGGACTGAATATCTTCACAGATAATTTTTTCATGCTTTCATCAATCACGTCCAATGTCATCATGAAATCCTTCCCTCTGCATCTTCTCCACTCTAGCCAGTCAACAACCACTCCGTAGACCGTGTGATATTTATTCCTCTCCATGTCGGAAATCATTACGCCTTCTCTCCCGTCATCCTCTTTCTGCATAAGGCTTTCCGCTCACAAACTCTAATGTGCAGAAGTAGATCATCATCAATCTAGAAATCTCATCATATGGACTCAAAGATTGAAAGCAACTCCTCTGGCACATTAATTAAAACATCCCGATTGATTGAAATTAAAACATTCCAAGATTACTTTCAGGTACATTAACCTTTTATAAACGCCTTCAAGAAATGATAATTAAACATCTAAAAATTTGCAATTGTATTAAATATTTCCACAAAAGTATTTAAGGAACCTTAAAATCGATTCCATGGAATTACTAGCACTACTGGGAATATTCACGTTTGTAGCCTGCGAAGTTAGTTTAAAAATACAAAAGCGTCCTGTCCATGTCTCCTGCCATTACGATGAACATATATTTGCGAACTACATCGACGATCTCAGTATATTCAATCCTCCATGCGAAGATAATGAAATGATCTCTAAAGAACTGTACTTTAACAAAGTGTACAACGGCATATGTGTGCCTGCATACAAAGAGGCCGGAGAAGTGATAACAAAAGAAAGGCAAAAATACATTTTTGATGTCCTTAACTTCCTCTACGACTTCTGTAGTACTAGAAAATACGAGCTGGCTGCCGTAACGGCCCTGGTGATGCATAACACATCCTACCTGAGAGTTTTTGAAGGCCCTGGATATAGTGAGTTTAGGCCCCGAGGGATATTCCAGATATATGGCAAAGAGAACTATGAGCTTTTGGAAAAGATATCTTTCTTCTATCACGATTATTCGAAGGTTCCAGAGAGAGCCGGGTTCCTCAACATACATGTCCTCGTGGATCTCACATGCTTCTGGTTGCACATATCATATGGCAAGAAAACCGAAATAGGCCTTGACGATGCCCTGGAGATATGTAATTCCGTGCAGTGGAGAGTCCTTTCCAACAAGTGGAACTATACTTCTTCTGTGGTTAAAGATGCCGAAGAAAAATACAAAATTCAGAATGAACTCTATGAGAAACTACGTACGATTATCTATGTAAACTACTATAGGAATTGAGTACTAAATAAATGTCATGGATATAGCAGTCTAGGAAATCTTACGGCTTGGCCTAGATACATTCATATTCAAATGGTTTTTTAATAATCGTTCTCGAACTTAGGAGCTACATAAAGCTTCATGTGTGCAAAATCATCCATGCAAAGACCAAAAAAGACGGGCTTCCCAGATCCAAGAGATATCTTCACATCCTTGCATAGCGGAACAACTTTGCTAATCAAGTTGACATACTTCATGGCAATCTCCTGGGTTATAAGCTCCTTGGCATCAATCTTTATTCCTTCGCGGGCAGGCGATTCCTCAAAACTCATCGATGCATCTGCATGCTCACCCGTTTGGAAGAACATTAGGGTCTTGTTTTCTGCTTGAACCCCAACAACATCTCCAAAAGTACCCACAAGCCTAGGAACATACATAAATTCATCGGCAGGTATGGTTGCAGACGCATCAAACTCAAACTCAGGGACATTGTAGGCTTCAGTGTCAGACGAAAATAGCTTCAGCTTGAAGCTCAGCACATTCCCTTCCCTGATGTTCTTGACATTCAGGGTCGTCGTCGCATCGTCACACTCCAGCCTAAATATCCCTCCTCCCTCAACACTCATCCCCTTGATTATCTTAGTGAATGTCTTGAGCTGAACCCCAATCACCAGTTCCCTGTCACATCGATACTTCGTGAACATCGCTGACGATAGAAATATGTCTGCAAAGGCTACATGCGTTACATCCATCACCTGGATCAACAGCCCTCTTTCCGTCGCCTTTATATCCGCCGTCTCCACAATCTCATTTAGGCTCTCCAATATTCTTTTCATCAACGATAGAGAATCAGTTTGTACTCCATCCTTACCCTTTTCCCTCGCAGTTAACTCTAGTTCAAACATCCAAGGGTAAATTTTTAACTGCCAAATCCTTCAGGACAGTAGTCCTAACAGATTCAATAAAAATCTAAAGCAGGAAACGTTATTCACTTAGTATTTCATACTCGTTTTTGAATCCCCAGCTCCTTGGATATAGGTCTTTCTCCATAATAACTCTTTTGGTTCTGCATACAAGCCCATGGTCAATGATACTCATCTCAGGGCTACTTACAAGAGCAACCCCGAGGGCAACAGCTTCTCCTTTCGTGGTGATGATCACAACCTCCCTCCCCACATCAATGTCTCTATCAAACCTAAGAACACCCATGATGCTTAGCTTTGCTCCATAGCATATGGCATTAACACAGCTGTCCTTGATCATGATCCGGGGATACCCTACAAGAAGACTCTCCAAAGGACGTATCACTCTCCTAATCACCCTTTCATCCTTCGTCGAATTGAATATATACACTGCATCCAGCAAATCGTGTAATGTAAAGATATCCTTTTCAGAGGTTCTCCCACTTCTTATTCTTCTAAGCTCCTTCATCCTAGCACCACATCCCATCAATATTCCTATGTGGGTGCACAGTGTCCTAACATATGTCCCCGCCTCGCACGATACCTTGAAGAGCCCAACCCTCTTCTCTTTACTAAATTCGAGAATGTCGATCTCATAAATGTTTCTTATTCGAAGCTCTCTTTTGACCGCACACATCAATGGTGGCCTTTGGAACAACGACCCTGTCAGCTTCTTACTTGCCCTGCGGAACCCATCCTCATCCGGTTCTTCTAGAAACTCAATGACACACACATACTCCTTTCCCAAAGACTGCTGGCTTTTTGTCAGCCGCGTCGCCCGGTCAATACAAATCGTAAGCACCCCGCTTACTTGGGGATCTAGCGTTCCGCTGTGCCCAGTCTTTTCGCACTTCAGTATCTCCTTCACCCATGTCACAACCTCGTGGGAACTTGGATTCGATGACTTGTCCAAATTAACAATCCCATACTTGATATACTCCCCAATTTTCCTGTTTAGAGGCATGCTCCCACATCCAAAAGGCGTGTAGTGGTTTGTCCTTACAATCATCTTGTCCATATCTGCTAGAAGCAGATCCCAGGCCCCCGGCATACCTGTCCCGCCTCCAGAAATAGGACACTCAAGGCTTTCAGTCATTCTAGGGCCACCATCAAAGAGAAAAATTTTACTTTTGGAGAACGCCGGTACTGTTACTTCTTCGGGACGTTACAACTCTGGACACAAATAAATTAAAGGTTTATTCTTCAGTATCAAATGAAATAGGATAGAAGACGCAGAGTCCATCTATAGAGGTCGTAACGACATAGTTGTTATCTCCCCTGCAGAATGCAATATCCTTGTAGAACTTCTGTCCTTGGTGAACAAATAGCAGGTACCCATCATCCTCGTCTGGGTCAAGAGACATGTCCCATATACATACCTGCTCGTCACTTCCAGAGGCAAGGATGTCGGAATCCCTCCACTTCAAACAGCTTATAGGTGTCTTGTGTCTATTGATCTCCTCTACGGAATGGTTCCTGATATCCATCAGCCGAATCACCCCGTTATCATCTCCAAATGCAAGGATATTCTCTCCATTGAAGTCCACGGCATTTATGTCACATCCAAACTTCCCTTGGAAAATGCTCTTGTTGCACCGGATGTCGGTAATCTTGATGCTATGGTCACATGATCCAGAAAAAACCATCCCCTCGTGGTGGCAGAGTCCTTCAATGGAATCCTCGTGAATTCTCATCACGCCAGTCTCGTTGAAGCTCCAGTCATTTACAGATATTTCTCCGCTTTTTGTTCCGAAAATGCATCCAGACTTTCCAAAGCAAAGCCCGTATCCAAGCCCTTGACTAACCTCCCTGCAATAAACCTCATCAAACTTAGAGTTGTGCACCACAAGCTTGTTATCAGACAAGCAATACACCATCTCTCCATTTACCCTGACCTTGTTGTACGACTCCTTTATGTTCCTTTTCGAAATCTTCATCTTTCCAGGCATCTTCATCCCATCCGTTGGAAACAGATCGATGCTCACCATCCCAGGCGTGCCTTCCTCAGAAGGATTTGTCCCAAGCACAATAGTAAATCCTCTCATAATATCAATGCTCTGCGCCGGCCAGTCAAGCGAAATGTACTCCATCACGTTGTACGCATCCTCGGAAACCTCGAGGCCTTCGTCATCCACTTGTGGCTCGTAAACCTCATACTCCTCATTCGACAATCCAGAAATCTCCTCAGAGTAATCCTCCAAATTATGATGCACCGCCATTTAGGGCCAACCCAGGGGAATTCTTATAATCACGGCCATGACCACAAAAACTCAGGCTTCATGCTTTGGAGAGTCCAGCCTCCACCATCTCCGGATGGTCCTTGCTCCCCACAACCACTCTAGAGAAGAGCGCTGCTTCCTTATCCACGACCCTATATACTCTATATTGGTGTTCTTCTCTGCAGACACAGAAAAACAAGAAATTTCCATTCCATTTATATCCAGAAGCCCAAGATTCTGAACTATCTCCATACATCCTAATGCACCTTTCTTTTCATTTTTTGTTCCAAGAACCAGCATGCTTCTTTTAGTCCATGGATTTCTATACACAACAGACTTCACCTCTTCCCTTGCCCTCGCCCACTCCCCCGATGCAGAAGAGGCATCAACACAATACAGTACCACATCACACCTTTTATAGAGGTAATCCAATCTTGCTCTAGAACTCCTTCTTCCACACATATCATACACCACATAACTTGTATGGTCCTCATCATATCTATATATACACCCATCTCTCTGCTTTCTTACACACCTTAGTCTGCCCTTGAACATTCGGTTTACAATAGTAGACTTCCCACTCTTTTCAGGCCCAATAACTACTACCCTAATCCGAACAGCAAATACTCTATTGTAAATGTCCAAAAGCCTCTTCTTGGCCCTTGCACATATTCCAAACATTTATCCCGCACACCGCCTCGTTTTAAAATCCTCCATATCCAATTGGCTCCCCCTATGACCTTCTTTCCCATTGAATAATTTGCCCAGAAGATAAATCAGTGCTTTCTATTCATCTCCTTTTCAAAATACTTAGACAGCTCTATCCTCCTGTACTCTGAAACAGCCAGGTGCCTTCTTATAATGCCTTCCACCTCACCCCATCCTGCAAACATCGCCTGGAGACTGCTTAAAAGGCAGTCGAAGTCTTGGTTGTGCGGCACAAAAGATAACTCAGAGTTACAGTTGAAGCACCTTTTCATGTGCGTATAGGAGGATATACCGCACTCATGGCACCTCGAATCTGCACTGTATAAACACTCGATCTCTCTTCTAATCATCTTGTTGACCTCGTGTGTGTAGAATCCTCTGGGAATACTTCTGGAGCATTCCTTACATTTCAAAACCGCCCCTTGGACACTTCCACAGCAAGGAGATAGAAAAGATATGTTTTTTTGGACTTCAGCCTTTACAACCCTTTCCACTCCAAATATCCTTCCTATCTTCTCTGCATGAAACCCCTTGACTATCCCGACAATTCTAAGGAGAGGTGGGAGAATCTGATTTGATATATAATACTCATAGTCAATCACAAAATCCTCGTTCAAATGATATGCTCTCTTGTGGATGGCCTCGCCGGGGCTTCCTCTTCCTATCACATAGCAGACAACGTCTCCCTGATCAAACTTCATTCCCGCCTCCTTTAATCTTAGCGCAAGGGAGACATGTGGAAGCGTAGCAGATGGACCATAGTTCTCCGGCGCCTTGGACAGAGTGTTATGAATCACAAAGTCTTTTGCCGGAAGCCCCTCAAGATCACTTCTCAGCTTCCTCAACTCGTCATGCACAGCCTCTCTTATCTTACTGTTTCCATCATTCAGGTCCTTTTTTGGCTCATCTTTGTAAAACACTTCATAGGCCTCAGGGTCCTCCGGATCCGTGAGTAGTAGTTCTAGCACAACCCTGCATATTCTTCTACTAGCCTCACAGAAGTCTTTCCTAACAAGATCAAGCCCTTTATATTCAATACCACTCCTTCCATCCTCGCCAACATAGAGTCCTGCATACTTCTTCTTCTTGTACAGCAAAAGCTTCTTAAACACCTTGTCAACCTCAATCTCTATCTTCACATACCGAGAGTTGATTGCTTCCCTCAGCTTCCTTGACATCTCAAGAGCCTTTTTGTAGTTCGACATCTCCCCTCTAAGCCCTGTATGTACCATCACAGAGTCTGTGTCCCCATAAATAATCCTCATTCCACACTCTCCCTCTGCTATTCTTTTCGCCTCAAGAAGGAGATCTCTTCCCTTGTTGGTTATGTATGCTGCCATCGTGTAGTTACAAAACCTTGACCCAGCAAACCCAAGACATCCATATATGCTATTTGCAGTTAGCTTTAGTGCCCTTTGCCTTATCTCCAACACCCTGGTTTCTTCTTTCCCTTTGCTTTGCTTCATCAGGTCCTTGACTGCTTTCCTCCTTCCAACAAACCCCTCGAGGACCTTCGGTAAAAACCCTCTTTCAGCAATCCTGCTCTTCTCAGTCAGCATTTCTAGCTGCTCAGCACTCATGTCTCCAGAAATCCTTCCATTAAACATCCCAACAGTTGAGAAACACACATTAAACTCCTGAATAATCGATGGATACAAGGAATTGAAGTCCAAAAGAAGAACAAGATCTTCATAGAACCCCGCCTGCGGAGACAGCACCAACCCCCCTGTGTACTTCACCTCTTTCCGGCCCGTAATACAAGGAAACAAGTACCCTCTTGCATATAATTCGTGAAGAAGAGTATACTCAATCCTTTCCGCACGCAAGTTCTGCAAGGCCCTGTTCAGAATGTATCCAGAAACCTCAGACATCTCCTTTGACAGATCCAGTGCCTCCGTGGCCTGGAATATACGATGTATTGCTTCAGACTCAACAGCCAGCCTCTCAAATGAATTCTCATATTGTACCTGCTTTCTCCTCAGCTTTTCTGCAACTTCTAGATTCAGAGTCGAAGATAGCTCCTCAAGAGAGAAATCACATCCTTTTATGTTTCCGCTTGCAAATGCAAACAAGTCGCATCTTACCATTCCAGATATCTCTAGCCTCTTGAGAATAAAACTAGGAAGATTATGGTAGACTATACAATCTATGCCTTCGCTACCCATGAGGCTGTTGAGATACTTCACTAGCATCTCCGGCGTCCGGTGCAGCGCATACTTGATCCCCTCGGCCCTTACATCCCTGCTTCCATCTTCAGGTCTCACTTCTCCACAGTGAAGGACTCCTCGCACATAGAGGCAATACTTAAGAATCCCCGCTCTATTAAACCTCACAGCCAACGTCCCAAGCTTCAGCCTGGGCAGACTTGAATTGCATACAAACGAGATCACTCCTGGAGATTTCACAACAACACCCTCCCTAGGAGACATCAAATGCTCACCAATCCTGACAATGCAGGGCCCCCTAAGCCTTCTTGATATGATGATGTTTTCTATAGGATTTGAAAACTCCGTCACAATGGCCTCAGAGTGGTCGGAAAAGAAGTCATCAAAGGAGACCCTCTTTTCTGGAAGAACTTTGATCAGATCAACCTTCCTATCCAGATTGGGATAGAACACATTCTCTTTCAACGACGGCTCTAGAGCATATCCAATTCCCTTCGAGCCCATGAATGCCTTAATGTCTTCCTTCAATTCCTGGTCCTTGCCGCTGGCTGCCTTCAAAAAGACTGGGGAGTAAATGTTTTCCACGCGGATCCTGCAGGATTGCGAGCTGCATGCATGTGCATCTATCGGAAGGCCCTCGGGAATCTCTGTCAGATGCTTTCCGTAAAGCATAACAGTGGATTCATCTACCTGCTCGATATTTAGTATGTAAAAATACATGGGATATCCGAAGACACCGCTTTTCACAGTGCTACAGCGGTATGAAGCTGACAAACAGTATATTTAATGTGCCTCATTAAAGACCGTTGTGGACTCATATTTTGTAATAAATCTCCTTTGTCGATGATTCTAGAACTTTCAGATGCCTGATGTGACTATCCTTTCCCTCCTGATGGTTCGAGTTGATTACAATCTGGACATAAAGACATTTTCTTGCAACATTCAGTGTCAGGAGCCCCTCAGGCTCCACAAGCTCCACAGAACTTATTTCCTTGATGCCCTCTCTCGTCAGTCCAGATCTGATCTCGATCCTTTCTGGCGTATAGCTGTCATCCTGTGTGAAGCTCAGGAACAGCTGTACGGACTGGACATACCGGACCTTATCAAATGATATTTGGATGGAGTGTGGAAGCACATCATCCGTGGCCCAGTACTCAGACATATCCTTTGACAGTAGCTCCTTGAGAGAATGCTCTCTTTTGAATGAGCTCAATCGGATCTCCATTAAAGGGATTCCCCCAACAATAATTCTGACTACAAATCCCCTGTGAAATCACAATGTCCTTCTTCACAAATCTTCCCAAGGACAACCGCAAATGCACCAAGACAGACACTCCATTTGACTTGTCCCTAAGCGACTGTCTTGCATGCAGTGGATGTGTATCTGCAGATGAGGTCGGCGCTCTTTCTGCAGATACCTCCTTCATCCTGGACTTGTCTCCGCAAACTTCGTTTATTCTCTCTCCCCAATCGAAAGTGAATATCTTCAATGTCTATAGGGCGGGAAATATGAGCTACAAGGAGTTCGAGTGCGTCCTATCTTCCTTTCTCAAGGCCAGGTTCAATGTATACAAGATAGTTGATACCTCTTGTATGAGAAGCAAAATCTATGAAGAGGTGTACAAGGAGTATTTAGCCACAGACCACATGATAATCAGCGCATGCCCGGGAGTGGTTACATATGTTGAGAGAACAGCCCCGCATCTCATTGGGTATTTATCGAGAGTCAAGTCTCCTCAGCAGATGGCGTTTTCTCTTGTGAAGGGAACTAGGACGGTGAGTGTAATGCCATGCCACGATAAGAAGCTGGAGAATGGGAGAGATGGCCTGGCTCTCGACTTCATTCTGACCACAAGGGAGTTCTGCCAGGTGCTTGGAAAGCTTGGATTTGAAGCGTTCATTAAGTCTGGAGCCACAAACTTCCATGGCCTGGAGAAGATGGAGATAACACAGTGGAATATCGGGACAAGTTCTGGAGGATACTCAGAGTCCATACTTAGAAGGTTCCACTCTGTAAAGATTGTAAAAGACGAGAATGGGGTCAAGGAATATGTAGTGGATGACGGAAGCATTATATCGCAGATAACAGGGCTTGAGAACACCCTGAACTACCTCAGAAGGAGTAGGACTAAGGGCGCTGGATACAAGATGGCCGAGATATTTATATGCAAGAATGGCTGCATTGGAGGCCCTGGGCAGGAAAGAATAAACAGTGTCGAGATGGATCTCAAGGAATACAATTTCTGTGGAAAGGAGCAGCCGGATATTCACCATTTGCCACCCGAACTAGAAGAAAAAAGAACGTTTAAGCAAATAAAGGTGAAAAGAGTAGGTTTCAAAGTTGATTGGTAATGGCCAACCAGTCATTGATCTGAGGAGTTTATTTATTGATATTGTATCTGGGAAGTACGATCTCAACACAAAGAATGGCGGCAACGAGATAGCCAGCAGCCACAAGAATTGGAAACACATCCAGATTCTTCTTCAAAGCCACCATGCTTGGAAAGCTGTCGAAAGCTAAAGACATCACTATCGAAGAGACGCCATGGGTGAAGAATAGCTGGATAAGATGGGAATGGGATGCAAGGCCCATCTCACAAGCCATAGCCATCAGAATTATCAAAAAGGCACTGATGAGTTGAGATATCACCACAGACATCTTGTACAGTCCCATGGAGCGGTTGATAAGCCTTCCGGACTCATAAAACATATATGAAGTAAGGATGAGCATTCTATACATTGTCTCTCCATGCGGACCGCTAGGCTCGAGAAATCCGTTGCTATAGCAAATGGAGGACATGCGAAGAGAAAAGACAAACACAACGGCCGTGTATGCTGCTACTATGAGGCTGTGAGGAGTGATTATCCTGACTGTATCCTGGTCAAAGAACCTTTTGGCCACCCTGGCGGATATAGGCATGAACGAGGAAACAGAAAGGCCCATGGAGAGAGGAAAAAACAGATTGTAAGATGCATCTACGAACTTTGCGGCCGATGGTGCCGCAATTGGGAGTATATAGACTATCAGCACCACGACCTTCTCGAGTATGGAGAATCTTCTCAAGTCCTTGTCGAAATCGGCGCCTGTTCGGGCACATCTCCTCATTCCGACAGCCTCATAAACTATACTCATTACAAGGGATGTGTTTTGGATGTATTTATTTTACATAGCCGGTGCTTTGGCAGCTTACAAACATCTCTTTTGGCTGTTATCTGAAATATGAATTTAGCCCTCATGGGAATTCCCGAGCTCTCTGGCCCTGCTGAGCTATACTACGACGAAGAGACCTCGGCAAAATACACGCAGAACAGTAGGATCGTTTACATCCAAAGAGAGCTGACTGAAAGGTGTCTTGAGCTGCTCGAGGCGAAGGACGGGGGGTTGCTGCTGGACATTGGATGTGGATCTGGTCTTAGTGGGTCTGTTCTCACTGAGAACGGCTACCCGTGGGTCGGAATTGACATAAGCACGGAAATGCTGAGGCTAGGAATAGAAAAAGGAGAGGGGCTTGGATACATAAGAATGGATATGGGGAGAGGGTTGGTGTTTCAGCCGGGAACCTTTGATGGTGTTGTGAGTGTCAGTGCAATCCAGTGGCTGTTTCATTCTTATTCATCTGACGAGCATCCTATTCGTAGGATTAGAACGTTCTTTACGACGCTCTACTCTGTGTGCAAGCCCGATGCCAAGTGTGTACTCCAGTTTTACCTTAAGAACCAGAGCCAGGTTGAGATGCTGAAGAATGAAGCGATTAGAGCAGGGTTTGATGGAGGGATCCAAGTAGACAACGAAGGGACTCGGAATGTCAAAAGCTTTTTGGTGCTCACGTCTGGAAAGGGAACAGGAAGGAAGAGAGAGAGGAAGAAAAAAAGAAAGGGGAGAATAGATGAAATCCTGAAAAGGAAGGAAAAGTTAAGGCTTAGGGGTGTTGAGGTGCCGAGGGATACTAAGTACACTGGCCGGAGAAGATCGAGAAGATAATTAAATACGATTAGACGACTTTCTTATCTTTTCTGAGATAGCAAAAGAGAGGAGAAATTTTTGCCCTAAAAATGAACCATGAAGAATACTTCAAGACAAAGCACCCGGTATATACAAACATTTCAGCACAATTTACGGGCATAGGACACCTTGTGATTGACGGTGGGGCCCTTATAAGCAATATCAGCAAAAGGTATGGGGTTGGATATGAAAGCCTCCCCCTCCACACATACATGCATGGAACTAGGTTTATGTTGTCGAACCTTCAGAAGGCAGGGTTCCACGACATTATGGTGTTTTTCCGAGCAGAGTATGGGCACAGAAAGGTGATTAGGGAATATCTTATGAGGAGGTTTGATTTCATGGATATTTCCCAGGTCTATGAGTACATTGAGAATGAAAGGGTTGCACTTGTTCTTGGGGGAAGCGAGGAAGATGAGCTTAGATTTCTATATGAATGTCTCGGGATCAGTCTTTACTGTGGGGTTCTTGACCATATGGAGTTCAGGGTTCCGAATGTCTACGCATTTGTGTACAGTCCACTTGAGCGCAGAGTGGAAAGGAAAGCTATGGTCTTCCATAGCGAGGATAGTGATTCCGAGGGGTGGGAGGGCATAGACGATGAGATCAAGAAGATCAATCCTATGATGAGCCTGAAGGAGGTTGATGAACTGTTCAAGTCCAGGACCAAAGCTTTTAGGCCTTGCAGCTTTTCTGTGCCTACAGAGCTGTGTAGGAAACTTATTAAGATGTTCAGAGACAGGACGTCTGGAGGAATGATAGACTTTGATGGAAGGCTCCTTCTTCGTGAGGGAGAGTCCGAGTCTGAGGAGGAGCTTATCGGCTATGATGAGATTATCAAAGACGGGCATAAGGACATTGAGAGCAAGAATGTCGGGATGGAGTTGGACTTACTAGTAAGCGGGAAGGAGATAAGCCCGGGGTCTGCGGCTGCACACATGAAAAACATAAGGAAGTCTGCACAGTCGCTGTTTGATGGGAAGCTACTGTACACGCCGATTGTTAGGACGAAGGGGGGGAAGGCGCCGAAGATGTCACAGAAGCAGAGGCAGATTATAGAAGAGAACGAAAGGAGGATGAGAGAAGAGAAAAAGGCAAAGGAGACAGCATGGCTCAAGAACTTTTTTGGAAAGTATAAGGCGCTTGATTACCAGGGAAAGAAGAATCTCTTGGAAAGTGTCAAGCGCGATGGATCTGGGATTTATAGAAGAGTTCTCCTGCTCAAGATCGAGTTCTATGCGGACATGTGGAACCTCAAGAAAAGATCTGAGGACTGTGATGAGAGTATCATTGTGCCGTGTTACCTGAGCTGCATTGAATACATCCGTGAGTTTGGAAAGCTTGGGCTCGAAGATCAGGCGCCAGATGCGGAGCTTGAGTTCGTATTTCAGAACCTGATTGGGTGTGGGTTTGAGGCAACTGTTAGAGAGTTGGTTGAGAAGCATGGGCTTGGGCACCTGAACCTTGAATTCTTTACCGATGACACAAGTGCACCCAGTGAATTTGATATCTGCTTCCAACTTAAGCACACCGGAGATAAGCTCCAAAGAAGTGTGAATTCGAAGAAGGATCCCCGTGTTCTGTTCAAGCCTGACGAGTGGCAAGTGCGACTTCTCGACCTTGTTGACAAGAACAAGAGTGCTGTGATATCTGCGCCGACAAGTGCTGGGAAGACGTTTATATGTTTCTATGCAATTGAAAAGATCCTGAAGGAGAGCGACACCAACATGGTGATTTTTTGCCTTCCCACCAAGGCTCTTGTCAACCAAGTGTCTGCAGACATATACGCTAGGTTTACTGCAAAGGTGAATTCCAAGACCTTTCTGCAGGGAAGTCTTATGAAAGAGTTTTCGATAGCTCCTTGGAACTGCCAGGTTCTGATAGTGATCCCATCTCTTCTGGAGTCTGTGCTGAATACACCTCCCAAGGGGTTTCTTGAAAGAGTCAAGTACATAATTATCGACGAGGTCCATAAGATCAGCAGCGAAGAGATGGGCATTCCGATAGAGAGGATAATCCACCTATCTCCGTGTCCTATGCTAGTCCTGAGTGCAACGCTTGGAAATATTGAAGGGTTCTATGGATGGATGAAGAAGATTGAGGAGGAGAAGGGAAGAGAGTGCGAACTTGTTTCCTATGACGAGAGATACTGTGAGCTGAAGCCCTATGTCTATTCTTGCGAGTTCAAGCCAAAGATAGTGCCGATAAACAATCTGTTTGCATACTCCTATTCGCACATAAAAAGGTTTGGGTTTGGAAATGACATGAGCTTTCTTCCCGAAGAGCTTCTCCATTTGTATGATTCCATATGTGCGGTTCTTAGTAAAGACCAGGAGCATCTGATTGGCAGGATAACGCCTGAGAATTTCTTCAAGAGCAACATAGTGACAAAGAAGGAAGTGAGGGAATACGGAAAACATCTTCTAGAGACGTTCCAAAAGATGATTGAAGGAGATCTGCTATCTGAGAAGCAAGTGAAGTATGTCTACAAGCTACAGACAAAGGAGGCAAGAAAGGCCTTCGAAACTGTTGCTGACTATAGTAACGAGTATCTTCTTGAAAACATCCTTGATCTTCTCATGGAGCTTAAGGAAAGAGACATGTTCCCGTGCATAGTCTTCAATACGGACAGGGACTTTGCTAGCAAGCTTGCACTGAAGGTGTACCAGCAGTTGGAATCCATGGACATGGAGAAGAAGAAGGACAAGTTCATCGAGAAGATGAAGAAAGAGGCGAAGAGAGCAAGAGATGCTGAGAAGACGAAGGAGAGCTGGATCGAGGAATCCATTGCAGCAGAAAAGAGTTTCCAGATGAGAAGCGACAAGAAGAACATCAAGTACACCTTCCTCGACCCCCTAACCAAGCTGACTGATTACGAGCTTTCTGAAGAGACCAAGTTCATAAAGAATACCAGCTTTGAGTTTATTGACATGATTTACCGTGGAATAGGAGTACATCATGCACACATGAATAGAAAGTACAGGTCTCTTGTTGAGATCCTATTCAGGCAGAAGCATCTGCAAGTTCTCTTTGCAACGGAAACCCTAGCTCTTGGAATCAACATGCCTTGCCGGACTGTTGTGTTTGCTGGAGACTCCCTCCAGCTAGACCCCATGAATTATAAGCAGATGGCGGGACGAGCTGGAAGAAGGGGGTTTGATACTCTTGGGAATGTTGTGTTCATGGGAATACCCAAGCAGAGGGTGCAGAACCTCATGGTGTCTTTGCTTCCGAATATAAAGGGTGTCTACACCTACACAAACACAAGCTTTGTCGGGTTCGACTTGAAGGACTCACTCATCAAGAATCCCTTGATTGAGAGCACTCTCTACAACGGCCAAGAAGAGCTTTCTAGGACGATTGGAGGGCTTTCCATATCGGGAGACAAATCTTCACCATATGACCTGAGTGACGTTTATGGGCTCGAAGAAAGAAGGGCCGAGCTTGTAAACTATCAGCTCAGTCTCCTCAAGCCATACTTCTTGCCAAAGTCCTATCTTTGTGACCTTGTGATAGGAAACAGAGACTCTGATCCCGGAATCCTATCGTTTGCTCTTCTTTTGGAGAGTGGGGCCCTTTCCTTGGATCCTGATGCCTTCATGATTACATTGGCACACTTCTTTGAAACAAAGCCTCTCTTGTTCGATATGGGCTGTACACTCCCTCCCCTGGAGCCTGCTGTATATGAGTTCTGCCGGAAGATTAATAGCATTTCGAAGAGCTCAGTGTCAAAGCTATACCCGCCGATTCTGAGATCTCTACAGAAGATGTCGTCTGCACCCTTGCATACTATCGATTCCTTCCTAAGAGTGGAGAACCTAGACAAGATAAAGAACTCATACCTTCTGGACTTTTTCAGACATGGGAGCTGGAATAGAATTGCCGAGGAAAACTGCATTGGAACAGGAGAGCTTTTTAAGTCACTGAGCGCCATCAATAACGTTGTTTTGTCCCTTATAAGACTTTACGACACATACGGCCTCTGCAGCGACGACAGATCGAAGATTATACGCTTCCACTCTATGTTCGAGCCGAAGTTCAAGGCCATGTTTGCCTAAATTAAACTCTTTTCTGGCATCGCATTCCGACTCTACCTTCCTTGTTTGCTAATTGGCAGACAAACCACGCCGCTGGACACTTATACAATAAATAAAGGGAGGCTTCTGAGCACAATGGGTAGGGTGGAAAAGATATATGTAACAGTTCTTCCCATGACCACCGACGAATATGCCGTGGGTCATTTCCATACCGTTACCTCAATGACAGAATCGGAAAATGCAGGAGGCCTGAGGGTAGAGATGATAAAAGCAGAAAGCGTTGTTCACGAAACGCTTGGAAAGGCCAACAAGACACACAAGATAATGTATTTGAAGCCAAGATTCCCACGGGTGCTTCATAGCCTCATCCCGGAAGATGCATGCATAGTTGAGGAAATCTCATACAATGCCCATACGAAGTGCCATACGTTCTACAAGAACAGATATTTCTCGAACGACACGTTTAACATGGTGTTCAACACGATCAATAGAGACGGAGCAGAAGTGCTGGAGAACCCATTTGAGCACGATCCAAGCCACGTTAGAAGTATAGAGAAGATTAACCTAGATCTCCACGGGCCTCCTGTGGACCCTGCATTCGACCCCTCTGTTTACTACCATGAGGAGAGTGGAAGAGGGAGGCTCGATGAAAACTGGATAGAGAGGTATAAAGAGGAGGGGATGCCGATGATGGTGTCTTACAAGCACCTGACTGTCGAAGTAAACAACTACATGATGGGATGGATTTCGGCAGAGATAGAGAAAGTCATGAGGGGTATCATAACATCTGTCCAGCAAAGGATATTCTGCACAATGGACAAGTGGCATGGAAAGAGCATCGATGGAATCCAAAAAGAGGGCGAAAGTCAAAAGGATAGAAATTTTATTAAATAATCATTCTTCATCTACCTTAGCCTCTGTCTTCTTCTTCTTACCCTTTTCTCCATAGCGCGAGTATGGATTGTATTCGATAAGTGGCTCCTTGTCTGCTCTTACCATGAATCCGGGAACGTCAACAACCTGATCCTTGATAGAAATGCACCTTCCTTTTATAAGAACCCTTGCATGATGTACAGACCTTGCCAGCCCTGCTGCAAACACCCTGAACTGGAGACGCCTCTCCAGATAGTGGTTGATTGTGAGATCGAGGACCTTGTTGAGCCCATCGATTACACTCTGCTTGTCACAGAGATTAATTCCGTTAAGTATCCCGTACTTCATGAGCTTCCTGAGAAGAGACCTTCCACTTATTGGGATGTCCTCTGGGTTTGTTGATGTAAGAAGCGTACGTGCACGCTCCTTATCCTTTGCAAACATCTTCTCCATGACCCAGAGCTCGTGCTTGTTCTTCAGCCCATACACACCAACCAGCTGTATCTCCCTAATCAGCCTTTCCTTCTCAAACGGGTCTCTCGGGGTGCTTGCTCTCTTGCTACCTTTCTTGCTTGCCATTCAGGGTGAAAAATTTTCATTCTATTCTACTGGCCAGAGTGAATGCATTCCTGGGCTGCCATGGAATAAAGCATCCCAGACAGAACACCATGCTCCTGCCGAGATATCCGCTCAACTGTTAAATGCAATACTTTTCGATCCCTCTGATGGGAAAGAGTGCTGTTCCAAACCTTACAGGCCTATTGCACAAAAAGGTTGCTGTTCGAATTGACGGAGGACACACTCTCAAAGGACTATTGATGGGATATGATGCATTTATGAACATAGTGCTGTCTGGAACCATGGAGACCAATGAGGCGCAGAGCACTGCAGTTATTCGAGGAGAGTTTGTAGAGGACATAGTGCCTGTGGATGAAGCATCTTGATTCTAAGAGGCTAGACTTCGGGTGCCTTAGCCCATGCTGTGCAAATTTTTCAAACTCCGAAAACAGCCCTAGAAATGAGAAGTAAGGGATACAGAAGAGGAACGAGGTCTCTGTTTTCGCAAGACCACAGAAAGCATGGTGTTGCACATGTGTCGAAATATCTTGAGAAGTATGAGATAGGTGACATGGTTGATATTGTAGTCAACCCGGCCATGATGAAGGGAATGCCTCACAAGTACTACCATGGAAGAACGGGGCGTGTCTACGATGTGAAGCCCAGGTCTGTTAACATTGCTCTTTACAAAAGGGTCCGCGGGAAGTATGTGATCAAGAAGGTGATTGCACGTATCGAGCATGTGAGGAAGAGTAGGTGCTGCGAGGAGAGCCGTGAAAGGATTCTCAAGGCCTCTGAGCTTGCAAAGAGTGCTGAGGCCAAAGGAATGGTGCTTCCTCCGATCAAGAGAAAGATTGAGGGGCCGAGGAAGAGCATGGAGATATCTCTTGAGAACAACCAGCCGATCGAAGTTGGCCATGAGCCTCACATAGTGATCTTCTAATAAAACCATTTTATCGAGACTTTTTGGCTCATCTCCTGGGCAAGAGGCTTTTCTTTCGTTCTCTGTATTCAAAAGAATGTAATTTGGCATCCTTGAATGGAAGGGAAGACGCCAATGGATGTGGAGCATGAACTTGGATGGAAATGCGAAAGCAAGCAAAGGGATGGAAGGTGTGTCCACTTGTCACCATTGAAGAAGCGTAAGATAGACGCCGAAACAACAAAGGAAAGACACACGCAGATAGTCAAGTGCCTAAATGATGGGAAAAGGCCTGTTGCAAAGAAAGCCAAGTGGTTTTCTGCTGCAAGTGCTGCACGGCTTCCCATGATGGCAATAGGGTACCTCCATCTGGTACTGAACCTCGTTGTCATAGCATTTGTATGCTATGTCATTCTGTATGTACTGGTAGGACTGGAGAGAGACATGAGATATAGGATAATTAACAGAAGGACACAGATACGGCAGCAGATAGAGGAGGCAAAGGCATTATACAAAATCAACAAGTGCGATCCAGCTACAAGAGTGCCTGCAATAGAGGAGCTATGCAACAAGTGGGAGTGTGTAATCAAAAATGGATATTGGTCTGTAGGATATACTCGCATCATTGCAGAGGTTTTTGGAGATGTAATGGACGGGTTTATCAGGAAGTTTTCTATAAGGAGCTCCTTGACAATTGGGTTTTTCTTCGTTCTATTCCTTATGTTCAGAAGGACCTCTAAGACTTGAGTCTGCAGAGCAAAAGTGTGTTACAATTAAAAAGATGGCAAAGGCTTTAACAAACACAACTTTATTTCTTGTTTGGGTCACTCACAATAATATTATTAATTGGAATGTGTATCAGCTTTATCGCATATCCCAGGATCCCAAGAAAGCCTATTCCAATGGCATGGCGCTTCATCGACATCGAGAATTCTTTTCCAGATGGCTTGATGCACTTCTTCAAAAAGAGTCGGACAGACCTCAGATGGTCTGCTAGAAAGCTTGGTTTTGGGGGATTCTGTGACATTTAGGGCTGTAGAGTTCTAGATTATTTTGATGTTTGCGAAAACAAATCGCTTGGAGGCCAGCTGGCGACACAAAATAGAGCCACCACCGAGACTCGAACTCGGGGCCTCCAGTTTACTAAACTGGCGCTATAACCACTTAGCTATGGCGGCTAGCCACGCTAACCTCACAACTCATACCGCCAACATCCTTGCCATTGCCCCTTGCAAAGCATAATAAAAGACTACAGAAAACCTTTATTCTATAAATCATCATCCCGCCCCATCACTTATTTGTCCTCGATAAGGTCTTCAACAAAAAGAACACATCCACATCCTTTTCTCTGCATGTAGTTCTCAGAATCCTCCCAAGAACATCCTCGCTCTGCTCTCTAATTCGAGAAACACAGGATTTCGCCGACTCCTTCAAAAACTCAAGCCTCTCAAACTTTCTTGCAAACTCCTGTCTAACCTCCTCAATCCTCTCAGCACCCCCAAAGTCCCTAGCTACCCTTTGACCCTCTCTTACTTCGACTCGGTTAGAATTAATCACTTCACTTTTCAAGCTGTTCCATTTCTCTTCTTCCCCAGAGGCCCACAAGATCTTTTTGTCTGCATCCTCAATCTCTTTTTCAACATCTCTTCTCTTAATGACCCCTTCGTCCTGCAAAAGTCTCTTTTCTAGACTTACTCCGTATTCTATCTTCTTCCTCTGCAGCGCATACTCTACACACAGTCTAACCAGCCCTCCCAAGGTTCCATTCTCCCCAAGCTTCCCATGCAGATCGGAAATGTTGTCCCTTCTCTTTGGTCCATCCTTAACCAGAACATTGCCACAAATGTCATCCTCAGAACTTATCTCCACAGACACATTGTCTTCTATGCCCTCTTCACACGCACTCAGCACCCGTAGATCAGCCTTGCTCTCCTTGGCCTTCTTGCTAGAATTCTCTTCCTCGGAGTCCCCCTTTCTCTTGAGACTCCGGACAAATCTAAAACTAAATATCCCATCGGTATTCCCTCTTGCCATACTCTGCTCCTCCTTTCCTTCATCAAAAATCCTCCGGGCCTTGGGCTCCTGCCTGACATTTCTCCTGAAAACAAATCCGTCTAGGTTCTCAAGCATCCTATTTAAACCACTTTAAGGGCTCGCCAAAATCCATTTCCTTCTACCGCCCCAGCTCAAAATCCCATGGTAAACCATACAAAGACATATTCCACCAAACATTTTAATTTTCAAATAACCGCTCATATATCCCAATCTCCCGCAAATGTCTCTTGACCTTCTCAACAGCCCTGTATCTTCCTATCTTAACTCCTTCCATCCCACAGGGAACCTCATCATATTCTTCCTCCCTAGGAACAAAGATATCGTTGAATACCCTGGGATCCTCTTTTCCCTTCCGAACAATGTCTCCCCGAACTTCCCCACAGAATGTCTTGGTCACAACCTTTCCTTCTTCCATCCTCATCATACCAATAATCGTAGAATAAGAGCATCCCCTTCCCACCTTCGATGCAATCTCAAGAATCCGAGGTGCACCAATCTTCAGAAAGTCCTTGGCATACTGTCCAGGGAATCCCTCCAATCCATTCATGTGGATACTGGTGTCGTCAACAAAAGCAATCGTCGATTCGGTGACCAGGTGGCTTGCCTTTCGAAGCTTGTCCATCATTATCTCCTCCTTGCTCCCCTGGATCTCTTCTATGTCCAGCACAACTAACTCCACAGGTGCATTTAAAAATTTTCTGAACGTTTCGTACTTATAGGAGCTCGATGTTATAAATATTGCACGTAAATGCCTTGGCGCACTCTCACCAAACCTGTGGCCTCTATCAATGGTCTCCCTAGAACATATAGCCATATCGCTACACGCCTTCAGTACTGTTTCATGGCCCTCCATCCTATGGATAACCAGTAATTCTTTAAGAAACCCTTTTCAATTCAATTTACAAAGTTTAATCCCTAGCGAAGCTGGCTAGGCCCACTCAATGTGGACAGCCTTCGACTCCCCCTTCTTCACCACCATGTGAACCCCAAAGTAATCTCTCATGGCCTGAATCATATTTCCTCCTCCTTCCTTTTTCTTTATCCCATTCAAGTACATCAGACAAGACGAGATAGTCGGAATAGCCACCTCGTTCTCCACAGCATATAAAACCATCTCCTTCAGATCCAAAGAACACTTGTTATACAGGGACACAAATCCAGACGTAAGTTCGAGATCCTCTTCTCTCTCCTCCCCCAAGCACCCAATCACATTCAAAAGCTTTCCTCTAAGAATGCATCCGTTGCTCCACACCCTGGTGATGTCTTTGATGGTGTATTCCCATCCATACCTCTTTCTAGCCTTCATCAGCAGGTTGAATCCCTGGATGTACGAAACTATCCGAGCAAGATAAAATCCCTTTCTTATGGCATCCTCCGATATTCTTTTCTTCCCAGTGCTGCTCTCAAGCCTCGAGGAAAGCCAGCATCTTTTGTCCTTCATGTACGACACCATCCTTGACCCAACAGCCTCCATTATTGCAGGTATCGCCTCCCCCATCTCCATCGAAGAAATCACAGTCTCCTTTCCAGTCCCCTTCTGCTCAGAGACATCCATTATTTGGTCAATCACACTTCCCCCTTCATTATTCATCCTTAGGATGTTCCGAGAAATTCTGAGCAAGTAGCTCTCTGACTCCTCCTCGTTCCAGTTATCAAACAGCAGAGATATAGACAGGTTGTCCATCCCTAAGGACTTCAGAACCAAATATGTTTCGGTGATCACCGCCATGTCTCCATACTCAATCCCGTTATGAATCATCTTGACAAAGTGTCCTGCCCCATTTTCTCCAAGCCATGCACAGCAGCGGTAGTTACTAGATATGCCAGCTGCAGAGATGTCCGTAAGAAGGCCACATACCTCCTCCCAGGCATCTCTGGAACACCCAACCATGATCGACGGGCCATTGCGGGCTCCCTCCTCTCCACCAGAAATCCCGCATCCAACAAACCTGAACTCATGATTGTTTCTTCTGATGGTATCTTTGAATGATGAATTTCCTCCATCAATGACAATGTCGTCCTTGCTCAAATGCTTGCCAAGCTCCTCAAGAAACGCATCCACCACCTCTCCAGAAGTCAGCATCAAAATGATGATCTTGGGAGAGGCCCTGATCCCTCCAACAAGGTCCTTCACAGAGTAATGTGGGCATATCTCACTGCTTTCTTTTGCAAGTTCATCTGTCTTCGAAGACGTCCTGTTGAAAACATGGAGCCTGTATCCTTTTGAAACAATGTTTAGTGCAAGGTTGCGTCCCATAACACCTAGGCCTATCAAACCAATCTCCATTGATGGGTTGGAGACATCTGGATTTGTACTTTGTCTTCCAAGACACAGAACAGCCCCGATTGTTGTTATGGAGGAAAAGATCAAGAGTCTCGAGAAAAAGCTTTTGGGAATCGAGCAGCTCCGTGCAAAGTGCGAAGGCCTTAAAACTATGAATTCCAGGATAAGAGAGTACATGAGCAGGCTGGATGTGCTGGACAGCAGGATACAGTCCATAGATGCTCAGATAGCAGGATACGACCTTGTGGACCTTCTGAGTGACAAGTCTGCAGACATAAGCTCGATGAGCTTGGGGATGGTTGTTACTGCAATGAAGGACATGGCGTCTGCCAGTCTAAGGTTTAAGGAGGACGGCTCGGCAGAATACATGGAGAGATGCAGTGTTCTTTGGAAGAGAATAAGAAGAGTCGGGTTTCTGCGCCTGAATGAAATTGTATATAAGTCCACTGAGTCACTAACAATGAATCCAGACTTTGCAGAATTTATCAAGCTATTAGATGAAGGCCTTGTACACAGGATACAGGTAAAGATTTTGCAGCTAAGAAAGGCGGAATGCCTCAGGAAGTCTGCACACATAAAAAGAAACAGAGAGTTTCTGTTCAAATCGATGATCCAGCAGGAGCTGTATATATTTCTCTCTCTGTTTCCGCTGGAGACTGAAATGTTGGGCAGAAGACTAAGGGAGTTTAAGGAAGAAAGGCCCCTCGAAAGCTCAGGGCTTTTCGAGTGCTTCTCGTTCTCTGTTCTCAAGGAATACTTCGAAAGCTGCAGCACAGAAGAGCTTGAATCCCTGAAAAGCCGTCTGTACACGGAGCTTGAGGGCAGTGCCGAAAACATTTCAGGCGAGGCAGAGATAAGCGAACATGGAGACTTCTACACCGATGTTCTGATGCTTGTGTCTGTACGGCATTATCTTTCCTCGAGGCAGAACTATGAAGAGGTCCAAAGTGAGGTTATTGAGGTCTAGGCTCTGTAGCGTGCAGACAAGGAACTCAAAACAAAAAGTGAAACGGAGGCTCATAAACCTCTGAGCCAAGAAATAAACTGATGGAGGAAGAAAGGCTACTAGAAATAACGATTCCTGGGACAAGGGATGTTGAAGGCAAACACACAGAATACGAGGTTGTGTGTATCACTAACAGCAAAAGCTTCGAAAAGTGTTACACAAAGGCCTTTAGGCGATACAGCGACTTCTACAAGCTTCACCGCAGGCTCAAGTGCCTTATAAAGGTGTTACCAGAATTTCCAAAGAAGAGATGGAACAAGATGAGCAAGGATGTTATAGAGGAAAGGATGAAGATGCTATCTATCTACCTGAAGTTTGTGTGTGATCAGATTCTTAAGGGAGGAAAGGGTGTGGAGAAGATTGAGGCAGACGTTGTGGCCTTTGTGCAGGGAAAGGACTCTAAGACTTCAAGTTAATTTATTTAGGAGGGTCTCTTGCCTGCGGGCCCGGTGTTTTACTGTCTATTTCCCGAATGATGCCCAGCCTGTTTGAGATCCTTGCTATTCTTTTTGCCTCCTTTCTCAGCCTCCTAGACTTTTCGAGCTCCCCATTCTGCTTGAAAAACCGGCTTATGTAGAAAGGTGCCAGGAACATATCTGAGGATCCTCTATTAGATGCATACTCGTTGCACTCTAGTAGGGTTCTATAAAGGTTCTTGTTGTAGTAGGCTGCATCTTCTTCTTGGCCTGGCCTTTTTGTAAGCTGGACGTATTTTGAGTGCAAAGCCATAAACGACATCCTGTTGTGTTTCAGCTTGTAGTAGGCTATGACTTCCGAATGCTCTCCCTCCTCCTTTAGATCCCTGTAAAAGTTTAGGAAGCTTGAGAAAGAGGACAGGACCTCTGCATACTTGGCAGGGATTGTGTGCTCCTTCGGAAAAACCTCTGGATCCATCTTTGATGTGAAAGCAATCCTGTCCACATTACCTTCCAAAATGTACACTAGCGACAGCAGGTCATTGGTGGATGGAGGTTCCTCATAGTACTCGAACATCTTATCTTGCAGGGGACTTACACGAAGAGACTAAACAAACACATTAAATTTAATGCCCAAGACCCTGGATGGATAGAACCGATGAGTTTGTGAAGATCATCCGGGCCACACTCATTCCCCAGCAGGGAAGGCCTCTTCTTTCATCTCCATACACAAAGGCATTTGAAATAGATGCAGCAATAGAGAAGACACTTTCCGAAATAGATAGGATGCTAAGCAAGGAGAGGGTATATGAGTCATTTACACTACAGTCGAAGATAGACAAGGCCTGCGAGTTGGTGGGGAGGATGCGAGATGCTATAGGGCTTGAAACGAGATACAGAAACGATCAGGAAGCCATGTCGTATACAAATCTTGAGGGGATGATCAAAAACAGAGTGTCAAGATATAACATAAAGCTGAAGGAATTCATCAACAGAAGAAACGAGCGAGCACAGGCTGTGAGTGAGAGGAGGAAGGAGTTTGATTCTGAGTGCTCCCGAGAGTACCAAGACACTGTGCTTATGGAGAACGAGGTTGTCACAGAAAGGATCAAGGAAAGGCAGAAGATATCGATGCAGATCAGCGAGATAGGGCAGATAATGGAGGAAATAAGCATGCATGTGTCTCTTCAGGAGGAGAGCTTCAAAAGGATTGATGATCTCATGGCAACCTCAGATTCCCTCATTTCTGGAAGTCTCGATCTCATGAAGAAGACCTGGGAAAATGTTTCTGGTACTCGTCCTGCAATAATCAAGTTCGTGGTGTTCTGGCTAGTATTAGCCCTGGCCTTTTGGCTGCTGAGGAGGTGATTTTATGTAATCAATTGAAAAAGTAAGAATCTTGCTTGAATGAGAAGCCTAGAACTTTTCTAAACAGTTTTTATATAAACAAAAGCATTTGGATTTGTTGTCGAGCTACTGTCCCAAGAAGGCCAGTCCTTTTGCCACGTTACTTCATTAAACATGCCGGTATTCAAGTATCTTGTCTTCACAGGCAACAACGAAATTTTCTCCGTTAGAGCTCACAAGCTTGAGCTTGTCCTTCTTCTCCATGTTCTTTGGATCACACGGTACAAGCAAGTCTTCTTTTGATCCATCAAGAAGATTGATGATGTGAACAGTGTCTCTGAATCCACCTGTGAATCCGTGGCGGTCCGAGCAGCATATCCTGAACCTTGCGTATACAGCATCCGATTCGTAGACAGAGCTGATCTCGTCTGTATCATCGCATAGTATAGTAGTGAAAATGTTGTTCTTGGGATTCCTCATGTCGTAGAGCGTGACAGAATTGAGGCTTCTAGCAAGAATAAGGTTCGAGTCGACAAACTGGAAGTCGGAAATAGACTTCACAGCACCCTCAATCCCATCCACATCCACGCCGTCTATTGTCAGAGTTTCTAATGACTTGGAGGACAGCCTTAGGTCATTCACACGGATCTCACCAGAGCTTGTTGAATATCCAAACACCATATTCATCTCCTTACTGAACTTTGTCGAGTTGATCACAAACATCAGGTCGCTGTACTTATGTGGTTTTACGTCTACAATAGTAAAGCATCCATCGATCTTTTCAGGCTTCCACAGATTGATCTTCAGATAGTCCGAGGACAAAAGATACTGCTTGTCGTTGTTAAGGCTGAGGCTGTTCAAAATGCATGGGTGCACATTCTTGCATTCCTTTACACACACACACTCGTATTCTTCAGCATACTTTCCCTCCAGAATCTCCCTGGTAGCCCCTTTATTCCTGACCTTCCACACCTTCAGGTTTCTTTCGTTCCCAACAATAAGAATCTCGTTCAGGCCCCCATCGTCAAACCTCTCAATCGCTAACACCTTTTCAGCCACGTCGCAGCTCTCTAGGTAGTCAAACTCTAGCTCAAATCCTTGGAATGAGTACAGCTTCCTGTCCCCATAACAGTTCACCCTTCCGTCCCCACATCCCACGTACAAGTTCTCCCCATACAGCACAGAAGTAGCCTTCTCCTTGTTGTCTAACGAATTAAGCTCTAGAGTAAAGGCTCTGCATTGCTTCCACATCGGAATTCTATTATTACCCATAGCTAAGATTTTTTATTAAGAAAAAATTGCTCCTGACTTCGCAGCAATAATTGCGTCATTAAGTACCTTTTAATGTAATACGGATCACCTGCGGCCTCTGTAGAGGTGCTTCGGCTTCCTGTCGTAGTAGTTCTTGTCGTCAAACCTGGCCTTCTTCTTCTTTAGGTGCTTGGGAGGCTGCACAACCTGGATCTTGCTTTCCTTTTTCACCTGGACAGCTACCTCTCCCCCGCCGCTCTTTGATCTAAGTTTCCACGAGTCCGGGATCTTCTTCTTCTCATTGAGCCTGTTGATAATCCTCCTTCTTTCTATCCCAATGGCAACTTCCTTCTTTATGGCCCTTTCCTCCGGGGACAGGACATCGTATGTCTTGTCGTACATCGGGAGCATATCCTCTTCTTCCTTCTCAATCTCTGAGAGCCTCTTCTCAATCTCGGGGTCAAAGAAATCAGCCACATTCTTGCCGTCAATGATCTCAGGAACAATGTCGTACTTATACTCCTCGGGAACAAGATACCTTTCCTGTTCATTCTCAATCTCCGTTATCTCCCTCGAGCAGATAAATGCCTCGGCCTTCTCCCTCACTTCCCTCGGCCTGATTATGGTGATTCTATTGATGTGCTCGCAAAGTTTGTCGCTGTTGATCTTCTTCTCAAACCTCTCGTCAAGTAAGAGATCGCACGCCATTCCTTTGACTGTGTCTATGTTCTCCTCCCTTTCGCAACTCATCTCCATGTACTTCTTTCCTTCCAGAAACTTCGTGATCATCTCCTTGTTCTCTACCTCAGACAGCTTCATAATGTCGCTCTTGCTTAGCACAATAACCATGGTCGAGTTGAGGAGAGGATTCAGTGTGTTAAATAGATCTATCTGCTCCTCAATAGAGTATCCGCACGTCTCACTCAGGTCAATGAAGTACAAGACAACAGCCTTTATATGTGCAAGCGCAGTTATGCTGAGCATCTCAATGGTGTTTCTGTTCTCAAGAGGCTGGTCAAGAATCCCTGGAGTATCAATCACCTGCCATTTCAGATACTTGTAGTCAAAGTGCCCCACATAAAGGCTTTTTGTTGTAAATGGATAGGGCTGAACCTCGACGTCTGCTCTCGACACCTTCTTGACAAATGAGCTCTTCCCAACATTTGGAAATCCACATACAAGAAGAGTTCTTCCAGACAGATCTATCGACGGCAGTCTACTCATGTGCATCCTAACCTCTTCCAGATACTCCAGCGTCTTTCCGAGCCTTTTCACTCCAGATGCCATCCTCCCAAGTGCAGCCCTCTTCAGCTGTTTGCATCTGTAAAGACTGTCTGCAAACTTCAGGAGCTTCATAAACTCCTTCGAGACCTTTTCAATCCCATTCCTTGCTGCATTCACGTGCCCAAGAGCAAGCTTGTAGTGGTCCCTGTCATATAGAACATTGATCAAGTCTGCATAAAATGGATGGATGTCCTCAATCCTCGGGAAGTCAGTAAGAATCGTTCCAAGCCTCGATGCAAACTCGTTTCCAGCATGCTTCACCTTCCTCATGTAAAACATCCTTATCTTAATGATGTTGTACTGGGGATGGACAACCGTCGGCGTCTTTCTTTGGGTCTTATTGAGAGACGTGTCTATCAGCTCCATGTTCAGTGGCACAGGAGTTATGTGCCCAAAGTTCGCTTTCATTTGGGGTGTTTCCCAAGAACGAAAAAATTGCAGGACACCCACACAGCCAGGCATTAGAGATTCCATTCCATTCCTACCTTTTGTCGGCGGCAAAACACCATAGGTCTAGAGATTCTTTAACCCATATCCAGATGCTTAGGCTGTATGAAGGAACAATCTTTCTTCCAAGTAGCCCTCCAGAGTGTACCTTCGTCCAAATAATACACCGAAAAACAACCAGGATTCTCCCAGGAGAAAAGTACAATATACCTGTATGCCTTGGCTGCCAAGCGGTGTTCGACAACCTTTACATCCATACAGGAAGCCCAAGCCTCATGACTGTGAATTACATACAGACTTACGTGTCCAAGAAGAGGCAGGGAATACTGTCATACAGGGAATTCCAGGATATCGAGGTCACAAGAGAAAAGGTACTGAAATCAGAGATATACGAGGTGCATCCCCCGTTTACCATTAGAGAATACTTTGACGGAACGTTTCTATTTCTCAAGCTAGAAGAACTGTTTGGGGAGGAGGAGATTAGGAGGTACGAGGTGTACAGCGAGAGGAACGAGCGTGTGGAAGAGAAGGGATCTGTCTATAGGATATATCCAGACAGAAGGTATGATCAGGAGTACGTCATTTTTGGAGAGGGGTTTGTATATAGGTTTGAGCCAAGATGTGTTGCTGCATGCCCATTTTACTTTAAGTTCTGGAGGGCCGAGGAAACAATATACTTTGTTGCAAAGCCAAAAAACACTGTCTTGAAGGTGGAATGCCCAGAGCTTGTGTCGTCTGACACATCAAGTGGCACAATAAGCCTCCCGTTCGATCAATTCGACGAGCAGGGCGGGTTCCTGTGCGTCGGAGACTACAGACTTGGATACTCTTCCGAATTCTACAAGGAGCATGGCATGCACTAGATTCCCAAGAGGCATATGATATTGGAATCTGAGGACACCCTGAATGGAAAACATAAAGAGGAATAGAAGGTTTCTAGGCATAGCACTCATAAACTTTGCGATCTCTGTGTTTATTCTCTTCCATGCCCCGATGTTTATTCCTGTATCCTATATCTCCCCGAAGGTATGCCTCAGATTTGCGTCTTTGTTCATATATACCTTTGTCTACATATTTGTTCTTCTTGGAGCCAACGTTGGGAGGATTGCCCCCAATAAACTTGCTAGGAGGGTTATAGCTGTTGAGCAATGAAGGATGTGCAGTAGGCCTTGGATACTTGGATAGAAGAAAATTTTTATCCTAAAATGACAGAGGAGGTTCATGAAAGGTTCCTGGAATTTCTGGATAGTACGCCCAAGATCAGGGTGGAGGCTGAGCAGGCGATATATAGGAACGAGGCGGTGCTGCTGATTGATCTTCAGGACATCAATGCATACTCTGCAGAATTGTATGCCGACATAATTCGGAACTTTTCACAGAACATCGACAAGATTAACAGAAGCACTGCGCTTTACACAATGAGGGAGTTTTCGAAGGCACTTGAATGCACGTCATTCCACAACAGCCATGTAGTGTATAAGATCAGGGAGCTGAAGAGCGACAAACTCGGACAGCTTTTAAGCTTCAGCGGGACGGTTACAAGAACCACTCAAGTTAGGCCGGAGCTCTCCAAAGGAACTTTTGTATGCAAGGTGTGTAGCTCTGTTGTTGGCGATGTTTTCCAGGAGTTCAAGTATACAGAGCCCCTGGTGTGCCCCAACCACCTGTGCACAAACAGAAGGCTATGGAAGCTTGATATTGACAAGAGCAAGTTTCTGAACTGGCAGAAGATACACATCCAAGAAAACACAGAAGAGATTCCTCCGGGGTCCCTTCCAAGAAGCATGGATGTGATTGTCAGGAATGATTTGGTGGAAAAGATAAGGGCTGGGGATAAGGTTGTGATGACGGGATATCCCATAGTTGTTCCTGATGTGGTACAGCTGATGATGCCTCAAAGCAAGACTGTCCCCATGCAGAGTGGGGAGCTGGACGAGATCAAGAAGAAGAGGAACATAAACATAAAGGATCTTAACTACAAGTTGAGCTTTATGTGCATCCATGCCGACTGTAGCGTTGTTGAAGACGACGAATTTACAAACGAGGAGCTTGGGATCATAAGCGAAATGAGATCGACGCCCGACCTCTATTACAAGCTAAGCCAAAGTATGTTTCCATCGATACACGGGCACTACTCAATTAAGAATGCCATACTACTGCTACTTGTTGGAGGGGTTGGAAAGAAAGCAGAGGGAGGAACCAGCCTGCGGGGAGATATAAATGTTCTGCTTGTTGGCGATCCCGGAACTGCGAAGTCACAGTTTCTGAAGCAGGCAAGTGCATTTCTCCCAAGAAGCGTTTACACGTCTGGCAAGAGCAGTAGTGCGGCAGGCCTCACGGCTAGTGTGATAAAGGACGGAGAGACTGGAGAATTTACCATTGAAGCAGGGGCATTGATGCTGAGCGACACCGGCGTATGCTGTATCGACGAGTTCGACAAGATGAATATTAAAGACCAAGTGAGCATCCACGAGGCAATGGAGCAGCAGACAATAACCATATCCAAGGCTGGAGTGAATGCAACCCTTAATGCCAGAAGCAGTATTCTAGCAGCAGCGAATCCCATAAAGGGAAGGTACGATAGGAAAAAGACATTGAGGCAGAACATAAACCTCAGTGCGCCTGTTATGTCAAGGTTTGACCTATATTTCGTTCTTATCGACGATGCAAATGTGGAAAACGATAGGAATGTTGCAACGCATGTCCTCAACAGCCACGCATCGGTTGCTGATTCTGGGGTGCTTTCAAGCTACTTCACAAGAGAGCAGGTCAAGCTGTATTTGCGGTATGCAAGAAAGAGAACGCCCAGGATGACTGAGGAAGCAAAGGAGATGCTCATCAAGAAGTATATAAGCATAAGACAGGACAGCCTTATTCACAGTAACAACTATATGATGACTGTCAGACACCTAGAGAGCCTTATCCGGCTCAGTGAGGCACTTGCAAAGGTACACGGTAGTGAGCTTGTGACGAAGGAGTACGTGGAAGAAGCACACAGACTGGTGAAGAGCAGTGTTGTTGAGGTCAAGGGCGAAGATATAGAAATAGTCCCTGGGACGGGAGACGAACCTGGATTCATGATAAATAGCAAGGATTACATAAGAATAACCAACTCCTTCATATACCTCATAAAAACACGGGAGCCTATGGAAAGACATGAGCTGATCGAGGCATTTCTTTTTGAAAACGAATCATCCATAGAGAGTGAGAAGGCCTTGATTGAAGAGCAGAACAAGGCTGAAAACGTACTGTCCTTCCTCATAGGCAAAGAGGGTGTTCTGTTCATCACCGATGGGAAAATCCACATTCATCCCAGCTATGATGTATGAAATAAAGACCTATCCTTTTGATTCTACCATCTTCACTTGAGTCAGATACAATTGTTTATTACTGGTCATCAATGGCTGCTTTGATTGCAGATATGTCATTCAGGATGCCATGGACTTCACTTGCTGTCCAGGGATTCACAAACTCCTTTATATCTTCGTATGGTGCATATCTTGCGAGCTCTCTTATCTCGTCGATAACGCTCTTTTCAATGAACCTGAGTGTCTTCTCGCACATTTCTCTTCTGAGATCCCTGGCAAGATCGTTCTTTTCTCTTTGCTCTTCAGTGATCTCCTCTCTATCTTCAGCTTCCTTCTTCTTTGGTGACTTCTTCATGAGTTCCAAGGGCTAGGGGTTTCTTGTCTGTAATCCCAACACTTCTGCCTTCCTTTGGATTAGACTCCACCTGTGAAAACTGGTGGAACACCTCGTATAGAATCTGCCCAGACACTATTTCGTGCAGCATCAATTTCCTGAATCTCGGGATCCCGTCAGAGGAAAGCCACTCACGACTCCCGCAAAGTCTGTATCTTCCAAACATGCATACAAACACCCCACAATCCCTTCCGTTTCTCTGTAAAGGTATTTTTTTCTTGATGTCGACAGACAAGAAAGGTTCTTTCCTGTATATTCTGCTCCATTCGTCTTTTATGTATCTGAGTATCCTAAGAACTACCTCGGTGTACACACTCCCCATGGAGTCGTAGTGCTCAAGCACTCTCCTTCTGACGTCAAAAACTATAAGTATCCAGTGGCCTGGAACGTGCACAGGTATGTACACCAACCTGCTCTCAAATATGTTTATCCGTGAGGTCCATCTCTGCACCCAAGGAATGCCTCTTCTGCTCAGGGCTGCATAGAAGAATGTAGAGAAGACATACACGCTGGCGTTTGAATGCTTGGCAAGAAGTTCGAAATATACGTTGATTATCTTGTCGTTGAGCATAAACCCATCCTTTGTTCTCTCTATATCTTCAGGGAGCAGCTCGTATCCTTCTCTTTTGATAGTAGTGGGCGTTTTAAGACAAGCCTCGGCAATGGCGTCTAGCTGCTCCTGGGTGGAGGGAATCATGCCGGCGCCGTCCGTGCTTCCATCATCTACAGTGCGATGATCTCCGCTTCTTATCACTTTTTCATCCATAAAAGCGTCCTAACTATTTGGGGAGAATGGCTGCAGTGCCCATACTTCAATGGAGGGAGACAGCCTTCAAAACGACCCGCAGGCGTTTGACATTGGGAAAAAAGGATTTCTTAGCTATGAGGAGTACAGGGGATACTGCCTCAGTATACTCAAGCAGCCCTTGGGAAGAAAAAAGGTAGGTGACAGAATCGAATACAACGACATAAGATTTGCATCATGCGAGGTAGAAATCGATGGGGTCTTCGACTTCTTTTCCTCCGGAGAAGACTGCATCTCGCCCCAAACACTCAAGAAGGCGATATCTAAGCTTGAGATGAACATTTCAGATGAAGACATAGCAGTAATGCTGGACATGTTCAACTCAGACAAGCTGGTATCGAGAGAATCGTTCTCAAGACTGTTTGGATAGGCTTGCTTACCAACACCTAAGAAGGAATAAAATGTTTATTTTCTTCGCTACTCCACCTTAAGCTCTTCAATACTCCTCATGTCAAGGGCATTAAATCCATGCTCTCCCCCAATATACACCATGCTGTCCTTGAAGCACAGATCAAAGATACATCCCACACCCCCTTCAACAAGCTTGAAGCTCTTCTCGTCTCTTATGTCACCACATCCGACAATTCCATTGCATGTGCTAAACACAATCCTATTTTCTCCGTCTCCTTTTATGCTCAGTATCTTCTCTGCCCCAATCGGTATCTTGAACGTACGCATCCCCATAGGCATGTTTATAAGAAGTATATGGTCGAAGTCTCCACCAACAATAAAGTAGTTGTTCATGTACAGAACACACTCGGGAGTCCCCTCAACACTAATTCTGCTCAGGAGATGGGCGTTCTTTCTCACCACAATGCATCCTTCCAGTCCCAGGCAGACAACATCACTTGAAGGTATCTTGTCCATGGCAGACCCGCCTCTCACATGAACATCCATAAGCTTCTGGTGGCTCTTGGCATCAAATATCACGAAGTTGGTCTCACTGAGAGTGTAAACCTTGCCATCTTCATAGCATATGTCCTGTATCTCGTTATACTGTCCAATGCAGACATTCTGAATACACAGATCAAGAGTAAACAGGTGCACATTTCCTCCGACAGTCCCCACAACAAGTTTGTCTCCGTTTATCTTTATCCGGGAAATATCCTCGTTCACAGAAACATTGTTGATCTCTCCCTCCAGAGTCATCAGAGATATCGTTCCGTCCAGAGAGGCAACAATAAATCTTTCCTCGTCTATGAACTTGCAGAATATTACAGAGTCATCGAAGTCCTCCACCACGCTGATGATATCTCCCGTTTCCAGATCAGTTACAATGCATTTGTCATCTCCTCCCCCATGTATTAGCATGTTCCTCTTCGGGTTCAAGTCTATTCCATACACCTCACTATCCATGGGACCCCCATTCCTATGCTTTATTCCTACCCCTCATCTACAAATCTTCATCCCAAGCCTTTCTCCAACCCTGTCAATCACCTCAAAGGCCTTCATTATATCCTCGGTGCTGTGGGACGCAGAAATGCACAGTCTGACCCTGCTCGTCAGTATAGGCGTTGCAGGATACCCAACAACAACAACTCCGATTCCTTCATCCATGCATAGCCTCGAAAACTCAGCTAGCTTCCCAGGGCAAACAACGAGAATGGGGATGACCGGAGAAAACTCATCTCCAAGCACAAAAAAGCCTGCATTCACAAGGCTCTGCCTCATGAGGACAGTGTTCGACCTAAGCTTTTCGATCCTCAGCCTCCCGAGCTCCGTAAACTTTATACACCTTAGACTCTCCAATATCTGCGAGCATACAAACGGAGGTATCTGGTCTCCATAAAGAGAAAGGTCGCTGTAGAACCTCAGCCATGTTATTAGCTTCTTCGACCCCGCTATATATCCTCCCATTCCTCCAAAGGATTTTGTAAACGTTCCCATGAAGATGTCGATTTCCTTGAAGTCTACTCCTGTGTGCTCGCAGACGCCCCGTCCAGTGGCACCCAGCGCTCCTATAGAGTGTGCCTCATCCACAAATATGTAGAACTTGTACTTCTTCTTCAGCTCAACCAGCCTTTTCATGTTTGCAACCGTCCCTTCCATCGAATAAATTCCCTCCACAATCACAATGATCTTCTTCCATGCTCTGTGTGTCAAAGGCTGCCCCTGCGAGATATTGAAGACCAGCTTGCTCTCTAGATCCTCCATGTTGTTGTGCTCAAACACCCTTATAACCCCCTTGCTTATCTTTGCTCCCGTTATCAGCGACGCATGGTTGAGCTCGTCAGACAAGATAAGTGTTTCTTCTTCGCATATCACAGGTATGTTTGAAGAGTTTGTGCCATATCCAATCGAAAACACCATACAATCCTCCTGGTATAGGAAAGATGCCATTTCCTCTTCCAGCTCTCTGATTATGCCGTAGCAACCCACCTCTCTGGTTGGCGCCGTCATCACAAGAGGATACTGCCGCACCACATCCACAACCTTCTCCACAATTGGGCCCTCGTTGCTGCTGAATCCAAGATAGTTGTATGATCCAAGATTAAGTAGCCTTAGCTTTCTTCCTGTAAATCGAAAGGTCTCGTTGTAGTCCTCAGATATCCTCTCTAGAACCGTGACATATCTTCCGGGAACACCAGCAATAGGCCGTTCGCAGCAGTCCCGGCCTCTTCGGAATATCCTGCGGCTGAAGAAGCTCTCGAAACTACCATACAGTGGCACTTTTCCATTGTCCAGCTTATATCTTTTGTACATCCTCGGAAAAAACAGTTTTCCAAATGTATCTCTGGCATGGCCCAGCAGAACAACAATAAGATAGAACAGATATGTGACTAGCATCAGGTGCAGTGGGATCTTGTTCTCCCCCATCTTGGTTTGTTTGGATTCTTTCAAGTGTCTTTTGTTCTATCAATACTCACGTCATTCATATTCTCCGGCAGCATAGTTCAGCTCCGGATAATAACCGGTCGCAACAATCCGGCCCTCGTAAACAAGCCCTCCAAGCTCGTCACGAACCCTCTCTGATGTTTCTAGATCTCTGCATTCTACAAAGATTCGAGAACTTCCAGGCTGTCTGGCTGCACCAAGACTGTTCCCAGGCACCATCACGTCCTTCACACCTCCATACTTAGAACACATCTTCTTGATTCCCTCTACAGCCTTGGACACATCTGTATCCCAAGGCCCTATCACATTCAGGACAGTCACTATCCTGGTTCTTTCCCTGCTGAGAGCAATGGGTCCCGCCATTCTTCTTGGAGCAAGGTGAGGAATGTTCTTCCCAAGGTTCAGAATCGTACACCCTTCGTAAGCTCTTGCAGAGGTCAGAGGCTTGCCTATGTCTGACATAAATATATGACTTGTAGCCCTGATAAAGGGCTCGCAAAACTCCGGGTTCCTGAATGTAAAGACAAAGTACAGGGGATTGCCACATGTCCTGAAGCTTTGCAAAGGCGATATTTCGTCAAGAGCATCTCTAAGAATCGGTGGGCTTACATCCAACGGGCCCAGTATAATCTTGTTTCTGTCGCACGGAACATCTTTGCAGTACTTACTCCCTTCATTTCTTGCTTCCGAGGCACCTGGAAGCTCTATGTACTCGGCAGGGCGAAGAAAGGAGAAGTCCCTATTGCTTAGGCGCAAACATTCCGTAGCATCCTGCCTTGAATTGAACACAATCTCAACCCCAGTGTTTGTACCCTTAAGAGTAAAGCCCCTGAAGAAACGCAGTAAGAACCTATTCACTGAGCTCACACCCAAAGACGTCAGGCAAACAATGGTCACGCTGTTTCTGTAATCCTCCTCGGTGAATTCGTCTGTCTTTAACCTTGGAAGTAAAAGTGGTACATAAAGATCTTTTTCATACTCCTTTGTAATGTCGATGTTGGACTCGAGAATCTCCTCAAGGTATTCCACTCCCTCAATCATACACTTCCCCACATCAAACAGATTCATTCTCCTGAACCTCTTGTCGAGCGGAAGCAACCCCATCTCAGCAGGGACTATCTCCCGGTTATAACCTTCCGAAAATGTGCTGTAATGGATGGAAAAAATATTTTCGGTCGAGTTTATTAGTCAAATAGTCTGTTTATCAAAGCTCCATAATGTTTGGATCAAGTTGAATGATCGCCGCAAAGTTCCCAAAAAACATCTTCATAAAATTTACAAGAACTCCGACCTGCTCCAGATCCAGCTCGTTGTGAGGCTTGATCACAAGATTCGGCATCATTATGGTAGAAATCCCTTCCATGTTCATGTTGTCCTTGTGGTTTTTTCCCTTGTCCGTTGCAATGTCATGTATAACATACAAAAAGTAGATCATCGCCTCAAGGACATGTCTATTTGTCTTTGGCATTGATATAAATAGCATCTGACAGAGAATAATCTGGTCCTCCCTGCTCTCAACCTTTGCTATTTTGAACATAGTGTCTATTAGACTTTCCGGAATGATTGTGCTAGAGTACTCTCTGAGGATTTCCTTGAATGCAGTGGTAAGGTCAATAACATTGTAGTCCCGGACAAGAATCCTTCGAGCTTCTCCATACGAGAGATTCCTTCTGACACACATGTTGATAGTCTCCACACACTCCTTGATTGTTGTGATTGAGTTTCTGACCCTGAAGATCCCTCCGACCTTGCAATCGAGGCTTAAGACAGTCTCCGTTAGTATGTAGAAATTCCTAGGGACCATCAGCTCTCCCTCCTTTCCATAGCTGAGCCTAGTGACAACCCACTCGTACTTGGAAGAAAGCTTCAACATTTCATGAGAAAAAAACATTCTTGCAAATCTGCCTTGCCTCAGCTTGAATATCTCAAAGGTCCCAAAGTACTTGCGTATCAGATCGTCATAATAGTCGAAGAAGCTGCTTCTGTATACCTCGAAGTCTTTATCGTCAAGGCCGTTCACCGTCCTTAGGCTTCTTTCAAATGGCTTCCCTAGGGATTTCCTCTCCATTGTTTATTTACTAACCAATCTATTTCTAGCTATATAAAGTCACTACAATCTGAAACAGTACTGATACCTACCTGTAAAAGAGCTTCTACATAGTAAGAGCAAACCTCTGATATTAGTTCCACATGTTTTAGTAGTTGAAACCCAGAGCTCGAGGAGGCCGGAAATTAAATGAAGGTACTAGCCATCTTCATCCACTCAATGCTGCCAAGGAAGTGAATAAACAGGTCGTTGTGCTCCGTGACTTCTAATATGTCTTTGAGGCTTGCTATACTTTCAATGAGCTTATTTTCAAATGGTTTCATCTCTTCCCAGCTCAGTGCAGACTTACACTCCACATCCAGAAAGTCAAAGCAAAGATCAAAAAAACTACTCCATGCATAGTACGCCTTCTCACTTGTCAGATACAGGTCGCGAAGCCATCTTTTTGTACTGGTGAGCAAGGCATTCCTTACATAGTCCATGTCCTTCTCCACCTTTATTGGATTCATTCTCGAGTGGATGGAAAATCTGAATCTATCAACCACCATCATCGCCATTCTTGCAAACCAGAACCTTTTGAGCCTGCTCATATAGTATGATATGCTGGTGAGTGTAAACAAAAACCTGAAGACTATCTCGAGCTCAGATACAGTCCTCGGAGATAGGAAGTTCCTCAAAATGGATGGCGTGTATTCGATACTCAGCAGCTGTAGCATTGTGGAGTGCCTTTTCTGGCAAGGCTGCATCTGAGCATTCAGAATCTGTAGAATGTACTCGTTGGTCGACACATCAGATCTTATGAACGAAAGACCTTCCACATGCTTTGACTCTCTGATGGCATTCATCTTGGCAACCGTTCTTTCGCTGGGAAAAAACATTTCGTCCACCAGCTCCTCAAATATATCTAGATATAGGGAAGACTCGTTCATTAGTAGGTACCTATGCATCACATCGAACTCCTTTTCAAGCCCGCCTCTTAACGACTCCATAAACTGTATGCTTAGATATGCATTCAGCCCCGTCAGCCCAAGGCGATTGTACTCTCTTCTGGATCCGTGGAATATGTTCTTCCCCTGGATCCTTCTCCCGAGGTTGATGATTCTTCCACAGTTGTAGATAATCTCTTTGTGTTCCGCCAGGAAGTACGGGACATTCTCCTCAACAATAGTATATTGGTGTGTCCAGGCACATTCCGTGAACTCGCTCAGACACTCGTTTTTCCTCACCATAAACTCACTGCAGGGCATCAATCCCTCAGTGACCCAGCTTTCCACCTCTGCCTTTATCCTTAGAACACAGGGGCCAATGAGCTCATCATAGATGTCCAGAAACCGGACCGTCCCGTCTCTTCTTCTCTTAAGCAGGTTCAATATCCTCACGCCAGACATGTTTCTGACATCGTCTACTATCTCCCTCATCTCATCAAACTCCTCAATCGAACTTCTTAGACTCACCATAAGCATCTCAATGCTCCACACCTTACTTCTCAGGCTCATAAGGTGCTTCAGATACTTGCTGACCCTTTGCTCAAAGTGGTCTGCTACTATCTCCTTAACCGTGTCTGACGAGTATTGTGACTTCAGTATGAACTTGTTGAGAACTCTCACATTAATGGCTAGCGATTCAAATGGAAGAACAAGTTGTGGAGGATATGTGGGATCGGCTACCAATGCATATCTCTTGTCCTTCACTCCTATCTTCATATGCGTGGTGTCCACTCCGCAAAGAAGATAGAAGAGGTTCTCCAGCATTATGGCGTGTCTCTCCTTCTCAAGGTCCATCCCCTTGCCACAATTTTCTTTGTTCATAGAAACAAAAGGGATCAGCCAAGGCTTTATTTCTTTGTTAAGACCTGTATCCTAGTCCTATCCACCGAAGGTCAAACCTGCTTGCCAACAGAGTCGGCACCAAAAACACAGATATCAGGTAAGAAAGCATGTTCAGGTGTCCGGCCATGGGCGAGAAGCTCCGAAGATCGAAGAAGACATTGCCAAGCAACACGATCAGGTTTGAGAACAGAAAAACGAACATCATGTTCGAACTGCAGAACGTGGCCACTAGCGGTCTGTACATAACGATCATGCTCTCCAAGAGCATGTAAATCCCCAAATGGAAGGTGTGGAGGGTGAGCACCCAAAACACAAATGCTCCATTCCCTAGCCTCCTGGATCCCTCACTTGAGAGGCAGAATGCTACATAGAGACATCCAAACAGGCCCGACATGCCTAGAGCCCTCAATGCCTTTCTTCTTATCTTTTCTTGGGAAAGACATATCTTTCCTACCTCAGTTGCCATCAGAAATATAGATACATACGGAACAATTGCTACAATCCCTTCCTTGTTCTTTTCTAGGAATGTTCTCCTTTCGTCTGAAAAGATGAAAAACATCAGTCCAGAGAACTTGAGGATGACCTCATACACAGTTACTATCAAGAGCCCAAGAAGGAGGTTATGCCTGCACTTTATGGCCGAGCATATGAGATTTACGGCTGCAAGTAGGAAGTAAAAGTTTAAGTGTGTTCCGTATTCTTTTGGGTTCACATTGATACCAAACCATCTGATGAAAAAGAACCTTACAAATCCCAAAAGAATAAGGGCGAGATAGGACTTGATATGCCTTTTTTGGAATCTGCTCCTGCATCTCACCACCCCGCTATTGTATATGAAGCTCCCTACACCTATATCCATCATCGATACTCCAAGGTAGTGAGACTTTCCAAGTCTTTTATCGAATATTACGAAGTCCACGCCGTATATCGCAATCACAACCAGGGCGGAGATCGTGAACCGCATATAATCTATGACCGATGTCTTTTCGCTAGTGGATTCATGGTCTCTTCTTATCTTTGGGTATTTAATTAGCATAGCCAAACAAATGTACAGAATCCATATGCTGTCTGGGAACATAATGGCACAGTACTGAGGAACTATACAGAACAGGAAGTCGTTGAGAATAGTCTTCTTATACCCAGATGAATAAACCACTAGAGACAGTATCGACATTCCTGTTATCTGCAGATGCTCCAGCTCGTTTGTGTTCTTCATTAGGAGGCCCTGGAGCACAAGCCAAATATATCTGTTCCAAGCACGCCTCTGCTGAACTTTAATCTGGGGATGAGCCCTTGGATGCCGAAGGGAGAGGCCGAGTATTTTTTCACATACAGAACCAATGTCAAGGGACGGTGGTGCGGAAGGCCTGTTATAGATGTTCTTGCTTCAGAGTTCAGGACAAGGACCAGAGACTATTTTTTGTCTGCACTGGAGTGTGGCGTGATAACAGTTAACGAGGAAGTTGTAGAGCCTACAAGGATGCTCAGGATCGGAGACGTAATAAAGCATACTGTTCATATCCACGAGCCGTCGCATCCGGAGATCGATGTTATAAAGATAGAGGAAGACTATGTTGTTGTAAACAAGCCGTCTGGGATTCCCTGCCACCCCACAGGAGGTTATAGAGAATACTCTGTCACAAGAGCGCTTTTTGGAGACCAGAAGGTTGCCTGCATCAATAGGCTGGATATGCCTGTGTCTGGCGTGCTGATAATTGCAACAAGAAACCACTCGAAATGCCTGGAAAGTATCCGAGATGCCGTGAAGATCTACATTGCAAAGGTCTGTGGAATGTTTCCTGATAGTGTGGTTGTGGATAAAGGCATCAAGTGCACAGAAGGTAAGAACAGGCATGTGAGTGACGAAGGAAAGGCATGCTTAACGCTATTCAGAAGGCTGGAGTACAAAGATGGATACTCACTTGTCGAGTGTAAGCCTGTGACGGGGCGTACACATCAGATTAGAATACATCTACAGAGTATTGGATTTCCGATCATAAATGACGTAATGTATGGTGATGGTGTGCAGCCTCCGCTACCTCAAGATGATGTCTGTCATGCAGACATAAATGGACTTGGGGACAGAAGGATGTATGAGTATGTGGTTAAGCATTGCAAGGGAAGGAGCAACCGGTCCTTTGTCGCCAAGGGCCACTACATCTGCCTCCATGCTTGGAAGTACATATATAACGGAATAGAGTATGTGGCAAGCTTGCCCAACTGGTGTAGAGGATGGGACCTAGCATCATCGCAAGTTACAGAGAAAAATTTATAAATCTGGAAAATAAATCAGGCTTTATTGAAATACTTCTCGAGATAAGCTTTCCTTTCCTCCTCCAGAATTCTTTTTCTTTCCAACTTTATCTTCTTGATGCTCTCCTTTCTCTCTTGCTCCTTCTTTATCCTCTTTCCATTGTGCCGGATCTTGGGTATCTTCTTTGGGTCTTCACACTCAGCCTTAAATATATTCCTGATGTACCCCACAACGTTCTTTTCCTCGTCGGGAACTGCAAACATCTTCCTAAGCTTGCTCTCCTTTCTGGGAAGATGGGACACATCATTGACAACATTTGTAAGGCCGTCTATGTCCTTCTCTCCAGGACGCAGAATTATAAGGTTCAACACACAGATCTCCTCAGAAACAATGGATCCTCGGACACTCTTGCGGCGTCTTACTCCCTTACGCCTGCACCTGTATCCAGCATCTCCCTTCGACAACAGCGGCCTTACCCTCTTCTTTGTCAAGTGTCCGTCAACCATCGGAAACCCCTGATAGTCATCACCCCCGGTAATCTCCATGATCGTTCCCTCAAACTCCTCTCCAAGAATCCCACCGTCAAACTGGTCCCCTATCTTCTTGTCATACAACCTTGTTTCGTACTTCCTATCAATCTCAAACATCTTCTGCGTACCATTCGTCGGATATGCTATATTCAGCTAAAATTAGTCTTCCCAAAGCCACTTACCTTCATCTGCAAGGGTAGCCCTGAAAAAAAATTTACCTCAAATTTCTCAGCCGCAAATAAGGCAGGATCCCATACCATATTTTATCCCAGGCCCTTCTTCCGGATCTCTTTGGCAATCTCATCAGTAACTCTCTCAATGTCACTAGACATAGCTATCTCCATATCCCCCAGCACACTGCTCACATACTCGTCTATCACATCCCCAATCCTCCTCAAGACAGGCATGCCAGAGGCCGCTGCAACCGCCTCCAAGAACTCCTTCGACTGTTGTGGAATGTACATAGTGTTCTCGATATATCCTGTTAGCTCCTCATTATAGACCCCCTCAATTAAGTTGTAAAAGAATATGCTGACGCTTCTATCCACATTATATACACATCCCCTCTTTCTCTTGCACTGATGGGATTTATCAATAGACCCGCACTTATAGCAAAAAATAAAATCCGCATCCCCAATATTGTACTTAACAAACCCTATTCTTGCAAGTGCCTTTGCTTCCTTGGCATCCCACCCATCAAACATACTTACTCTGCTCTCCATCCTGTTCACATTGAAGAGCGGGCATTTGCTCATGTGCAAATAATGCTCTCTCGACGGCAAGTCCGTCCTTTCCCAACACTCCAGTGTCTTGTGGCAGTATACACACTCCACAGTCAGGTTGTCCTCTTCAGTAGATAGACAGATGAATCCTGCAATCGAAAGCTTTTCGGGCGTTGCCACACCGTAGTTTTCAGGCCACTTTGCAAATGTCCCCATCCTTTCTTTGAATGAAAACATCAGGGGTTTGTCCTCCCTTCAAAATTCGTCCAATGGATGCAAAAGAATAGGAATCAAGGAAAGTGTTTATTCGAATCATGGCCGTCCATGCACATGCATATGTCACTTTCCGCAGCACTTCATCAGACGGAGCATCTCGTTTGTAGACCCATCATACTTTCCGTCCTCTTTTCGTTCAAGAGTTTCAAACACCTCGGTCGCTATCTTTTTCCCTAAGGTAACCCCAGGCTGGTCAAAAGAGTTGATTCCCCAGTATAGCCCTTGAATGAATATCTTGTGCTCGTAGTGTGCTATCATCCCCCCAAGAGTCTCGGGTGTAAGCCTTGAATAGCAGACAGTGATGCTTGGCTTGTTTCCTTCAAACGACTTCTCAGGGGTAGACTCCTTCCTACCAACCATAAGGCCCCTGCTCTGTGCTAGGCAGTTCGAAACAACCATCCGGTGGTACTCTTCCTCATCATGTAGTGGCCTAAGAGGCATGACAAACTCAACCAGTATCTTCCTTGTCCCCTGGTGCAGCAACTGGAAGAAAGAGTGCTGGGTGTTCGTTCCAAGACCACCCCATATAATCAGCCCAGTGTCGTTTCTCGACGACTGCTTTCCGTTGCTTTCCATCTCTGCCTGCTGCAGATACAGGTAGAGCTTCTCCATGTACTGGTCATAAGAAACCAGGCACTTGTTGTTGTATCCGTTTTCAGAGTAGAATATCTCCACAATAGCATGGACCATCTCAACATTCGACCTTCCCCTGCTCTTCCTGAACTCCTCATCCACCGCAGAGGCCCCCTTAAGCAGCCTCATGAAGTTATTAAACCCTATATAAAGAGCTATAGACATTCCCACGGCAGACCACAAGGAGAATCTTCCTCCAACAAAGTCCCACATAGAAAACACCCTTGAGATATTGTGCTTTTTGACCTCCTCAACATTCGAGCTCACTGCAACAAAGTGCTTGCTTGCAATCTCAGACTTACTCCTTCCCAGCCTTTTCTCTAGGAATTTCATGGCAAGCTCTGCATTCTTTATTGTCTCAAGAGTCGTGAATGTCTTGCTCACCACAATGAACAGGGTCTTCTCGGGATCAATCTTCTCGAAAACCTTGATGGTGTCTGTTGCATCTATATTCGAGATAAAGTATGTCTCTATCCCTTTCCTTCCATAATGGCTTAGGGCATCACACACCATCCTGGGCCCAAGATCGCTTCCCCCTATTCCTATGTTCACAATGGTCTCTAGCCTCTTCCCAGTCACACCACATATTTTTCCTCCATCGAAGTCCTCAACAAATCCCCTGATCTTCACCAGCTCATCATAAACCATCCTACGATCCTCATCTAGCTTTGCATCCCCAGCCCCGTCAATCATTTTCAACACATCCTTGTCCCTTAGTGCCACATGTAAAACCTTTCGATCCTCAGTAAAGTTTATTTTCTCTCCCCTGAACATCCCGTCGATCTTCTTCCCATAGTCCTTCATCTTTTCCAGATACTCGTCAATTATTTCCTCGGTAATATGAGTCTTTGAGAAGTCGTAGTATATGAACTCATCTCCAACCTCGGTCTTTCTTGATAGCCTCTTTGCTCGGTCCTTATCCTCCTCGAACAAGCTCACAATCTCGCTTTTCATTATTGTTTATTCCCTTTCCCACCTATATAAACTTTTAAATCATTTATGAAATGCGTTTGACATCTTCACACCCTTCTCACCACATAGAAGCTCTTGCTCATGGCAGGCACACTGGTCTTGCCCTTCTCTTGAGAGCATACCTTCATTTCCATTCCATTCCTCTTCTCACATACATACAAGCATCCGTTGACTTCAAAGGGCTTGCCAACCTCCATTTTTTCCGGTAGATCTTCACGCCTAATCCCCTTTGGAATCTGGATGATATCATACTCCTTATCCATCTTTTCCATGGGTTATTCCTTCTGCATTTTAGCCTCGCGGCACACACCGCCTCCTACAATACTCCAAGACTGTACACTCCACAGACCACAAGAAACTTGAAAACAAGACGTATTCATCCTTTAATATTCACGAAGGCTAATGTCTAGGTTTAGCAAAACACTATCCTTCCCTTTTTGTAAATAACATTTTTGATCACTCTGCACGAGTATACAGACAACCCTAGTCTGTCCCAGTCATCTTGATGCAACGACCTGAGCTCCTCAACAGTTCTGATGTCCTGTGCAAGAAGCTTGCTTTCCCATATAGACACACACTTCTCTTTCCCCACCATCACACCAATCTCACGGAGGAATTCCTTGATCTCCACTCTTCCCTCGTAATCCTTGATAGAAGTGTTCGTAGGAAGCTGCTTTTCCTTTAGAGGAATCTTGTCAAGCCCATACAGCATGTTCTTCATTGCCCTACTCGAAAAAACAGTAAGCCCGAGCTTGTCCCAGTCCTCATCCACAAGGATCTTCAACTCAAACACACTGTCAATGTCGTTCGACTTGAACGTCTTTATCCAATTGGTCGCTGTCTCAGACGATCTTTTTGTTGCCGCTGAAACATCTGCCACAAATTCTTCAATGGAAACATCCTCGTCATACTTTCTGTTTGGACACTCAGATTCGTCTGGGCACTTTCCACCTGTGATCCTTCTTTGCTCCTCTATGACCCCATCTCCAGATGGTAATTCCACAGAACTAACTAGAGGCGAATGAGGTGCTTCCGTTCCAACTCTTTGGCTCTCGCTCCCTCCAGAGCGGAGTGTGCCTTGCGAGGTGCTCACCTCACCGCCGCCTGCCTTCACGTCTATCTCTAACATCGACTCAACCTCCTCCATACTTAGATTCCTGTCCGTTATTTTGTTGAAGTCGTTTCTAGGCCCATCGGCCTTACCTTTCTCCCCGTCCATGCACAACTTCCTCATCACCTCTTCAGCCCCCCTGCTCTCCACTTCCATAATCCTCTCCTTGGCCTTTTCAATCCCTCGGGATAGAAGCCTCAGAAGCGTGTCTCTTTGATCCTCAGACACAACCTCCTCCTCCAGCATCTCATTCGTCACGTCCTCAACCGTGTCGGCCTCCAGATTATAGTCAAACTTGATGAACCTTGCCATGCTCATGAAGAAAAGCTGGAACGTAATCACATTGTCTTTGAATGACAGAAAGCTTATCTCCATGTCGTTGGCAGGCGCAGTCAAGGGAACCCCAGACATGCATTCTGCAGGAATACATTCTCCATTGCAGGTATTGTTGCTGTCGAAAAAGTGATGCTTGAGGCACTCAGCACTCCCCAGCCTATCCTTTTCAGAAACTAGGCAGTTCATAATCAGATTCCTAAGACATATGTCTTTGATCGAGTTCAGGGCAACAGGTGGAACCCCTTGTATAATCGCCTTGTAAACCTCAGCCGCCGTGGTGCATTCTTTATATGGATATGCTCCTGTAGCCATCTCAATTAGGCACATTCCAAATGCATACACATCAATCTTCTCGCAGTATCCTTCCCCTTCAAACATCTCTCTCGCCATAAACTGCGGCGTCCCAACAACCGTGTATCTCTTCATCCTCCTCTCCTTTGCCACGCCAAGATCCCCAATCTTCACTTCTCCAAGTGCTGCATTCACAAAGATGTTTTCACACTTGATGTCCCGATGGATTATCGGAGGACTTTGCCCGTGCAAATACACAAGCCCCTCAAGAATGCTTCTTCCCCACTTCTTTATAAGCTTGACATTTAGATCTCCTATCTCTGCAATGTACTGCCGGAGCGTTCCCCCGCTCATCAGTTCCGTGATGAATATAAAGCTATCAGATGTAAACCAATAGTCAAGAATCCGAAGGATGTTGGGGTGCGAAATTGACTTCAGAAGCCCTATTTCATTCGAAAACAGCGTTCTTTCCTTGCCGTCCTGCCCATTTTCGCCAATCTTGATCTCGTTCCATGCGACCTCCTTCCCCTCCTCCTGGTCAATGGCCTTGTACACCTTTTTGAATGTCCCCTCCCCCAATATCGTTTGTAACTTCTTGTATCTCAATCCATTCTCTTCGTTGCTCTTTTCTTTTCCCTCGAAAACCCCAGCCTGCTTGTCGGCCAGCTCACTTCTTGCAACTATTTTTTCAGCATCAATAATCTTCTCTGCAAGAGAACCCATCAGAGTCTCTTCTGCGTCTTTTCTACTCATCTAAAAATCTTGTTCTTACCCCAAAGGTGGATTTTCATTTTATTCATCGGCCCAATTTTCCAAACATTTCTGCCTCTGCACCTCCCAGGCCTAACATAGAAAACATTAGTCAGAACATCCATTTATTCCAATCCATAAACATAAGAAGGCGCCTGGGTCCTCTGCATCTAGAGCCTCCAGAACTACTCACATGTCGGCGATCCCTTCAATCACAGACTCGTCAATCTCAAGACCCTCATCGCTCGAGACATCGGTGTGCTCTTTTGTCGTGACAACCCCTCCTTGCTTCTCAACAACCTCGATAACGTCTCTTATGTCGTCGTAGTAGTTTCCAAACACACTGAGCTCTTTGATAACATTTCTCTTGCAGAAATCTATAAGCGGCTCGACAGCATCCTGCTCAAACTCATTGTAGGATATGTCGAGGACAATCCCCTCTCTTCTGCTGTTGTAGTCTCCCGGAAGGGACATAGGCGTGAACTTCTTGCTCGCCCTCCTGAGGAAATCTTTCACCCCCTCGTTGCCCATCATACAGTCTCCAACCCTGAGCTCCTTCAGATTCCATTCGCAGTAGAGGTCTCCAAGATACCTTGATCCCTCGGGCGACAAAAAGTTGTCTCTTATGTCGAGCACCTCAAGAGAGTGGCTGCCGAACGACCGCAGGAACGAGAGCATCGTCTCCTCCTCAATTGTATTGTACTGGATTCGAAGCTCCTTGATGTTTTCAAACTCCTGGAGTGCATCAGAAAGCTCCTTGGGAAAGGAAAAGAATCTGTTCTGGGCTATGTCCACAACCTCGAGCTTACTTTTGTCTGCTATTCCAAGAAGATAGTTCCCCAGTCTACTTCCTCCAATCTTCCCAAGCCCGCAGTTGTTCATTTTCAGGTGGATGAGGTCTGTAGACGAGGAAATAAACTCCCCAAGCTCTGGTGGAAACTCAGAGCTTATAGCATTGTCACTAAGATCGATCTTCTGGATCCTGTGATTTCTAAGCATGTTTGAAAGCACAACAAGATTATTGTACAATTTCTCCTTGTCGAGGCCCAGGAACGCACTGGACAGATTGATTATGCGGAGGCTCTTGGCATCCTTAAGAGCACTGCATATTTCCTCCATGGCTTCTTCTGAAAAATAATTTCCAGACAGGTCGACCTCAACGAGTTCATCCAGAGTCTTTCTTATTTCCCCAACGACTTCAGAGACATCCTCTTTTGTCTCGTACTTCTTTTTCTGGTCCCCGATTGAAAATATCATGAGTGAGGCCTCTATTTCCACAAATTTTTACGGGGCATGGGGTGGCTTTGATGGATGGATGCATGGTTGGATTTCAGGCTATTGGAGATGATGATAAGGAGTAGACCTCCTTAAACACGGGGCAGAAATATAATCTGTGCCAAGGAGCGGACAGGGAGATGCTTAAGAACAAAGTGGAGATGGACCGAAGGAGGCTTGACTTCAGCGATGAGTCGAGCGACGATGGGTATAATGGTAATTACCTGGGATTCCACAGCCACAGAGCGGGGGGAACACATGTATATGGGGAAATGGGAAAGGAAAGCGGAAATCCCGCATCATCAAGGTACCATGCCTGGGGTGGGAGTTGTGGTGGGAAAGTGGCTTTAGGAGGCGGGAAGAGCCATAGTGTCGAAATACAGGAGAACGAAAGCAACAGAAGGCTTGAAATACCGGCATCCACAGAAAGCAAGGGGCCTCACTACGAATCCGAGTGTCTCGAGATTTCAGACTCAGAAGAGTTTGAAGGGAAGCTGGCGTCGCTAAGGTTTCTTATTATTGAAGCGGAGGAGGAGATGAAGAAGATTATCCAGGAAAGAATCGAAAGGCATCTTGAGATGAACAGGGAGGCCAATGAGAAAAGAAGGGAAATGAAGAGAAGGAAAAGGGAGGTGTTGGGGGAAATCAACAAGAAGGAGGACATGAAGACAGGAGGCAAGGAGGCAGGATCGCACGAGGTTTCTCAGGAGGACTCTGATGCAAAGGAAGAGAAGATAGAAAGCTTTGCGGATTTCGAAACATCTATGTTCCCATACAAGTCGAAGAATGGGATAAAGTCCTACACCTGCCCATATGAGGGATGCACGATGGAGCTTCCAACGCTGAGCAGGATCAAGAGGCACTATATAGTTCACACGAAGCTGAGACCATTCAAATGCCTGAATAAAGACTGCAGCAAGAGGTTCTCCAGAAAGGACAACATGCTGCAGCATTACAAAATCCATTGTAGTTACAGTAATTATAGATGATAGAGGCGTTGGTTGCAGAGAGGGGCTCTGTGGATGAATAAAGCATAATAGAGGCTACATGGCGGTTGAATGGAAGGATCCTTCGGGCAGTCTTTGGGAAGATTTAAAAATTTTTGCCTTTGCTAGGGGTAAGATGAGCAAGCAAGGTGACGAGCAGCAACTTGCATTTCTCGAACCCAAGAGAATTATCTCTATCATTGACCGGCTGAAGGAGAACGAGGATCCTGAGAAGCTGGCGACGATCCAGATACAGGTGAATCTCAAGGGATATGATCCTAGGAAGGACAACAAGCTGTCCAAGGACATGTCTTTTCCCTACAAGGTCAGAAGGCTGGACAAGATAATTGTGGTTGCTGATGAGGCGCATATTAAGACGTGCGTGGATGCAGAGTTGCCGCATGTGTCCATTGAAGAGCTGAGTGGAGACAATAACAAAGCGAAGAGAGATGCAGTGCTGAAGAAGAACAAGTACTTCATTCTTTGCCCCGGATACAACAAGGTCTTTCAGCTCAAGAATATCCTTAGGTGTGGAAAAACGCCCTACATTCTGAAGAACGACGACGATATCAAAGCGGTCTTTGAGGCTGCAAAGAAGTCGTACAAGCTCCGAATCAAGGACTTTGCGGTTACCTCGTTTCCTGCGGGGCACACTGGAATGGAAACCGAGCATATATATGAAAACATCAAGACAGGGATGGGGCTTCTTATTTCCTACCTTAAGAAGGGAACACAGAGCTTGAAGGGAGTTCTGATCAAGACCAATCAGAAGTCGCCGGTGACTCTCTATTAAATCTTTCCGTTTTCTCTTCTTTCTGCAACTGCCTTGTTCTACACGATTAAAACGTGAAAAAAGCGAGTGGTGACGATGGGATTCGAACCCACGATATCTTCCGATAACAGATCTTAAGTCTGTCGCCTTAGACCGCTCGGCCACATCACCCCAACCCCAGGAGCCCCCGGGACTGACTAATATCGTGAGAACACATCATATATACAACTTTATTACTTCTTAGACCTTGCTTGCAGAGGAGGAGGATAGGCTCCTAGAAGATCCAATTATATTCGAAAAATTGTGCTCAAGAGCCTTGAAGGCAACAGCTGCATCCACAAACGGCCCAATCACATCTGTGTAGCTCTCTGCATTGCGGTTTGAAACCCCGAGAGAAAGGCAGTCCAGAATGAACCATGCAGCTCCGAAGAAGCTGTCTTCTTCCTTAATCTTCCTGTTGTTAATGTCCTTAAGCTCGGCTATGCTCTTCTTCTTTCTTTCTTCATTTTGTATTTCCTTCAGTTCTGCAAGATTCGACTTCAGCTCAGGCAAGTCTCTGATGAGAAGCTCTCCCATTATAGATCCCCAGAACTCTTTCAACTCCTTATCCCCTTGGGGCTGGGCCTTGTACAGGCCTGAGGTGATTTGTTCTTTTAGATCCTTACTCATAATCAGACTTGGCGAAAGATACCAGTTGCTGAATTCAGAGCTATGCGAGTTGAAGTAGTCGGTCAATCGTGTCATTGATGGGTGTAAGAGCTTATAGAAGTTTCCTTCTCCAAATGCCACAGGACTCTGCAGGCTTGTGCTCTTGTTCGGCACCTCGGGCTTGGATGTGAGCAATGAGTACTTGCTGGAAGATGAGATGTCCGGTCTGTAGAAAGTTGTCTCGGGAAGGACAGGGTCGAACGTCTTAGCTGTGTTCTCTAGACACATGGCCCATCCTAGAAGCACCAAGCTTGAGATAGCATTCATATTAGTATCCCGTCCTTACTGAATTTATATTTTCAGGAGCTTCTTCTGAAACACTCTGTTTCGGAATTCGAAGAAAAAGTATCTTTAGGATTGGCATATTATTCTTGTTAATGAAAACCTACTAGTTTATTGATGGATGGGAAGGACTGAAGTAATCTAGGAAACAAATCAGCATTACACACTCCCCTGCATCCAGAGGGACTCCCTCTGCAATACTTACACACATCATGATGCAAGGAATAGAGATGTAAATGCAGCAACTCCGTATAGCAGTACAAAGAGTGCAGTGATCTTCTTCATTTCAAATCCTCTGTTCCAGAACGCAATGAAGTAATACAAAGATGCAAATATAAAGCACATGAGCGTGGAAAAGGACCCTCCTATGACTTCGCAAAGCCTTTCCATTTTCGACACGTTCATGGCAATCGTAAATGACAGTAGTATTATGAATATGCTTGTTACAAACCTGAGGTGCCAGTACTTCCCATCCACAGAATACCTTGTGTCGAAAAGATCGAGGAGGTATGTTCTGCATGGATGCGTCTGCAGTGGGATGGACATTATTATAACAAGGAAGTAGAACATAGCAACCACGTTTCTCATCCTCTCGGGTATATTTTCGAAGAAGTTCTCGCTCATCCTGTCTCCCAGCACAAGATAGTTGGTAAGCCCAAAGGTTATGTATACAAGGGACGCCACCAGAAGCACCAGAAACACAGTTATTTTCAAGGCTGTCTTGTCGCTCACCATCATCTCATTCTGGACAGAAAATATATTCTGGTGGCAGGTAAATCCAAACACAAAGCTCCCCAGCTCCCCTAGATAGTTGTTCCCATCCTTTGACTCGGTATAGACAGGCACATCCTTCGAGACTGCATACCTGTATATCGATAACACCACGAGGGCTATGGCTGCCCCGAATCCAAACGATGATGTGTATCGCAGCCTATCGATCTTTTGCATAGACACAAATGGGAATACACATAGAACCACACCGGCCATGCATAGGATCTTGTAGTCACTTTCCAAGCCAAAGATGCTTCTTATTGTCCCCGGAAGATTGTTCTTGAGTAGAACAAGATATGCTGTGCACACTAGGAAGCACTTGACAGATACAGTCACATTCACAATTGGTTGCAGGGTGGGATAGATGTATCTGGCTATGGTTGACATTGTGTTGTCTAGCCCATAGAAGTCATTCAAGTCTATGTATAGCCACAGCCCCAGGAGTGATGCCAATGCAGAAATAAGCGTCAAGACTACTGTATACCAAATCCCATACATTTTAAAGAGAAACGGATATCTGAGTATTCCAGACCCAATCGTTGTCTTTATCAGATTTATGAAGATGGATCTGCACTCTCTTCCTAGCTTGTTTTTTTTCATTTTTAAGGGCTTTCCCATATTTTCCAATAAAACGGAAATCTCCTGAAAGCATGGCCGGCATCTCTGGATTGCTTCCTGCATGCATGCTATTAACGATTTTTCTTCCTCCTGCCTACCCCTTTATGGCCGAGAAAACAAATGTCGAGGCGCCTACCAGCATCAAGAAGAGCCTTACCGAGCACAAGTACTTTGATGACATTGCATACAGGTCCAGAGTCAAGAGGATCATGGAGTCCTACACAATGTTCCGCGAATGCATAAGAGATGGGAACTGCCTATACATCTCCTATGCAATTGTGATTGCAGACCTTGTGGCACTGGAGGGGGATTCCCTACTAAGTGCCTTGCACGATGCATTCAGCAGGACAAACTCGATGCTCCACCTGTACAATATCGATGAGCTTGGATACAAGGGATTCTACGACACGTTTGTTGAGATCCTGGCAGACATATCCAGCAGAACCAAGAGGATTGAGGACATTCCCCTATATTCATTGTACGATTGTGTTGCATATCTAAGACTTATTGTTTCAACAGAAATAAAGTCGAATCCGGAAAAATACCAGCCATACATCCCAGAGATGGATGTAAGCAAGTACTGTGCAAGATTTGTAGACCCCTTCTACCAGCAGGCTGGATGTGTTGAAATATCTGCTCTTTCGAATAGCATACCGGTAAGAATCCATGTTGTAGACGTCACAAAGGACAGCGAGGATGTTTATGGAGATCATCCGCAGGGTGTTTCTATCTTCTACACACATGGACATTTCGAGCCTATATATCGGGATGGGCCAAGAGCACCTTAGCTGCCGGATAAAAATCCTAATTCATCCAGGGCCAATGGGGGTGAAGCATGCAATAAAAATCAAGAAAGTTGCAAACATCTTGGACAAAAAGGGCTCAAAGAGGGCGAATCCAGAGGACACACTAGATCTTGACGAAAACCCGAGAAACACAGAGAGGTTTCTTCTGAAGCATACCCTCCGGCCGCCATATAGCATCATCCTCGACACAAACTTCATCAATGACTGTATAAGAAAGAAATGCGATATCAGAGAGCAACTGATGAAAGTAGTAAATGCAAGCATTAAGATGTGTGTCCCAGAGTGTGTTGTCGGCGAGCTGGAGAAGCTGGGAAGGCCCTTCCGTGTTGCACTTGCATTGATCAGAGGCAACGATGTCGAAAGACTCAAGTGCGATCACAAGGGAACTTATGCTGATGACTGCATCTTCAATAGGGTCTCTGCACATAGATGTTACATTGTTGCAACCTCAGATACAGCGCTAAGGCAAAAAATAAAGACAATTCCTGGCGTGCCATTGATAACATACAGAGGACAGAGATGCTTTATTGAAAGATTCATCCTTGCAGCTCTCTAGAGAAGTCAGAAATTAAAAGAATTCCTATTCCAAGTTGTGTATAATGTATCCTTGTATTCTAGATCCAACGCCTACGACTAGAAGATTTCCTACCCACCCGATGTCCGAAATGTATCCGTCCGTAGTGATTCTTCTCAATTCCTGTGAATTTTTGGTGTTTATAATCGATATCGTGTGCTGAGAGGCCTGGGCAACTATGCAGCTGTTGTAAATCGACACTTTGCTACTAAACCTGATACCTGTCCCTACGAACATCGATTGGCCTTTGCTTTCAACAACCAATCCAGAGCATGACGTCCCAAACACCTGCCTATCTCCCCTTGTGTCTGCGGAGGTTAGGTTGTATCCGACGTCTCTTGTTTTGAATGCATTTGTAGATGTGTTGAAGGCTCCTATGCTTCCGTCTACACATGCAAATGTCACCTCGTCTCCATCTATAATAGTCGATGATATCTGTGCTTTAAACTTGTGTACTTTCATGAGTTTTTCTTTGAATACGTAGCATTCTCCCTCGTGTGTCCCGGCAGAAACAATGGTGTGAGAAGAGGCTAAGCATGTGATCTCTCCATCCACCTTGAACAGAGAGCCACCAGATCTAAGCGATAGAACCTCTCCATCTGAACTATATATGTAGAGTTTGTCTCCGTGTGAGATTCCCCGAATCCTCTTGTGGCTAGTCGTTTCCCTCAGTACAATTGCATCGCCTTGATAGACATAGACCTGTAACTCGCCTCCATAAGTTCCACACCATATCTCATACATGTCGGTTTTCGCAATGTCTAGAAACGACACTGGGTCCTCAAGTTCCACAGTAACGTCAGGCGTGCAATTGCCATCAACCTCATACTCTATGCTTACTCCCTTCTCAATCTCCAGGCCCCTTGCTTCTATCCCCTTCTGGAGACATCCTTCAAACAGTTGTCCCTCCATATAAAATCTGTATCCTCCGTTCCCGCCAAGCACCGATCTTAGATAGCGCTCAAGGTCCTCCGTGCAGAAGGAAGGGCTTACATGAAGAGGATTATGCTCGACCTCAGGATGGCTTCTGTCTACAAGCTTCACCAGAACTGTATCCATGGGTCACCATAGCTCCATTCTTTTAGCTGAGAGGATCGACGAGAAAAGAAAAATAACTTTTTAATAGAGCGTTACATCCAGGACATATGCCTTGGGTCCACTTGTGCCATCTTGAACATATCCATCCACCCACTGACCATCGGAATCAGATTGTAAGTCCCGTCCTCTCCTTTTCTAACCATCTCTTCAATTTTGCTTAGCACCTTCTCATGCATTCCTTTGAACCCTTCTCCCGCCATGTCCATAAACCTACCCTCGAGCATGATCCTTATCAAATCCCTACACCAATCACCTTTGCTTATCATGTCTGCATAATGATACATAATAGACAGCATTGCTCCTTCTATTCCCTCCTTCCCAAAGAGCTTTTGGTACCCAGGCCCTATAACTCCCCCACCTCCTCTGTTCATCGGCTCTACATCCTCGTAACAAATGTCTTTGTTCATGAAATGCCCGCCGGACTTGGTGATTACAATGTTCCTGGGCCTCCTGTCCACAATCGAGAGCATGTATAAAAAGGCAGTGTTGGCAGAATAGCTTGAAAGAAGTCTGTCCTTGAATCCAAGGTATCCCCCTAGGTTTCCATAGATGGGTCTGAGGTAGTCGTCAAGGAAGCTGGACATCTTAAAGGTATTGTACATCTTTTCGTAGGCCATATATCTCTGACGCCTCGAAACCTCATATTTGTATCTGCAAGGCACAATCCCCTCTCCCTTTTCGCTGCATCCAAGACATTCAACCTTTCTTTGCTCTAGATTGCTGACATACTTCTTCCTTTGCTTTTCAATGGCGGTCTTGGCGTTGTTAATGAAGTTCTCGCTTGGGTCCTCACTCTTGGATGCCTTTGCCCCTTTCCTTATGTTGGGACATTCGTCCTCTAGAACCACGAACTTCTGACTCCGGACAAGCCTTCTGCTCAGGTCGTACTTATTCTCAAGGCATCTAGTGGTGTCTCTCTCTATCTCATAGATAGATGCAAAGTGGTTGAGATAGAGGAGTACACATTGATCAATGCTTATGCCATACTTGCTCAGCCCCTCTTCCAGTATAGAGTCCATACAATACTCGGGCTCCTTGGTCCATTTCATCGCAAGAGCCTCGCTAACAATAAACGGAGTGGCCAGTCTCAGCTCTGCACCCCTCTTGCATAAATTTGGCTCCTCTTTCATGGCCTCATTAATCATCAGGGACAGCTGGGGAATGGCAAACTCTGAGAATCTCATCCCCGACAACCCCTTCATCTCATACCTGTACACTCTTCCATCACTTCCTCTCAAATGAATCCTATTGCATCCTATCTTCTTTCTATACATATATGACTGCCTCGGCTCAAACATCTCTATACTAACGAGGTTCTTGTAGCTGCTTCTTATCTCAGAGTACTGGCCAAACATTTTGTGCTCGTGCCCCGATCTGTACAGAAGCAAGTTGACTTCAGATTCTTCAAATCTGTCCATCTTGGCAAAAGACTCCTCCACAACCTTCTGGATCTTGTTCTTGAAGCAAACCATTTCATCAATCTTCTCCAGCGGGCATATGTATCTCATTCCGAGAATCAAAGATATGAGCTCTTCTTTGAATCCCTTGCTTAGAGAAGAAAGAGACATACAAGAAATTAACTCGTTTAGAAGCATGGCATGGGCCGAGCCAGACGGAACAATACCGTCCATAACATGGGACACCGCGTTGTTGAATATCCTTTCAATCTCAAGATACACAAGCTCCTCTTCCTTAAAAGCATGAGAGTTAAATGAGTTGTGAAGATAACGAAGAATCTTCCAGAATTCCTTTCCAAGCCGGGTATTTCTTATCCGGTTGTATATGCGCATAATGTTTTCCAAGAGGATGCTCCTAACCCCAAGAGGCTGACCGTCAGACTTCTCCATGGGAATCCCACTGTGCCTGCTCTCTGCCTTAGTCCTATGTGCTCGCACCTTATGCCCTGTGCCCTTGGGGTATAAAGCTCTTTTCATCCTCTCCTTGACAGCCTTAAGAGGACCCATAACCGCCTGCGGATATTCCTCAGATATCTTGGAAAGTATGACTTGTGCTAGATCAGAATCCCCTCTTTCCAATAGTCCTATTAGCTGAGGAATGAAGTATATGAATCTTGAGATGTCAATCTCCCGAAGGATTTTGTGAAATACCTCTGTATCGCATAGCGAAGAATGCCTATCCATAAGGAGAACCATCTTCAGGATCCCTCTCCTCGCCTTCCTGCCACTGCAGTAAGCTACCGCTTGGAGCAGTGCGACAAAGGCATCTTCCTTCGGCCCTCCGCCCTCCTTATCGGCCCTGTCAAATAAAAAGCTTCCCCACGTAAGCCAGTTTTCGCCTACCACATTGCATACCTGTGCAGACTGTAGATAGAACTTCTCTGCATCAGAAAACTTTCCAAGCTTCTCACTGAATAAACCCTTAAGGTTGAACAGAATGGAACTCTGCGAGTCGCTAAAATGTTGGATGTTGGCTGACACACACTGGTCAACCCCTATCTTGTACTCCTTCTTTCCGAGAAAACAAAGGAGCTCGTAGACCACTTTTTGGAATGCATCTCCCACCTTAACACTGCTCAGGTCAAATACCTCTTTAAGATGGAACAGTGCTGCATCATAGTATCCTCTGTCGATGGCTGCCTTCGAAAATGCATTTAGTACCTTGGCCAACTCACTTGCTCCTTTAGATGCTAGCTCCTTTCTTGTCCTTACACTTCCTTCGCCAACTTCTCTTGGGGAGAATAGATTGGATCCCACCGGTCCTCTTCTACTAGGCTGTGCTGATGCCTCTTCTGTGCTCCCTCGAGAGGGCAACTTGAACATTATCTCTTCTCCATTCATCTTCTCAATCATCCCCACCCGAGAATATACGTGTCTTCTCCATGTCCTAAACAAGCTCCATTGCTCAAAGGAGTCATATATCGACGGCTCCTTATCCCTCCATCGGAATAATATTGAAGTCAAGGCTTCAGCTCCATCCAGCCTATTGTTGAGTATCGGCTCAGCCTCAACCATTTCTATTATGATCTGGAGGTATGTAAGAAGCCTGGACCTCGCACCGCTCTTCGCCGGATACTTTCTAAGCTCTTCAATATTCCTTGATAAGATATCCTTGATCTTCTCCGACGAGTACTTCGTAAATGCACTTGCAAACGTGCTGTAGAACTCCTTTTCAAATCCGCTTCTTCCTGCATCAACCACGTTTTTGAACTTCTCTATCGTCTCCTGCAGCGTGAAATTCGAAAGGTGCCACAACGACTCTCCACTTAGCAGATGGTCTCCAGCCTCCATCCCAATCTCGTAGCACACATCCCACTGCTGGAGCTCCTTCGCACACTCTATCCATTCATCCTGCCATGCTTTGTACTCGTTCTCCTCAAAAGATATCTTGTGCTCGCGTGCCTTCCCTTGTATCTCCTCATAAAGAGCTTGTGCTTCTTTTATCTTCCCAACCTGCTGAAGAAAACATGCCTGCATCGTCTCAGGAAAGCTGCATACAGACCGAGACATCCCAAAATACCCATCACTATCCATCAGCCTTCTGTATATCTTCACCTTTTGCCTGTCACTTGCATATCTCAGGAGAACACCCCATCCATCTCCTCCTTTGAGCACTTCCATCAGCTCAGATAAATCTCCATATCTGTAGATAGGTTCAAGACCATCGATGACCGCCCCGAGAATCCCATTTCCCTTAACTCTAGAGCAAAACTTTACAAGGCTTCCAAACACACTTCTACACTGGCATTCATCAAATTCACTCGATACCGCCTTTAGAATCCCAGTCAGCATAGGAAGCAAGGACTCACCAAAATAATACAGAATGTCAAGAAGGTCGTCCTTTGCCACTCTGGCCCCGTATAAGTCAATGTCCTCAAGAAGATTCGTAACCAGCTTAAGCCCATTGCATTTGTCCACAATCCCTTTCGAGGTCATCTTCTGCAGAGCCCAGGGATATTCCACCTCAACATCCGCCTTAGTCCCATAATACTTGTCTGCAATTATCTCTGTCTTATAGCATGATGAAATCATCATCGAAACAATGACATATCCGATATTTGTACTGTGCTTCCATTCCAGGTCCAGAAGATACAGAAGCCTCAGATACTTGTTCGCAGGAATGATGCGATTCATCAGGTCTAGATATCCGCTTCTCAAGCTCTTATTTCTCGATGAAAGGCCCTTCATGAGAAACTTCTGCAGCCCATCAGGGAACTTGGCATCAGAATAGCGGTAGCTGCTGAAAACAGGAAGCAGCATCTCACAGAGGACCTCGGCGTCATAGCCCCTTCTGCTCAGGTGACAGGCAATACTGATCTTGTCCGTAAGCGTCGTCCTAAAGTCAGACATAAGGAAGCCTACCTTACTCACCAGGAGGTCTATGCTCGTGAGACTGTCCTCAAGAGCCTCTAAAAACAACTTGGCCGCAGAGTCCACAGCACCCTTCATTCCAGGAGACAAGCATAGAACGCAGAACACATTCTCAAGCCCCTTGTTCACATATCCCAAATTCATTTCGTTCCTGTTTCTGCTGTACTCAGCAAGCAAGTACTTGACCACACATAGACATATCTCCATCTTATTTTCATCCTCCTTGCCATCTTCATCGTTTCCTTTGCCAACACCGTCACAAAGTACACAAAGGAGATTATACAAAATGCCACAGTCGTATGCAACAGTCCCCAGCTCTTCAGGAACAGATCCGTAGTCCCATATTCCGGTATCTACGAGATACCTGACAGTCTCCATCCCCAAAGTTCTTGATTTGAAGCATGGCGCTACAGCCGTCCAAACACTCCTCAAGAAACAACGCTTGTAGTCCTCGCTTTTCTCACTGGCCATCTCCATTTCAAGAAATCCAAATAGGTTATTAAGGTTCAGTCCCTTGGAAGAATACTTCACCAGGTCAAAGTCAACCTCTAGATTGTATTTCTGAAAGGAGCTTGCAGGAAAGTCCGTGTCCATGTGTATAAACCTCACAAACACAAGGGTGTATGCCTTCCTGACCATCTGCCCATGCCCCGTATATCCTCCCTCGGGACTATCTTCTCCTGCAGGGCACTTATCATGCAAAATCTCAAACAGCTTGAGCCCCATTCTTTGCTTAAAAGGCTCCGAGGAGCTCAGGAGCTTGTAAATCGATCCCAGCAGCTCGAGTGCAATCTTTTTCGTGATAAGCCTTGGGCGGGACAGGAGCAAGGGAAACAGAATCCACAGGCTTGTCTTGAACCTTACCTCAGACCTTAACACAATCAATATTATTTCTTCGAAAAGAAGAGGATCAAATGCATCAACAACTCTTTCCAGACAGTACTGCGTATATTTCCTATCTTCATAGGGAAGCTTGAATAAGGCCTCAAAGTAGATATATAGAGGCTCAAATGTGCACAGGTAATACAGTAGAAGCCCTCTGAGATTTGTGTTATGTAAATTCTCCTTGCAGTATCCGATGAGGTTTTCAGATCTGATGCCCAGATCTACGAACAGCTCAACCAAAGCATGCCTGTTTTCCCCTAGTAGGGCACTATGCCTCTCGAGACTAAGAACGTTCCCCTTGTCGATGCTCCTAACAACCCCTCTAAGAGCCATAGGAGAAAGAGACCCGGAAAGATGCCTTGCATCAATCCCGTTCACAGACACAAACCACGGATCCATCTTAAACAATGCCTCAAGATCCTCCGGAGAAAATCTGTTGATGCATTTGCTAATCAGCTCCCTCATTTCAACACCATACCTAGGCCTACCCTTCATATCTCCATAGATTCCAAGAATAACTTGAATGTCGACAGGCCTCATCTCATGTCCAACAAGATCAAGAAACTTATACGAATATATAAATATACTCTTGTCTATGGAATCATTCCCTTCTAGCCTGCAATATATTTGCGATATCCTTTCTGCAAGTCTGTCTTTCATCCCAGACACTATTTCCTTTAGCTTCGGGGAATCGTTGCACAGTCGAGAGCATAGATTGTATGCAGAAGGGTCCTGGATCCTCCTAAACATACAGCTTATGAACTGCTGCCCAAGGCCTTCCACATACTTGATCATCCGGGGATATATCCTCGAGGTGTAGCTCTTAACATATCCATCCAAGGTAAAGTATGTTTCCAAAATCTCATTGCACAGGCCCTCCTGATTCCTGAGACTAATCCCTATCTCATATGCCTTTGCCAGCATGGAGTACTTGTCGTTCTGAGATATAATTGCAAACTCCTTAGGAACCTTGAACTCCTTCAAGATCTTCAGAACTAGCATCCCTATCCTGGGATTCTCAGGTGCCCTATCTATGGAATGTGCACACTGTAACATATTAAGTACCTTGTAGTCAACCTTCTCTGATAAGCATTTCTCAACCTCCTCAGAGATCACCCTCTCCGTTTCCTCAGGCTTGGCATCGTATGCCATCTGAAGGTAATCCGTGGTGTCATCCGAAATATATCTGAGCATATATGTAACCCCGGTCCTTATCTCTTCAAAGGACTTTCTGTGCTTAATAACAAGAAGGTAGAATTCTCTTATCCAATACATAAGCTCTTCCGCCTCATTGTTAAAGCGTGGAAGGCTTGCTTCCGTGTGCCTGTAGATCTCCTTCCTACACTTCCCACAAAGCACGTCCATTGCATTTTTCAAGGCAATATCCATTAAATCCCTCACAGATAGCTCAGACAGTTTCTTGTAGATACCTCCCAAGACGACTCCTACGCCGTCATCACCCTCTGCTTCCTCTCTGTTGCATTCACATAGCTTCTTCTTGTCTGCCCTGCCATTCCTTTCCCTGTAGTTAAAGTTCATATGAATTCCTTCAGCCCCCCTCCACTCATCGTTGCTTGAGATACTGTCCAGAAGCTTTTCAATAATGTATTTCATCTCACAATCATCAAACGGGCATTTCCCCTCTTCAACACAGAACACAAATGTCTTCAGATGCAGTATCATCATCGCTCTGCTTTCAATCACATAGTCCTTCTTGAAAAACCCAAACACTATGTCCCTATGCCTCGAGAGCTGGGGCCCATAATGATGGAATACTTCTCGAAGCACAGCCTTTGAGAACTCAGAGACATCTTTTCTACTGTCAAAGAGCCCAGCAACAAAGGGCTTGAAGTGCGATGCCATGAAATACCTTTCGGTTCCCTCAGAGAGGAGGTAGTTCCTGATTCCCCTGTATCTAAATCTCAAAATAAAAATGACAAGCTTGAGGGGAAGAGAGAAGTCCTCAGACCCACGGGGAAGAAGGTATAGATATGTATGCGAGAATGAATCCTCAGGGACCCGAAGCATCACAAGCTCCCTTATGGGCATGACTGCTGCAAGACACAGCATTCCATTGATTCCACAGTCTCTGCTTCTCTTGTCGGACGATCTACACATCGACTTGAACTTTGAGAAGACAGTTCCGTACATCTCAATGCAGAAGTATTCAGACTTGTTTCCAAGAAGCTCGTACATCTGGGTGAACATAATTGAAAGAACCTTGAACGGCATTGGGTTCTCGATATCGGAAAATGATTCAATGAGTGCATCAAAAAACGTGTCTGTGTCAAGAAGAATCTTGTATCTTCTGCTTTTGAGGCCGTGGAATGAGAATACCCTGAATAGCATTACAGTCCCAAAGATCGAATGAAGAAGCTCCTGTGCCTTCTTTTCGAAAGAAGTCCCATGGCAGCTGAAAAGTGCAAGAATCCCATCGTATATGTATTGAGCAAGACGGCGGCTATCCGTGCACTTCCTACCGCACAAAGATGAGATGATGCCGTGGACAGAGTACACACAATCCAGTGCATCAGACACACTTCTTATTTCTTCTGTTTCATCAAGAAGCTCAGTATAGCATTTCACCACTAGGTCCTTTCTCAAAAACCTCCATCCCATGAGATGATAGATCACACTTGTTATGAGTCGGAATGCAGCATCCTTGGCATCTTCTGTGCTACTTCTTGGCCCCAGCCTCCTGAACCTCACAAGAAACCCCTCTGACTCGAAATCGCTTCCATGCAGCTCAAAGGTCCCCCGCATCTTTTGTACTGCATCGAAGAACAAAAGATGTGCAGGAACCCCATGCTTTCCATCTATAATCAGCCTTATGAGTTGCAGATTCTCGTTGGTCTCCTTAAACCCCTCATAGTCCCTTGCAAATACCTTGTGATAAGTCTTGAGCTTCCCTAGGATTCTCGAGCATAAAGATGATATGGTGTTGTCTTCAAGATCCCTTACCACACTCTTCAGAATGCTTTCCCACGTTCTTTCGAGCCCTGCAATCTTCTCCTCCGTGGAAAAGTCAAGGACATATACAAGGATCGACAATGCCTTGATTTTTATTGCACCACCCAGCATCAATGCCTTTTCAATGGGCCTTATCAGAAACTGGATGTCAGACTCAAGCAGGTTGATGCTTATCGGCAGTGCAAATATCATCTCTATGAATATATCTCTGCCTTGTGTCTCATAGAGTTTCATGAGATGGTCAACTATTCTTGCAAAGTTGTCGAAGATGTATTTCTGGAAGAAGCTGCTCTTTTCAGGCATCGACCCAAAGATGTTGAAAATTTCAAGCAAGACTTCGAAATGCTGTATGTTCTTTGGATTGGCTGTCATCAATGTGGAAATTATCCTGTGCATAAAGAATGTATTTACTCGCTTTATCTTCTTTATGTCGTTTCTGAAGAATGGAACAATGTACTTCATTGCCTCTTTAACAAACTCAAACCCCCCGTTGCTTAGCTCACTAACAATCTGCGGAAGCACATACATACTAAGTGCGTTTCCCAAAACTGTGGAGCTGTTGATAAGCTTCCACACCCCAAAAAACTCCTTGTTTCTCTTGCTGTACTCCAGAACCTTTTCCGAGCAGCACTTGATTATGTCTCCTGCAATATGCTCTCTAATAAGCGTCAACACAGAAAAAAACTCCTCGATCTTCTGCTCCTGGCACAAAAATTCGTGGGAAAATACATCGAAAGAATCCTCAAATATCCTGTAGAGTATGTGAACCTCAGACACCGAGAAAATCACTGTGTTTCCAGATTTCTCGAGAATTCCAATTCTTCCAACCAATTCCCTAAACCCAGAGATAAATCTCTCCACAATCTTCTTGATCTCTCCTTCTTTGTCTGAAAATACAAGTCCCGCCAGTCCTTTAATTCCTTCAAATCCATTTTTCATATCATAAAAGCTTCTGAGATAGACATCAGAGAGTTCTGCAACATCCCCAGCCCTATTTCCAAAGCACTTGCATACATTCTCCACGGCTTCCAGACAGACGCGTATGGCCTCGATGTGCTGCTCAACTACATCCTCCACCTTTCTCTTAAGAAATTCCCTACCGCTGCATTCTGAAGCCTCCTTCGACAACCTTTTGATTAAGGAACAGGATGAAAAAAGAACATTTGACACCCTCGACCCAAACTCTGCGTATGCTGCCTTGCTAAGACTCTCTTTCACATGCCCAAGCATGTCGTTCAGCATTCTGATTCCCTCGGTGTTCATGGGCAATGCATCGGGAGAGAACAGAAATGGAACCACATATGTCTTGTCCACAATGGGAAGAGCCATGTCCTTGCTCCCTACACACACCTTAGAAAACTGCGTGTATATCTCCTGTCTAAGGCCCAGGAGCTCAGAAGGGCAGCAATACATCCCCGCAAATGCAGCCTCAGATGCAAACATGTGGTAGGGCCCAGACTTCGATACAGCCGGAAGCTGATCGCATGTAAGCTTGAGCAGACTGCAGATTCCAGAGCACATGCTTATTGAAAACACCCTTTTATGCACTATTCCATCCATGAACCTCCTGTTTTCAAAGATCCTCCTAATATGGCCGTATACACAGGCTAGAAACTGATCGATCTTGATGGCATGGCATTCTAGGTTGTGAAAAAAGGCTCTGGCATGTATCAATGTCTCTGTAAGGGTAAACAGCGATATTTCTATAAGGCTCTCATCTCCGTTTTCCATGTTGGCAAAGAGGTCGTGAACCATTCCTAGGAGTGCCCCCACATGCACATCTACCAGGTCCCCACTGATGACCCCCGATCCGCTCAGAGAGCCCAGCGCCTTCAGCGATAGAATCACATTTGGAAGATTGTCATTTTGAAGCACATTGTGAAGAGCATACACCAACTCCACACTCCGAACACTCTTCAGGGAAAACTTGTTCAGGAATCTAAGAACAGTGTACCTCATCTCGTTTCCTCCAGACATAAATGACGATTTCTTCTCAGGTTCCGTACTATTGAGCACCTGTGTAGCAAATAAAACCAGTGGTTCGAGAAATTCTTGCGGAGAGAAAAGCATCTCGAGAAACTTTCCACTCTCCATGTACATCTTGAGCCGCCTAGCCTTCACCTCATTCGAGTCACTACCTGTAAAAAGCTCCTTCATCATGGGTTTTTCCTTTTTTTCTTTCTTCTCAAAAAAATTGTCTATAAAGAGCATAGGAACTACAGATCCAATATGATAAGAAGGTTTATTTGAAAAATCATTCCAACCTTTACAAGACAGTACAAGTCCTTCCTATATCTCCTCCATCTTCTCCACCATGCTTCTAAAGGCATCAAATGTCTTTCTCTTGTTGATAATCCGGGTCTCCTCGCCTTTGACACTGTCCTCGGATCTTTCGAAATATCCTAGAACATCTCCGTTCTCTCCCACGTAGTTGACATACTCGGCAGGCATGTCGTAGTGAGGAGTGAGATCCCTCAGGTCGTTGCACAGGCCAACCACCTCCTTGATTAGGCCAACGGGAAACTCAGATATACTTTTGTTGTCACAGATATTTGATAGTAACTCAAGCTTCTTAGCTATTTCCAGAGAAATTGCTTCAATGCGGTCTGTGGAGGCCTCTTTTGCAAACCCGATTCTCAACCCGTTCCTCATGTAAGACCTCATTGGGGCCTGAGTACACCAGCTTCTTTCGATGCTTTGAAACCGAAGCCCTGGATATGGAGCGGCAATTCATCCTTAGATTGCACGAAGCAATAAAGCATATTGTCGACCTCAAGAGCTCAACATTGGATGTATGCAGCGACAAGTCTGTTGCACTGACACACAATGGCAAGAGATACCCGGGGATAATTGTAAGGCTTCCATGCATAGTTGAGTCTCAGAAGACCATGGATAGCAGGCAGCACTACAAGGTTGCAGATATATCCACGCTTGTGGTTGTGTATCCACACGATGGCTTCGACTTTGATAGAGAGAGGGAGATGCACGAGCTGAGCGGTCTGTGCCCTCCACTAAAATATGTGAAAGCAAGGAGATTCAGAAAGAAGAATAGCAAGATCGAGTATGTCGAAGAGATTGAGAGGAGGGTCAATGAGTTATTGGAGAAAGACATGAGGGCGATGTCTGTTGAGGTGATTACGAAGGAGGAAAAGGAAGGCTCTGACGATCTAGACATGCTGGCAGCGGAGATTGAGAACAAATTGGCGGATTACAGCGAGGTTCAGCAGGAGGAGGTTTGCGCGCATCCCCCTGAGGCTGAGGAGAAGAAGGAGGAGAAGCCAAGAAACAAAGAGCTCGAAAGGTTGGAGAAGAGTATTGAAGAGAAGAGGAAGCAGATGGAAAATGCGCTGAATCCTATTCTTCAGAAGAGGTTTGAGTCGCAGCTTGAAGTGTTGATGAAAGAGCTTGAGGACATGAAGAAGAATCTAGAAACGGAATGAGGAGCAAAGTAGAATAAAGTTTGATTACCGTGACAGAGCTTTTGGGTTGACTGATGTGTTAAGCAAAGACATGATTTGGAGAATGAAAAAATTACTCCTTGAGATTTTTGATGAAATCAAACATGAGTAGCAAGATATTGAAGCTTGCGGTTGTGGAGGTGCTGTCGCAGAGTGGATTTGACAAGACTGCAGACCAGGCGTTGAATGTCCTGACAGACATTCTGAGATACTACATCGAGCAGCTCGGATGTAGAATGAAAAGAAGACATGGAATGGGCGTTGTTTCCGATCAAATGTGCAGGATTCTTATTGAAGAGATATATGGAGAGTGCGAGTATCAAGTTCCTGAGCTTTTATCTTTCTTGAGGTACCAGGTTACTGTGAAGAATTACTTGAGCGATAGATATAATGTGGGGAGTGAGGAGTCCATCCTTCATATCCTTAGGGTTCTTCCGAAGAATGCACAGCTAAGGATGGTGATGAGGAATGGAAGCAGCCTGAGGGAGATAAATGAGATTGAAAAGGAGGTTGTGGAAGACGACGTAAAGTTTGACGAGTTTACCAAAGAGTTTGTTAGGTCGAGCTTGTTGGAAGCGAGCAGGAGGGAGGTGAGGGAATATAGGTTTGAGTCTGTTGATCTTATTGGGGGAGAGCCCCGGAAGGGTGTGAGGATCGGGGATGCCGAGTTCAATGAGATTCTGGACCGGAAACAGAAGGAAGTGGAGTTTCTGCAGGAGCCTAGGACACTTGTGAAGGACTTTGGCGGCTGGAATAGCCGGTATGTTTTCAAGGGATATGAATAATGGGTTTATGTTTGTAATAAATGTACTTCTTAATTAAGTGTTATTGGGCAGGATTTCTGAATCTTCGCACATTACCCCATGGGTGTATGTTCTAACTGTTCTTCTAGCGACTTTGCAGAAGACACGGCACAGGGAGCTGTGTATTGTACAACATGTGGGATGGTGCAGGAGGAGAATGCAATAGTCGCATCGCTGAACTTTAATACCGAGGGCCCCAAGGCCACTCTGAATGGGCAGATTGTCGGCATTGATTCCAGGAATGTTGGAACTGGGTTTGTTGATTCGAGCTACTACATCAAGAACACCATTAGCGGGATATGTGCATCGCTTGGGCTTGGGATTGACCATGTCGAGTGCTCCTTCCGATGGTATAAGCTTCTCCTTCAGTACAATCTTAGCAAGGGGAAGTCGATTTTGTATACTCTGAGTGCCTGCATTTACATTGTCTGCAGACAGGAAAAGACGCCCCATATGCTGATGGATTTTTCGAATGCACTGCACATTGATGTGTTTAAGATAGGGAAGAGTTTTCTGAAGATAACAAGTATGCTTGGGATTGAGATTCCCTTGATTGATCCGTCTCTGTATATGCCTCGCTTTGTTTCTCGGCTAAGATTTGAGAGTAGTGAGGTGCTGGGGCTTTCGCTAAGGTTGATAAGCAGGATGAAGAGGGATTGGATTGTTGTTGGGAGAAGGCCAAACAACCTGTGTGGGGCAGCTCTTCTGATTGCCTCGAGAATAGTTGGGGAGGAGAGGAGTATATATGAGATAGCGAAGATAGTCCATGTTTCTGTGAGTACTATAAACAAAAGGCTGAAGGAGATAGGAGACACCGAGAGTGCGAATCTTAGCATTGAGGAGTTTAATGCGACATGGATAGAAAAGGAGGAGGATCCGCCATCTGTCAAGGTGAAGAGGATGGAGATGGCGAAGAAGCAGGAATGCGAGTCTGGGAGCAGCGAGATGATCCCGTATTCCACCCCACAGAGCAGTGTTGACAGCGAAGCTCTTTCTGACTCTGAAGAGATTGAGAGGAACATTCTTTCGCCCGAAGAGAGCAAGAGAAGGGAAATTGTCTGGGAGGAAATGTATGGAGAGTTTATGAGGGAGCGAGAGAAGAGGGCAAAGAGCAGTGTCAAGAAGGGGAAAAGGAGAAGGAGGAACGAGGAGTTTGGGTCTATTGTTGAAGCATTTAGGAGCTTGGACAAGAAAATTTCTGGAAAGTTGAACTACCAAGCAATTGAGAGTATTTTTGATAAGCTTTAGAGGAATGCAGGCGTGACGGTTGACTGCGGTGCTGAACAAGAAGACAGATAGCCTCTAGGGCTTAGAGATGTTTATTTACGTTTAGGGCATATGGGGATTTAAGGAGAAATATATGAAACAAAGGATTATTTACCATGGGAGACGAGGTTACAGAGAAGATAGAGAAGGAGGTGAAAGATCTCCAGGGCGTTCTTAAGGAGCAGCTAAAGACACAAAGGGATCTTGGAGACCTTGAGACAAATTTGAAATCCGAAACGTTCACGCTAGAAAAGACGACTGAGGAGCACAAGGCTGCTACTGAAGAAGCTAAGAAGAAGCTGTTCTGGAAGAACTTCAAATATTTCCTTATTGCAGGGATAATAGTAGTGTTGATTCTATTTGGGATTTTTGGAAACATTTTCAAGGGGTGACAGGCCCTAGCTTATATAAAAGCTTTTAATATGCTTTGTGCATCTGTTTTCTGCTGCTTATTCTTGACGCAAGCATTATCCTTCTTAGCTTGAAGTCCATTATCTTTACTGTTCCTGCAAGGGTGGCTGACACGTTTGGAAATGGAGGGGTGCCCCTTCGAAGGAAAACATCTGATAGTTTCTTGTGTATCTTGCGAAAGTTTATTCCATGTTCCCTGTATATGTTGGATGTCTTGAGGTCGACGATCTGCGGGCGATCAGACAGCTTTTTTTCGACAAGATCTTTGTTTAGTCTCATCATTCTTCTGGAGTTGCCTGTACTTAGGTGTGCCTGCTGTATCCTCCTACTTCTTACTGGAAAGTCTAGGTACTTGATGACCTCGTACAAAACATCGCTGTTCATTCACAAGATGCTCCAGAGCACTTAAAACTGCTTTGAGCAAGTGGACCAATAGATTTACACACTAGGTGTGTGGGTGCAAACATTCTGATTAAGAAGCCCATTTGACATTGGGTGCCTTCCAATTACGGATGATCCGGGAATAACAAGCAGGGATTACCTCTTCAAGAATGTGACAGCCTTCGGACACAATAAAATTTACTATTTCGATCGCCCTCTTCAAAAAATGAGGCTAGAAGACCTGTTTGTTAGGCTGAGAGATGATCCGTCTGCAATGTCTGAGATAGAGAAGGAAGTTCAGATGTGTATAGGCTCTCCGGATCTTACGCCTGCAAAGGATCTCATGAATTCTGCGATTCCGGAGATCAAGTTCTATGCTTTGAAGATTGTCGAGGAGAGAATCAGAGGCAAGAAGATGGCAGGGATTACTCCTGAGGAGGAGATGAGCTTTATGTCGGGTGTGGTCCAGGCCACCAACACCGACAAGGCAGCGCAGGTGTTTGCTTTACTTGGGATCTATGAGTGGCCCTCCAGCTTTCCTCAGTTTTTTTCCATTATCATCGACCTTCTCTCGCACAGAAAAGAAGTGGGATACAAGATCCTTGAGAACTTTCTCTATCTGTGCAACTACAGTCAGGAAATCAATGAGGAGAGAAAGGATGAGCTAAAGAGAGGGTGCGCCGTCATGTCCCATGCATACATGCCTTTGTTTGATGACTCTATGGCGGAGTATATTATCCCAATACTGACAGAATCTCTCAAGATGATGCCACGAACCTTTGATTGCAGTATAGTGCTAAGAAGAGGCAGTGAGTTTCCCGACAAAACCATTGAGTTTCTAAATGACGGAATGGACATGCTCGACATAGAGAGTGTTATTGATCTTGCATCCCGGATGGACATCTCGTATGGGATGATTATGTGCTTTAACAATTTGAAGGATAAGACTCCACAGGTGAGGAATGTTAAGAAAATGTATGAGTATGTCTTCAAGGGGCTTCGGAAGGACTTGATTACCTTTTCTGCATCCATTGAGTTTTGGACAAAGCTCTTCAGCCGGGGAGGAATGGAGGAGATAGTTGGAGAGGTGCAGACGGAGGTGGTTTCGATCTACCTTAGTATTGATGAAAGACAAAGGACAGAGATAGAGGGGGAGGTGTTTGGATTGTTCAATGTCATCTGCAGAAACTATCCAGGTACTGTCATTAACTTCATCAGTGTCAATGGAGATTGCATTGGAAGAAAGCTTGCCCTCTACTTCCTGAAGAAGCTTTTTGGGTCTTCTTCATCAGGAATTCCAAGCGACTTAACGTTCAGAGACCCTATTCTGCGCTGTTCGTTAGCAATTTATAAGAAGGATCCCTCTGCCGTGGATCACATCCAATACTTCGACCTCAATGAAAAAGAGTCCTGTAGGCTAGTTATTAGGATCCTTGAGATGTTTCCTCTATCAGCCCCCCAACTTGAACACATACTAAGCAGATGCAATGTTTCTGACAAGACGTATGCAAATGAGGTCATTGTCGAATGCTTCACAAGACTCGGACGGGGGGAAGAGTTCACGGAGAAATGGACACATGACGAAATCATAAGGTTTTTCTTCTATTTAAAGAAGCAGCCCGAGAAGTTCCGTCGGTTTTCAGGCACTTATTACAGAACCTTTTTGGAGAGAGCTCCCTTTGATAGATGCTTTGCCATTCTCAGAATGCTGGGAGATATTCCAGAAGAAATACTCCGAAAGATTTATTCTGATATAGATTCCTACCCAGCTGCAGACGTTTCTTGCTTCAACAGAGACCTTCTGTGTTATCTGGAGAATCAGAGCCCTTTTATTCAGAAAGAAATCACCAGGCTTGTCAACGAATGGAGGGTCTCAGAGGATCCAGGAGATCTTGTTGCATGTGTGAAATCGTTGGTACATGTTATTGCAAATGCATCGGGCCTTTCTGGAGAGCAGAAGTTCTGTCCGTACGTCAACGAACTGATTGAGATCCTTCAAATAGATGAGCCAACAGTTGTTAAAAAGGTGTCTGAGACGTTCAATACCCATTCCGGGCCCTTTGACACACACAGGGCCGTCTATCTCTTCATGGTATCATACAATTCAGGGGCGCTTGAGAATGCACATTCCTCGATCATATCGTCTCTCACTATATGCATAAAGCAAGAGAACGGGCCAAAGGCCTTCAGTGAGACATTAGGAATAGATCAGTCGTCATGCATAAACCTAAGAGAGGATGTACTGAAATCTCAGACAAGAAGAGCTCAAAGCCTTGTCAGGGCCTTTTTACAGTCTTATAAAGGAAAGCCGCTTAATTCTCTCTATGCAAATGACTTCAAGGTTAAAGGACAAAACTTCCTTGAGAAGATCCCTTCAAGAAAGGAAGTCGAGTTTGAGATAGAAAGATCCTTTTTCGAAGATGGAGTGCAATAAACCTTTTAATCTTTCTCAGTCTTCAGGAGAGTTGAAGTCGGTGCAACATCAAACACAATCAAGTTTTTCTTTTTCAGCCTCTTTCCAAAGAACCTCAAGATCCTTGCCTTCTTCTCATCAACAGTTTCGCCTGCTTCGCAAACGACATAGTCCTCTGTTAGCTGCATCTTCTCGTCCTTCATGGATACAGGCAGGATCTCAATCATCTCCTTGCTCTTTACCACTTGCTTTTCTATAACGGCACGTGAAGGACAAACGTCGTTCTCCTCAAGAAAGTCCTCATACTCATAAGACTTTGCTTTTTCAATGGCCTCTTCGTTTCCAAACATCAGGAAAAAGGAGTCCTTCGGCATCGAAGGCATGTTGTACAGAGCACTTGCCATCTTTTTTCTTACAAACAGGATCTTGGATATCCCCTCAAAGTCCTCTCTAATCTTCTTAAGTATAACATTGGGTATGCTTGGGTTTTCAACCACTGCAACGAGAGGGTATTTATCTGCATACTTCTTGACCTTTTCCATCTCTGCATGTCTCTTTTCCTTGCTTTTCTTTGTAACCGTACCCATGTGCTTGGGGATGGTAAATTTTTCATAACCATCTTCATTAAACAACACCGCATTCCTTCATGAAGATCAGAAGGAGTGTGGAGGACACCAGGAAAATTACAACCAGGAACCAGATGGATACGAGCCCCATCCTTGAGCCGCTTGAAAACTTCGGGTACACGCCAGGGGTCCTCAAACCAAAAAGGTGGGTATGGTCACGGCCTATGCAAAATACGTTCTTTTGCCCTTTTCTGATCTCCTCTGCCGTTCTCTCTATCTGTGCTATCAGCATTCTTCTCTTTTCTTCATCAACTAGAGCTGACATGTGTCTTCAGCCTCCTGGTGCTTTATTGTTATAAGGAGATAAAGGAGTCTCTCAGTCTGTAAAGGAGAATTTGGGAATTAAGGAGTAAGGATACTATATGCTCATCATTGTATCTAAGGTCTTCGAAGGAGGCTGCTTGTTTCAGGTTTTATTTTTAAGATCCTAAAGCGAGGGTAACAAATGGACCTACTGAAGGAAAAGCTGAAGCTATTCTTTGAGGCGAACAAGGAGAAAATTCGCCACAAAGAGGTTTTGATTGCAATGGGTAACGAGGCATGCGACCTCGACTCTTTCATAAGCTCTCTGGTGGTTGCATATGCAGAGGATGCCATCCATGTTGTTAACATGAGGAAGGAGGTTTTTCTATCGAAGGGAGAGATTACGTGGGTATGCAGAGAGTTTGGAATAGATGTAAACGACCTAATATTCCTATCCAAGCCAACACTGCACTTTTCCTCGAAGGCAAGAAAGATAGGAGCATACTTTGATTCTGGTGGAAAGGAATATCCCGTGTGTGGAAAGAAAATAAAGCTCCTCCTTACGGATCACAACCAGCCTGTTGAAGAGCTTGAAGACTGCAAGGTCGAGTTGATAATAGACCATCATATGGTTGAGAAAAACATCTTTCCTGCAAAAAGAATATACGTCGATCTTGATGTAGGGTCTGCAACCACATTGGTTTCAAAATACCTTGGAGAGGATCTGTCAAGGAAAAACCATCATCACACATCATCTCCAAGTCTCCAGGGGGACAAAGTGAAAGAGGCCCTCTGCTCAGCCTTTGCCAGGCTCCTGCTTATTCCAATTCTCATAGATACTGGGTTCCTAAAAAAACGCACGAGTGTGTTTGATATAGTTGAATACAGAAGGCTGAAGGAGATGGCAAACATAAAGAAGAAGGAGCTTAAAGAGGTGATAAGGGCCCTGAAGAAGGCCAGGAAGAACGACCACGAGCAGGAGACAGACCTCATACTCCAGAAAGACTTCAAAACCTTCCATTACAAGAGCTTCACTTTCGGAGGATCCACTGTGAAGTATCCATTTGAGGCCTGGGTAGACAGAGAGGGGAAGAGCATCAGTGGGCTTCCTGAGGAGAAAACAGGCATTGCCTTGATGATGGAGATAGAGAACTTCAGAAAGGCCATGGGGCTGGATTTCTTCTTTGTAGCAACTAAAGCCAAGGGCACCAGGAACATAATCTTTGCGAACTTTCCCTTTTTGAAGCAGATAGTTGCTGAGAAGGAAATGAAGAATATCGACTATAAGGGATTGGAGTACTACTCTGCAAGTAAGAGTCTTACAAGAAAGATCCTTGTTCCCGAGATAATCAAGGCTATTGATAAATGCACGCATGGCCCCGAAAGAAATTAAAGGTTTATAGTGGTAGAGCTCTACTTTCCTTCAAGAATAACTGTAACAGTTTACTACAAACTTTCTAGCGAAAGGTCATCTGAAGGACCCAGGCGCCATGTCCGTGGGCATATCTCTATTGAAGGAAATGTCAAATCCCCTTCTATAATCATCTACATGAGGATTGCTGATGGCTTCAGGAACTTCGCCCCCAACTCGATGGTCCTGGGAGTAAAAGCCCTGGCAATGCGACGTTCCCATTTTCTCAACCATGTTTTCCATCATTTGCCTTTCGCTAAGATGGTGCTTTGCATATCCGTCTTCTATCCTGGGCGCAAACTCCTCTCCTCCATGGTGTATCTTATTGGGTACCAGATGATTGAATGGATGTAAGAGATCGTTTCTTGGCACAATGTAAACCAGAAAGTCAAACATCTCTGATGTCTTCACCGCTGCAGTCAGATCTGACTTCTGCAATATTCTTCTCTTGTTTTCCTCTGTATTTATCCATGCACGAAGAGTGAGCTCTTCAATAAACTTTTCTGTTATCATCGAAAACAAGACAGGAACCTCAGAAGCAACCATCCTGACGCCCTCTTCGATTTTCATCAGCCGCTTTATACGTGCAAGAGGAAGATTGAGGTCCTTCAAAAATATCCTCTCCTCCACTGCAGCTTTGAAGGCTTGATGCCAAAATCTGCCGATCCTCTCGTCTAATAGGTCGTACTCATTCCTCATCCTCCCAATCATCTGTTTCTCCAAATTAAATACATTTTCTAACACAAAACATGTTTCGGATCATCGAGGAGTCGGGGCTCTTATACCGTCCAGGCTACTGGTTGTATTTATCCACTTGTGTGTGAAGTATGTTCCGGAACAAAATATTTTAATCACATGAAAGTTTTAGCACTACGGAGTTCCCAGACTTTCCAAATCTTTCTACTTTATATTTTGTAAGATGGGACACATTGATAACGTCTTCTCCACCATCCTTCGAGGGGTACAGAACCAGATACGATCCAAAGCTCTTGGTGCCTTCATAATCAGGTGCAGAAAACACAGTCACAGTCCTTCCTTCGTGGTTCACTTTGTACCCATCCTTGGCGGCTTCGTGGCTTCTTACCAGAAGATCTAGTCCATTTTCCTCTAGAAACCGGCTTGTTACATCCTTTCCAAAAATCACCCCAGCCCCCCTCTTACTTTTCTTTACACCCGTCATCTCTTCGGGATCAGACCACAAAAGCCCGCTAAGTAACTCGTTTTTATGTTCGTCGGTCATCCTATATAACTTTTGCAGTTCATCTATATTTACTGGAGTCTCCGGTAGCCCGCCATGCGTCACAAAGACCTTCTCGTTGACGATTATTGAAATAGGCAATGCCCTAAACACCGCCTGGAACTTCCTATACACAGAATCACTGCTATGTGGATACTTCCTTCTTACCTCATGGAAAAACCCATAACGTTCGTTTATATTCATAAGCTCGTGGTTTCCTCTTGTGAGATGAACCCTCTCTGGAAACAGAATCTTGAGAGAGAGTAGGAGCGCAAAATTCTCTACAGAGTGTGTTCCTCTGTCCACATAGTCCCCATTGAATATAAATGTTCTTTCTTTATCAAATATCTCATTCAAAACCCCAGCAATATCAAAGTATTGCCCATGTGTATCACCAAAAACTATGACCTCCCCCTTGCTTTCAACATATACGACATTTTCACATCCTAACAAAAGATTTTCCCCTTGATCAAGAATGCCCTTCAATACATCTTCAGGTATTACCTTTCCCTCAGATATTTCTTTGGATAAGTCATGCAGCCTCTTCATTGTAATGCGCTTTTCCAGATACTTCCCGACTGTCTGGGTGCTCAGTTTCATTCTATGCAGCAAAGCTTTGATCTCCTGGCAACGGCTTTTATCTTCTATCTTCTCGTACACTTCCATATACTCCTTTAGCATTCCCATTCTAAGGTACGCAGCACATATTTTTTCCAGGGCATTATCACTTTTGCAGTACCTCAATGATTCAAGTCCGAAGGCTAATGACCTCGGGAAGTTCTTTCTTTTGTAATAGATTGCGCAGTTGTTGTATGCCGGCGAAGATCTATCCTTGTTCAGAGTCTTCACCGAACTCTTCTGGACCATCAAGAGTATGGCATTGGCTATACCTATCACAAACAACACAGCTACAAGTGGCTTGAGAAGCTTGCCCTTATCCATAAAGGGTATGTCTTTATCATTCACATTCAATTCAAATAGTGACATGTATGTTTAAGGAAACTTGGGCATCAACAAGTTATTTATACCAAGCACCTTGCACATCAAATCTTCGATCACAAACTTTTGGAAATGCAGAAGAAGAAATATGGATAAACCTTAGAAGCATTAGGCCTTATTCAAGCAGCCAGAGAACTTAACATTTATAATGGATTTTTTTCTGCTTTCCCTTTCAGCTTATTTGCTATTCTCAATTTTTATGAGGAATCCCAATATCTTTCACTCCACCTATCAGAGATAAATGGAAAGCAACGCAATAGGTTAGCTAAAAACCCGTTCTCCTATATCTGCCTATGCAATATGGATACTGTTTATTTTCCAGAAGTAAGATCCGAGATGTATGAGATAGGAAAAATGAATAGACAGATGGCTGACATTATCTTTCAGGAGAGCAAGCTTGGAAACGTAGTCTCTGGCGGAGACAAGCCCGTAACTGGAGAAGTTTACTTTTCTGCAGTCAACGAAATCTTCAAAATCCTTTTGGACGATGAAAAATACCTGAGTGCAACCATAAGAAATTTTGAATCTAAGGAGCATCACATCGTACAACCTCAAAAAGAAGAAGGGGAAGTTCCTGGGATAGAAAAAAAGACTCTAGAAGTCATGAAGAAAATTCTTCATTCCTCAAGGCGTCTTCTGTTTGAAAATCCGGATGGCCTTTTTGAAGTAAAGGAATGGAACCCAGACAATGCCTCTCTGTCCATAGAAAACTTTATGGACTCAATCTCAAAAGAGGTAGGGAGATGCATTCTAGGGGAAGATCCGATTCCTGGCTTCATGATACTCTACAAGACAGGAAAGTATAATGACATTGTATCCCTCTTAGAGGAAATTCCTCACAAGCCAAGCATACTCGATCTCAAGATTACGGTTCCAATATATGCACAGTGGGATACCCTAAGAAATCCCATTGCTAGCATATCCACTTATGTACTCCTGTCCATCTTTTGCACCCGCCTCAAAGTAGAGTCATATGTTCTTCACCTATACTCATCAATATGGTCTTATTCTTGAAAGTCTGGCATATGCGTAGAGCGATCAAAAAGGCTCCAGATAATGTCACCTCCTCTTCCTTGAAGGCGAATCAAACCGGCCTATAAACACTGTTTTGTTCACAACCCTACTCTCTATTTCTTCCCTCAGGGACCTCCTGAAATCCATTCCGTTTTTGATCAGCTTCCCAAATCTGTCTTCATACTCATCCAGGAGCTTAAATATCGCCTCCTCAATTCTTATTAGATTCGGATATGCGCTGTTTCTGAACTTCTCTTCACTTAAGAGCTGCAGAGATGACCTGAACAGTCTTTTTGGATCAGACGCTATCTTTTCAAACTCATTCATCTTACTTATAAGCTCTTCTCTTTTCTCCGCCAGCGATCTTATCGAAAGAAACAGGTCTTTCTTGGATTCAAGCTTTGAAATCATCTCAGCCATTTCTTGAATCCCCTCCTCAGTCTTCGTGAAGTCTTTCATGTCTTCTCCAAAAACATCCACCAGGCCTTTGAGCAAGCTTCTCTTCTTTTCATATATCTCATCCAGTAATCTCTCCTGTTCCCCTCGAAGATAGCTCTCGTAGCTTCGCATCATCTCTAAGTTTCCATCGCTAAGGTCCATCTCAATCTCCCTGCAGGGCATTCCGAGATATCCCTCCCTTCTTCTTATCTCTATCTCGAGCCTCCTGAACTCCGAATCCCTCTTCTCAATCTCCTCCTTGTATTTCTTATGCAATTTTTCAAGAATAAAAATCTTCTGCCCAATCTCCACGTCAGGATCGCTCCTCGATAGCTGCGATAAAAACACACAAAGCTCCCCATACAATCCATCTCTATTCCCCTCCATCCTTTCCTGCTCGCTCCTCAGAAAGTCCCGATGCGTTTCAAGCTCCTTTAAACTCGTTAAAGAAACATCATCCTCTCCGTTCACAGCCTTCAATCCCACACAGTCAATCCCCCTCATCTCAACATCAAAGATGTCTTCCTTTATCTTTTCAATCTCTTCTCTAATGGCCGCCATCCTTCCTGCAACTGCCCTTTTCATCAACGCTATCCTTCTGGCTTCGTTCTTCACATATTCCCTCAATACACACATATTGAGGAGCTTGGGTATACGGGGAGCCTCCACTCCAATGCTAAGGCAATCCCTGCCCATCGACTCCACCACCCCATCGATCTCATTCTGCATCTCCGCCTTCCGGTCCATAATACTTTTGAGCACTCCATCCACAGATTCAATTATACATCCAACCTCGTCCTCAAAATAGTCAAACGGATTATCTCCAACCCTCTCAAGCGGCATCAGAACAAGCATGGTGTCGTAAAGCCTTTGGATCCTTTCATTCAGTTTATTAGCCCAAGAAAACTTCATTTCAATCTTCAGGCAGGGATGAAATTTTTATCTTCAACATCCTTCCAGCCAACACACAGAGTCAGATACATCATTCTTTAATGGTCCACACATTTCCTTTCAATTCACAATACTCGCAGAGCATCTCAAAAAAGTCCTCAATCCTCCCGGGCTCGTTCTGTGCAACTTTTAGTACTTCTGCCTTTTTCCAACTCTTCTTAGTGACAAGCATCTCCACTATCTTCTTTCTTCTTTCATCTCCTTTGCAAGTGGCAAGCATCCCATTGGCTAAAACCGCCACATCTCCAGGCAGGTTCCTCTTTATGACACTTGGATCTACTAGCATCTCCTTGTGGATGGTCTCTATCGAACAGGGTTGGTGCTTTTCAACCAGAAAAGCTATTTCTCGCCCCATGTCTTCATTGCCGCATCTGTTTGTGTGCTCGTTGAAGCCCTTCAGCTGGAAGTACTTCCCATCCTTTTTGCAGATCTCCTCAATAAGAAACTCTTCATCCCCCACCAATGCATATACATCTTTGCACAGAACCCTCTCCTTTTCCCTGAATAGCTCTAGCACCTTGTCTCGGATCATATGCAAATCTCTTTCATAGAACGTGTTTGAAAGAACATATCTTCCTTGGACAAAGATCGTGTATCTGGACAAGGCAGCCTTGATTGCATTCTGGTCTCTATAAAGTAGTGTAAGCTCAGAAAAATTGACGACCTTTGCGTTGACTATCGAGTTTCTTATTTGAGCAATATTCCTCGTCTCGTCCTCGGCCACAGGGATCCTTGGTGCATCATCGAAATCCTCCGACATTTCTCTTCTTTTGTACTCCATTGTGCTAAAGCCTTCAAGATTCATCTTCTTGATCTGAAAGTTGATGTTCTTTCTTCTATGCTCCTTTTCTTCGCGTGTTTCCGCCCTCCTGAATTGGTACCCTTCAATCTCTCTGTCGCCCTTCTCTCCCTCGAGGCTTCCGAACTTCGGGCTAAATAAATACACACACTCAATCTGCCTCAAAATAACTATCTTCTTGGAATGGTTTACCTTCCCGTACCACTGAGTGTTCGATAGCCTTAGCCCATAGCTCTCATAAGTAATGACATTAGGCTTTTTGCCCTCCATCTTCTGGGCCTTCTGTCTCATCCTTGGAAGCTTCATTTCCATCTCCAAGTATTTGAACTGGGGCTTATAACGCACTGCACCGATTCGGAGGTTTCTTTCAGTGCTTGGGAGTCTATACAGAGACGCGGGCTCGGTTTCCGTCGACAGCTTTATGTCGTACTCGGCAACTACCCTCATTGGAAGGATCAAGTAGGCAGTAATAAATCTCCCGATATATGCAGAAAGCCCATGGCCCTTAATGAATGTGATGGAAAAGATTAAAGAAATAGAAAACGAAATGGCAAGGACACAGAAAAACAAGGCAACAAGCAATCATCTTGGAATCCTGAAGGCCAAGCTGGCCAAGCTCAGAAGGGAGCTGATGTCGGCTCCGAAGTCCGGTTCGTCTGGAGAGGGAGGATTCGACGTTGCAAAAACGGGGATAGCAAGAGTAGGGTTTGTGGGATTCCCGAGCGTCGGGAAAAGTACCCTCATGTCCAAGCTTACAGGTACGTTCAGCGCCGTTGCTGCATATGAATTCACCACCCTGACGACAGTTCCTGGCGTACTAAGCTATAACGGAGCAAAAATTCAGATTCTGGATCTTCCGGGAATAATTGAGGGGGCAAAGGATGGAAAGGGTAGAGGAAAGCAGGTCTTGGCTGTTGCAAGAACGTGCTCACTCATCATAGTTTGCCTTGACGTCCTCAAACCTGTTTCGCACAAGGCTGTGATTGAAAGAGAGCTTGAGGGGGTTGGGATCAGGCTCAACAAGCAGCCTCCGAAGATTAAAGTGACTAAAAAGGACAAGGGAGGGGTGACGCTTATCGGAGATAGCCTGGACCTTTCCACTGTGAAGGCTGTGCTTGGGGAATTTAGGATATCGAATGCAGAAGTCATAACGAGTGGGCCGTGTACGATTGATGACCTTATTGATGTAATCGAGGGAAACAGAAAGTATGTTCCATGCATATATGTGCTGAATAAGATTGACTCGATCAGTGTGGAGGAGCTGGACCTCCTCTACAAGATCCCGCACTCTGTTCCTGTGTGTGCACATTTAGGATGGAATTTTGATTCGCTACTGTCCAAGATGTGGGACTATCTCGATCTTGTAAGGATATATCCGAAGCCGAAGGGAAAACCCATTGACTATGAGGAGCCTGTGATCCTCAGGAGCAGTAGAAGAAGCGTATCTGACTTTTGCAATGCAATACACAGAGGGATTCTTGCAAAGTTCAAGCATGCATTGGTTTGGGGAACCTCCGTCAAACACAATCCACAAAAGGTTGGGAAAGAGCACATTCTGAATGACAGTGACGTTGTCCAAATTGTCAAGAGCGTCTAAGGCAGCCTAATAAATGTTTTACAGCTAATGAGCTCTCTTTCTAATGGCCCTGGCCCACAAGGTTTAGGGTGGTTGCTAGAAAATATGAACAAATTGAGGCCCTGAAATGTAATGACAACAATACCCTTGAAGATAAAGGAAGATGGATAGGGTGCCAAGCAAGGACATAGAAAGAATGATGGCCTTTATAAATCATGAGGCAGACGAAAAGATTAAGGAAATGAAGATAAAGGCAACTCAGGAATATAATGCAGAGAAGGCCAGGATAATCAAGGAGGAAACCTCCCGTATAGAAAATGGATTTGTGATGAAGCAAAAGGAGATTGAGAAGAAAAGAGTGATGGCCGAGAACTCCTTGGCAAACACATACAAGCAGAAATATCTTGGGGAAAGGGTTAAAATCTTGAATGAGATCTACAAAGAAGTCCTAGAGATATGTTCCAAGGAGCCTCTTAGCCCCTTGTTGATAGCCCAATGTGCCGAGAAGATAAGTGAGGAGGAATTCATTGTGTATTGCAATAAGAAGGATAAGAAGGTAGTGGAAAAGGAATGCAAGAATGTTGAGATCAGAGAAATGGTGCCTGAAGGTGTGGGCGGGGTTCTTCTATGCTCAAAGGATTACAGCACCATTGTGGATAACAGCTTTGCGTCAAGGCTCGAAACAATAAAGAGCACATTTGAGGCAGAAATCAATAAAATTATCTTCAGGTATTTTGAGAAGTTTACTTTATTCTTGTAGGCCCTCATTGGATGCCGCTCCATTCAAATAGTCAGGGCCCAGACGATTGTAATCCTCTAAAGTGTATATGGGAAAGGCATCAGAAAACCTTGCTCCCTTGAACGGATCACCTATGGGGTCCGAGGCTCTTATGACCTCGACCTCTCCTACAAATGACATGCTCGTCATTTCGTCCTTTATTCGCACATCAATTCCCTTTATCTGCGAAAACCCTCCTGTTAGAAGCACTTTCTTCACCCTATACTTTTTGCTAACATCATCCATTATCTCCGTCAGCCCCATTTGGTCAAGGCCTATGATGGAAGGAGAGAAGAGTATTTCGGGGATTTTCAGGAGGTCCACATTCACATTCATTCTTCCAATGAAATGCCCGTTAAGAAGATCGACCGTGTCTGCTGTGTATGGTTCGAAATATGGATCCAATTCCTTTATCTGAGTAACAAGGCCTTTCAAAGATTCCAAGATCTTATTTTCTTTGTCTAGGTCTTCTGCATCCCTGATCTTTTCTGCAAGTATCCTCTCGTCAGAAGTCAGCTCGCCTTCCTTGAACCTTACCTGGAATTCATATGTCTTTCTATTCTTTGCATCCCTTCTCAGTTTACTTCTTATCTCTAGTTCTCTTTTAAGCACCTCAAGCTCTGCCTTCTTCTTGCTTATAAACCCTTCAAGATCCACCAGCTTTTCCTTCTCATCTTCCATGCACAGGATGTGAGAGGATAGCCTCTCTAGGCACTTGTCAATTCTGGTCTTAAGCCTGTGAAGAGTTGAGTGGTATAGAATCTTTTGCTTCTTCTTCTCTTTAATCCCTTCTGCATCCAGGTCAGAATCCGCAGTGTTGAGAAGCCTCATATCGATCTCAGGCATAGAACCAGAGGCTGACGGTGCAGCATGTACTTTATGCTTCTTATCCACAGGCTTCTCTTTAAGTGCTTCAAGTTCCTCGTCTAGAAAGTAGTTTCTCGAATAGTTCCCTGCCTTCAGTTCTTCAAGTATCTCAACAGATTCCTTACTATAATCCGGAGAACATCTCAGATATGGAATCAGCCCTCTGTAGTTCTTTTTACTGTCAAAAAACTTATTAAACATTACTGCAGAGAGATATTCTCCCCCTGCCTTTCCTCCAAAGTTGATTTTGTAAACATCCACAATCTGCTCTGACTGAATGACAAGGCATGTTGTTGCAGAGTGGGATATGTCTATAATCATGCAGTCTTCCCGGTCTAAGTTCCATAGATACGAGTAGTAGCTATCCACTCCAACTTGTATCTTCTCAAACCCATAGACATCAAACAAGAACTTCACAAGCTCTGTATGTGTCGGACTGAATATCTTTTCGGTGAATATTAGGTTCTTTAACTTCTCGGGCTTCAGATATTCCAGAATCTCATCAATGACATATTCTAAGACCTCAAAGTTGGTCACAACATCGCCGTCAAACATAGTCTTAGCCGAAGCACCTTGGAAGTTTTCTATTGACGATACAGCCTTATGACGATATAAGACGTTTTTGAAAACCATTTGGGGTGCTCCTCCAGAATATCCGGCCTTACACTCATAACTCCCATTATCGATCACTATAGTGTCGGTCTTGTCATACTTCTCATACTTGTTCTTGCTTGAAGGATTCAGAAGCTCAAGATACATTCAGGGCCAACAGAAGCAAATCACTAAAATTCGCAGGATTTAATGTCAAGCGACCTCTTCATATAAGGGCCGAATTTCTGTACACAACATCTCGTACGGCATAAAACACACCTGTATCCTTTCCATCTATAGTCAATCCGTCAGGATTAATCCTGATCCATACGCTGTCCTCCACTAGAAGCCCATTCTCCTCCTGCTCCACCCTCATGTTCCTTTCAATAATCATCCTTCTCAATTCATTGATGTCTGCATGCCCTATCACCATCCTGGGCCCACTTCCAATGCATCTTACCGTGTCTCCATCTCTGACCCCTCTAAAGCTCCCTACAGAGTCATTTGCTATCACCTGATAATCCAGCTCATCAAAGCCTTTATCTAACTTTACTATTCCCATAGAAACATCAGAAGATAAAACTATCTTGTTTCTGCACACATACACATCCTCAAAGCATGGCATGTACTTGAAAGTATGGTAGAGGAAGCGCTCCGTGTCTCTGTCCTCCCCAACGCACACAAGTTTCCTTGGCGATAAGGTTTCAACTATCATTTTACAGGAATTCAGATCGGAAATCCCCATCAGATCCATTTTCTCGATTCTGTACTTTAGCGCAATTCCCTCTCCTTCAAGCTCTCTCTCTTCCGCTATTGTTTCTTTCTCCATCTCTTCCTCAGACACCTCCTCCACAGGAAGAATCTCGCTGACAAATAATGACCTATCCATGTACTCTCCGTAGTCGTCATATGCCCTTCTTCTCGACATAGATGGGAAGACCTCGTCACCATTCTCACACCACACCTCATGCCTTATCTCAGACCAATCAGTCTCAATCCCTTCCACATCAGACACATCATCTTCAACATCTTCTACAGAATCTTCTCCATTTGTCCCCCTTTTTTCGTCTATTCTTTCCACTAGCCTGAAGCTATACCACTTCATCGTTCTAGATTCCTTCCTAATAACCTCGTCCATCCTAGGATCAATAAGCAGAACCATATTGTTCTCGTCGTTCAGCTGGTGGAGCACAGTTGTGAGAATCCCCCCGTAGACATACTCGTCAATAACAACCACCACATCAAACTCAGAGACATCCTGATAATGCCCCACAAACTCAATCTTCTCAAACTCAAATGGATTGACCTTCTCCTCAGAAAACATGGAAGAAACTTTCTCTCCAGCCCATTCAATCATCGACCTTGCCCTTTCGACAAACCTCTGCCCAAAGTACGATAGGCACACAATCCTCTCATTTCTTTGTGCCATCATGCTGTTAAGAATTAGAGCAATCTCCAGGAACCTAGAATACTTGACTGGGAGAATTACCTTGCCTCCCGAGCTAAGAACACTTCCGACAATCTCTCTAAACATATTGTCTCTCTTCGCAACAGAGATGTTTTCTGCCAGAACGTGGTTTCCATTGACCACACACAGACTGCAATCGCCTATCCCAGAAAACCCAATCCCATCAAGATGGTTTTCCTTTCGATGATTCATGTTCAGCCCAATGACGATTCTCTCGGCACCCTTGCTTATCTTGTATATGCATCCTCCAATAGAATTCCCAGAATTATATGTGCATATCTCGACATTGCCGATGACTGTTGGTTGCGAATACTTTATTTCCGATATCCTTTCGAAGCACGCCGTATATCCCTCTACTTCCATCCCCATTCCCTTCAGATGCTCATCTAAGCATATCTTTCCAAGGACTTTGATAGGTACAGAGGAAAATATCTTATTGTAATAGTTGTTCTGAAGGATGTATGGCAAAGCCCCTACATAGTTGACACCAAAGCTCGTTAGAAGAATGGCATCACAGGAAAGTATCTGGGGCAAAACAGATGTGTATATGGACATGTCCATTGTATAAGGCGCCCCGCAATTCACCAGGATCCTTACATTGTCTATCTCTAGTAGGTGGCAGTATATCCCTGTGTCTGTTCTTATGAGCGGAGTTAGACTCACAAAGCTAGAAGGCATTTGCTGTGGGTAAAAATGCCAAGGAAAATAACCGCACAGCCCTTTCTATGAGTGAGAATGAAGCCTTGGCCGGGGAATTTGTTAGGATACTAATGGATAACCATCGAAAGTCGGTACCGACAAGAAAGCAAAATGTTAGGGCACAGCTTAAGGTCGGAGTGAAGGAGATAGGGGCGCTCGTAGAGTTTTCTAGGGGATATCTGCAGAAGCTAGGGCTTGAGCTGGTTGGAGTTGGCAGAGAAGGCACTTCGGACCCCATTACGGCTGAAAAATACTTCATCAGAAGGTTAGAGCCTTCGAATGAAACCACGGAGATTTTGTCGGAGGAGAGCAGAAGATTGATACTGGTGCTCACCTTTGTGATTTTAGAGCGAAAGTCAATTGAGGTACCTAGACTATGGTTTTTCATACAGAGAACGGGGGTTTTTGAGAGTGAAGATGACTTTACCGAGTTTCTGGGGCAGGTAAAAAGACAAGGATACCTCTCGATAGCAAAGGTTGAGGAAGGTCATGTTGTTACTCCTGGATGGAGATACTATTGCGACTTCCACAGCTTTGATCCCAAGGGATACTTCCAGAGCAATGCCCATTGATATAAAGAAATTTTTTCTCCCTTGAATGGAAGATCTTGTCGAAGCCTTTCCAATGCTTTCTGAGGCCAGAGCATGCATAGTCCAAGGGGAATTTGAGCACGGGATCGAGATATACAGCGAAATTCTCAAGGATATGAATCCCGACGACGAAAGGATTCCCTATCTGTATATTGAGTATGCGGATGCTCTTGTCAAGAGTTCCAACATGTTTTTTATCGAGGAGATATCCAAGATTAGCGGAAAGAAAGGATTAAACCTGGAGGAGAGAAAGGTGGCGGAGGATGATCTAGAGATCGCATGGAACCTGCTGGAGATATGTAAGAATGCATTTAGCATATTGAAGGATTACTCGATGCTGGCAAGAACAAGGTTTCTGTTGGGGGAGATCTGTTTGTTGAACAACGAGTTCCGGAGTGGTCTGCACGAATTTGTTGAGTGTGTTGCGGTGATGGACAAGATATACGAGAAAGACTGTTTTAAGTATGCAGATGTGTACCAGTCTCTTGCAAACTGCTACGAGTTTCTGGAGGACTTTGAAAGAGGAAGAGAGTATTATGACAAAGCAATAGGGATATACAGGGCTGAGCAAGAGAGAAGGGAATCTGAAGAGGAGAAGAACGAAATCTGCGATGTGATAACGGAGCTTCTTCAAAAGGCGACTGAGCTGAAGTATAAGAAGGAAAAGCTTGAGAACACAGATCTACCTGACGAGCCTGAATCTGATGATATATTCATCGATATAAATGCTTGTAAACGCAATAAAAAATAATGTGCTTTCTAGTTATTCTACTGCATGGATCTTCGAAGTATAAAAATATTTATGGAGCTGCCCATGGGATGCTGGATGAGGTAGAGATGTGGCGCATGAAGAAGCTGTTGAGGAATCTTCGCGACAGCCGTGGAAACGGGACCTCAATGATATCGATAATCATTCCTCCTAAGGACCAAATATCTAGGATTTCAAAGATGCTTACTGACGAGTATGGAACGGCATCAAACATCAAGTCGAGGGTGAATAGGCTGAGTGTTTTAGGGGCTATTACTTCTGCACAGAGCAAGCTGAAGCAGTACAGCAAGACGCCGCCCAATGGGCTCGGGATATTTGTTGGGACTGTTCTTATGGAGCAGAATAAGGAAAAGAAGGTCAGCGTGGGGATTGAGCCTATAAAGCCTGTCAACACGTCTCTATACATGTGTGACTCGAAGTTTCATGTGGATGATCTCCTAGCACTTTTTGAAGACGAGGCTAAGTATGGATTTATTGTGATGGATGGGCACTCTACTGTGTTTGCCACCCTCCAGGGAAACGTGAAGACGATTCTGCAGCAAATACACGTGGATCTTCCGAAGAAGCATGGGCGAGGAGGGCAGTCGTCTGTAAGGTTTGCACGTCTTAGAGTTGAGAAGCGAAATGCCTATATCAAGAAGGTTGGGGAGATAGCTGGGAATCTGTTTTTGACGAACTGTGTCATGAATGTGGAGGGTATTATATTGGCAGGGCAGTCCGACCTTAAGAACGAGCTATCTCGAGTGCTAGACAGTCGAATCAAGGTGATAAAGACTGTTGACACTAATTATGGAGGAGAGGGAGGACTGAACCAAGCCATTGAATTGTGTGAGGACATTCTGAAGGATGTGAAACTGTCTAAGGAAAAGAAAGTACTACAAAAGTTCTTCAACGAGATCAACACGGAAAGTGGTAGGTTTTGTTTTACTATGAAGGAAACTATGCAATGCTTGGAGATGGGAGCTGTGGATACACTTATAGTTTATGAGAACCTACCTGATGTCAGGGATGAAGAGTTATTTGTGGACTGGATTGCGGAAAACTATAAGAACTTTGGATGTGCTCTGGTGTTTGTGAGTGACAAGAGTGCTGAAGGGACACAGTTTATCGAAGGATTCGGGGGCATAGGCGGAATTTTAAGATACAGAGTTGACATGGAAGACCAAATGGACGGAGACTATTCTTCAGTTGATGATGACGAGATATTCTGAGGAAGCGGATTTCCTTCTATGATATAAGATAGAATAAATTACTCTGCTGTTCTTAACTTCTTTGTGTGTGGTAGCCCTGGATGGAAAACATTTTCCCGTTGCAAGAAAATGTTGAGATAGAAGAGATTTATGGAAGCAAGAGGCCTAATGCAAACCCCCCGAAAGATTCCAAAGCATTTAGAATGAAGAGTGGAGCCCAGGACTTTATGGATGTCGAGACATACCACGTAAGGTTGCCAAGCTGGTTTCGAAAGGGTGAGGTGAGCCCATTAGAATTCAATTGCATGGGCGAGGTTATCCAAGCGATTGGAAAGGAGGAATATGTGCGGAACAGAGACAGGATAATTGGCAGTTACGAAGAAGGAAACAGGCCAATAACGATTGGAGGGGCACTTGCATTAGTAGATATAGATATTGAGATGATGTTGAAAATTTTTTCGTTTATTGAGAGATGGGGGCTAATCAATTATCGTAGCCTGATTGAAAAGGAGATAAGGAATCTTAGGTCGTATGATGGTGTGGATACAAAATCCATGGAAGATGTTCCAAAGGAGGAGTGCCCTAAAGAAAGGGTTGATGTGAAGGAGCAACTGGAGAAGGCAGCTTGTGGGTGTGGGGGAAAAGCAACCTTTTTTACAAGGTCTTTGGTGTTCAGATGCACTAAGTGTATTGACGACGGCGATTATCCGCAAGAGGTTCTAAGATCTGATTTTATTCCCATCACTGAATCTCTGGTAAAGCAAATGTGGTCAAAGAAGGAAGAGTTTCTTCTGTTGGAGGGGATTAGCAAGTTTGGGGATGAGTGGGAATCTGTAAGCCAATATGTGCAAACCAAGACGAAGGAGCAGTGCATATTCCATTTCCTTCGTCTTCCTATATTGGAAAACACACTTTCAAAGGCAGACCTTAGTATCGGTAAACTGTTTGAGACGGCAGAAAACCCGATTATGTGCATTGTTGCTTTTGTATGTGGAATTGTTCATCCGAAGGTTGCGTCTGAATGTGCGAAGACAGCTATCAAGTACATAAGTGAATGTTCTCAGGACTCTGTCATTCAGCACATACTAGATGCAGGAAGAAGAAAGGCACATGAACAAAGGGATTTGGAAAGAAGAAAAATAGAAAGGCTCAAGAATGTAATATGCGAAGCATTGTTGAATAAGATCAAGATGAAAATAGGAACATATAAGGAATTGTATTTATCCACACAAAGGGTACGCAGTGAGCTGATTGCACTAAGAAGAGGGCTTGCAGAGGATATAAACCCTGGGGGTGACGAGTGAAACATTAAACTATTTGTTTTCAACAAATGTTTCATATCCTATGTCTTTTAATTTATTTTTCCAGGATGCTTAAACAATATGGGGATTACCACTCAGCTTGTCCAGGGCATCGCTTTTGGTGAGATGTGCATGTTCACATTTATGCTACTCCCGATTTCTAAAAACCTTAAGAAGAGAATGATCAAGCTCTTTCAGACGTCAAAGCTCTATAGGGGTTTCCTCCACATAGTCTATGTCCTGTTTGCAATGATACTTATAATGTTTGTGGATTCTGTCTACAAGATATACACAGGTGAGGACAGCATAAATCCATTTGTGCTGTACCAGGCAGAGAGAAACATGTATTTGACGGGCTTTACCTTATTTCTTGGTGTTATATTCCGCATGTTTGTCAGAACGATGTGTTTGCTCTTTAGAGAGGAAGAGTCTGCACAGCTTCTTAGAAAGCAGTCCATGAATCAAAAGAAATATGTCGAAGAGATGCTAGAAGACAGTACAAAGAAAGACAAAAGGATAGAGGAGTTGGAGGCAGAAATTGTAGATCTGAGAAAAAAGATCTTGTCCGGGGACATATTGATAAAGCAACTGAAAAATAACCAGAGCGAGTACTTCAACTTGCTAGACAAGTACAATGGGCTGAGAGAGCAAATGCAGATGGAGTCCAGAAAGTCTAAATAAAATTGTTTGATAAGGCTGTATGGCCAAGAAACTCCCCTGTGGATGAGAGAGAGGATTTATAGGGAATTCACTTGTGAGAGAGGAATAATGCTTTCTTCCGAGGTACTGGAATACTTGGAGGAAAACATCAAGGACGAGGTAATGCTGAAGGCCATATCTTCAGAATACAAAAGAAGAAACGGGCAGAGGCTTGCAGACATATGCTCAATCCGAGAGGTTGCCGAGTCTTTTAATATCAAGAAAGATGCTTATAATATTTTGAACCAGGAATTCAAGGAGAAAAATGAGCTATTGAAGTACAGGAATCTCCTATCAAGGATAGAGAGAATGGTTCAGCCCATATACCTACTAGGTGAGGAGTATGCCACGATTTTTGGATGTTATTACAAAGATAGAAACGGAAGAGAGGTTCTTGAGGATGAAGGAGATGTGATTCCTCTTGACATGAGAAAGTGCAACGGAGATGTATTCCTATGTGACAACGTCTTTGTTGCCATAGAAGGCAAGAAGATTGGCGATAAGTTTGTGGGATTCAAGACATACCTCCCGAGTATAGAAAAGAAAGTGCGCAAAGTACCCAATATAGATAAGAAGGACCTCAAAATACTGTTTTTTTCGGACTTCCAAGTGAATGAAATTAATGGAAGGATTCTAGGGAGAATTTTGAGCAAGACAGCACCAGACATCGTTGTGCTCATGGGGAGGCTCTGCCCTGAAAGATCTTCTTTCATTCCTTTCACTAGTTTTAGGGAAGGCCTTAGGTCAGCAAGTTCTCAAGTGGAAATTCCAGACATCATCCTATGCCCTGATGCAGATGATCTTTATCCATCATTCCTTCCAAAGGAGATAGAAATACCCGAGGAGCATGGAAAGTCCATTAGGGCTGCAACCAATCCATTTATACTCGAAACTCATGGATGTTCAATAGGAGTTATCCGAGAAGATGTATTTAAGTACAAGGAACAAGGAACATTTATTGGGAGGAATTATGTAGATTCTTTTGTAAGGACTGTTCTGTCGCAACACAGCTTCAATCCATTTGGAATCTCAAACCTAGACATTGACGGGGTTCCAGATGTGTTTATTGTAGGCCAAGATTTTTATCCGTTCGTTACATCAGTAGAAGACGTAGTATTTGTGTCTTGTCCTAGCTTCAAGGAGGAAATGTCCTTTGTATCCTACGATACTTCTTCCGGAGACCCCGTTATTCTTAGCACCAAGCATCTCTTGAAATAGACTAACATGTACAAGTCCATATCAAGTCTGCTTTGATAGAAAATCCAATCCAGGAAGCTTCTCATTGCTTAACAACTTCATTAGTACTCCTCCTCCAGTGGATACATAAGTAAAGCCATCATAACTACCAAATAATTTGATTGCACCAGCAGTTTCCCCTCCGCCACAAAAGGACTTCTTTCCTTCTTTTTTCAGGCCCTCTAAGGCATTCACTAGGGCTCTCGTTCCATTTGAGAAGTTCTTTTCTTCGAATACGCCTGGAGGACCATTCCAGAATACTGCTCTTGCCTTGGAAACCTCTTTTCTTAGGATCTCTATTGTTTCAGGTCCTATGTCCATCGCTATTCCTTCTGAAGGTATGCTTCTAGATATCTGCACCTTTCCATTTTGGAGAATGGTAAAGTCAACAGGTAGGATTATTTTTGTTCCATGGACTTCGCATGACCTATATATACTTTCTATTTCCTCCTTTGAAACCTCTTCACAAACACTACTTCCAACTTCTTTTCTCAATATGTATTTGACAAACGGGAAAGCCATTCCCCCAGTAACAAACAGGGTTTTGGCTCGTTGCCCTAGAAACTCGAGTAGCTTAGCTTTATCAGATACCTTCTTTCCGCCCAATACCATCAGATCTATACTCTCCTCGGCAATCCTACCTGCAAAATCCAATTCCTTCTGAACTAGGAGCCCAGAGTATGAAGGCAACCCAGTTCTCTGTATAGATCCACATTCCCTGTGTAAACAACCAAATGCATCCACCACTGCAATGTCCATGTTTTTCATAAACACATCTCTGTATCGTTCCGAAGCATCCTCATCATCGTCCCTTTCTTCTGCACTGCAGAACCTCAAATTCTCAAGCAGTATCCACGTATGATGGGTGTTCTCAATATCCCATATGTCGCAAAAAGCAAGCTCCACATCGATCTCTCTCCTAAGAAGTTCCCTTAGCACAGAATACACCGGCCTGAGGGAAAACTCCTTGGAATACTTCCCCTTGGGCCTCCCCAGATGACTCCCAATGATAACCCTTTTGGGATTTTTGGAGTGAATAAGCTTGATTGTTGGTAGAGCAGAGGTTATCTTGAAATCATTCAAAACTATGGAGTTTGAAATGGGAACATTAAAATCCACTCGAACAAACACGCTTTTCCCCTCGACACTTACTTCACTGATTGTTTTCATGCCCCAAGCCAAATAGAGATATTATATCTGTCATCAAAGATATAAACAATAATCAGTAGATATTTAATTTGCCTCTGATTCGGTGATTTCCTTCAAATCTTCAATAACATCTACATTGGTGCAGGTCGATACATCTCCCGGAGAGTCCCCAGCCAAAATGCTCTTCAAGACTCTCCTCATAATCTTTCCAGTTGCAGTCTTGGGAATTCCTTCACAAAAGTAAACGCTTTTGGCATTGACAAACTTTCCGATTCTATTTCTTAATGTTTCTCTCAGAGATGCTCTCACCTTTTCTCTAGAGATCTCCTTGTCCTTCAGCACCACAAAGAAGCAGAGGGCTTGCCCAGTAATTTCATCGTTCTCAGCAATAGCTGCCGCCTCGGCCACATGCGGATCCATGCATGCTGCACTTTCCACCTCTGCAGTACTGATCCTATGACCAGAAACATTTATTACGTCATCAGCCCTTCCTCTAATCCATATATGTCCAGACGAGTCTTTGTAGCCCTCGTCCCCAGTAAAATAGAACCCCTTGTAGAGAAAGTATCCCCTCCTAAACCTCTCAGGGTCTCCTAGAATGCCCCTGGCTATTCCAGGCCAAGACCCCTTGAAAAGAATGCGTCCCAACTCATAGGGCTTTGCCTCCACAACTTGGCCATCCTTTGAGCTCGAGCTTGCTATGATAACTTCTTGGCCTAAAAATGGAAGGCAGGCACATTCAGGCTTTCTTTCCACAGCATATGGAATAGGTGCAATCAATACACCTCCAGACTCAGTTTGCCAGTACGTATCAACTACAGGGCATCCGTTGAAGTTCTCGCTGAACCATAAATAAGCAGGCCTATTTATAGGCTCTCCAACAGACCCAAGAATTCTTAACGATGTCAGGTTATACTTATGATTTGATGGCATGGTGGAAAAGCACTTCCTTAATGTCCTAATTACAGTTGGTGCTGTGTACAACTGAGTTATTCTGTGTTTCTCAACCATTTTGAAAAGCCTGAGATGCGAAGGATAGAATGGTGTTCCTCCAAATACCACTGTAGTGACTCCGTTGGACAAAGGGCCATAAATAACGTATGTATGGCCAGTGATCCATCCAATATCCGCCGTGCAAGCAAAGACATCATCTTTCCGAAGATCAAAGCATATTTTGGATGTGAGAGTTGCATACACCATGTACCCACCGGTTGTATGAATGATCCCCTTTGGCTTTCCCGTACTTCCGCTTGTGTACAGGTAGAAAAGCCTGTCCTCAGCATTGACAGAAACACAAGGAATAAACTCGTTCTTTTCTTTCATGACCTTCGACCATACCAGGATCCTGCCTCCAACCCCACCTAATTCGTCTAAGATCTTTTCTTCACTGAAAAGAGTATCGAAAACCAGAACAGGTATAGCCCTGCCTTCAAGAGCTTTTCGTGTGTTCTCAAGAAAGTTTATGGTTGAGCTCTGCCTCACAACGACATCTTGGACAACCAACAGCTTGGCATTCGAATCATCAAGCCTTAGTGCTACGCTACTTGCACTGAAGCCTCCAAAAATAGCATTGTGGACAAGCCCAAGCCTTGCACATGCAAGTGCAGAAAAGACTGCATACGGAGACATGGCCATGTACATAGCCACGGTGTCCCCTTTCTCAAGTCCTTCCCTTTTGAGCACCGCAGAAATCCTTATGACCTCATCAAGAACATCCTTAAATGTGTAACGAATAGACTCCCCATCATTTCCATCATATATAATCGCAATCCTGTCTGGATCGCTGGCTGCATGCCTGTCAACGCAGTTATAACAAGCATTCAGCATACCTCCATCAAACCACTTTGAATTCTCAAAATCGTTATTATAAACCTCGCTAAACATTTTATCCCACTTAAGGAGCGACCTTGCCTGTTCTCCCCAGAAACCTTCCTTGTCTTCAATAGATCTTCTATACAGCTTCTCATATTCGTCTTTATTCATTTAGAGGGTCATCACACAGGTCTTTCAATTTACAGAATGTAGGAAAAATTTTAATACTCCTGCATCTCGCTTTGGGAGCTCAGCATCTCTCAAAATTCCTGTAGAGCTCCTTGAGTGTTGTTATAAGCCCAAAGCACTCCAATGCACTTGGTGTTCCAACTATCCTTCTTTTAACAATGTTGAATAGCTTCAAGGACATCTCTGCCGAGGAGTATAACGTGGACAGTGTATCAATTATGCTCTCTAGCGTCTCATATTCAAGGCTTTTTTTTACGTCAAATTTCGACCATATTTCAGGAGTGTCTACACAAATCGTCGATATAACAGGAATGCCGACAATGTTTTCCCCTACTATCTCTATGGAAAAGTAGTCATCGAGCAATGCTTTTATCTTGTCTTCTATCCTGGACTGGAGGGGAATGAGTGTTCTCTTCTTTTCGAAGTTCCCAAAGTCATTAACCAAAGACTGATAGAGATATTCCTTGAGCAGGGGAACAGTTTTGCAATTGAGGAGCGATGATCCATGCTGAACTAGAATCGTGTCTCTATCCTTTATTCCTACGTAGTTCAGAGATCTAAAGAATGCAGTGTCAACGTCAACTAGCTCAGACTTCAGTCTTTTGAGAGAAAGGAGTCTGAACTCTCTTTTTTCCTTTCTATCTTTTTCCAAACACTCTGCGATAGATTGTGATCCAGGGTCTGAGTACACCTTAATCGGACTTTGAAACTTGACTTCACTGAGAAGTGGTTTCAATGTCTTTTGCTTATATTCCATCCCACATAGCCTATTCGAAATGCATTTGAACAGCTCCTGGGTCACGGATTCTTCATTGGCAAAAAGGACCTCTCTTTTGCTTGGATGGACATTAACATCAACTGTGCTCTTTTCTACACTAAGCTCTATATATATAAAAGGCCGCCTGTCGGGAGGAATCAAGTCCTTATACGCTTTGAACAGTGCTTCTTTCATCTCGTGGCTTACAACCAGCCTTCCGTTTACAAAAAGTATAAACGCCCCTTTCTTCAGGTTGAATTGCGGAGTTGAAAATATAATAAGATGGTCTCCGTTAAACTCAAAAAGAAGCCCATCGTTTGCTTTGTAGAGCTCGTTCAACATTTTGACTTTCTGCCGAGCTTTATCTCCGTTAGAGCGCCCATCATGATGGGGGTTCGACCTGGCCTTAGGCAGCTCCTGTAACTTCTCTCCGTAGAACAGGTCAAAGGAAGTATTTTCGTTGAACACCGAGAATATTCCCACTAGCCACATCATTTCGCGGACTTCTTCCCTTTTCTTTGAGAAATGCTTCTCCCTGGCCTTATTATTGTAGAAGATACTTTTGATTTCAACAACAGTTCCATCTCTCATCCCAATACCCTTCATTGCCACCATTTCTGTGTCTCTGTACACAGCCTCATACCCTATTTCACTTTCCTTTCTTTTACTTTTGACCTTGATTCTGGAGCATCGACTTATTGAGGAAAGAGCCTCTCCACGAAACCCGTACGAGGATAGAGAAAAAAGATCTTCTTCCTTGCAAAGCTTCGAAGTACAATACTGCTTACAGAGCAGCCCAAAGTCCTCTTCATGAATTCCATCTCCATTATCCTCTATCGTAAGCGAAAGGCCATCTAGCTCAATCCTGACCACTATGTGAGTAGCGTTTGCGTCAAGTGAGTTTTCAATTGTCTCCTTTAGTATACTGTAGGGCCTGGTGATAACTTCTCCAGCAGAGATTCTGGAAATCACGTCTCTGGGCAATTTTCTTATTTCCATTGAAAGGGTACGCACTAGGTGCAAGACCCTTTATTTGAACCTTCATGGGTGCTGGCATCCCTTCTTGGGCGATAAACATCTGAATGTTATGAAGTTCTTCAGGATGCCCCAGGAATGAGGAATTTTGTAACAGGGACCAGCGTTGTTTCATTCAAGTACAAGGACGGAATCATAATGGGTGCAGATACCAGAGGATCCTATGGACGGCTGGCGAAGTACAGCGGGATCCAAAGGATGTTCAAGTTTGGAGACAAGACACTCATAGGGATTTCTGGAGAGGTGAGTGACATGCAGTACCTAGTTAAGACACTCAACATACTTACTGAGGAAGACAACAGAGGAATCGATCCAAAAGGCTACCATAAGATTATTCAAAGAATATTATATTCTGCCCGAAGCCGGATCAGCCCTCTAAATTTGAGTGTTTGTGTAGGAGGAATTAATGCGGGGCATGAAAGGGGCTGTGCCATCTCTAACGAGAAAAAGATGCTTGGATGTGTGAATCATCTAGGGAACTTCTACTTTTCAGATGTAATATGCACAGGAATAGGAAGCTACATAGCCCTTCCATTTCTTAGAAGCAAGGTAGAAGGAAGAGAAGATGAGATAACAAGGGAGGAGGCTACGAGTCTTATTGAGGAAACAATGAGGATTCTGTGCTATAGGGACTGTAATGCATCCAACGAAATACAAATAGGCTATGCCGATAGCCAAGGGGTCCATATATCAGACCCATACCCACTTGAAACCAACTGGGATATTGGGATAAGGGAGGACGAGATTGTTATTGAATAAAACAAATTCTTTCTAGAACCTTTCGGAAAATTCTGCTTGGAGTACAAATAATCTCCTCCTTGTGATCCCATGAAAGAAAAAACAATTAAAATGAAAGTTTTGGACGGTGCAAAGGAGCCTCAGCTCATAAATGGCGTTTACAAGTTATATTCAAGCAGCTCGGGCAAAGTCTTGGCTCGGTCTGGTGCGAAGATTCCAGCGGGATTTATGATGAAAATACCAAAAAACTATTTTGGAAAGATCCAGTCCACCAGAATAAAAAAGCTAGGTGGTGTTATAGATAGCGACTACAGAGGAGAGGTGTGCGTGCTCGTCTATAATGATGGTGATGAAGAGTTTGTATATAAAGAAGGAGATGAGGTGGGGGAGATGGCCATCTGCAGGATCTCGACACCCGAGATTAAAGAGGCTATTAACAGCGAAGTTCCTTTGTAATACAAGAATTTATTGATATTGATAAATAGCTTTGGACGTAGGCAGTGGAGTATTAAACCAATGGCGAATATTCTTAGAACCCTTTCAACTGACCCATTAGAGAAATTGTGTCTTCTTCAATTCTCTTGAGTGTTTCGAGAAACAGGTCCTTTACTTGACAATCCTTATCTGCTGTAATACGAAGAAATACATGATTGTCTGTGGGATGTTCGACCCTATATGCGCTGAAGAGACATCTCTTGTCTTCGAGCATCTCCTCACAGAGGAGATTGCCCAGTGTATGTGTTTCGCCCTCTATCTTCATTTCCACTGTATTACGGGTATTTCCCACATAGCTCATTGTTATCTTTCTTGTGGCAGTCATGGAGAGGGATATTCTGGAGAGGATTTAAGAAGCCCTATCCATCCTGGGAGTTATGAATTTGTTGAGATTGTAGATAAGGCTGTAATGAAATATTTAACAAAAATAACTTGTACCCCAAAAATAAATAATATAATGCCCAAAAAGGTTTCTATTGTAGGGAATGGGAACTGGGGTACCTCAATTGGCAGGCTTCTTGCAAATAATACGATAGAGAGCAGCATATTTGAGAAGGATGTTAGAATGTGGGGATTCAGTGAAGAGTTTGAGGGAAGAGCCTTAAGTGACATTATAAACAGAGATAGAGTCAATCCAAAATACTTGCCAGGAATTCACCTTCCTGAAAACCTGAAAGCTGTTGACGATATATCCACTCTTGCGGATTCTGATGTGCTTGTTTTTGCTCTTCCCCACCAATACATAAAGGCGATAGAGCCTCTGAAGGGATTGGTGAAGAATAGTTGTATTGGGGTGTCTCTAACAAAGGGGTTTATTGATGCAGAAGATGGAGATATAGATCTAGTGAGCAGGTCTATCCATAGGATTCTAGATATAAATGTAAGTGTGATGATGGGCGCAAACATTGCAGATCAAGTTGCGCGAGATATTATAAGTGAGGGGACGCTAGGATATACTGATGAGGATGCTGCAGATGTGGTTTACAAGCTCTTCAACAGCTACACATACCGGGTTACTAAGATCAAAGATGTTTATGGAGTGGAGATTTCTGGGGCTTTGAAGAATGTTGTTTCCATGGCATATGGATTTGCAGAGGGCCTTGGATATAGCACAAACACAAAGGTTGCCATATTCAGGAATGGGTTTGCCGAGATAAGAAAGTTCTTCAAGTTCTTCTACCCGATGGCAACAACGGAATCCTTGTTTCAGTCGTCGGGAGTAGGGGATCTTCTTGTGTCCTGTATGTCTGGAAGAAACTTTGGGTGTGCAAAGATTATGGCAGAAAAAAGGATGAGTCTGAAGGAGGCGGAGCAAACCATGCGCTTCACAAAGCTCCAGGGGCCTACCACGGCTCTCATTGTGTATAACTACTTGAAAAGACAAAAAAGAATTGACGAATTTCCTCTCATGAGTACAGTTTACAGGATATGCTATGAAGATGAGGCATATGATGCCATCTTGGAGTGCATTTCCTTTGAATCTATTGAAAAATAAAGCAGTGATCTTTACTTTAGAATACAAGGGAGGCCTTGGGCCTTTCATGACTTCTATGAAATCCACGAGATCTGTCATTGCGCTTTCAAGAGGCTTTTGATTGATATGGCAAGGGATGAAATTGCCCAATCAACATTTGAAACAAACATATAAAAAACAATGTAGATGGAGCGCTGCATGGAAAGGGACGGGAAAACAATCTTTCTGTTTGATGTAGACGGAACGCTTTCCGAATCGAGGGCTTTAATGACTGAAAAGATGAGGAGGATGCTGGAGATGCTTAAGAAGAAGACACTCATAGGGTTTGTTGGAGGGTCTGATCTTGAGAAGCAGAGGGAACAGATCGGAGACAATCTTCTCGAACTGTTTGACTATGGATTTCCCGAAAATGGTGTCAGCTTCTACAAAAACAAGACTTTAAAGTCACAGGAGAAGATAATTGATGTTCTTGGAAAGAAGTTTTACAAGGAGTTTGAAGAGTTTGTTCTTGAATATATTAACAAAATGGATATTCCTGTAAAGAGGAGCAAATTCATTGAATATAGGAATTCTATGATTAATGTTAGCCCAGTAGGAAGAGATTGCACCAGAGAGGAACGAAAACAGTTTTTTGAGCTTGATAAGAAAGAGAAGTTTAGAGAAAAGATGGTGGAGGCCATGAGAGAAAGATTCAAGGATAGCTGTTTGGTATTTTCTATTGGAGGCCAAATATCGATTGATTGTTTCCCAAGGGGCTGGGACAAGACATACTGCCTAAGGCATATAAAGGACGAGGGAATCGAGAATGTGTATTTCTTCGGGGACATGACAATGGAAGGAGGGAATGATTACGAGATCTTTAACCATAAAGATGTTAATGGAACAACCGTTAAAAATCCTGATGACACCTACCTGAAAGTGGACCAAAAGCTAAAGGAGATAGGTCTTGGGGGCTTGAATGAAAATTAAAGATATTGTTCTTTTTCCAAGACTTTTTGAAAAAGTGCTTTAGAGTAGCAATGAAAAGTAAAGTCCTTTAATTAGCTTCAGCCTTGACTTCCCCTTGCTGAGCAATGGAAGCTGTCTGGTAGCTCTTGATTGTCTTGACCTTTCTAACACAGCAACTCTGCAGAGGGAATATCTCGCTCCCTAGCTCCTCAATCCTTTTCCCAACAGTCTCATTTGCAAGCTTGTTCATGATGTCGTCGACACTGCGTCCTCCCAGTTCCTCCTCGATAACGTTAAACATGATCTTTCTGATCCTTTTCTCGTCAGAGTGCTTAACATAACATGTTTTCTTTGTATATCCATGTGGTCTCTTGGTTACAGCCATGACAAATACTCTGAAAACACTCTGGTCTTTTGCAACTATATCCTTTTCAGCCTCGATGAGAGAATGCCATTTTTTGATCATTGCCTTGTGCTTATCAGACGTTAGCTCCATTCCATCAAAAAATCCAATGCAATCTGCACCCTTGACCTCACCTATCTTGAATATGAACTTCCTGTGTGCGACATCGTTATTCTTAGTAAGATCTGCGTGATTGACGTCGTACCTTCTTCCTATAATCTTCATGTAGGCATTCTTGCCTGAAGACTTTGCCACAAGGGTCTTTCCGTTGATATTATTTGGGAAAATAGAAGGGGATCGGAGGTTGTACCACTCCTTCCTTGCAAATGCATCCTGCCCGGTCTTCTTTTTGGCTTTTCCCTTTTTGCTGTTCTGCGGGTACGATCCTGGTGGTTGTATCGCCTAAAAATTAGATCTTCATCCTTAGTTTCCACTTACCATTTCTTGGGGTGGTGCAAATTTTTACTTTTACTGCCTTCCATTAGTACCACGGAAGAGCCTGTAGGAAAGAATTACCATGTTTCCGATTGGAACACAATCGCTTTTCCGTATACATCTTGTAGTAGTTCTCTTACAACCCTATTTAATCTTGAGTTTCCACTCACAAAGATCAAATACTGATCAATACCTGCAACAGGGCTTTTCCTGAAGATGTCTTGCACATATACCTTGTCGTCCCTGGAGGCTGCAGGAATCATCCTCACATTTTCACCATTCCATTCGTCGGAGTATAGGAAATCTTTGTCCCTGTTTCTGAATCCGTAAAATATAATGATTTCCTTATCTTTAAACTCATGCACACAGGCTCTTGGCAAGGCTATTCCGGTTCCTGTACATATAAACAATAGCTTGTCTGAGTCGAAGTACAGATTGCTTCTTCCAACGCCCACCCTAACTGTATCATTCAGACTGATGCCCATTAGGTACTCAGAGCAAACACCCTTTCTAGGCTGGGCAAGAAGGGTTTTGTACCTTACAATGGAAACAGTGATGTGGTAAAGGCCTTCCTTCTTTGTCACTGAAAAGAACCTTGGATACAGAGTGGGGCAAAACCTTTTAAGGAATGTAATGTCAACCCTCACTTTTAGATCCTCGAGAACTTCAAATATCGTTCTTCTTGGCCTGACTATATAGTCATAATATAGATCATAATCCTGAGCAATCTCCTCTACTTTCAAAAGGATTTCTTCTTCGACATCAGCTCTCCTATCCAGGAAGTATCCAAGTGCAAAAAAGAAAGGCTGGCATGGTTGTGCATTAAAGTCTATAACCCGCTTCACCAGCCACGTGGATGATACCCCATCTACATCTTCCTCTTCTATGCCGTTGTATCTCATGAACTCCCTGTAGTTGTAGTTTTCTGGGAGAAATGATAGGCAGTCTCCAGGAGAAAACCTCCTATACTCAGGGATATCAAAGACAAGCTCCACTATCTTTTGAAAGTGGTCTTCGGGTGTTAGTAGTCTTCTTCTAACTAGCCTCGAAGAGTACTCTTCGGGCCCAGGAGAAATGAGGCTAATATGCTTTATCTTGTAATTCTTCATGCAAGTTACAAGCTCCAGCAGCCAAGGCCTAAGATCAGAAAGAAATCCTTCCCTATCCTGTGAATCGCCGCTCCCTCGTCTTAGAATAGGCTTTCCCCCAAGCATCTTAAGTCTATTGAAAAGCCTTTTAGAGCAGTAGTTGAACTTTTCATATGAAGAGTCCCCAAGTCCAAAAACAGCAAAGTTCAAGTGCGACAAGATGGTGTTTGGAAGATCATTATTGGAAAGAAAGGACCAGAACTTGGACATATTGAACGGCTCTGTTCCGTCTCCATGAGTTGAGCACACAAATATAATAAAATCTGTGTCAATGATCTTTTCAATGTCAAAAAGATCCATCTCCATCACTAGAGACGTACCTCCCTGGTCTTGACTAGAGGAGAAATTTTCCAAATTGTAAATCGTTTTTGCATCATATCCATGCAGAATTGCTCTTTCTATTAATTTACTAACATAGATTGATGTTCCTGTTTGCGAGCCATAGAGAATAGGAACCATTTGGGGAGGATGCAAAGCCATAATCATGAAAAGCATGGGGTATCCATGGTTTTCTAGCCCCATGGAGCCAGTCGACATACATAGGTACTATGCCAAAAGAGCTGCAAAGTTCCTAAAATCGAAGGAGATCAAAAAACAGGTTGAAGAGATTAAAAAGATGGAGGCAAGAGTGGCTATTTTTGACTTTTGCGGAAAGACACCGCTAGTATATAAGCTGTTTAGAGGAGTTGAAAAAGAGATTTTTGTTGTGTATGACGTTTCTAAGTGCATGGCAAAGATAGATGAGGTGTCCAGAGATCATGATTTGATCTATGTTCTTGAGGATGTGGAGGCAGTGGAGAGAAGTATTTTCTATGAAAATAGCGATGCCATATTCCTTCTGTTTGATAGATTTAAGTTCATTAAATGTGTGTGAGAAATAGAATAAAACTTTTTTGTAGGCCGGATTAGTCGGAACCGTTGAATTTCAGGAATATTTTCTAGCCCATTAGCAAGTTACATGAAGGTACATTTCAATCTGAGGAAACAGATGAAGCCAATACTAACTTCAGGGATGCCAAAAAGACAGGGAGACATGCTGTACACCCAGTGCAATGACTTCATAGTAGAGACCGACATAAAAACATCGAGGATTCTTAGAGAAATACCGTTTGAGTCCCTCCAATGCTTTGATATTAAGGGTGATTACATGGTTGTGTGCTCGAAGGGAATAGTTGTGTACAACATTGCACTTGAATCACAGGAAGATGTTATTGCGCTTTCTAAGTCCGAGGTATGTACTATGCTTATTGATGAGCTAGTGCTTTCTGATTCAAAGCCAAGTGTTTTTTCCATTATAGTTGGAAGGGTCGACGGTTCTGTTTCCAAGATCGATCTAATGAGTAAGACACCTGTATGGTCGTATAGAATGGAAAACATGATAACAAAGATGGCTAAGTTTGGAAGCATGGTGTGCTCAGCTGACCCGAATGAGCTGTGGATCTATAAAGGAGGCGAGGATCTTTTGAAGTATCGTGAGCCGGATGTTGTGGGAATAGCATACGATGGGCATCACATTTGCACTGTTTCTCGAGAAGGAATCCTATCCATCCCAGAGAAGTCCAAGAAAGTATCGTTGGGTGTGAGATGTGATCTGATGGTTGGGGACGAAAAGCACTTGTATGTATGCAAGGGCAGAACAGTCTATACATACAGCTATAACGGGAAGTTTCAGCAGAAGAGAGATGTTCTTGGGACTGAAAATGAGGCGTTGCACCTTGCTGTGAAGTCAGGGAAGGTGGATGCAAGCTTTGAGGATGAAAGCGAAGAAAACGAATCTCCAAATGTAAGGGAACGGCGGGAAATCTGTGGAGAGAATAGCGATGACTGCTATGAAGATGAAAGTGGATCTGATGAAGGATTTAAGAAAAGGAAGCACAATGATGATATGAGGAGCGGTATGAAGGAAGAAGAAGCTGAGGTAGACGATGAGATGGCGATTGAAGGGATATCAAAAGACATTATATTGACCAATGAGCAGGAAATACTCTTTGTTGACGAAGATATGAGAGTCACTTCGATTATTGTTGGAAACAATGATGAGATAACGGATATGGGGCAATGGAATGATGTGTTATTTGTTGCCACTAACAGCGGAAGGTTGAGATATACATTTATAGATGATACTTTGGGCAGCTATGCGTTTACTGGACACATTGTTCCTGCCCACAACGAAGCCATTATGTCGTTATCGATCCACGGAGACTTCCTAATGACGACTTCAAAAGACAAAAAGGCTATTTTCTGGAAAATTGGATTAAAGGACACATCTTTGGGGCAGAAAAAAGCATTGTCTCTGACAAGAATCAGAACCTTGGAAAATGGCCTCGGAGGACTCAATGGATGTGCCCTTGGAAACACGATTTTTGTGCTTGCTGGAAGTGACCAGATTCTTCAGATATGGGATTATAAGGACAATGTATTTATGGAAAGGGTCCATGAAAAGGAAATCAACGGAGTAAAGATAAACGAGGAGAGAAGGCTTATTGCAACGTGTTCTCAGGATAAGAAGGCAAAGGTTTTTGACTTTGAAGGAAGACTCCTTCATGTACTTTCTGGCCACACAAAGGGTGTGTGGAGCGTAGATTTTGGTAAAAACCTGATAGCAACATGCTCGGCAGACACCACTATAAAGGTTTGGAATATGAATACCTTTGAGTGTGTTGGAACCCTTACTGGGCACAGAAGTGGTGTGTTGAAGGGAGAGTTCTATAAGAATGATGAAAGATTTATATCAGGGTGTGCAACTGGGGAAATGAAAGTTTGGAATGTCAAAAAGAAGATATGCGAGATGAATATCGGCGTTCATAAAGGAATGGCATGGTCCCTTATCAGTGCGCCACTGCTTATAACTTCTGGAAATGGCGCGATTGCCTTCTTTGAAGATGATTCCCTAGACGTGGAGGCCAAAAGAATCGAAATGAAAAATGAAAAGGAGATGCAGGCGATTGAGCTTGAAAGATGCCTGAGGAATAACCTCAATGTCAAAGCTGTTGAGATACTCTCCAAAACTGATGACTACAAACAGCTGTTTAGGACATTAGTGAAATGTTACAGAGATGGATCCGATGAAATCTTCAACATCTTCGAAGGCAAACAGAAGGTGTTGTTTGACGTCATTCTGAAGCAGGGGACGTTCAAGAATTGTGTTGTTATACAGTGGATTATAGAGGAAGGCCTCAAGAGAAAATGGAAGATGAGCAATGAAGTTATAGACAAGATCCACAAGATCACAGAGAAGCACTCTTACTCCATAGATTCTATCTATTCCACTCTGCTTGGATTTACGATTTTTGAAAGATGAGTTAGTTGATCGTTTTACTTCTGATATAAGGTGCACAAGGTGTTGGCCACCTTTGAAACAATATACTGATTGAATTAGTGATACATGTTTCACGTTCTTCTTATTATTGTTCTCACAGAATAAACACATGGAAAATACAAGAAGCCGGGTATGCTCCACGCTTGGGCAGGCCTATAAGATAATTGGAACCTCTCCTTTGATTCCTGTGTTCCTGTCTCTCACATATTTCACAAAGGGGATAAGGACAGAGTATTATACCTATGGAATAATTGCATCTGGAATACTCCTAGGGCTATCTTTATACATAATAGAGTATGTAGGAAAGAAAAGAGGCGAAGAGGATGTGAAGTCCTTGGGAGATATATCGAGGGGGTTTTCAAGATTTTTATCGGAAGCCGTTGATGTGTTTGTTGTGGCCTCGAAGTACACAACTCTTCTTATTACTGTGGATGTGTTTTTCAACGTGCTCTTCATCTACTTTCCATTCTTGGACGAAATAAGAAAGTCGATGGCCATATACAAGATACTGTTTGGGCTGGGATTAGCACTGGTGGGTCTAACTCTATATGTCTTTTCCACATTTACTAGGAAGATATTTCTAGTTGCCTCTGCATCTGCAAGCATTATGTTTGTAGCTGCTCTAGTTATTGGATACTTCTTGGGGATGAACTCGGCCCTCCCAAAGCCATCGTACTTCCAAAGAAACATGCTCCCGTCATTCTTTTGGGTAACCACTATAGCATTTTATACAATGGAGTTCATATCCGGAGGCGCAAAGATCGTAGGAGCGTCGGGACATGGAGAGAATGGTAAGTATGTGGCCATCTCTACCACGCTAGCTGTTTCTGGAATTTATCTGATTCTATTACATTCCGCAGGATGGATAAGGTCGAGCCACAACTCTCTGGACATCCTAAACCTCATATTTCTCAAGTCATCCAGACTAAACAACTACCTAAAAAAGTATACAATTGATAAGTATTGCATCACAACCAAGGCTATGTGCATACTTATCCCTATCATATGTATCTCGCTGTTTGTGATACAGTTTGATGGGTTTATTGAGTCCTTCAAGAACTTGGTGAATGCAGAAAGCGATAACAGGCTGTGGATGCTATCTCTCTTTATGCTGAGCGCGGTTTTTATACAAGTCCTATTCAACGAGGTAATCGGATCTTTCCATTTCTACTTGGTATTGATCGTGATAGGAGTAACTCCTCTAATGGTATATCATCCGTTTATATGCTATATCTTTGCATCTCAGAAGATTAGATTCTTTACAGCAGTCTGCATTCTTGCCATGATATTTACAAGTGCAGCCCTAGTGGGAACCGTAAGGACGCTAATAGATATTCTACAGAAGAATTAGCTCTTTTCTACTAGAAGTAAAGAAAAACAGGTAGGATAATAAAGCCTTTAATCACTACTCCATTTACCTCAACTTATATCTAATCTCCTATATCCTCCACTTGAATTGGAATTTCCTTTTTCCTCTCCACAATTAGGGCAATTGCTTGACTCAAACGTTGTAGCTACCCCACACTTTTGGCATCTATAATCACCAATGCTTCCTAAATTTCTTTTGCAATGGCTACAGGAAAGATATGGATAGCTGTTCCCCCATGGAATGCACGGAATAAAGCATATGCAGAAAGAGTATTTATCACGCCTATATTCGGAATTCGTCAAGTATCCACAGTAAGGGCATAGGAACTTCCTTGGAGGCTCAGGATACCCCTCCGGCTTATCTGCCTGTTCGGAGGAAGAATTGCATCCAAAGAAGCAGCAGAGATCAGTTCCACAACACATCGGAGATTTATTTTCTTCTTCTAATATTCTTTTGTCTCAAAGACCACTCGAGCCATTGGGTGGAGCCATGCTTCCTCAACCAATTGTATGGAGAGTCTGTGATGTCATTTTTTGATGATATTAAGTAACATCGATTTGTTCAATTTTCCCATCCTTAATGCCAATTCGATATTCTTCTTAATTTTGTGGAGGTCTGTTCCTTGCATCTCTAAAGACCCAAAGTAAAAAACAATGAACTTTAGCCATCTGATTGCTATAAAATGGTACATCGAATTGTCAAGCATTCTCGATACTGCAGACCGCAGGTTCCCAACCAGCGTTGTGTCTAGATGCTTGACTACACCCTCAATCTTGTCGGCTGGGCAAGATGTTATGACCTCTTTTATAATCTCGTATTCATTAATCTTTAAGGATCCAATCGCTGCCTTCAAATACTCTTCGCAGTCCAAATACTTTCTGATAGACTCTGGGGTTAAGGACACATCCAGATGAAGAGGCATAAACTTGATGAATGAAGGCTCGTATATGCTCACGCCTTCTCTTGTGAGAACGTAGAACTCCCTTTGACTACTGCTGTGAACTATCTTTAGGGCTTCAATAATCCTTGTCTTGTCAAAAGGTTTGCAAGACTCCCTTCCAAGAACCTCCTTATAGTTTTCCCACTCCCTGTTATCGGAGACACGCACTTTCTGCACAACGTCACCCGAATCTGCTGATATTATCTTTATTGTGTTCGCCTCTCCTCCAGAAATTATAAACCTGTTGTCAAATGTGAAGTCGAGACTCTCTACGGGCTTTTCGCTGATGAAGGCTTCATTTCTTTTTCTGGCCTTTAGGGACACTTTGATTTCCCTTTCGTAATTGAAGTCAGAGTCATAAATAGTTAGCTCATTCACTGTAGATACACAGAGCTTACGGTTCCTCACAGAAAAGCCTGTGGCCATCTTCCTGATCTGCAATTCCTCGACAGTCTGGGAATAGACATTCCATCTTCTAATTGTATTATCATAAGAAAGTGTGTACAGAGAGTCGCCATCCCATTTCATTTTGAATACAGGGCCATCATGGCCTTTCAGAGCATCAATCTCCTTTCCTCTCTGAAGATCAACAACTCTTATGGAATAGTTATTGAAGTCTGCAATAAACAACAAAAGGTTATCGTCGCTGATCTCTGAGGCCGACATCTTCACTGGAATCTGGAATGATCTATAGCAGACACCATTCTTCATATCCCAGATAGATACTCTTCCGTCTAGGCACAGGCACAAAACAGAATTCTGGAGAATATGCACATTGAAAATAGCATGTGCAATGTTTGAATCTGAAAATGTGTGAATGCATCTTTGTTTATCGTATATCCTCACCTTCTTGTCTGCACATCCAACAGCTATCATCTCTTTCTTTATGTCCATGGATATTATTCGAGGAAGCTCCAACTCAAATTCAAACAGGTTGATGGCCAAGTTGTATATGCCAACAAATCCAGGGCCCTTTATAGCAATAGTGTCTCCGTGCAGACGCATGTCTAGAATCTTGTGTTCCACAGTGGCACAATGGACTATCTCCTGCCCGCTGTAAATAAGCAGATTCCCTTCAGATTCTCTATCGAGTGAAATGGCTAAAAAACCCTGGCTATAGCTAGTGGCCAAGACTTTTGAGTTCAAATAAACAATTCCTTTTGAGGAAATATTCTCGCCCTCTATTGCGTAGTATAGTAGAGTCCCATCCTCACACACAACAACCAATTCCTTTTTCTCTTCATCTGTGGAGTATGCAGCCATCGGAACGCTCATTGTAGTGCATATTCGAAGCGATCTATTGGCCTTAATGTCTAACAGGCGGACAGTACAGTCCCTGCTTGTTGTTATTACCGTGCTATCATCTATGAACTTAACACTTGTGATATCCAAAAAGTGTCCAAGGTTCCTTGAATGCAGATCAAACAACGGGAGCTTAAATTCCTTGGGAACATGCCATATCTCTAGGATGTTTGAGCATCCTGCGGCTATCAGATCCTTGCTGACTGATAGGCAGGAGAATCTTTTTCTGAGGGACCCTACCATTTTATTTTCGTTGTTCATATACATTCTTTCTTCTGTGACTATGAAGAGTTTCTCGCATATACTGAAGTCCGTAATAGTTCCCCCAACATCGCATATCTTAGTGTATCTCCCTTTAGAAGCCTTGAATAGATGGTTGTTTGTTGAGAAATACACATCCCCATCATAATGAAGCCCCTTTGCCTCTGACTCTGTTGGAATTACTGTCTTCAGCTTGTACTCCCTCATTGCGTGGGTAATTTTTTGAGCTGAGAAGAAATGACAATTGCTAAGGTGCTTAGTTCACGCCCATAGATAGAGAATAATAAGATACGTCGATGGTTTTGGCATTATTTTTATTCAATCCAAACAAGCCCTAGGATATGTCAAGCACCATAACCATGACCAAAATGAAGCTTAAACTGGTGCAGAAAGAGCCAAAGCGCGTGACTTGGACAAAGGACACTGTTGATAATGAAGGGATGGGAAAGAAAAAGAGCAAAATATGCTGCATATACTGCTCAAAGGGAAAAGACAAGGATAAAAACAAGTATGAAAGACCCTGATACACTCTTTGTGCTCATGTTTTGAAGAGTGGCGCCGGGAGTGATGGAGGGACCACTGTTGTTCTTTCGGTTATAAGAATAAAATCTGTTGAATAGTAAACCCCTTAATGAAAGGGCTGTCTGTTAACGATGTCTTTCCTACAAGGGAAGAGGCGGAGAAGGCTTTGGTAAATCATGCGGTACAGAACAATCTCAACTACGATCTTGAAGAGACGCCTAAGTCAGTTGCCGTACTGTGCAAGGGAAGAAAAGAGTTTGGATGTGAAGCCAGGATTGTTGCACAACTAAGAAAAAAGGACGGGGTTTTTGTGGTGAAGAGAATTAGACTGTCCCATAAGTGTCCTTCGGTGACATCTAAGTATGGGTCTCCAGAGGAAATGGTCCGAATGGAGGTGTATAGGGCTATAGGGGATAGATATGCAAGAATAGGAGAAGTTGTGTCTATTCTTGCGGGTATGAATATAAAGATGGGTTATTTTTCTGTGTGGAAAGCTATGAGACAGGAGAACGAGATGGAGAAGGAAAACATGAATTTGGGCCCTTTAGAGCAGGGCGGAAAGAATGAGCTGTTTGATGCAGCACTTAAGGAATTTTCTCATGAGTTTCTGGAGCTCAATCCCAGTGCGGTTTCCCATTGCCAAGAAAAGATGTTCTTCTTCTCCTTTCCCGAATATCTCGATGTCCTTGTTCCAATTGTTGAGATAAGGATATACAAGAGGATAGAAGGCTTTGCTGTTCTAGGAATTCTTCGGGACCCCACATGGTCTCCTATCATATACTCCTGCGTGGTTTCGGATCTGGAGTGCCAAGAGAGTGCCTTTAGATACTTTATCGATTCGATGCCAGAGCTGTTCTTTCTTGTAGATTTTGATGCTGACCTTATCAATGTTCTCAAGAAAAAGGACAGAAAGTTTTTCGTGAAGACCCGTGACATATGTAAGTTCTACTACAACAAGACAAAATCTATTGATGCTGTGGAAAATATATGGAATAAGTGCAATAATGATAGGGAATGGAGCAGCCCCGAGCTTAGCTTTATAGATAAGAAGCAATATTTGAAGAGATGCTGTGAGACAGAGATGCTTGGATTACAAAATACAAGTGAATGCGATGTCGAGTTTATTGGGCTGGGGATTTTCAATCTTCCGTTCTTTGACTGCATTGGTGCGATTTTGAAGCTAGCTAGCGACAATTTGAAACAGAGAAAAAAATCTCCTCTTGGGGAAGGGAAATACTTGTTTGGCAACAATGTCATACGTAGAATAGAGAAAAACTTGTCTATAGATGTTACAGATGCTTCCTACAATGTCGATTTGGAGAACCAGACATGCACATGTGGAAGATTCCAGGAGTTTCTAATACCGTGTCCCCATGCTTGTAAGAAGATACTTGATTTGGGAGAAGATCCGTATTCATATGTCAGTGACTTGTATTCTAAGGCAAGACTGTTGAAGCTCAAAGATATAACACCTGTCGTAGACCTGCCAGTGAAGTGCCAGTCAGACAGGAACCTTCTCAAGCGTGGCCCTGGAAGGCCAAAGAAGATATTAGTTAGGGAACCTCCGGTTGTTAGGAGCTAGAAATGTCTTGCCTATAATTATTAAACTTTTAAATAAAACTTGGATGTATATGCGTTTATCAAGGAACTAGGTTACATTGCTAGGCGTTTCCTTTATTTGCTATATTGAACAGCATGTATATGGAGCTAGAAACACAAGCCGCCATTGATAGCGCAGCTAGAAACGTACTGCAAGAGAGTTTCTTCTTGGCCAATATAAAGAAGAGAAATGGGAAGAGAAATGACAAGAAGTTTGTTATTGTTGCACCCGCTATGCTTATTACAAGGCTTGCAGATAGATCTCTTATTAAAGCCAACAAGAAGCAAAGCAAGATCAAAAAGGTCATCAAAAGGAGCCGGATATTTTCTGTTCTTCTACTTTCTGGAAAGACATTGAATAGAGTGGTAACTAGTGGATTCAGCTGCATTGGAAAACTCCCGATGAAGATCAGCATAGATCCAAACACAGCTACCCTTGAAGACATAAGATATCTATCAATAGTTCTTGCTAGATGGGCATTTATCACAGAGTTTTTGTCTGCAAACATTCTTAGCAAGTCTCCGTTGAGCCCGTCTCCAAACAATGAATATCCAAGATGGCCTATTAACCCGTAGATCAATCCACCTCCAACACCACTCCATATTGATACAAACTTGACTTTTCTCATTGAATGGCTTGCCATCTCATCTAGAACCTTCACCATATTTGATTGACATGCCATTGCAGTTATGAAGATCGGAATAGAAAAGGAGAATCTACTTTCCGAAGGAGACGTCTCATGGGTGAAATGCTCGGAGTAGAAAAGAAGATTGTAGGATATGAGAAGAAAAATGAAGTACACAATGGAAATTACCATTGCGAATGATATGTATCTTAAGCTAGAGAGGTTTTTATGAAAAGAAAGAATAAAAAACGGAACTAGAAGAGCAACCACAACACCTTTTCTAGCGGCCTCATAACTTGGAAAGACAAGCAGTAGCGTCGGAAACGCAGCCACAATCAACTCCGAAAGATACCTATAAAGACAAAAATTTGCGGTTAGACTATTTACAATGACAAATGCATCGAGGACATGCTTGAGCTTAGGAGATATGTGAGCACCCAGCGATGAATATGTTGGTCCTACAGGCATTTTCATTGCAGAGTATGATATACAATACAGAGAAAATGACGTAAGTGCAGCAACTATGAAGATAATGATCCATCCATAAACGTATCCTACAAACCTGAACGCAACCGGAGTGAAGTATATGCTTGGGCCCATCATGGATGTCACCATTGCTACTGTAGCGGAATATTCTGTCAACATTTTTGACATCTTTATTTAGTATCAAGGGAGAATAAAATAAACATTAATCGAAAGAAGAAAATAAAGATAATTAAATATCAGAATCAAATAATTCAATTATTCACGGCTGCAAGGCCCTCAGGAATAAGCTTACTAGTTGAGAACATTACAATACGAAGGTAGTCATAAATCTCCATGGCGAAGTCGCTTTCCCCTTGGAAAACAAGTATCTTCTCATAGGCACCAATTCTCTTTAGGTGCTCCAAGGTGCTTTCATTGAAGTCTCCTCTTACCTTGTCGAGATATACATTATATTTCAAAGGGTCTATCCTTTCCTTGAGAAGAGTGTAAATAAAGGCTTTGGACACCATAGTGACAATATGGCTGTTGTCCTTCAACCCTTCGACAGCACCCTCAGATTCCTGGGCCTTGCCTTCCCTTTTCATAGTCTCGACAATATCAAAAATGCTTGATCCCAAAATTTCATCCAAATCCTTCTTTACATTTCTGTTCTTAAAGAGAGTTTTGGTAGCCATTTCGAGTCCGTCCTTGAGATAGGATTCCTTTTCAGAAATGCTATTCTTGTCGTAAACTCCCTCGACACACGAATCCCCTATGACGCTGTCGTCCAAAGTCAAGAGGAACTTATATACAAAGCTGAAGAAATCTGGCCCTTCTATAACCTTATCGCTATCCTCGAACTTGCCTCTAAGCTTGGATTTATCAAATATCGAATTTGCAGCCTCATCACTCATAAATAGGCAATAGAAATTATATATAGCATACCAAATCGTAAGCCCAATTACAAGCAAAAAGGCACTAGCAATCAAAAGTCTCTTTGATTTCATCATGAGGGCCGAATTTTTTTCGGCCATTTATACTTTCAAATATTCCCTAAACGGAAATCAGAGATGCTCAGCAAATTCTTTAGGCATCGGCTATAAATCACCAGGTCTCAACTGCCGGTGTATACGCATCAGGCACAATAATATCAAAAATTCGTTTTATTGATTAAAAAAAGCCTAAGTTCAACCAGGTATTAACACCAAAAAATAAAATTAAAAATAAAGGAGATTTTATTTTTAGGCCTTGAACGTACTGTAAAAGTTGAGATCAATTGTCATATAATACCCCAATCTGGCTATACGTCTGCTGTATTAGCTTCCTTCCATCTTTTTCTCTAGTACCTCTTTGCCCTCCTTGATAGCAGATGTAGCAACATTTTCATCTGGAGCGCTACTATCAGAGACTTTATTTTTATTTCCACTAAATAGGGATGCAAGTTTTCTAAGCCCTAAAATGTCCACAAGCCCTTTCCCCTCGGTAGAAGATTTGGACTTCTTCTCCTCTTCTGAACCTTTTCCAATCGCCATTTCAGAAATTACTCCTACCCCACTTAAGTTAATCTGAGAAATCCCACTTCCCATGTATAAGCTTGTCTGGAATATAGAGGTAAGTATATGCTCTATAACAGGCATGGTAACTTCTTTCTTTTCCATCTTAACAGTTATTTTTGAGTTTGCAACCTCCTTACTCTCCTCGTCTAGACATTCAAAGAACTTTTTAAAATCTTGGTTTTCACTGTAAATTTTTCGGAATTGTTGAACCCTGTTATTCTCTGGGAGCGATCCCTTTAACCACAACCAAATTAAAAGATTAGCCAATTGGGTGTTGAGCTCCTCATCCTTTTCCCGCTTATCAGATGAACTCTCTGCTGATAGGAAACCAGAAAATGCACTCTGAATGGCATCAGTTAATCCTTTGATATTTTTGGCCTCGGCATCCTTCTTATTTAGTATATCCTTTATGGCCTCTTTGGGATTGGCGGCCCTAAACATAATATTTCTAGCTTCAGTAATTGCATTCTTTACATGTGCCTCTCTTTTGTCATCTCCTCCCTTTTCCCCGGCTTCTTTTTCAAGAACTTCGTCATAGCATAAAAGCCGAATGAGATTGCTGTCTGCAGACTTCAGAGACTTCAGAACATTATTCAAGCAAATGAAGAACTTAACATCGGTAACTGCGGAATCTTCTTTGTTTTCGCCTGAATCTTTAAACCTGAATGTGATTTCTTCACTGAGTGATGCAATATCGTCTTCAGCAAAGGATCCTGTTGGTGCTTCTTTGAGCATAAGGAATGCTAGAACAGTTATACCCACACCGAGCAATACAACTATGAGTAGTCTGAGAAACTTGCCTTTGTCCATGATGGGAGTATCTTTTTTGATTATTTATAGTTTTATGCGGTAATATGTATTTTAGGAAAATTTGGATATCAGCAAATTTATTTTCAGGTTCCCCTTTATTACATAGAAAAGGCTTACCATTTTTCTTGGAAAGTAATAAGGAATAATGGGGCATTCACCCTATTAATTTCTACTTCCATTAAATTGATCAAGAATATCATGCTGTTGAGTGTCTAGCATAACACCATTTAGTAACCGTCTCCAAGAAGTTTTCCATATATCAAATCTTTAATCATAAAGCCTTGAAAACATGTAACAAAAGAAAATATATATAAACAGGAATGCCCTTAGTAGACAGTATAAAAGCGTAAACTTCTCTCTAGAGCATGCCAGAGGGAATTGCCGGCATGCAACTAGAAAGTTGAATGACTCGGAATATCTAAGAAAGAAGCTTTTTTGACAGAGCTCCTGATCTAGGGGATATAGTAGGTTAAATGCAAGAACCATACACATAAGCAGATACTTGAGCTTCAGATTCAATACCAAGTTTAGCAGGGTGCAGATAAACGTACCTGTCACAAGAAAAATTAGGGCAAAGTTGAAGTTAAGAATGTAGGACATTAGGAGGATGGGGATCCATGATTTTAAAATCAGATAAATGAAGATATGGAAGAAATAAGTTCCAGGAGAGTAAATTCTGTTGGCATTACTATGAAACTGGGCTTTTTCCTCGTTAATCATAGTGCCACCTCTTGTGAAAATTAAAAAGTACACCCCGGTTGACATGATTTTGTAATCTATAAGATCCCAGTTGTATGCTCTTATTCGTTCGATAAATTCCCCTGTTGCTCTTCCAGTGGAAAGTGCCATAGAAACACAGGACCTAGGCACATATATAATACCCCATACCAAATTGCGAATTGATGTGGAAAAGATGCTTTCCGTTAGTCCAGAGAGGGAAACAAACCTTTCCTTCAATGCCTCCAGGAAGCCCTGGAAGACGTCTGAGATAGAAACCGCATCTTTGAATATAGATGCCTTAAATTTCAGGATTACTGCCAGGTATATTTGCATTAAAAATGACACCATGAACTTCTTGAAGTCCTTGGTCCTCTTTTCTTCGAGAAAGCATTTCCTTCTTGTAAGCAGCAGAGAGAGTCTAATGTCCACCGAGAAGAACCATTCAAAGAGCAACTCTTTCATTCCATACAGCCAACAGTATTTGCAGGAAGGCCTTAGCTCAAGAGCCAAAGTCTTCTTTTCTGTATTTGATGGGGGCTTGATGTCTCTGATGTTGTGAACAACTATTCTATCTTCGAAGATTCTCGTTTCAGTATGGCTGATCACGCCACGTGTCTCCAGCAAGAAGTCTCTGTTATAGTTGTTTGGATGTAAACGATTTCTGGATTGGATCATATCAGGGCTTGTTGCCTTCTCTGAAAACCTTGTGATGTCTCTAGGAATATCAGAATCTTCACTCGCACCTGTTGGTGTAGCAGAAGATTCGCCTCTAGGCACCTCAGAACCGTTTGCCTTGGCTTCTTTCTTATCGTTACATTTTACTTCAAGACTTTTCAAAAGGCTTTCAAACAGCACTTCCTTGTACCTAAAAAGATCTTTTTTTACACGGAAATTGATGCATTCAAAATTATTTTTTCCTATGATAACGCATCCATCCAGATCATATTCTGAGGGAGAATCTACCTCCACCAGGATAACAGCTCTATTACTTCTTGCATATTTCCCGAGAAACGATATATACTTTTTTGTATCCTCATAGGGGGTATGGAAATTCCGGAGAACAATCACCTTTGATTCAGAAGCAACACTTGTAGCTGCTTCCCATCTTCTGGACTCCGAAACGGTTAGTTTTGATATGGGAAGCTTCTTGATTTCTTCCAAATCAAAAATATCTATCATATCCTTAACCTTAGAGAGATTTACAAATTCAAGCGAGCTTTGAACACTTTCGCAGGAGTAGAACATCACGAATGGATTCATCATTCTCCGGAGCTCATTATAGCTTATGAGATTACCTTCAAAGAAAATACGCCCGTGAAACTTCAAGTTACTATCCGTGGCTGCAGGAACTGTCATCGATGCCATAAAGGCATCTCGAAGAGTGTTGTAAAGCCCAACGATCCCGTAGATTCCTACTGCAAGTATCCTTTGGCCTCTACAAACCACCACACCTTCCATAGTGATCTCCACGTTTTCTACTCTTAGAGCGCCTTTTGAATTGCCCATTTCTTGAAAGGGCCCTCCCCATCATATATAATCGTTTAGTCAAGGTAGCACCAAGGCCAAAGATAGTTAATTAATGTTATGGCCAGATGTGATCATACATGCATTACAAGGGGCGCTTGGTTCTCAGGTTTCCAAACCGTCCACTCTTTTTATTGATGCCCTCCTCCTTCAAACTGTTTTGAATCAACTACTGAATAAGAAATTTATGTGGCGGCGTTAAAGTCTTCGAGGTATGAAGAGAAAAATACAACTTCTATGCTTGTTTTTAAAAATTGCCGTAACACGCCGGCACAGACTAGGATATGGCCTAAGAGGGTCTCATCTCTCTTTGGAATCTAAACTTTATAACAGTTGGCTTGCAGACCACCAGGCATTAACCGATTCGTCTGGTAACACCAATAATGATCTTGACTTTCGCGCATATTAAAGTTGTATTTCTATTTTAACTTTCTTACCTCTGTGGTTTGCATCTACTGTAAAGTTACAAGAATTAATCTTTAATTGATTTAGCCTAGGAATGAGCCTTCAGACCATCAGCATCCAAGAAACTGCCAGAGTTATCTGAACCAAGGCTGCTTCCATGGGCGACAAAATAGGGCAGATCTCCTGTTGTTAGCTTTGTCTCAGAACCTTGGAGGTCCTCTCCAGGATTAGTAGAGATATAATAATTTCCCGTTGATGGATCAACAGGAATCTCAAAGGTCAAGTCCTGGGTAGGCCCACTATTAACGAAGTCCTTAAACTGATTTGGGTTAGAGGCAACCAGACTATCTGGAAGAACATTTGTTCTTGCCTTGTGGAGTCTTGCAATGTTTTCTGCTTTCTTTACTGCGTCATCTTGGTCTTTCTTTATCATGTTAAGCTTCTGGCTTAGAAGCTCGTTATGGTGTTCAAAGCTCAAATTGTTATTCGCCACATTTGCAATGGGGACGGTGTCCTTCACCAGTATCAGCGGGTCGGCAGACCTTTGAGCAACAAGCCTCTCCTCCTCCTCTTGCAACATCTTAGCCTTGTTGTCCATTATCTTTGCATTTAACTCCTGCTTCTGTGCAAGCAGTGCACTGGCCTCAAATCTTGCAGCAGAACTTATGGCTTTTGCTTTTAACGCCTCCCCTTGTGCATGGTGTATTAGATGATGTAGATTAATCAGCCTGTTTCTGTTGCTTATGGACCTTCCATTTCTTGATGGAGAAACATATATTCCTACATTTCTCTCTTGAGAGCCATTAATAACTCTTGGGGCCAGCGTAATCCCACTTTCCCCGGCATTAGAGCCAGCATCTGCAACCAAAGGACTTGAATATCCCGGCAAATAAACAGGGGATACTCTTCTTGCGCCAGTTAACCCCACCTCTCCAAGGGATCTGCTATTAGGGCGGTGAAAAACGCTATGATGGTGCTTAAAACTACTCATTGTTGGGTAGTGGCTGTGATGAGTGCTGTGATGCGATGCATGCTTTCTAGATAGAGATCTTGCACTTACAAAATTAACTGTGGAGAGAATTATTAGAAACATCCTCATAAGTCTTGCCAAATGGCTTCCTTTTATACCAATCCTCAAGTAAAACAAGTTGTTTCATACTCGTATAAACCTCAGATGGCAAATCCAACAGATCCACCTAACAAAAAGGTTCAGATAATTCTTCTGAATCCAAATATGTTTATTCCTCGTTTAAAGATAATGTTTTGTGTGATATATCACCCCGAATGGAGGGATTTATTCATAAGATAAATAATCTTCTAAAGAATCCCAGGTTAGAAGATATACTTACCGTATTTGAGATTGATGGGTACATAAGGCTAAACAGGGTGTATATATCTCCGTTTTCCTTAAGGCAGCTCTTAATCAAGCTGGTAGGGCTGGATTTGGTTTCTTGGCAGATGACGCCAAGTGGGTTATTCTTTCAGTTCAGGGCATTCTGTCTTAAGTTTTATGGGACTGTGAACATAGTAGTTAAACAGAAGGTATTCTGTATAGAGATTGACTTTGACCCTAGCATCGATGGGGGCGCAGGGGTTCCAGTACTCAGAGAGCTGGAGAGATATCTAAAGGGATGTGACGCATTGTTTTTCATGACATACTTCATGGACATCGATAAGGAAATACTGCACAATCCACTTTCTGAGAGCTTAGATTTCTTGTACAGGAAGAATTCCATAAGGAAATAGGAAAATAAAATATGCTTGTTGATTTTACATTTAAGAGGGAATAGAGTTCAAGCTCAATCCCTGCGAGATTGAAGTGTTTACTAAGTCTTAGAATATAAATTCAAAAAAATAGACCCCGGAAAAAAACAAAACACAATGCTCGATAACATACAAGAATATATTGGCGCAGTGAAGGCCAAGCTAACTGAGTTTTACGAAAAGGTGTTTCAAAACTTCGTCAAGTCTCTTTTTGGAAAACCTTCTTCAATTCTCTTTCTTGGTATAGATAATGCAGGAAAGACTACCTTAGTGAATAAGTTGAAGAGTGACTCTACAGATGTCTACATGCCTACCCACCACCCTAGCACTTCCCATATAGAAATAGGAAATCTAAAAGCACAAGTCATTGATCTCGGGGGGCATACAGCAGCAAGACTTGCATGGAGAGACTACTTCTACGATTGCCATGGGATTGTGTTTATAGTTGATGTCCATGATGTAGAAAGGTTTTCTGAGGTGAGAGAGGCCTACGAGACTGTGAAGTCCCTGGAGAAGAAGGCTCCAATTGTTGTACTTATGAATAAAATCGATCTTGAAGGTCACACCCCAGAAACAGCAGAAGCAGATTATCAGTGGAAGTCTTGGCTTAGCCAGGAAACAGGAATCGAAGATCAAGAGGATCCTGAGAGGGGGCAAGCTGTAAAGATTTTCTATGTCACTATAACAAGCGGAAGTGCTAACAGCATAACAGGCCCTCTTGCACGGGCATTTAAATGGCTAGAAGCCATGATTAGCTATAATAATAAGAAGGAATCTCTATGAATAAAGCTATTATGTTCCTTCTCTTGGTTCTCGGTGCTTACTGGAGAATGACCTCTCATTGTGAAACAATATTGTTTTTAAGGTTCACTCATATCTTTAGATATTCATCTTTTCACCAATGGAATTTGAAACACCAAATAGTTTATAATGTCGTCATCCGGAAAACCGGATGAGAGTAACTCATTGCATTCTTTTTATAAACTTGTGTATTGCACAGACCTTAACCAACACTGACAACAAAAATCTATTAGAGGCAGAAGCGCTAGAAAAGAAGTTACTGCATGCGGAAGACATTCTTATGATGGAGCATTTAAAAGAGCAGGGATTCACTGTATATCCGAACAAAACTCCGGGCAGCACAAATAATACTTATTAAATGAAATAGGTTTTTCGGTATTTTAAATCAAACCTTCTAGATAGATAAAGTCTTTTAATGGCGTAGGAGCGTAAGCACCTGTTTTGGTGTAACTTGGTAAGGAACCACTATGGGAACATTTGGCTTCTTGAGATCTTCTAGTGTTATTATTCCTCTACCACCATATACAGGGATATGCCTTCTGCTTGTGTAAAAGCTTCTAGGATACCTCCATTTCCTCAATTCACCGTAACGGAATACTCTTCCGTTCAAATCATGAATATGTGAATTCTCACATTGGATTAGAGCAGACATCATTGAAATAAGCATGACGCACAGTTTGTGTAAGCCGATGTTCATGCACAGATGGCTACAAACATGAGTCAACGTTTATAGATTAAAACTGTTTCACCTGTTTTAGATTTTCATCTCTTAAAGTGAAACAGGCATGTGTTCAAAGAATTACCGGTAAAACCACAGAGTCCACAAAAATTGATGTTTATTTGGCTCAATCTATTTTTAATCATCCTAAGACAGAGGAGGTCATGCCAGCCTCAGATTTTCCAATGCAGTTCCTATCTTATCTGCTAGGACTGAATCCCTGGCCTGTATCCGAGTCAGCCATTCCTTTATGCCATTAGCACATAGGATTTGAACTCTATCTTCGGATCCCTCCTCCCTCCATGACAGGTTTATTATAATCCATATAAATGCAATCGAAAGGTTTCTTGTTGTACTCACCTTTTTCATGTTCTCCAGATGCTTTTTGGTCAGCACCAGGCTTTTGAACTTATCCGAGTTGGCGCTTAGATTGACTATGGTGTACAGTATCTGTAGCACAACGCATTCTTCTCTAGTGTTTTCTGAAATAGCCATTCCGTTAGCAAACTTATCTAAATAAAAAAATATCGAGTCGACCATGCCTTCATAGCTCTCCACAATGTAGTCGAGGGTGTCGTCGCATAGAAGATTCCTCATCAAGTTGAAGCAACCCTCCAGTATTTCCATGTCATTGTTTTCTTCATACATAGCGAGGAACCTATTGAAAAACCCTCTGTCTGTTGCCTTAATAAAGACTTCTCTCGAATTGAAGCCGGTGTCGTAAAGAAAATTCTTGAAAATCTGCAAAACCACACATGGAAACCTAAGTGTGTAACTTAAAATCTTTTCAACACCGCCAGAAGCTATGAACTTACTTTTGTAATCGCCATACTCCATAACCAAGTTCACTAGCACGTTTAGAATGTTTTTCTCAATGAACCCGGAATGTAGGCTCTCTTCATCCATCATTCTATCAATCCCATCTATGGTGTTTGGGAATTTATTATCCAGAACAGCTATCAGCAGCTCTACAACAGGGTAATCTAAGAGATCTGATCTAAGGAAAGTAACGCTCTTGGTCATGCTTTTCATCAACATCACTGCCATGAAAAAAACAAGGTCTATCTGCTTCTTGTTCACCCTCTGCTTGAATGCTCCAAAGATACTGGGAAGCATGCTACTTTTAGCAACGGTCTTTCTGTTTTCTTCCAGTTCTGTTGTTAAAGAATGCAGACAAAACAGAAGCTCAGGCTCCAGCATGCTTGGTTGAATTTCATGAAACCGATCGACAATTTTGGTCACAAGTCCTATCTCCTTGCAAAATAGCTGTGCTTGGACGTCATCTCGAACCATGAATCCTATCAATACTAAAAACTCCCTTTTGTAATGTACAAGTTCGTCTAGTTCATACAATATCCTTTCCATTATTCTTGTGTCTCCAAGATGTTTTGACCTGTACAGCTTCACACAGCATGAAAGCACCTCGAGCTTATTCCTTACATTCGAGTTGTTCAGCCTCCCAAACAAGCGCTCCATTTTAATATACCTCCCCACATCCTCATCAATCAATTCGTTGAGGAGCTTTATTCCGTGAAGGTCTTGATTGCACAGAATCTTAATGATTTTCTTGCTTCTGAGCCTATCCTTGATTCTTGGATCTGTTTTCTGAATCTGATAAAACAGCTCAATTACTTCATTCTTAATTGCACTAAGGCATAGAGACTGATGTTCGATCTCAATTACAGTTAAGAAAAAGTTCAGGTAATTGCTATAGAACAAGGCCTGGTCCGTCCTAGATATTATTATTCTAAAAGACCTAAAGATAGAAACATGTGCACTGGTGGGGGGTAGAGGCTGTGACCTGATAAACTCGAATATTTGAGGAATGCATTCCTTGACCCCTTCCTTGATACTTCGATTCTGAGATGTTGCTAGTAAAGCCAATATTTCCAAGCTTATGCAGTTTTCTTCTATACTTCCGTCAAAGTTTCTGTCTTTTGTGAATCCTGTTTCAAATAAAAGGACCTTCTCCCTTTCATTACAAGTTATTCTGTCACGTAAGCCCTTCAGAAACTCTGCTTGCTCGTTCTTGGAACAATCTATAATTCCAAAAGGATCATCGTGATATTCACACAGGTCTTGATTCATTGGACTTTCTCCAACATCCCTTTTTAACCTGATGGGCTCTCCAATCAGAATATCTCTGTTTGAGTATTGTTACAGTAGAAATCAAAGTCGTTCTTACCATGAAGAAACCAATGGCAGGATACAGGACCTTGGCATTATAAGCTCTACGGATGGTTGATTTATTAGATAATATAAACATTTAGTGAGAGAATAGTCTCTATTACACAGAATACCTTCTTCTTGGTGCTTGCTTTTTCAGGTCAAAGAGGGCATCAAAAACTCCCTCTTTCTTCCACCTCAGAATTGCATCCTTCGTAGACTGATAGCCACACGCAACAATCTCATCAAACTTCTTAAAATCCATTGTCCTATACTTCCCAAGATCTGGCCTCAGCATGACTATATTATCATTTGCCTGAAGCTCCTTCATCTTCCGTTCTGTGGAAATATAGGCCAGCCTGTATTGAATCTCTTCCATGGTCACAAACTTCTTGTTGCCAAAAAACTTGTTGAACAGAATAGTGAACCCGCTGAGAGCATCACCATAATCAAAATAGTCATTCTCCAGGACAGTTCCAACGTCCACAGTAATGATTTTCTTAACTTGCATCTCCATCATTACGTCAGCAGGAACATTATTCAGGTATCCACCGTCAACCAGTAACCTCTTATTGTCACATATCGGAGGCAGGTATCCACAGAGTCCCATGCTGGCACGTACATATCTCCAGACCATTCCATTTCTATGCACTTCTTCTTCATAGTTGGATATGTTGGTGGTTATGCAGAAATACTCCAGCCACAAATCTTGAATCAATCCGTCGCCAAATACAGAATGCAACGACCTATTAAATGCATTCCCAGAGAACATAGAGCAAATAGGATAGGTCAGGTCTAGGAGAAGAAGCCATATGTTTGACATCTTTCTAGAAAATCTCTTTGCTTGCTTAAACACATAATAGTTGTTGCACTCTTTTGCATACAATGCACCAATAAAGGCCCCCATGCTGGTGCCTCCAACACAGTCTATAGGTATGCCTTCCTCTTCTAATGCTTGGATGACCCCTATATGGGCAAGGCCCCTAGCGCCTCCCCCACCCAAAACAAGTCCTATCCTCTTCCCTAGAAGTGACCTTGCAAGCCTCTGAAAGTCTTTTGAACAGAAAAGAACGGCTTTTGAAGGAAACAAGACGTGGTGGATCCTGTCGTATCTCCCTTCTGCTTCCTTCTTGTCTGTAGTTCTCCTAAATCCATATCCAATCCCCTTTCGCCTCTTCATGCTCTTTTCGCCCAGAGCTCTCCTCTCCTCGTAGATTTTAACAAACTCAATCCTGCAGTAAACATTGTATTCCGGGATGTCCGTAAAAGTTGTTCCAACCGTCAGCAGAACATCCGAAAAGTTCAGCAAGTACCTTAACAATCTCGAATATTCGTTTTCTACATAAATAAGAATGATTTCGTAGCACTTAGACATCTTTGTAAGATAGTCCATAAATCCGAGCTCTTCAGTGGTATCAAACGATCTCCTTGCTAGAATGTCAACAACATCTTTACGGCTCAAAAGTAACGAAGACGCGCCAATCGCACCCTTCAGCCTTCTCGAAAAGGAATCTATGTCCTTGTATTGACCAACCGGAATTATACTAACTATTTTGCCATTCTTTTTGTTTCCATTTTCAAAAAGCCTTTTGGTGTACTTTTTGAAAAAGCTCTTGTCATTCTCAAAGAAATAGTCCACCAAAAGAGATGGAATCTGTATAATGTCTGTTATTCGAGTTGCTATAAACGACTCCGACCAGTTCTCTCCAAAAATGCATTCTTTTCCTCCGATAGCCTTTCCAGACGAAAATTCCTTAGATGTAGATTTTACCCTCCCAGCCGCAATGTAAAAGATTTCTTTCGAGGCCTCTCCCTTCTGAGCAATCATGCTTCCAGGAGAGAGCCTTATCCATTCAACCGATTCATCTATAACGTGTAACGATTCATCGATGTCCTGTAGTATCGAATAGTCAAACTTCTTCTCGTCTAGTCCAAGCTTAAATAAGGTTGATGAGTTGCATATGAAAGTTGAAGAGTCCTCCTTTGCCTGGATCTTAACAGACTCATAGGAATCAAAGAATAAAGAAAAATATCCAAATACAGACCCACTCCCAAAGCTAAAGACATTTTCCCCAGCCATCACCAGAATCTCTCCAGAAACTACATACAGTATATAGTCCATAGGTTCTTCGTCTTCTTTAAGGACCATGCCCTTGCCAACAAACCTGGCCTCAATGCTTTTTTCGAGTATTTCTCTTCCATCATCTTGGGATGGCAAAAACCTATCACACAAAAAAGTCGAAAATAGACTTAAATGGTTCTTCTCAGCACTTCTGATCTTCATAGTCTCCTTTTCCACTAGTTTGCCTTCCAGCCCAAAGTACTTGCAAGCCGTTTCGATACATGATTTTCTAAGCATGGAAAATAAAATATACAAGCTATTGCTTCTGACCAAAGATGGATCAATCAAAAGAATTTCGACAAAACCTCTTGCTTTTTTGGTTCCTATTGCACCATGTCCTAGCAACTCCATGGACCCATTGAGAAGAGATCCTCTTTCCTTTATACAAAGAAGTTGATTTCCATACCATATTTCTACGGAGCCCTGTAACACAAATCCTGCGACTGCTATTATTTCACCATTTTTGTATGTTATTCTATCCCATCTATCCAAGATTTCCTTGATAGATTGCCCTGGGTAAAAATTGAATAGCGGATGCCTTTTCATTGCGTCTTCTAAAGTCATCCCAAGAGACCTCGCAAATGTAACCTTCTCAATGGCCCTAGACTTAATCTTGAAGGGTGCTGCCCTGGATTTTGAGGTACCATAATGCTTGAGCCCGGCAAGAAGCCCACCTACAATAATCAGTATAATTAAAAGACCTAGTGGAAACATTCGCAATGGGGTTCTTCATTTTTATGAATGTCTTTCTCAGAATTGTAGCTCCTAAAAGCCAGAAGGATAAAAAAAATAATTAGAATCTTCCCGATGGAAGAGAAGAAGAATAGAATCCAGGTGGAAGTACGAATAAATCCCAGGCTGGATAACGTAATAGAAAGCACGCCAACAGCACTAACCATAGGGACAAAGACGTATGGTTTTAACAAGGTACATCTCACTACATCACAAATGCAAATGTATGACAGGAGCGTCAGGCATCTTACAGAATCTTTCCTTGAAGGCTATAATTGTACAGTAATGGCATATGGCCAGACAGGGAGCGGAAAAACCTACACAATGGGAATGACACATGAAGACATGACAGGAATTGTCCCACAGTCCCTTAAACACATATTCAAGGCATGTCAGGAAATAAGCTGTATCTTCATAGAGGTTTACAATGAGGAGGTAATTGATTTATTCAGCAAGCACAAGATGCCATTGAGCCTAAGAGAGGTAAATGGTGAAATCACAATCGCTGGCGCAACAGAGGTAACTCTAAGATCATATAAAGATGGAGTGGAAGCCTTGAAGAAAGGATCCTTGGAAAGAACAACAAAGTCAACCAACATGAATTCAAAGTCGTCGAGAAGCCATGCGATATTCATTCTTTCTCATAGAAGAGAGGTAAATGGATCATTTGTGACGTCGAAGTTCTCCTTTGTCGACCTTGCAGGAAGTGAAAGGCTCAAGAGGACTTTGTGTGCAGGAGACCGTGCGAAGGAGGGAATTTCTATAAACTCTGGACTCTTGGCTCTTGGGAATGTGATCTCTGCTTTATTCAAGAAATCTTCCCATGTTCCTTTTAGAGATTCAAAGCTCACTAGAATACTTCAAAGCTGCTTAAGTGGCTACATTTTGATGATTGCCTGCGTTTCTTCTTCTCACGCAGATATAGGTGAAACACATAACACTTTGAAGTATGCAAGTAGAGCAGCTTCTATCGAAACCACGGCAAAGATGAATGTGCAAATTGATGGGTCGAAGTTCGCAACACTTCTTCTGAAGAAAGAAATACAGAAGCTCAAAGTGGAAAACCAAATGCTTAAAGAAAGATTTAGGAAAGAATCCAGAATTAATGTAGAAGAATTAATATCTGAAAATAGAATTCTCAAATCAAAGGTGGAGGCCCTAAGCCTTGAAAAGGACGACAAAAGAGAAGACATCATACAGGAAATTTTAAAGCACCCTTTCGTTCAGAACCTGATAGATGAAAACCAGAGGCTTAAAGATATGGTCGAAAAGACATCCAAGGACTTGGAAGGACAAAGGCCTTCAGGAATAGACAGCTGTCCAGATGTTAGAAAGTACGAAAAAAGTTTTGGGTTTGCCAAAAGGAAAAGCTCCGAGAATAAGGCAAATTCTCCCGAAGATGATCTCAGCAGGAAGAGCAACGAGGATCACTTGAGTAAACCTGAAGAAGTATTTAACAAAGCCAGTGAAGGCAGGATACAAACAGAAAATCAGAGTAAAGAAGAGTACAACAAAATTGACACAATAAGAAAATACGTGGACTCCCTAGAGATATCAGACACTTGTGAAATTGTAGAAGAACAAGAAACAGAACCAAAGATTAACAAAGCACACAAAAGAATCGTTTCTTTTGATTTAGACAGAAATACTAAAAAATACGCACTCTTCACACCTAGAAAGGAAAAGATAACAATGACAACAGCAATAGAAAATAAGCTGACTGGATACCTTCCCACAGCATTAACACTCTTCGATTCACACCTTGTATTCGCATCTATAGACAATAAAATCAGAAAATGGAACGACAAAGTAGAAGCTTTGTTCACAGAGGAAGGCGTCAGGTGTATAGAGGGATCTGATACTCTCTTGTATACAACAAGAGGAATACTGAAAAGATTTGATCACAGGTCAGGCACACGACCATTGTATGGCTTCAGGAGCGAGGTCTCGGCACTTCTCTCAAGAGACAATTACATATTCACCGGTCATGAAGATGGAACACTTTCAATGCTCGACCAGAGAAATTGCAAGCTGGTACTTTCTGAAAAGGCACATTCTGGAACCGTTTTTTGCATAGAGAAGATAGGGCCAGACACGTATACAGGATCTAGGGATCATACAGTCAAATGCTATAACGGTGAGTTTACAACTCTTTCTCCGCCACATTTAGATTCAATCCAGGGATTACTATGCTATAATGATAACTTAATAAGCTTTGGAAGAGACTGCTCCATAAGAAGGTGGAGAAACAAGTCAATAGTTAAGACGGTCCCATATGCACACGACTCATGGATAAAATGTGGAGTATCAATGAAGGATTCATTTGTGACAGGTTCTAAGGATGGAATGCTTAGGTTTTGGGACTTTTGGGATAACTCTGTATTCTGTGTTGGTAAACTGAAAGCAGGAGGAGCAATAAACTCTCTTGTATGGGATGGAGAGGTTGTTTATGTAGGATGCCAAAGCAAGGAAATCTTGGCAATAAAATGTAGATATGATGGCTGTTAATGTGCTTATAGTTTTGCGAGCGCTACAAGGATATGGAAGACGTACATCTAAAGCTGAAACAGAACTCTATATCAGAGAAAGAATAAAAGAGTTCAAGTAATAAGTATCAGCATTCAAAAAAGATGTTTATTCAATAGCTACTAGTAAAATACTATCGAACAGCTCATTCACAAAGAAATTCAATGATTGATGAAAACAGATATGACTATACGCGCCATTATCATATATACAAATATCGAGATTCCAAAGATGAAGAAAGCCAAGAGCTGCCTCCATAATGCATAATCTGTGTCCAGTGGCAATCTACTACCCAGATTGAGCGACCTTAACAAGATAAAAATGAATGAAAGGGCAGCAATGTAGATAAAGCTTGAATCATCGATCGGAAAAGCTATTCCGGCTATAATACGCAAAAGAATTAGAATATCAATGAAAAGGTTGAAACCTGTATCCGTAAATTGAATTGAACCTGGTGCAAAGATACAAGAAGTAGATAGTAGATAAGCCCTAGATACAACAAAGGATGGAAGAAGAATAGAGAAAGAGGCATCATTATCGTATTTTTCGAGAGTAAAGATAATGGTTGAGATTACATCGATGGCAGAAAACGCGATGAGAGAGAGTGTAATGAAAAAATAGAGTATTGAATGCAGGAGAGATGGAGATTTGTATTCTGAATCCCTGCTGATGAGAAACAGAGAGAAATTCTGCGATGCTGAATATAAAAATGGAAGAAAAATTGCCATGAATTTGAAGGCCAAGCTATCTTTCATCGAAGAACCTATTAAAAAATGCATAACAGCTGGAAATGCAATGGACACAATCGCAAAAATGTGCTTTGCTGAAGCTTGTATGATACCTGTTTGGTGCGAAGTAGAATCCATATCAACAAAAGTAATGGGGTTCTGTGCTCCATATATTTATGTTACTGGGAAATTAGTATAATTGGTTGCACATATCAATTAATGAAATAATAGGTGGAGTAATCCGCGAAAGAAAGACCTATCACTTAGACACCTGATACTAGTAAGTTTCTGGGTATCTGTTAAGAAGGTATTACATTAAAGTAAATGGTTTCGTTATGACTTCTATGTTTTTATTTTAGACACTACCTCGCAAACTTCTTGAATATTATGAACTACGATATATCGAAAGAAAGTAGAAATTTAAAAACCCTATGAAGGCTTTCCCGCTGTCCTCTAGAACAGATGGTCCCTTATCAGAACAGGAAAAGATGCAGATGATCGAAAGAGCTTCTAAGGCCTATGGGGCATTTATGGAGGCCCTTGGAATCGACTATAAGGAGAATCCCCACACCATTGATACACCTCTCAGAGTTTCAAAGGCATGGGTCAATGACATTGCAGCTTCCCTATACACTCCTCCTCCACAAATTACTATCTTCGATAACACCCAAGGATATGAGGATCTTCTTTTCCATGGACCAATTCCCATTAAATCAATCTGCTCTCATCATCACTCTCCTTTTATAGGAGAGGCCTATGTAGCCTATATTCCGCAGAAAGAGGGAAAGATAATTGGGCTGAGCAAGCTGAACCGGATTGTCGAGTTCCATGCCCGGATGCCCCAGTTGCAGGAAGACCTTACCCTATCGATATGGACTTCGATCGATCAGTTCTGCAAGGGCAACCGCGGGGTTGCATGTGTCGTTACAGCAGCCCACTTCTGCCTTTGCTCCCGGGGAGTCAACCACCATGGATGCAGGACAAGAACATCGAAGCTGAGTGGAGACTTCATTGAGAGGCCGGAGACAAAGCAAGAGTTCGACAGCTTCATGGCGACCTCAATAAAGAGCTTTCCATACCCTATGCATTCTTCTCTCTGACGTCACGTAGCAAAGGCCGGTGTTTTTTCTAGAAGGCCTTGCCTGGCAGTACAGAGGCACGAAGACGTCTTTAATCCCTCTTACTCTATGGGCCGCGAGTGGATGCTTGGCAGCCGGTCTGTACGGGCACCGGAAACCTCGATGGGGCTTGCGATATCTGGAGCACCCTGGCCTTTCTCTCTTCTGTGGGGCTGGAGGCAAATATATAACAAGTGCCTCGATTCTTCTGATGACCCCTGTTGAGCAACTTCAGCTGTCTGATCTTCAGGGCTTTCTCCCTGTGATAGTTTCTGAGTGCGACCACAGGATAGAGAAGGCGGTTGGAGTGACGTTGAAGATGGATGTCAAGCTTTCTGATGTCTGTGCGAGGGATTGCGTGTCGAGGACGCTGGACCTTGGGTTGTGTGTGAGAAGGATCCGGGAGTACTGGGAGGCCTTGGAGTGTGCGGTATATGTGTGGGACTTTTCTCGAAGGATGGCCGAGATAGTTGATGGGCTTGGAGGAGAGGGAAGGATTGAGGTAGCAGTCAAGCTTCCTGGAAGTAGCTCTCTTTCGAAGGAGGTTGTATACAAGGCGAGGAGAGACGGGGGATGGAGTGAGCTGTTGGTGGTCGGGGATATCTGTGGCAGGGTGCTTATAGGGTGCAAGGATGCGGAGAGGTGCCAGAGGCAGGATATCAGGGTAGAGGTTGAGGGGATGTATCCAAAGGTAGCTCCGGAGCGCCTTCCTCGGATCAACACGCAGTCTTTGATTTCCTCTATTATCGGGGAGATGGAGAGGGGAGAGTATAACACCATGGAGTGCTTGGCAAGCCGAATTGTTGATTTTGTGGAGGAGAGATACTGTTTTGTAAGGGTCTGTGTTTTCCTTCAGAAGATGCATGGGGCTCTTGGAGGATTGAGCTCCGGAGTGAGGATAGGGAGGGCGACGCGGCATGCCTTGGCGGAGAGAGGGCATGCGGAGGCTAAAGGAGGAGAGGATCTGAGGACGGCATACATATGTGTAGGATCGAACATGGGGGACAAGGTCGGCAACATTCACTCTGGGCTTAAGCTGCTGAAGGAGTGTGGGGTTGAGATAGTGGACACCTCGTTCCTGTATCTTTCCGGGTACCAAGGGGATGGGGAGGTTTCTGATAGGGAGTTTGTGAATGCAGGGGTCAAGATAAGGACTCTGCACTCTGCCTCCTCGCTTCTTCGGGTGGTGAAGGGGATAGAAGAGCGTGTTGGGAGGATGAAGGCAAGGGGGACGGATGATAGGAAGATTGACCTTGACATTGTGTTTTACGAGGATCTTGTTGTTGACAGCAGGGATCTAGTGATACCGCATCCCCGCCTGCACCTGCGTGAGTGGGTGTTGAGGCCACTTGCAGACATTGATCCTTTCTTCATGGATCCTCTTCGGAAGATGTCTGTTAGGTGTCTGCTTGAGGGCTGTTTGAGGAAGATTGACCTCAGGGCTAGTGTTGGGCTAGATGTTGAAAGGATGCCCTTTGTGGGTGTGGAGAGGGTGATGTGGCTTGGAAGCAAGCTGTACAGATGGGGGTCTCTAGGAAGTACGCTGGTGATGGGGATACTGAATGTGACGCCGGACAGTTTTTCTGATGGCGGGTGCTATCTTAGTCTCTGTGATGCTCGGAAGAGGTTTATTGAGATGGTGGAACAAGGTGCGGATATAGTTGACATAGGGGGAGTGTCCACAAGGCCCGGGGCCGCCTCGGTAGATGTTGAGGAGGAATATTCCAGGGTGATTCCTGTGCTAGAGGATGTAAGGAAGATAGACAAGGATGTCATTATATCGATTGATACGACGTCGGCTAGGATAGCACGTGAATGCCTGAGGCGGGGAGCAAATTTCATGAACACGACTCTGCATGCAGATGGGATGGCGGAGATGTATGAGGTTGTTGCAGACCTGAGTGTACCGATTGTTCTTATGCATTCGCGGGGGACTCCGAGGACGATGGGGTCCCTGGTTTCCTCTGCACGTGGGCAAAGCCTTCTGGAAGAAGTCTCGAAGGAGACCAACGATATTCTGATGGAGGCCAGAAGGAGTGGGGTCTACAGATGGAACATCATTCTAGATCCCGGGATAGGGTTTGCAAAGACTCCGATGCAGAGTGTTGAGGTGATGTCTGGGTACCATAGGCATCATCCGTTTTCTAGCTATCCTTGTCTTGTGGGACATTCGAGGAAGAGCTTTATCGAGAAGGTCGGGCTATCTGTGCCTGGAGATTGTGTGCACCCCGCTACCCTGTGGGGGACGCTTGGGGGCACTTCTATGCTTTGCCGTAGTAAGACCTTTATTGTAAGGGTCCATGATGTGCCTGAAAACGCATCGATTGTCAAGCTTTACGGTTTGCTCGGTAGCAGTGGGCTGGATCCCTAGCTGCCTCTTTCAGTCGGTAGATGTCTGATACCAAGTAAAGCGACCCCGTGACAATAATTGCTGTCTTCTTTCTCTTCTTGCCGATGCAGTCCACAAGTGCTTCTTCCAGGCTCATGCCTTCGACGACGGAAATGCCTTTTCTGCTCGTGCTACTACTCGTTTTGCTGTCTTGTTTCCCTGCCTCTTTGTCCATGAGTCCGGTGAAAGCACTTGCTAGCTCCGAAGGAGGGGTGCACCGTACCCACTCCATCGATACAGGCCCTTTAAACCCTACGAAGTAGATTCTTTCTCCCATGCCTTTTCTCTTGCACAAGCACCTCCCGATCTGTGAAAGAATCCCGTGTGTGTCCTTTCTGTCTGTAATCCCGACGATCCAGCATATCCTGAGCCCCGGGCTTTTTATCTTCTCGACATATCTGGTCAGCTCGCACACTCCGCTTACGTTATGGGCGCCATCGAGTATGATTGACACGTTGCCCGGTCTCTCTGTGTCTCCCAGAAGTGGAAGTGTTTTCCTTATTCCCCTGAAGATGTCCGACACGTTGTGCAGCCTCTCAAGACGCCCAGGAAGCCTGATTCCGCGGCATGCATCGGCAATGGATCTGATTGCCTGGGCCTGGCCTTTTTCGTTGAGATGCACCACGATCACATAGAGAAATACGCATATTGCCGTGGGAAGGTTGGCTCTTCCCTGGTGGTCTCCAAGGAGCGAAAGGTGCTCAATCCTTATGTGATATGTCTGCTCTCCATGGAACCCCTGGACCCTGTAGATGAGTCCATCTGTGTCAGAGAGGACTCTGCATATCTTTTCGACGCAATAGATAGGCTCGATGCCGGAGTCTCTGTACATCTTGGCAATCGTCCTGGTTAAGCTGTCGGAAGGCTGAGGGCTTACAAACACAGGCCTCCCGCTCCTGGCAAGGCGTATCTTGTGTCCTACTATGTGCTCGACGGTTTTCCCCAGGACCTCTGTGTGGTCTATTGCAATGGATGTCAGGACGGCGGTTATGAGGTTCTCTCCAGGAAATATGTTGGTTGCATCGAGGAAATGACCTATCCCTGCCTCTATGATGCCGACCCTGATTTTGTGGGCCCTGAACAACGTGACTGCCACGACGACGTTCTTCTCGAATGCGGTGAGGGCCGGGAAACTGCTGACTGTGCTCTCTAGGATGCTCTTTCTTTCTTCGTACTCTGCCCTACTGATTGCCCTGCCGTCTATCTGTATTGTGTCCCATGGGCCGAGGAGGGGAGGGGATGTGAGCACACCCCAGCAGATTCTCGGGGCCCTGGAGGCCTGTGTTTCTGCGGCGATGCACTCTGATCTCCTGGTGTTGTACTGCTCAAAGAACTTGGAGAGAAAAGTGCAGAGGGAGCCCTTTCCGTTTGTTCCTGTTACATATACAACGGGAAAGGCGTTGTGTGGGTTTCCAAGGTCTGCCAGGCATCTTGAGACTCTTTCCAGCCCGAGATCCATATGCAGAGGGGCTCAGGGCGATCTAGTTGTACTGAAGCTTAGAAGGGTTTTGTGTTGCTGTTATGAGCATTAGTGTTTGAGGATTGTTTAGATGCTGTTTTTCTGTGGTGTGGCTGTGCTGTGTAAGTTTTGGAGGACTTTAGTGTGTGTACGCTATTTGTGGTGATGGTTTTGAGATTAGTATATTGGATGTGTAGATTTAGAAAAAAATAAAAAGTTTGATAGTTTAGCAATGGGATTAGGGACAAGGTGTTCTTCCTTATACGGAATAAGGGCATAAATAGGATGTGTTGGGGGTGGATATGGTGACAGAAAGGGGTGAAGGAGAGAGAAGCATGAAGAGTGGGAAGGCGATTGGTGAAGGAGATGAGGGCACGGGGGATGTTTCTTCTCTGGGGAAGAGGGTGAGAGGGCAGATTTTGCGTGTGTGCCTGACTGGAGGGCCGTGTGGAGGGAAGACGACTGTGCAGGGGTTTGTGGCCGAGGAGTTTGAGAGGATGGGATGGCGTGTATTTCGATCGCCGGAGGTGGCTACGATTATTCTAGGAGGGGGAGTGAAGTATGCGGAGATGAATGAGGACCGGAGGAGGAGGTTCCAGGTTGATGTGTTGAATGTGATGATGAGGATTGAGGATGTCTACAACGGGATTGGCGGAGAGCTTGCCTCTCGTGGAGAGAATGTGATTGTGATTTATGACCGAGGGGTGATGGACTGTTCTGCGTATTTGGATAAGGACGAGTGGAGGGCTGTATGCTCTGAGGCGGGTGTGTGTTCTGATGAGGTAAGGGACAAGAGATATGACTGTGTGATCCACCTGGTGAGTGCGGCCGAGGGGGCGCCTCTGTATTATGGGAGAGATAACAACTCTGCACGGTCTGAGGACATTTCCGAGGCACGGGTATTGGAAAAGCGGACAAGAGAGGGATGGAGAGGGCACCGCCGAGTAGAGGTTATTGACAACTCGACGGACTTTGAGGGGAAGAAGAGGCGTGTAGTGGAGGCGATCTTGAAGTATGCTAGGGAGCGAGGAGACGCCTGAGGGGTATCTGGCACCTGGTGAAGATAGGTTTGAGAGGTGTGTGGTGTTGTTTGAATAAAGTGAGTGAGATGATTTATTATTTAGTTTGCTATAGGCGTCTGATTGATTAGGTTTGAGGGCGTGGATTAGGGATTCTTGAGCTAATATGATAGGGCGGGATAGGTTGACTGGCAAGATGGTTTTAAGCTAAGGTTGGCATGGATAAAGGAGATATGAATGTTCAATAGAGCTGTGTTCTTGGATAAGAAGATTACTAACTGCAGGGTGGATGAAGTTTGATGTGGTGCGAATTAGTGTTCTGTTTGGAGGGATGTTATGTAGTTCTGTAATAGAGAAGATTGGGGAGGGCCCGATAATAGAGGATGATAGAAAGGATATCATAGTGTTTCCTATGATTTTCTTTGGGAATGATGTGGTTGTGCTGCCGACGACGAGATTCAAGGATCTGAGTCGAGATGTGGCTAAGGAGAGATATGCCATGAATTTTATGAACCATGTTTCTGATATGATACTGTTACTTATGATTCCCGATATGGGTGGGGGCGAGAGGGTTGATGAGATATTTTCGAAGATATTGTCGAATGTTATGGGGGAGCGACTGAGGAAGATATCTGAGGATGTATTAAGTGTATATAAAAGAGGGAAGAACACGTTCAAGGAGATTGTGATGATGGTGTGCAGTAGATTGCTTGAGTGCGGCGGGAAGAAGGAGGAGAGTAGGATGATGACGGTACTTGGGAAGCGTCTTATCTGTGAAGGCGATAGGGTGATTCGGGAGATGAGCGATGGGATGAGTGTTGAAGAAAGGAACGAAAGAAAGGCTTTTTGTGATATGATCAAGAGGTATGGAGAGAAGTGTTGCGATGTGAAGAGGTGGAAACGAGTGATGCGTGCAGAGAGTATAGTGTGTGATGGGTTTGCGAGTGTGTATGGTAAGCTTTTGCCTGAGGAGATTTTGGGGCTATTGGGCGAAGGGTACTGTAGGAAGACTCTTAAGGCAAAGGGGCTTAGCGGGGAGAAGCTCGATTCAAAAGGATATATGGAATATGGTATTCTTGACACTGAATTACTTCTGAGTGCGTATGACGAGCATGGGCATGAGGTTGTTGAAGAGATAGTTAAGCAGATGATGATGGGGAAGGATGGAAGGGAGATTGACTCTGAGTATGTTGAGAAGATTGCACAGGTTGTTGATGAGAGGAGAAGAAGGGAAGAGAGGGAAGCCAGCGAGCATGCGGATAAGCTGTTAGAGGAGGAGTTGTTGGGTAAGAAGAGTGTGAGGAAGGCGAAGGCGAAGAAAGGAAAAAGGTCTAAGAAGAGCTTGGGAGGGATGGAGGAAGAGGCTGAGTCCCCTGAGCCTCGTGATGAAGAGTTGGCAGGTGCAGTAGGTGGACTATCTATTGAACATCAAGAACACAAGAAGGGTATCAATCATTATAGAATACACAAGAGGGTTCTTGTATGGATGAGGGATGTAAGTAGCATCAAGAGGGCACTAGACAGAGGAAAGGAAGAGAAATGGAAGGGCAAAAGCATGAATGATATAGAGAGGCAGAAGATAACACACGACATAGTTGAGGTTGTGCGACTACTTAGAAGTGAAGATAGGGATAGATTCTTTATGCCTGGGGAATCATGGGTAGAGAATGATGTGCCTCGACATAGAAAAGTGGCTGTTGGGGTGCTCGAGATAGCGGGAGAAAGGATGACTGGGATAGTAGAAGCTAGTAGTTACAAGGATAAGGATGGGAGTGATGTTATATACCATCTGATGTTCCGAAGAACAAATGTAAAAGAGATTGGAGGAGTGGTAAGTCAAGGAGAAGATTTTTCGAGGAAGATGGAGAGCACCAGTTGTGGAGAGTTTTCTGAGAGCAAGGATGGGAGTGGGTTTTTGTATGGGAAGGGGATGCGGTGTGAAGTGTGGCATGACTTTGATAAGTTTGTTGTAACGTAGGGGAATCGACGTAACACTCGTGAGGTTTTGAAGAGGCTGACTGTGCTATGCAGACCGAAGGCTATATGATATGACGTTGTGTGACAGTTATTAGTGTTGGTTATTAGGTGAGTATGTCTGTGCTATGATGAATAAAATGATATAGATTATGGTGTTGTGAGGTTTTGGAATGTAGACTAGTGAACTGGGGAGGTAGTGGTTTATTTATTTGGTTTAGGCATGGATCTTGAGCTTTTTTTTGAGTATAAGTAAGGACCCGAATCCCAAAACGTTGTATATGATTACGCCGATAAGCAATGTGATGATAGGGACTATCAGTCTCCATACCTTCAGCGGGCCTTGATGGCTTGGGGGCGGAAGGCATCTTTTCCTATACGACCTGATGAAGAGGATGATGGTGATGGCAGAGTGAAGGATCCAGGTAGTCTCTTCCTGAAGATTGATAGCTATCATTGCTAGGGGATAGAGGAAGATGACAAGGTCGAGAAGTATGTCGATGGAGTCTGTGGCTGCGTAGTGAGAATATGGTTGTGTAAGATTGCATGAGGTGTCGAGCAGGTAGGGTGGTAGAACAAGGAAAGGGGAGAGTGTGGTGGAGAAGAAGTTAAAGTCGCCTCTGTCCCAGTCGTTAATAGATAATGTAATAATTGAGAGAAATGAGATGGTTGAGAATAGAAGAAGGATGATGTTGTAAATGAAGTGAAAGGTGGTGAGGGGTGCTGACGGAGATATGTGGTGGTAGTTTCTATTGTGGCTGAATATGGAGAGATATTGGAGACCTGAGTACAAGCAAGGAAGAATGACTGTGATGAGCTTGAGAGGTATGGTATTGACATGGTGCCTGAGCAGAAGAGTTATGACGATTGGAAGTAGTATGGAGACGGTTGCTGCATGCTGTTTTATGAGTGGGCTGTAGATAGCTGTGGGGTTTTCCCTGTTGCTGAGCGGGTTGTCAGATGGATGTGAGATGTCTGGAATGTTCATGATGGGATTTGGTGGGGAGTGAGTATTCATGTGAGGCGATTATACATTTTTGGAATTATGCTGTGTGTTAAGGAGTGGGGGCTTAGTGCTGTTGTGTGAGTTTAACTAGTGAGTGTATGAGTGGTTTATTAGAATATTTCTGCAGTAAGTCTTAGGAATGGCTGGATGTAGTTTTCTTGTATATTTCTGTAGTCTGAGTTGCTGCTTAGACGGGTTTGTAGTTGGTGAAGGGAGTCTTTGAAGATGATGATGCATGCGGCGGCGGATACGAGGAGGAAGAGGACTGTTTTAGAGAGATCTGTGTGCTTGTGCTGGCTGGATGTATGCTTGCATGATGCGGCAAGAATGAGGATGGGGGATGTTGCGGCGATGTATGGGTAGTAGGCTTGTTGATTGTAGTATGAGTATATGGTTATGAGGGCAAGGAGGGATATTGCAGGGTTGAGGGGATGCTTGGATTCTAGTGTTGTGGATAGTAGGTAGGGGGGAAGGACCAGGAGGGAGGGGAGGATGAGGAAGAAGTGGGGGTAGCCTATGGACTTGCCGAAGGAGATTAGGAGGATTTGAATCAGTGGGGTTAAAGAGAGAAAAAGAAGGATGGAGGCTATGATGAGTTTGAAGATTGAGTGGAGTATGTGCTGTGTTTCAGTTGAGAGGATGCTATGGAAGAGGAGTAGGTGCTGGATTGAGTTGTATAAGCAGGGGAGGAGTATTGTGATGAGTCTTATGAGTATACTGCTTTTGAAGTCATGCTTGAATAGAATGTAGGAGACTGTTGGGAGCAGTATGGAGATGAATGGGGCATACTGGCTTAGGAAGGATGTCGAGTGTACTCCTGGGGTGTTAGTGTGAGTATTCAGGTCTGAGGGATGTGGCTGCTGAGCATGTGCATTCATGATGGGGTATATGGATGAGATATAAATCTGAGAATGATGTGATTGGAAGATATGATTGGTGTGCATGGGTTTGTTATTTTGATTAGTATATGATTGGATGCAAGTGTCTATGGTGTTGTGTCCTGGGAGGCGTTGCAGCCTGTGGACCATGGGTGTTTAGATGGGGTGAAGAGTCTTCCAAGTGAGAACATGGAGCTAGAGAAAGATCTTCTAGGAGAGATTACAGGGATACTTAACGATGAGATTGGTTCTGAGTATCTATTCAAGATATATGGAAATTATTGAAACTCTGGCTAGAGAAGTATTTGGAGATTAGCAGCCTTTTGGAGCTAAAAAGGAGGATTGATCTTTTCTCTGGCAACAGTTTGGGGAGGATGAGAAGCTTCTCTGCAATGCCATGGACAGAGGTGTGTGAGTGGCGGAGGTCCTGGTGGCCAAGTATGGGGGTTACAGTGGAAGATTTGATATCAAGAAAGCCTGCGATATCTTTCCTAGCTTAGGAAGCATAATGTTGAGGATTTTTTATGGATGATGGCTTGAAGAGGCGGTTGGTAGTCGCAAGGAGGCGGCCGAACATCGGAATTCTGGAAGCATTTGGATGCTTTAGGCGAAGTTAGATTTCTGAGGCATGTGCTTGATAAAGGGACTGGAAGATCCTAATCCTAGTGTGATTCCTTATGATGTTTCTAGTGAAATCCTAAAGAAGTCACTCAAGGGTGTCTGCTGGGAAGCCAAAGAGGCACACGACTGAAGGAGTGGGAATGAGACCAACCAGGTATCTATAGGACAGCTCGATTATATGGAATTTATTATCAAGAGCAAGGGGGAATTGGAAAGTATGATGGATAGATGTAGTATAATTGATTTAATGGGGATTGTCTGAATTCCCTTCATCCTTAATCAGCTTATCTTTCCCGAGAACATTAACGAGGCATTGAATGAAGGTTGAATATTCTGGGTTCTCGGAATTTTTTAGAAAGATGAGTGACTTATGTGGACAGGTATGCAGACTTGTGTGGTGCGTGAGTGTTGTGTGTAGCGTTATTTTTAGTTTTTGGGCTATGTGATTTTGGCTTTGGGGAATGGGATTGTGACTGTGGCTGGTTATTATGATGATGGAAGGGTTTTGGATATGTATGGCTATGATTTGGATATATAAGGGTTGTGATTGATGTATATTTTGTTTGGTTAGTGAGTGTGATATTGTTTGATGTGGATTGTGTAGGTTGATAAGATTGTGAGTGGTGTGTTGGATGTTGTGCTGTGATTTACTGAAGAAAAGGAGGAGAAGCATTTAAGCGTGTGAGCATTAGCAGGGATGAGATACTGTGTGTTGTTAGTGACTTTTATTGCTAGGATGTTCTGCTCTTTCTCGGGAGCGGAGAGTCATAAGGCGGTTGTACTAGGAAAGTATTCTGGATGTGTCCTGCTTCCCCTAATCTTTTGTGGAGACGATGCGATTGTGCTGCCGACGACTCGGTTTGGAGATGTGAAGGGTAGAGATTCGGAGGCTTGTGTGATGGAGTTTGTTCGGAATATCGGAGACACGGTGTTATCGTTTACTGCTTCTAATGTGTGCTGTAGTTCTAGGGAGCTTTCTGAGATGTTTTCGGGCGGATGAGGAGGCACCTTGAGAAGGTGTCGAGGGATGCATTGCGTGCATGGGCTCAGGAGGGTCTTACGTTTGGTGAGGTTGTGTTGATGGTTTATGATAGGGTATTTGAGTGTGATATTGAGAGATGGAGATGGGTAGTTTGTGCGGAGAGTATAGTGTGTGAGGCGTCTGTGAGTATGTACAGTAAGCTTTTGCCTGAGGAGGTTTTAGGGATAATAGCTGAGAGGTTTGTGAGAAGATGTGCCAAGGAAGGTGGAGATGAAGGGTCTGGAAACACCAGAGGATATGCTGATTGTGGGGTGATTGATGTTAGATTATTTGTAGATGCGTATGTCAAGCATGGTTCTGAGGTTATTTCTGAGATAGTTAGGCAGATGATGATGGGGAAGGATGGAAAGGAGATTGATAGTGAGTATGTTGAGAAGGTTGTTCGAGTTGTTGATGGGAGGAGGAGAAGAAGGGAGATTGAGGCTAGTAGGCATGCAGCTGAGTTGCTAGGGAAGGAATTGTCAGGTAAGAAGAGTAAGAGGAAGAGCGGGGGGGGG